TTACATTTAGATATAAACTATAAATACAACACAAAATCAAAATTTTACTCAATAGTTATCAATATCAACTTCCATAGTATCAGATTGTTGGATTTTTTCAAGAAAATGAATAAGTCATTCATTCTTTTGGTAAATATTACATGGATTTTAATATAGATATCCTTTGTTATTGCTTTTGATCTCTATTTTAGGTCATTTTCATTACGTTAAGCGTAACGATCGACGCTTTTTCATTGGATGAGAGAAGTGCTCCATCTTCCAAAAATAGTTTGAAGCCTTACTGTAAAGAGTTAAGAAAGGTTAGAGACTATGATAATTGACACAAATTATAATAACTATAAGTATATTTTTAACACATCGATAGATCTGTAAAGAGAAATGTAAAGATTTAAAGAAGAAGCGTTTGAGAGTAATAAAATATCTTTAACATTTCTAAATACTGACTAAAATACTAATTGATATATCCGATATAGGTAAGATGCAGAGATGGATGTAGATGCTCTTTTCACGATTGTGTCGACAAAATCAAAGAAACATTGGGAAAATAAAGATATTCTGTAATTTTTGCTAATAATTCTTTCAATATTCAGTTGACCTTTTAGTATTTTAATTAGAAATAGTTATATATAGTTAAGTAATAAACATTTAAAGAAATAACTGTATTTTAACAATAAACGTTCTAGAGTTGTTTGTTTCTGTTTTTTTATTGAAATATATAGTTCAGCATCTATACTGCTAATTTTATAGTATGTTCAATATCTTAATCTCACCACTATCATTACAAAATATTGTCCTGTATATGGAACAAAATCATTGTATCTTCAAAATATCAATCTATTTTTGCTCTAATTGAAAAATTTCATTATGTTTGATTGTTTTCAATCATAATTCGAAAGAAATGAAAGGTGTATAATTTGAGATGCTAATAAATGTAATTATAACAATTGAGAATGAATACTACCACACTTAAAGAATAGTAATTAGAGAGTTTAACATATTTCTGGATAATATATCTTGAAAATTGTTAAATTAGATGTGAAACTGCGGTTTAAAAAGGTAAGTTATCTTGAAAATAAAGAGTTCCTTTTTGTTTAATTGAAATGACAAGGACTGAAATTGTAGATAAGTAAAAACTTATTCGTTTGTGTCGTTAGTCCTTTCAAATTGATCACAATTAGCTTCAGTTGATGTTAAGTGATAACCATTTGTCTTTAGCAATCGTTTCTTACACACTCGTAGGCATTTTTTAACTGAATCTCTGAACTTCCTATCTGCCACACAGTAAAGTATGCAATTAAAACAAAAGTTTATTCCTTGAATCATGTTCAATATTTGAGAAAGTTTCTTGTTAAGTTGTTGACTACTTAATCTTTGATCCTTAAATAGATGAAATTTTAGCAAATCCGCCGGGAGAACCAAAATAAATTGTAGAAATATTATTATTACTAATATGATTGATATGTAAATAGTATTTCTTTTTGTTGTTTGAGATCCAAATTGTTGCTTTTGCTCCATCCTCATTTTCCGTATAGTTATAAATAGTAAAACATTACAACAGATAAGCATCAAATAGGGTAATACTATGAATAGGGCTGGCCAAACTTGATAATGGTATATATCCCTAATAAAAGAATAAGGGATAATGTATCTTTTCGTAAGTATTGTGAAATGATTATATTGTTTATAGAACTTACCAAGACTTAGTTGATTTTCTCCTGGAATGATCATGATATCTTGGTACAACTCGATAAAGAGTTGTATTATTCATTTTACATGACTCTATTTTTGCTCTTATGATTTTAGGTATCATAGCTGCACCACATATAATCAACACGAAAATAAAAATCATAATTGACTTCTTGGTCGTTAGAAATGAACGGATTTTGATAGGCCAGCTTATCACTAAACATCTTTCCATCGCAACAATTACCGTTATCCATGTACTTAGAGTGAGAAAGAAGTTAATGGCATGAGTTCCAAAGATATTATAGTATAAAGCAAGCTTAAATTTATAAGGATTGTTCGCATCCATGTTATGAAAATAAACCAATGGTATAGTAAATAAATTATAACCAAGATCTGAAACTGCCAAACATAAGAAGCCTAAATTAGCTCTAAACTCCAAATCACCCAGCTTTCCATAATGTAATTTATGGCCAAATACTGAAATATTTAACGAATTACCAATTATTCCAAGTAAAGCAGAGACTGTTCGTACATAAACTGTCCACACAAAACCAAGATATGAGTAAGATTCAATAGCTTTACAATCTCCAGAAAATTTAATCCTATTCAGAAATAATGTTACATCCCTTGCAAAAAGATCATCATATTCATAATCTATATAGAGGTAATTATTATTATCAACATTTCTTTAGAATTCTAGTTAAAAGCCAATAATGAAAAAATTTATAGAATGTAGTTACCTGAATAGTTGGCAATATCATTCATATTTTCGACTTGGTCTATTAAGATAAAAAGAAGGTTAATTAGGAAAAGTTAAGAAATTTTAACTTATTTGCTGTTAATAAGGATCACATTTATCATTATAAATACATATAATTTTATTATAAATGCCAATAAAGAACGGTAATGCTTGTAATCTGTAGTTTAAAGATTATATATGTAGTTTTACGTCAATTTAATGCAATAAACGATTGTTTTTTACCAAAAAACAAATTAATTATAGGTAAAACAAGAAACACATCTGATATATAGATATTCTAATATTTCATAATAGATGACCATTTATTAATTAAATATTAAGTAACTACATTTATACTCTGACCATCTACTTTTTCTTATAAAAAACAAAGCTGAGAATGTTTATCATCCAAAATATAACTAATTTTCAATGAAAATCATATATAATATATTAATGATTTAATTATTATTAATTTTTATATTTATCCTATTCTTTCTTTTAAACTTAGTTTCTTATTAGTTGATAAGAAATGACCTTCTTAAAGTACATTAATTAAAATTAATGCATGTTTTGACCCAAGATTAAATTGCCTTTTTTTTGTTCCCGACACGATTAAATCTCTTCTTATAATACTAATGCATTAGTACCTCTTCAATATTTATTTTTAGACAGTGGAAAGAAGGGAAAATTTGTCAATTTAAAAAAAAGAGACTAGCAGAAAATAGAGTTAGCAGAGAGTGGTATGAGACAGATAGATAGATTGCCAAGATTGAAGGAAAGATGAAAAAGGCAGGAAACAAGAGAAAGAGTTAGATAGGAAGAGAAAGCGACTGAGTGACGAAAAGAAAGAAGGTTTAAAGTAAATTATAAAATGGGTTGAATTAAATTATTTATTACTTTATGTCTTTGTACCGTGTATAAAAAAAATAAAAAAGAAGGAAAGAAATATAATTAATAAAGCTATTTCGCCATATTTAAGAATCAATATCCCATGTAGATCTCTATTGAATATTGAATATAACTAAATATTTTATAATAAAACTCAATAAAAGGTAAAAATGAAGATACTAAACTGAAATATTAAAATATAGGAAACTATTCAAAGCTTATAAACTTTTCTCCTTTTTTTATATAGTCTTCTATTATTTCTTTTTAAATTCTATTGATCTGTAAGAATTTTAAATGTAGTATTCGATTTACAAACTTTTAAAGCCCTTCTATAAAAAATGTTTATTTATATAGTATACTATACGACATAGGTTTAAAGTTCATTTTTGAGATTATTGAGCAAAATTGGTCTGATTTGGTTTGCTTTATTTTTGAGAAGAACTTATCGTATTAAAAATGATTGAATTATTAATATTACTAATTATACGACGTAGAGTAATGTATTGCTAGATAATAGCAATTTCGCTATACTATTACTTACTTTTTGTCTTCTCCAAAGCATAATTTCCTTTTTTGGACAAGCGAAACGTATTCAGTATGCTCTACATATTAAAATTAACTACATACATAGATGTCGCTTTATACTCTTAGAAGACGAAATCATTTATTATGCTTATGACATTTGTATAAAATAGAAATATCAGCATATTTCTTTAATCTCTCTCTATCTCTCTTTCTCTTTCTCTTTTGTTTAAAGTTTTAATAGTTGTAATAATAATAAGAAAGTAGGAAGTATGGTAAAAAAGAAAAAGTCTTAGCCTCTTCAATTATTAACTGGCGGTTGAAAATTTAAGGTAGTGTCGAATTTTGCCAAAGGCCTTCCTCTTGGGTAAATATTAACAGAAATAGTACAATAAAAGAAAAACAAATTTGACAGAACACCTTTAAAACTGTTATTGTTCACTACAAGACTTACCAGTATATATGTTAATAACGGTTTTTCAATTTCTAATAGCGTTTTCTTTGTGAAAAAACTTTTAAATATTTTTACAGCAATGCAGTTTGAAAACTCTGGCTCACGAAAGACTTTAACGTAGAAAATAAGACACACACGCATATACTTTATATATACTGTATATATACTGTATATGTATACTGTATTGATGATTATAACTTTGTCAAGATTGATACTCTTTTTACGACTGTAATTTAACACTGAAATTGGCAACAATTAAGATTTTTGTGACCAAGCATCCTATAGTTTAAAGATAAAGCTAGAGAATAATAATATGAAAGGCACTTGTTAGGTAAAAATCAGTTTTCTAGTAGGATGTGGTAAAAAAATGGTACAAATTTTTACTATATATAGTTCTTAATTCAATTATAAACAAGATTAGTTTGTAATTAATGCGTTAATTACGGTATTTAATTAACTTACCATACATTATATAATTTATATATACATATATATATATATGTATATATGTATATATGTACAGATAACTATATATAGCAAACGTAATAAGAGTTTTGCTTAAAAGGATAATTTAGCTTAGAGATGTTATAGATATATCAGAAATAGCATATCATATCTTCATATTTTAATTATATAAAAAAGAATGAATTTAAAAAAAAAGACATACTTATTAATAAATGATTAAGTGTAATAAGTCTATTTTTAAAATGTCTCTATATTGAGAAAATTGGTTATCTCTTTGTCGATATCTTGTAGTTTTGTTTCTTTTAATAGCAATTATAAAAATAAAATTTCATCTGTTAAGTAAATTGAATATCAAATCAATTGTTAAAGCTGTAAATGGTACAAATATACTAAAGTGTAGAATAGCATGTATTAGAGTAATCAAACATCACGCATAATGGTATCAGTTTCAAATTTTTTTGTTATAAATTGAACAGTTGGTGCTTTAATTACATAATTTCCACAGATTGCTCTTATTTGTCGTATTTTAAGTTCTTCGTTTGCATGTAAAATTATCTTCGCTTTGGAAGAACTCTCTTCAAGCCATATGTCTGATGATGTAATAGAAAATCCTAATTCTCTTTTAAAATATGCGCAATGGTCTGCTATTTCCGTCAATTTTGAGAGGAGTTTGCAAATTGTACGCTTTTCCATGAAATTTGCTCTTTTTTTCGGACACCGTGTATTTTTAACACTATATGTTAACTCCTCGTCTATCCTTAATAAATCTCTCGTCTCGTTTCTCTGTTCTGAAACAACTACCCAATCGCATGAAACACGAATGATACGAATTTTCCACTGGTGAAATGTCATATCAGAATTTGAATTGTTAATTCTTTTTACGCATGCTCTAGAGGTGCTGCATAAAGAGTACATTGAATTAAACATGTTTATGTAAAAAGACGGTTCGTGACGATTATCTGAAACTCTTTTAATAGTCCAATAAGTTGCCTGTTGGATATTTTTTACCAGGGTTAGCGTTGATTCTCCCTTTCCAGCAAAAGAGTTCTTTAGATAGCATCCCTCATATTCAATATTCTCCAGCAAATATTTTTCATTCTCTACATTGACAATCTACAAGGAAAGTATTATCTTTTAATAAATCCATTATTTTAAGGAAAAAAAGTACCTTCCACAAGCAACTAGGCTCTTCTAAAACTCTCCCCAATTCTACACTATTGCAGTAAATCTTATTTGACCCGTCATCATATATTAAACGCCTTTCAGACTTTGCAACAGATTCAATGTGAACCACTTTATTACAAAAATCCATCATGTAAACTGTGATATACAGATCCTTGAAAACTAAGAAATGGTTATTAACGATTTAAAAGAGAAAGTAACATTTTATAATACAGCTTACATAATCAAGTTATTAAATGACCAAAAATGTAATTTTAGAATATCCTTTTATCGTTAATAATTGCAAAAGTCAGTTACTCTTTTAGTTGAAATAGCAAATATAGATGAGAAAAGAGGCCAGTTTACTGAATAAAATTCTTCAATATTGAAATATTTGACACTCTTTATCTTTTTAGTATAGCCTATATAATGAACTTTTTTCTACTAGTTTAAAGAAAGTTTTTGCTAGTTAATTGAATGATTTATTACAGAACAATGAGATGTATAATTCAGATAATTAATGAGATAGATAATTATAGTCTATTTTGTAAATAAATAGTATTCTGTATTGTAATCTAAATTCTAAAAATGCAAGAGAATGTAGTATTGAAATCATATACTTAACAAGTACACATACAGTATAAATATATTAAGCATGGTATATTAGTTTTAGTGATAGAGATATAACTGAATAATTTATTCTATATCTTCTATTTTGCAGTCAATACTATTTGTTTTTATGACATATGGTCCATAAAAGCCTGTTAGTTGAAATACAGTTAGTTTACGTTTTGGCTGTATGTCTCTGTACTGTTCAGAACATTTGACAGCTTTTCCTTCCAATTGAGATATAGCAAAACTGATACAGGTGTCCAATTCTTGAAATACTTTATTAATCGCACAAGCCAATTGCTCATTTGCTACTATGGATTCTCCATGAGTATTAAAAACTCCTACTTTCGAAGTAATGCTTATTCTTAGCTTTTCTGATGTCAGATTGGTAACCTCTTTTAGAAGTACACGATTTTTACAAACCTGAATTGGATGTAATAGCCAAGTATTTTTCTCCTTTTTTGACGATCCGTGCATAGCGAGTCCAGATTTATGGGGTTGTACTACATGATTATTATGAGGACTTCTGATGTAATATTGATCTTTTCTCTCAGTAGCTGTACTATCTTGTTCAAAGCTTTCAATTTTCCACCTACCCCTTTCTTTGAAGGGTAATTTTTTAAGACTCATATAAAATTTCTGTTTTTTACGCCGGTCCGAGGCGTATAAATAGTATTCTCTATACTCCATATTTTCAATGGTAACATATCCATCGTTTTCAGCTTTTATCTAAAAATATTAAATATGATATTAACATGTATTTTACCTATTTATTAACTTTAACGCCTTCACTACCCCGACCAAAATATGTTGAATATATCTACATCATTATAAAAATTAAAGAACAAGTACCTTCCATAAACAGTTTAAATTTTGAAACACTTCCTCTCTAGTGTATCTGGTATGAAGCACTCGATTAGGTATAAAATCATCATTTTCATCAATTGCATTCAACCATTCATCATCGCACTTAACAGACTCGAAACATACTATTTTATCGTTGAAATCAATCGACATTTTAAAAACATAAGACAAACTGTTGATATTAGACAATTAAGTGAAACATGTTTTCAATACTATTTTGCTCTCATTCAGTTGTACATTTTGTTGGGAAAATAGTCTATTCATATTAATCTTTAAGGCCTATCAGGATGTTAGAATGATCTTATCTCCGAACGTCAAACTGTATAGATAGATAAAAAGAGATTAATTAGACGAAGTATTAAATCAATCAAACTCTAAAAACAAAAAGAAAACAAAAATGGATTCAAACTCTAACCTACTTTATTTGCCCCAAAAGGCTACTCAAATGACCAATTAATGCATTGTTCTAGTATATATTATATATTTATAAATAAATCTATATATATATATAGATATAGACGTTTTTATGATTTTAAAATATTTGTCTATAATACCTATTACGCTATAAAATAAATGAGAATAAGTTTGTGTAAACCATTAAACTAATACAATGCAAATTAATAAAAAAACGATTTAACATAAAGTGAAAGTTTCTTTAAACTAACTCCCAAGAGACAAGACGAGCCTAATTAAGCTGGTTAAAACACTATACGTTTGATGTGGTTTGCAGAATAAAAACAGGATTTCTGGCCAAAAAAACTGTTACTTGTTTACTAACAGGTTTATTTCATTCTTTTTAAATATATAGGTTAAATAAGTTTATTCTCTTCTTTTTTTATATTTAAGGCAACAAGCGTATTACAGCATACTGTGTTTTATATATCTTTTCTTACTTTCCTATCCACCCACCGAATACTTAATTATTCATATAATGTACAATATATAATCATTGTTTAAAGAAATTTTTACTTTAAATTCTACTCTCCTACGATGCAGAAAAAAAAGAGAATAAATCTAAATAAAAAGGGAGGAAAAAATAGTATCAACTATTACCTTTATCGTGACATATTAGCTATTGTTAACCATGACAAAACTATAGGCCTTAACTTTGAATATTCTTAGTTATTTTTATATTACATAGAAAGCTCTTTTTACGCTTGGCATTTAATAATTAAGTTATTTATCTTCTAGATACTGACACATGCTATGAAATGATGCTTACTTTATTCTTTACCTCTCTGTGTCTAAATTTCATATGTAAGTTATGAATATATGTTTTAATTTTCATATATTTTTATTAACCTATTGATTTAGCTATTCGAATTAGAATATATTGTAGCATATTTTCTTATTTTTAGATGTGAATCTCGTTGATGGTGTAAATACAACAAAAAAGCTTGAAATTGTTATAGGTATGCTAAAAAGAATAGTCTATCCTTTCTCTCCTTATCATTAAGGAAATTACTTTCTTTTTTAACTATACATAAGTCCATCAAGGTATTTAAATCCTTGGGGGAAATATAATGTCTCTTTTGGTTTTTATCTTTTCTACAGTCCAATTTTCAATTATTAAAGATGTATACAATGTTATCATATAGTTTACATTATATTGTACATCTCTAAAATATGCATTTTCAATTAACTAATTCGTACAGACGTCTCTTATAATATTCTCTTTCTCCTTTAAATATTTCAGATAAATACTCCACTGGGGATCATTCTTTGGAAATTCTCATAGCTCTAATATGTTTTTGTGCCGTAGTGACTTTAATGATTTGTTTTATTCTAGTAATATCTACTTGTCTTAAGCTCAGTGATAAAAATGATAAAATGGATACATTTATATAGCAATAAATGATAAATTTAAAAAATGTCCATTAAATGTTTTGTAAATATAATAAAACAAGTGAAAATACTGATTTAGCTTATTTCTGCTATGTTAGAAAAGTCAAATGTACTTTTGCTTCAATAAATACCATAGAAAATAGCACTCTAATGAAATTGTCAATGTTAATATTGCTTCGTACTATATATTAAATAGGGTGGTTTTATTATACTAATCCAAAAATCTTGGAAGAAAAAATCCGAGGTTAACTTAATCTATATAATTCTATTAACAAGTAAAGTATACTTAAGAAGTTGAAGGACTAATGTAAGGAATATTCTCTCATTTCTATATAATAGCCTTATATTTTAATCTACGTTAAATTTTAAAGTATTATTACACTATTTTTCTATAAAATCTATTAAAAACGATTAGTAATATGTCTAACAATACTTTACATTTCTTCTATCAATAGTCAAGTTACGATATTTATGCGTTGTCTACATAAATATTCCAATTTTTGCTGATTGTTAGTTGATTTAAAATAGAAAAACAAGATTGATCAAGTTTTTCTATTTAGAAAAATAAGAAAAAAGACAAATCTTATTGACATTGCTTTAATTTATTATAAAAGACAATTCCTTTTTTGTTATTAAAATTTATACGAATAATTTACCTATGTCTTTTGAATTGTATTTTTTTCTTCGATTTATGTAAATTCTTCTTCTTTTATGTTGAATTTTTAAAAATGTTCACAACCTAGTCTCGTTTTTCTTTTATACACATTTAATTATGAAATTAGTAGAGAAGAAAGAGATGGCGTGATAAAATTTTAAACATTTTTTAAATATTTTACAACTCATTTAACTAAAAAAGCCAAACATGAAAGTTGCAACTGACAATAAAATTACAGCGTTTATGTTACATATCCATTTGTATAATCTATCTTCCTTTAGAGTCATTTTATCATCAATTATTGAAGTTTCTCTTGATTGCTCTTGTTTTTCTATACCACATATCCAAAAGAAAGCTTTCTTATACCAAGGTATATTTTCTCCTGTATATGATAAAAAGATATAATTAAGCTGAGACATAAGCTAATGCTTTTGCAATGAAAAGAACCTGTATCAAACATGGAATTATCAATTACGGTTTCCTTGCTCCTATCAACCTCTACTGGTAAGTCGTCGTCAGCTTTCTCTTTCTTCGAGTATCTTGACCAAAATGTTGTTCCTATACTCTGCAATTGTAGAAGAGTTTAAAGAAGAAAGCTTGAAGAAGTATTTTATATTTTCGCTTACGTATTTTTTTGGTAACGGCTTTGTTAGTAAACTCACGACAACTGCGACTAAAACAGTGAAAAAGAAAACAAAGATTCCAAAATATAAGTAATGAAAATTCTTAATTATAGATGGTCTGTTGTCCTCTTCTCCGCATTGAGGATTACCATAGACAATCTCTAAGATAAATCTTAGTAATCCTGTACCTAAACCAATTACAGCTGACCAAAATGCACCCTTGTTTCAAATATATGAAAAAGAAACATTGTAAGGAGTTAATAATATTTATTACGAAAGCGTTATGTCTACTTGTTCGTTCATCCTTGACCAAAATATAGATGCAACATAGACTGCGCATACAGGAGGTTGAAGAAAACTTGAAACTCTTTGAACGTAAACAAATAATTGACTTCCCTGAGTTGCTTGAATGATTGGTACCCAAGCAATACTTATACCCACTAAGACAACAACTGTGAGTCTGTGATGATATGAAAACAATTTAAGGTCTTAATAATTATACTCCATAAAAGAATCTATAAATGTAAACCTTCCCACTATCATTAATTCAAAATCTTGAGCATTTTTTCTTATTCTTTTCCAAACATCGAGAGTGAATACAGTGCTACTACTGTTAAAAATTGACGTAAGAGACGACATTAAAGCACTGAGAATAACTGCTAACATAACGCCTCTTGCACCTAAATAGTTTGCATTATAAGTTTACATAAAGTATATAGGCACTGTACAATATTATGAAAATCAACTACCATTAGGCATTAGATTTAATACTAATTTTGGATAAGCTGTATTGGTGCATCCCGACCTACTTTTACAAACTTCATAGCAAACATCAGGATCAATGCAAGCTACTTCCTCTGAAAAAATTTCAATACAATTAAACTGCCATCTACTGGACAAGTTTTCATATATGTAATTATGATAGCTTGTTGCTTTTTTCCTAACCCGTATAAAGTATTCTTGAGATCATTCCAGGGAATATCAAGAGGAATAGTGGAAGTAATTTCAAATAGCCAGCTAATACACAACCAGCCTTGGCGTGTGTGAAATTTTTTCCAGATAAGGTTCGCTGAACAATAACCTGTTATAGATAAATCACCATAAAAAATGAAATAAAAAAGTAATAATTCACCAACTTGATCAGCACACCAGTACCATATTGATGAAAAGGTAATTCCCAGTAATCCTGGCCAAGGTACATCACCCTCTTTAGGACTTCTACAAAGGGTATTAAAATAGAAAACTTAAAATACGAAAGATTATAGTTTTAAACTGAACCTTAAGAAGTTTAGGTAATCTTTTCGAGGTAGACCACAAGTAGAATTAGAATATATTGATGAGTTAGCAATTGATCGTTCATACTTATATTTCATATTTTCGAACCCGCCCACTTCTATAAAGGCTATAATTAAATAATCATGTTAGAATATGTTTTATCTTTGTCCTTGTTGTTCTTCTTTAAGTAGATTATTGATTATACACACCCATGATCATTAAAGAAAATGCACCACATAACATTATCCCAGTTTGTATAAAATCCGTCCATATTACCGCCGTTAAACCTCCTATAAAATAGGTCAAATTTAATTTCAGGATATGACGAATATATAACTACAAAGATATTCATTCATTTCTGATAATATCTTAATTACGGGCCTTATTTTGGCTAGTTTTTTCCACTTTTTTTTAAACACAAAACTGATATATATGACGCCATCTGTTGTAAAATAATAACAATCATAATAAAACCAAAAAGCATTTTTTCACCTGTTATTGTAAATATTGAAGCAATAACTAAAAGAATTGCAGTTGACAGGTAAATATTCCATTTTAATGACTGTTCTATAAAAATTGCACCAGCAAATAAATCAGCCTAATCAAAGAAAATGACTCTTTATTTCTCAGGATCATTGAAAAAGAAAGACAGACCGAAATTTTTGTGAATATGTATAGTAATAAAGATAAAACAGCCAAGTAAATTTGTAACCTTTGTCCCCCAAATCTTTTGTGCAAGTATTCAGGCATGGTAAAAACCTAATTGAATAGCCAATTGATAATTACGTAATAACTTATTAAGAATACACTCACCCCGGAAGCTATATAAACAGGCATAAACAACCAACCCAGCATCATGAGTACAAAGATTGCCTGAAGTATGTGGGATTGTTTTTATTAACAACTAATGTTATTTGCTATATATAAATCTAGTACGTTTAGTTCAAATCCTCCAACAGCAATTCCTGCAGCAGCTCCAGATCCCGCTAAACCGATGAAATGTAAACTACCGATATTACTAGCAAAAAGAGATGCTCCCAACTTTTTTTAACGGGCATAAAATGATTTAATTAGACAAGTTTTTGTTAAAAAAAAAATTAACTAATTAATTAATTATTACGGGAAGCCAATGCATGTTTCTACCAGCCAGAAAATATCCGCCAACACTACCTCGATTTGATCTCGACGTCTAGGTGTAACATTATTAAATAGCGTGTATTTAAGATTTTTATAATATATGGATATTTTCCAATAAAATTTACAAACCCATAGTCCAACTGTTAATATAAATATAAAATAAACTATGATAATTGCAATATCTGCTGCATGAAGTGATGTGTTTCCAACAGTCGCCATTTTAAAAACAAAAGTTGAATATAGTTGATAAGTAGTTATAAAAGAAGTGATCTGATTTTATTAGCTTTTTATCTATTGATACCTATTAGATTAGATTTAAAGATTTTTCTCTTTATTCTACTTAACGAGGCATGCATAATTCTATATAGTCTATAATTTGTTCAAGTTTTAAGTAAAGTACTACTTGAAAATATGAAAAAAATTTTATTATCTAGTACTCAAGCAAAGTAAAAATAAACAAGTAAATAAGCAGAAAAACATGAGTAAAAATACGAATGAGCACTATAAAGGGATAAAGAAAGAGATTTGCTCAAAGATAATTTTTGGAGACAGATTAATCTTAATCCTTTCTTTTTCTAGATCGTATAAAAAAATATAATAGTCAATAACCTTATTGTATTTTTAAAGCTAAAAATTGTTCCTTAATTACCCGTCTTTTTGAAAATACACGTGACAAAATAAGATTTGGTATATCTATAGAATTAAAGTTATAAAATAAACCAACAAGGTTAGTTTGGTATACAACTATAACAAATATATGCTCTGATTACACATTTACTTTTTGATAAAGAGAAAAAAGAGGAAAATATTAATAAAGTATAATTTAAGTAGATTCTTTTACTTATTTCGAGTAGTTTCCATTATTTTTATAATAGTATCATCTTTCAAAGTTCTTAATAGTCAGTTTTATATAAAATAAGCATTTACCAAATGTCAAAAATACCATTAACCCCTAAATTTAACTTTGTAGAAGGCTATAAATAACAAATATCTATTTCGATTGAATAAAGAGCAGTGGTTTTATATATCTTTTAACATAATTAAGGAACTTTTAATCAATAAATTAGTCTAATATAATAGAAAATATTACTAATCAAAAGTTATTGTTATTTAATTCTTGGAAGAAATACACCTTTTGTTTATAAACAACTTGCATTAACTTTTTCTTTTTATTATTACGCAATACTATCGTAATAATTTCAAAAATATAGTCAGCAATTTCACTAAGTAAAAAATTTTAGGGGTCATATTATAAGAGATTTATTTTAATCCGTTATTGAAATTATTTCTCTATACGGTAGTTTCAAAGTGTTTGATTACTATAAGGGCTAAAATATACCAGTGGAAATAATGAAATAAGCACAATAAATAATAAAGAGAAACCGTTCGATAATGTTGTCCTTAAGTTTACTTTTAACCCATTTGTGAATCTACGACAATTTTACACATGAAATTCAAGTAAATATTAATTAATATCAACTAAAAATTTGGTATATATAGTATTAAAAACTATAGGGAAAGCTTAATGACCTTTGAATAGGAATAAATAACCTTTCTTTTACAATTGGAAAATTTTTTTATTCAAAGTGACCCGAACTACTGAAACATAGATAGGTAAGGATTATCAAAGGCTTACAATACGTACGCTTTATATTTAATCAAATATGCTATTAATGACTAATCTGACTGAAGAAATTTAATACGTATAGTTATTGAACTCACTTTTCTATCGGTCACTGTTTGAACATGTGTTGCTTTACGACTATCAAACCGATATAAGTTTCTCACGTTCGTAGCATAGAACTTTATGGATCTAGGAATAATTTAGGAGTGAGAGTAATATGGAAAAGTTGGTTGCCACTGCCCAAATATTTTCAAGAAATTTTCATAATGACGACGATTTCATAGATCGTATTAATCACCGATATACGACAAGTATTCTTCTTATATTTAGTATGATAGTTTCTACGAAACAATACGTTGGAGAACCAATCAATTGTTGGTGTCCCGCTCATTTTACTACAAGTCATGTAGCATATGCGAATTCAGTTTGTTGGGTTAAAAATACTTATTACGTTCCTCCCTCTACATTTCATATAAATAATAACGCACCAAAGAAGATGATTGTCTATTATCAATGGGTTCCGATGATTCTTCTATGTTTGGGGATGATTTTATACATTCCCCGATTATTTTGGAAAATGATGAACGGTAGATCAGGAATAGAAATAAATGATATGGTTGAAGCTGCCAGTGCCTTACAAATAACTAAAAAAGAAGTAAATAGAGAGAGGACTTTACAAACTCTGGTTCAAATTATTCATAGATATCTTATGACAAAAACAGAAAGGTATAGACTCGGCTGCAGGGATAGTATTAAACGCTTCTTTAGAATTACTAGCCGTTGCTGTGGAACAAGCTCTGGAAATTATTTAGTTTCCATTTTTATTGTTACAAAAATACTATATTCACTTACCAGTATTGGCTTATTCTTCTCTTTAAACTTGTTTTTGGGGAAAAAATTTCATTTTTACGGAATATTATTCATTAAGGCAATGATGTCTAATTCAGAATATAATACTTCTGACATGTTTCCAACAGTTACCCTTTGCGATTTTGAAATGAGAACTCTTAACAATATCCAAGGACATACTTTGCAGTGTGTACTCCCAATTAATTTATTTAATGATAAGATATTTATTTGTATTTGGTTCTGGCTGATTATTTTGTCAACATTAAATCTATTTAAATTATTGTTCTGGATTTGTGTCATATGTACACAAAAGGAACAAACTAAATTTATAAGGGTTTGTATTCGGACCTTAATTTCCTTTAATAGTAATTAAAATAGTTTATATTATTATTAGTATTATGAAGATTATTTTTATTGTTAATATTGTTGTTATTATTATTACTTTAAAAGTAGTCAACTAGATGGCACTTGTTACATCTTTCTAATATTTTCTACAAATTAACAGGCACAATTGGAGGTTAGTAAAAGAGTTCAGACTAACATGAAGAGGGAAGACAACGTGGATATTGTCGATTTCTCAGTCAAACGCTTCAGTGAAGATCATTTACAACAAGACGGCGTTTTAATATTAAAATTAATTGGTTTGAATGCTAATAAGATCGTGGTTTCAGAGCTAACTGCTGAGCTATTTAGAAACTGGAATACTGCTACTGGTGAAAATTGCAAGCATGCCTCAAATGGTCATCGAGGGAGTGACGTTTAGCCTAAAAAAATATAACAAATTTTTTGTATCCTGATACGATATTATAAAAAAGGGAAAGTTATGAAGTTTTCTACTTTACCTTCAATTTTTATACAAATAATTTTTAATATTCAATTGGGTAGTAAAACGTCAACGTTGATTGCGGACAAGGATTTAATTATATACAAGATACATATATACAGTATTAAACATATACAATATGTATATATAATATTCAAGTGAAATATCACCACTGTTCTTCCTTTTTTTTACAGTAAATAAAAAAAATTGTTTTATTTGTACAAATTATACGTTTTGTTTTTATTTTCTTATCAATAGAGAAAAATGGCATTAAAGCCAATAAATTACTAATGGTGCTTCACATCGTAAAAAATTATTCAACTTTAATAATCTTGGTTATATGGTACCTTAGAAACAGGGACTTGTAAATATATACTGTATATAAACTCCTTTTTGGTTTTCTACTAATATATTCCCAATTAATGTCACATTTTCTGAATGATTTTTGTATTACTTTTACGTGATGTATACAAGTAAATAGACTGTACGTATTGACGTATATACACTATACATTCTGTATATATATATATATGTATCAAAACGCTGATGTATACTAAATGTTTGTTAATAAATTTTCAAAGAAAATGATGTATATATACTATATATACAGTATATATATATATATATAAATATGTTTTCCTAGCTTTGATGTTGATTTCAATACTTTAGAAACTTTATAAAATAATAGAATATGTTTTTTTAAAACTTATAATTTTCATAAATCGACCAAAAAAGATACACTTTTACCATTAGAGAAAATTTGTTTGAAATTATATAAAATTGTTTTGTCCTAGTTGTATAATTTGATAGAAGAATTAGTTGGAAACTTTTTAGAGATTTAAGAGCATATATATCTATATATATATATATATATATATAGATTTATACTAGAAAATAACATTGGATACTCCTACGTTCATTGCGGTCAAACGAAAATGAAGATTGTAATTTTATTACTAGTGTTTACTTTTTCAACAGGTTGAAAATAGTTTCACTTAATAAAGATTAAGAGATTTGTTTTATATTATATTATATAATTGTTTATGCTGTTTATTTAGATACAGTATATTTATATATTATTTAAGTTCATTCTGATTAATTAAATACTCATATCAGTTGCTCTATCTCTGTGGGAGTGTAATTGTGGAGGAGAATATGATCCAGTTTGCGGTATCGATGGAAAATCTTATAGTAATATGTGCCTTTTAAAGTGTCGGTAAGTAAGATATTCCCGGATTTCTTACTCATTTTTATTCTTATTTATGTTTCGAGTAGGTGACTGCAAATAAGGCTATTTGTATAAAAAGTATAAAAAAAACTATGATTGACGATATATATTTAGATGTTAATAAGTCTATTGTATACTTTCTCATTAGCTGCTTGTCATTTACTTTTTAGAAAAGTTGAATTTAAACACAAAGGAGAATGCGAGAAACAATGCTTTTGTCCTAAAAACTTCGACCCAGTCTGTGGTAGTGACGGCTTCACGTATTGGAATGGATGCAACGCGGAATGCTCCGGAGTAAAAGTTATATATTCTAGGGCTTGTATAAAAGAGTGTAAGTGCCCAAAGAAATATAGACCAACTTGCGGGGTTGATGGTTGGACGTACTCGAATGAATGCCAAGCTAAATGTAACGGAGCTGAGGTCAAACATTTAGGTATTTGTTCCTGCTTCGGTTCAGCAGTCTTTGATCCCGTTTGTGGCTACGATGGGCGTACTTATGCTAATGAGGAAACTGCCAAATGCAAGCACGTAGCTATTAAGACGAAAGGTCGTTGCTAACCCTTTTATAAGAGAGAATTTTTTGCTGATTAGTTATCGTCACTCAAAAGTAATGAAATTATAAAACATAGCTTTTAACCTTTTCAAGATTTGCTAATAAACTTAGTCTTTATCCAATAAGATAGTTATTTTTCTTTAATGATCTGCTAAATAGTAATGAACCCTTTGAATAACACTTAATAGCCTCTTTGCAACTATAGAAAGAAATGTTATGTATGAAAATATTGTACATGGAATTAGAGATCTTATGCTTTCTACCCTTATTATAAATATCTTACTAAGCATTTCCGATATAAAGCTTATTATAAGGAATTTATATATTTGTCTAACCTAAACAAAACGCATTAATCAATACGAGTTTACTTGTCAAGTCTGTAATACTAATTTCCTTTTTTTATCCTTTTCCTTTATTCTTCTATCAGCTGCCGAAAAGCAAACAAGATAATAACAAAACTACAAATTTCTATTTTATGAAAGCATCAATTTTCACATAATGGTTGATCGATAATTACATACTCTTTTCATACGTTCTCAATTTTTTTTTCTACATTGAAGATATACGCTTTCTAGTACCCTGAGTATACGGTAAAAATATTAAAGGAGTAAGAAAAGGCCTATTTTATTGATTGTATAAAAAAAGAATTCCAAGATATCAATTAACGTATTCATAGATTACTAAAAGAAAAGAAAAAATTAGTGATCAATACACAAATCTCTAGCATGGTTTCTGTTTATTTGTGTAAAAATTTTTTAATAGAGATGAAAGACCGTTTAAGGAAAAGCATAAAAACGAAGCTATATATTCCATAAAATTATACTAATATGTATACACTATATACAGTATATTGTGTACACTATGTCTGTCTGTCTGTCTGCCTGTTTTTGTATCTCTATCTAGCTGTCTCTCTCCCTCTCTCACTCTTTCTCTCTTTATGTATGTATATATAGACATATATATGCTACTTATTTACTGTACATGCTATTTAAAAATAGATCATATTAGATTTAATATATCTGGTTCACCACGCACCTTGTTTTACACGTTTGTACATTTGTGCGTTTAATTATGTTACTAACTACTCTGGGCATTTCCAAGAGATAATTATTCTTTTTAATAAATATTTTAATAATATATTAAGAGTCTAATACTGTTGATCTAAAAAAATATATGTACAATGTTAATTTTATATATGGTAGTTTAAGTAGACGTCAGATTTTTCATAATATTTTTTATATAATATATTTAACCTTAGGAAAATAACTATCACGTTTATCTATTTAAATTAATATCTATGTATATATTGTGTCTTCATATAAAGCTTCCAAAATGTTTATTTTATCCTTTTTGACATTGACTTTAGAAAAACTACAAAAAAAAGGAAATATATCAATGAAAAATTGCATCATTTTGTGCATTTCTAAGCAAAAAGACCTAGTGTTTTTCATCGAAATCTGATTTCACAGGAAAGAGAATATTTTTTTATCATACTTTAGAAATATTTATTACAATATGTATTATACTAGCCTGATAATAGCATAACATATATATACAGTATATAGTGTATATCTAAATAACACAATTTAATTCTGTTGTATTGCATATAGCTGTGGAAATATTACTAGTATTATTATTTAACTATTTATATATTTATATATATTGCATTGATATAAATCCAATATTAATTAAAATTACATAATCAATTTAGTTAGGTAAATATTTAATGTCGCAAATTTTTCTTTTGCAACTATATTCTAATTATTATCGGACTTTGTCCCAAAATCAGGTATGATTTTAGTTAGACCATACAATAACAAGTAAGTATTTTGTAGAACCTGGCGCCTTAGCATACAAATATTTTTGTTCGCAAGTGAATATGTTAGGTTCAGTATTCTATAGTCTTTCTATAAAAATTCTTCACGCGCATTTTTATAGATGAATAGGTTTAAAAAATTATTTTATATATACTAATTTTTACCATAAGCAGCCATTTTACAGCTATTTACACTTAAGGAGCACTATCTTTATCCTTTGAAAATCTCTATTGATCATTTGCATCTAAAATTAACATCGCAAAGAAGTTTGTTGTTCTTTTATGACAATATTATTTTTAAAATATGACTTTTCCGTTGTATATTGTATTAGTAGTTTTCTGTGACGTACAAATAGGAGATTTAAGTATGAAATAGAATTATAACAAAAGAATTTAGATAATTTTCTGTAATTACAGAATAGAAAAAAGATAATACAAATTTTTGATTGATTTTTCAGATGGATCGCCTAATCAATGACTTTGATATTATGACTTGGAAATATACAATTCTATATACGGGAGTTGCTGTAGGATTCGGATATGCTTTGTATAAATGGTATACAAATAGTTTGAGATTAATACCAGGCCCAAGGGGTCTACCCATTCTAGGCATTACGCCGTATATGGACATAAAACATTTTCATGTGCAATTGAATGAATATGCAAAAGAGTATGGGCCCGTCTGTCGAATTGACCTTCTGGGTGAATCTGTAATTTTGGTTACTGGTAAAGATGCAATTGATGAAGTTCTGTCTACGAAACAAAATGATTTTTCAGACAGATTGCAAACGTTTAGGTTCATAATTCAATATAGATTAACTCTGCAACTTTGTAACATTTATATTTAATAGGACCAGTCTAGCTATGAACGAAAACGAAGTAACAGGATTTATGAATGATACACCAGAATTTAGAGAGATAAAGAAACAGATATATAAATCATTGAAAACCTATGGTGATGGTATGAATAAAGTTGAAAATATAATGGAAGAAGTATTAACTGATTTGATGAAAGATATTCGAAACGAGGAGAAAACTTCTGTCAATTTTAGCCTTAAACTACAATATACTTTAACGACTGTTATCACTTCGCTGGTAAAAAGATATTTATATATATAGATAACTAGTATCATTCATTTATGTTTATATTTTTTCCTTTAGATTTTTGCACAAAGAGTTCATGAAAAAGACATAATTAGAACCATCGGTTTGGTCGATAAAACTTCTAAATCATTTTTCAATCTCTCCAGTATTTTATTAGATGTTATGCCCTGGTTAAGATTTTTTGGAAACAAAGCTTATCAAACATTGAAATCGTCTAGAATGTCGATTGACCAAACTTTCGACCCAACTATTGAAGACCTCAAAGTTTGATTTATTTTTTATTTTCTTTTAAGGTGAATAAATACAATTATATAAAATTTATTGATACTTTTAGAATTCGATTGACGAGAATCGTATTCGTAACTTTGTGGATAGTTTCTATCTTAATTGTGAAAAGAGTTCACTGCAGCTCAGTCACTCTTTGCTGGCCAATAATGTCAAGGGATTGATAATTGCAGGTAAAATAAATGACACCAATTGTACAGAGAAATGGAATTAAATGGTTTCCCTTTATAAAGGTTATTTGACTTCTTCATCGATATTATATACCTTATTGTTATTATTAATGAAACACCGAGATATTGAAGACAAGATTGTTAGAGAGATTATAACCTACATTGGTACAAACCGATTACCTAAGATGGAAGACCGAGAAAAAATGCCGTATACTGAAGCTTCTATCTTAGAAGCCTTAAGATATATATCAAACGTCCCAATTGCACTACCCCACGTCGCTAAGAATACTTCTACCATTTCGCAATTCAAAATAGAAAAAGGAACTCAGGTAAATTAATACTGATATCCTGGTTATATCACAGAGAGTTACCACTTCTAAAGCTATATTATTTATTATTAGATATGGGTTAATTTGTGGGGCTTACATCATTCAGAAGAAATTTGGGGAGATCCTTTTACTTTTAGGCCAGAAAGATTCTTGGCTGAAGATGGAAGTTTACTGCCTCTCGATTCGAAACTGAGAAAATGGTATTAAAAATTTCATTCTTAATTGTTTTCCTATAAACAATATATTAAATATTTAATATTTATTAAGCTTAATGGCTTTCGGAGCTGGTAGAAGATTTTGTGTTGGAAAGAATTTAGCTATGCACAGAATATTTTTAATTCTTACTGCCGTCTTGCAAAATTTTCGCTTGGAAATACCGAATAATACAGAACTAGTTGATTTAGACTGTAGAAAATTTGAATTTGGCCTTGTTGTCGCAGCTTCGGCAATGCCTTTGAAGTTTATTCCAAGAAACCTTTAAAATTGAAAACAGGAAAACTATACACAAGTATCTAAAAATATAAATTAAAAGTATAGTATCAATGATTGTAGCCTGTGTTATATACAGTAGAACAAATAATTTATGTTTTGATGGTAACATATAATGTAAACCTAATTACCTTTCGTTTTAATTGCTTATTACAAACCTTAAATTATTCATTTTAAGTCATATCTTACGTGATTACGATTGGAATTAAATTTCCTACTGCTTAAGTAGCTATTTACTTTCGTATACTGCTGATGGCTTGTGACAACTTTTAACTGTATATTGTAAATGTATATATATTTAAAAATGGATACTACTGAATAAATATTAAAGAAAATGAATGGAGTTTTTTTAATATATTGTCTACATTATTTCAATTAGATCTAAATGCATAATTTACAAGTTATAATTATTACTTTGTAATTAGAAAACAGCTTAAAGTCTCTGTAGAGCCATTTTTATTTTACAACAATAGTTGATAAACTAATCTAAATTAACATGAAATATAAATTATTATTCACTTCAAAAAACATTCAATTGATAGAATCAGACTTTTTCAAGGTGAATGTGGGAGACAGAGAGTGAAATTTACTAAACAAAATGTCCTTAGACTATTACTTCCGAAAATTATTTTAGTCTTTCAAAAAGAAAGTAATAACAAAGTTGGTAGTTTTTCATTAAATGACGTAGTTAATTATTGTCCAATTTAGAAAGAGAATGAAATTTCAGACAAGGCAATAGATAATTTGTTCTATAAGCCTTATGAAAAAGCCAAGAAATATTTAAGGAAACTAAATGAGACATTTTTTAATAGAAAAAAAATAACAAAGAGTATTGAAGTAATTCCTTTCTTTTTCAATTCTAAACAAAATATAATTTTACTTAATGGAAGAAAAAAGGTATTTTATAAAAAAAATCTATGTACTATATATCTTCAATATAATAAGTCGGATAATTGAACCGAAAGGAGCTCCATGTAGCGGAACCATCTTTTTCCATAATTATTAACTTTGGAAGCCTTACCGAACGACATAAGTGGTATTAAATGTTTGCACTTAGTTATTTCTTTCTAGTATTTTATTTGCTAAAAACGTATCAAGCTTTTATGTTTTTTTCTTTCTATCTACGTCTGTCTTCAATTCCAAACTTACAGTCATACTATAAGACTAATACTTACTAAATTTCCGATGTTAAAGACTAGAACATGTATAACATTTGTAAATCATATATTTTCTACGTAAGTTTTATCATTTTAACGAAATGCCATTACCAGGTAATGATTACATACAAAGACATTTCTGATTAATACACCTAAAAATGGTTTTATCATTGATTTTTTTGTACCAGTTCTAGTATACAACACTGACAATTACGTCATAGCGTCTCTTAACAATTAAGAATCGAATCTATTTTTAATTTATACAAGCTTTTTATTGAACGAAAATAGAAAATTTATAAATCAAGAAAAAATCTTGAAAAAATAAATCTTTAATCAAATAAATGTTCAATTTTCCTAAATATTTGTTCAAATGTAAAGAAAAGTGTATATTTTACTATAAATATGGCAATTGCAGAACAAAATTAACTTAAAGATATCGTAAAGCTGTGCTAATTATTGATAAATTTACTTATAAATCAAGTTAATTTTGTTGGCTTAAAACCAATTTTGCAGTTTCTCGTAGACAGTATCAAAAACCATTAGCATTATGGCTCCTCCTGAAAAAGTGGAAATTTTAATTTACATAAATAAATAAATTAGACAATTGTAATGCAAACCTGGTCCAAGTCTTAATAGCTTAGGAAGCAGTCCCTTGTATAGAGCTAAATATCTATAAAAATAAACAAGAATTAGGCTTTAGAGAACTTTTAGCTAATTAAATCAATATATAAATTATTTATTATAAGTAATGAAGCCTAATACTTTATTTATTGGTAAATCTTTTGCAAGCACAAAGTTAAACTAACCCTTCCTCCTTATATACCAAACGTATAGTTTGTAGACATGATTTGTACTTAATACCAGTTTCTGGTTGTGGTCCTTGAATTCTGCTCTTGGCTACGTCAAACGGTATATTGGCTGTAGACGCTATGCTACCGGCCATTAAACCTAAGACGAACTTCCTTCCTAATTCCATATTCTGGTCCTTAGTTTTATAAAAAAGACATAATAAGTTTTATTAAGTCTCACAACTTCTTTGATGGCAAAAGAAATTAGAGAAGCTATTACCTTTTGGATCGGAACAACATTTTTCAAATTATGATACAATCCAAAATATATCATATTCCAAATTCCATGACGTAGCAAAGTAGATGTTAGACCTTTGTTCAAACCACTACTACCAAAGCCATTTTCTCCATAAATAGTTTTGGCCATTTGTATAGCAGAGAGTTGCTAAAGTATAGATGAAGAGAGAAATTTATATATATATCATATAACTACAGTCCCGAGAAAAAGTCTTTGGTAGGGTTATTCTTATAGTGAGAAAAGCGAATTAACCAACAGAACTTAATTAATTATCTTTTTTTGTTTAGAATGAAAGAAATGACTTTTATACAACTGAATTTAAAGATAGAATTCATAAGTAAAATGTTCTTCCTTTTAATTAATTTTATTAACAAAGGTATATTTGCGGAGAAAAAATTTTGGGCAGGTTACCTGTTCCTTCCAAAAAAGTAGATGATAATTAGATAGAAACCCAATTAAACAATTTTTATGGCCTTTCCTGAGTAGTGTTACATGATTGTATAGAATAGAAGATTCAAAAATACTCATTAATGGGGAAGATTAGCCTTGAAATGAGGGTAAAAATTATAGAACTAGACAGAAAAGGGCTAAGCCAAGTTAAAATCTCTAAAGAGCTAAAGATTGCTCGCAGTACTGTCCAGTACAACCTAAATAAAAAAATGAAACATTCTTCAATGGAAGATAGACCCAGATCTGGTCGTCCCAAAAAGATATCCGAAGCAGACAAAAGAAATCTTGTTAACATACAAAAGCAAAACCCCTCTTACTCAGTCAGACAAGTCTATAGCAAATGGAGCATGGCAGACAAGGTAAGTTTATCTTCTGCCAAGAAGATTCTGTTCAAGTATGGTTTGAAAAGTGACTTAGCGAAGGTGAAACCATTGACTAAATCGGAAAATCGAAAAAAATAACTATATTAATTTTTTTTTGATGAAGGCTATCTTTAAATTCCATTGTAAACATGCCGTATATGTGTGACCGTATGTGTGTATGTTAACACAAAGTATATAGATAAGAAATATACATGAAGATAAAGAAGTGTAAAATGTACAAGCTGTCAACATCAGTGGTGATTTGAATTTATCTAATAATATGCAAATCTTTTTTAATATATTACCTAGGATTGTATCGCTATTTATACTCTACGGTTATCTAATATTTAAGGAATACGATAATTAGCCTAATTTTTAATAACTTCTAAAGTCAATTGTTGCCTTGAAAACATTAATAGAGAATACTACCTGGCTAAAGAGTTGTCTGTCAGCTTGCAGTTTAACCTTGACAACTTCAAATGGATTGATTAAAAATCCTTCAGTTAAACCAGAACACAATCCAGCTAGAGCAAAGGTCTGAAATTCGAGAAGTGAATAGAAAAATTCATTTATTTCTTGTTTAGAGAGTATGTTTTAATAGATTTTGTCTAATAGACGACAAACCACAGGAGTTGGTGAGCTTGCTCCAAAAAGGAAAAGACTTTTGTACTGTTCAAAAGTAAAGAATTTTACTGCTCTCTTTGGCGTCTCAGCCAAAATCGGGGGCAGAAGGCCTTTGTAGAACGACAGTGCTCTATAATATTAAAAGGATTTTGTTTTCTCAGTAGGACATAATTTTGTATATGATTGAAATTATTACCCTTCTTGTCGGTACATTTTCTTGAAGCAATCTACTATAGACTTGTACCGGTTTGGATCATCGGGTCCTTTTTGTATTTGGAAGCGAGTTTTAACAAGATCTAATGGATGCATTAAACAAACTTCAACGAAGCCTGAAAATAAATAAAACACGTTTCATGTTTGTTTAATAGACACAGAATCACTTAATACCAAATTTTCTTCCGTAACGAAACAACATTTAACTACACCCAATTGTCGTTCTATACAACTCACCCGCTGATCCTCCAGAAGCAATTTGCATTAGTGCTAAAGTTCCTAAACTTCTTTGTTTCTGTATATCAGTCATTCTGTATATTTGTTTTACTTGTTCTTTTATTAACAAAAAGATTGATATGAAAATACAATTGCTTGGTAAGTTTTGAAATACACGTGATATATTCAAGTTATTTTCGTATTTTTTTGTTTACTTAGGGAAAGAGAGATTAAAAAATTGGGAAAAGCATAAATTTTTTTGTGCCAATAATTAAAAATAAATATTATGAAAAAAATCATCTGGTTAACAAGAAGTACTAGATAAAATAACGCAAGAAGTGAGTGAGGAATTTTCAACAGGCTAAAAAGAAACGTCCTTCACCTTATTGATGTTCGTTGAATATTCATAAGGATACGACGCTGGGCATGGTAGAAGGTAAATTTTTATTCTCTAACATTATCGTGAGTGAATTCTTTATAAAAATCGTATAAGAAAATGTAACAAGAAATATGTTAACGTAGAAGCAAATGTCAAGTATTAACTAATTTTTAAATGATCTTTTCATTTCTTAAACAATTTTAGGAAAATAGAAATTTACTATCCACAATAGGCCTTTCTTTAACATTACTTCATTGCCTTGTTTTAGCAAGTAAAAGTATTTAATAAAGGTATTTTTAAAGAGCATATTTCAATGAATATATGAAGATTTTTACACAGATAATAATAACAAAAATTAAGAAAAATAAGGATAAAAACCTATTATGATATGATATATGTTGTAAAGCTATATATATTGCAAAAACCAGAATACCTCGGTTAGAATAAGATGAAAAGATATATTGTATCCGTAACTTTTATTGAAAAACATTTGAAAAGTTGCTATTGCTCAGGCTAACAGTAGCCACAATCTACTATTTCAATGGAAAGCTGTTTATTAAAGTACATGCAAGATTAATTTCTTAATAAATTCTTCATAAATATTGGTCAATTAGTTTCTTATTTCAAATAAGAACGAGAAATAGAAGGCATCCAGAACTTTTAAATATCTTTAATTATTTAATAATATTGAGTCTAATAACAACCGAGAGGGAAAAAGACACCTTTCTTGTCTCTCTCCATGCCTTTCCTCTTCTCTCTTTATAACGTCGTTAGGCAGTTAGTAATTAATGGTAGGTCTGCAGGATACACACAATATTTGCTTTCTTTTCCTTTTCGATATGTGGATGAGGTGAAAGGGGAAAGGAACAACCTTGATTATATTGAAAAAATAGTATGAAATAATTTTTTGACGGGTACTTTACAATCGCGTCTAATATCTAAGTACTTATATTGGAATACAGGTATTAATATACTAAAAGCTTTTTGACTTGTTTGTTTTATTAGTTTGACTGAATTTGTTAAACAGACAACAGTATCGACGTATTCATTGAACATTTTAGTACATATACCTTTCAAATAAATAATATCCATGTACGGTTAAATAAAAAATAAAACAACTTTCAGAAGGAAAAGACTAGGAACTGTGATGTTTTTATAGAGCAATACGAAATAATATCCGGTTAGAACAGAAGAGAAGAATTCACCTGATGGGTGAGAAGAACTATATATCTGTCTATGGCTATACTGAACAAACTACCTTTGTCAAACGCTTCTAGTTTCATAATTCATCAAAGAATTTTGACTTATTATAATCTAGATACCTAAATACTAGTTTCTATATACACATTTATGCTAGCATCATTAATGCCATTGATTTTTCTTGCCGAGTATACTAATAGTAACACAAAACTGAATATTTCTCAGTTGTTATAATTATCTAATTAATTGTTTTAGAAGTTTTTCTAAAATGTATTCTGCTTTCTAAAGTTTAATTCTAATCTTACAGAAAAAGTCATTGTCGCTAGATTTTATGGACGCCATTAGTGACTTAGGCGTCACCCTTCACTTGTTCTTTTGCCAACTTGGAACAGCTGGTATATATTTTAGGAAACTATTTTGACGTTGTTGTAAAATCCCTTGGCATTATCGTGTCTTTTATACGTGTTATCCCCAAGCAGTTTTCTTAGATTATTTTTAGTTTCAGTTCGCATCAATGTTAATTTTATCCTTCACTTGTCTTTTAAATTGCGTCACAGCGATAACCATCCGTAATTTACCATTATTTTTTAATATAATAAAAAAGAAGAATTAAAAGAGAAGCAGAGTTAAAATACCATATGAATATCATATGTGTTAATAACTAAACGCAAAAATGGACTTAATTTATACTTTATCAACAGCTATTTAATACTATAGTTTTGTTTATTATTACAAATACATTAACAAACATACCAAATAACTGTTTCGCTCGACTACAGATGTTAATTCCTGAATTGAACGTTGTTAAGGCAACGTCCTGAATCGGAAATATGCTGATCAATGCCTAAATGTTGTTTTACTAAAAATATTGATTGTCGTCTACTTGATTCATCTCTTGTTTTTTTATTTACACAAAGCGAAATGGGGTTAGAGGCGAAAGTTAAATTGCAATCAACAGTATAAAGCATTCTTGTTTACATAATCCTAAACCCACTAATGTTATTGAATTAATTTATGATCATATTTTTTTCAATATTAAAAACAAAAGATGATCTAGAATCAGTGTCGAAAGGATTTAAGGACTTTTCTTCAAGCACATTTCGATTTCTTTCAATTTTAGAGAGTCGACCATGAACTGATTTTAATGCTCTTTTTTGAATAGTCCTTCTTTTTGTGCTTGTTGTTGTTGGTTTTTCGATATAGAAAGGGAACTATATATAAAAAGTATTTTCTATTAAATTTTTTACAGCTGTATTCATATGTGCTATTTCATTATTTTAAATAAATCAACTGTATGATGATATAACGCCATCTGTTAGCTAAACTATATACCCTTTTACTATCGTTCTATCTCAATTTTTCGTTTAACAAGCCGTTGTGAATTGTTTAAAAACCCTCTTTCAAGACGATATAAGTATATTTGGATGATTTTGTAAAGGGTACAGAGTGAGGTTGGGAATAAATTAGCACTCTATTATACTTATATTGTCATCCTCAACCTAATCTCCTCCAAAGCTCTCTTACTTTATGTATCTCTTATATATTTTACTCAATTCTTTCTGAAAATTTTTTTATAGCGACCACACCAGTTCTCATCTTTTTCGGCTTCGTAGCGTTATTCTTTATTCTACTGGTGATCTTCTTTCTATGTTTAAATAAGAAACTCTGCTTTAAAAATTGCGGAGGATTTCCATGCCTTGAAGATAGAGCTGCTGAGAAGGAGAGTCTGTTAGGTGAGTAAAATATTTCTATTTATTTTATATATAAGAGTGTAGTTTAGTTTATAAATTTTCATAAGAATATCAGCTGCACAAAAATATTAGCTGAAATTACTTCCAAGAATTTAGGTCGAATGTTGAATCATTAAATGACTATATATACAAATTTACTGAGAACACCTGTCTAATTAAGAAGAAAAGTAGTGGAGGTAACAAAAAGAAAAAAAGAACTGTAGACTTTTAATAGATTAATTGATTAAGAAATTGCACAAGCATTCTTCTATTTTATATTATTCTCTCCTTTCTTTCATTGTCAAGATTTATCTGTGTTCTTTTGCACCTATTTTAAATTTAACTTTTCTTTTGCTATGCCAATCCCAAGTGTATCCTCTTTTTTTTATATTTAGATTGTATTTAAGAATTCTCTTTGAGTCGCTATGAATTTTACCCTGATTCTTTAGTAAACTAGATACAATAGAAGCAATATTGTTTTTCAAGTTATTTTATAGTACAAAGCCTATTTTACTCTTTGCAATATGAAATTATAAAGGGATAAATAATAGAAATACTTCAGATGGCTCTAGTGATTGACATAAACAAACAGCCTTTTTTCAAATGTAATCTGGTTGTATTACAGAAATATTAATCGAATTTGTATTATTTATCAAAATAAATAGTTATTAGATAACTTGAGCTGGGATTAGGCCAATATTTATTGTCGAACAGAGGCGATAACTGAGAAAAAAAAGCCACCGACTAGGCCTATAAAATTCAATTACTCTCCTAAACGCCATCTGATGGCCGAGTTTTTCACATTGATCAGTCAATTTCTGTATCGTGCCCAGTCAACTTTGGCTCTTGTTGTTTTGAAAGATCGATAATAGAAGATCTAATAATTTTCTAATGGCATATCCGATCTAGATTATGGCATTAGCAAAAATGATAAATTCGGATAAAGAATATTCAGTAACCGATATATTCAGCTCATGCTGGAAAAACTGTTTAAAAAAGAAGACTAAGGAATACGAGAACATTGAAGGAGTTAATTTAAACGGTGGGGAAAAAAATTCAGGAGATAATAATAAGGCTTTCGATAGTAGAGAGAATCGTGAGTAATGTTTTTTCTTCGGAGAAAGATAAATGAAACAAATGTAATAGAATAAGAGAATAGAATATTAGAAAAAGAAAGTAACAGTCGCTTAGGAAATTGTTGAAAACACCATCAATTATATTTAGGATGCAAGTCTTGTATAAGATGCGTCTTTAGAGAATATTTTTGACTATTTCTACCCGTAGAAAAAAGATAATGACCTTGCCTCTGCCTCTTCACTTTTCGTTCTTTAGTACCTCATTTTTTTATCATAAAATAAATAATACAGTATTTTGTTTATAATACTCGTATAATTTATAATTAGAGTATTATTAATTTTTATCTAATAGTGTACTTATTCTTCTAAGTCTATTATTTATATCTTAATTTCATTCTAAAGATAAGTAATTTAATAAATAATTGAAGTGAAATATTAGAAGCATTGACATAATTCAATTTTTCTTTTTTAAACTCCTGCCTATTTTTTTCTTATTAATCAATTGATATCTTTATAAAAAAAATGATGAACTAAAAAATAATGGTATTAGGTTAATCGCAAACTTGTCGTAATATTTACAAAAAATTGTTTAATTCGAATTGAAAACTTAGGCAATTACCTTTTGTAGAGGCAAATTGATTCTCACCATAAATTATTTAGGTATTATTGATAATCAAAAATATTACTATTTACTAGTAGATATCCTTGCGAAAAATTCCTTTCCTTCTAAAACTGAGGCCTATTATAGATGAGAAGAATACTTAATGCTTTTCTCGATAAATATAATATAGTTGTGATAAATTATACTAACAATATCAAATAGATAACCGTTTGTATGTATATACATATATACTGAATACAAAAGTATGAATGGAAATAGAGTGCAATTTGCTATAAATTTCTTTAATTCGCAGTTTGAAAATATTTACCAAAAATTTTAACATAGAATTCCTTGCTTGTGACAGACTTAAAGGTCGTAAAAATATCGATTGCTGCTACTGTTAAGCTTTATGTATTATGTATTATATGCTTATAAACATCAGGACTAGGAAAAATATACTGAGGTTTTTGTTTTTGCTGGAAAATTAAAAGAAAAAGAAACAAGCAATCTCCGTTCAAATATGCTAAACTTTAAACATATATAGTTATTTTATGAGCACTTGTCATTTAATTATTATTATATATATACATATATATGTATACATATATTTATATATTGTATATATAGTGATATATTACAAGTATCTAAACATCCAAAAGCAATTATACAATTGATAGATGTAAGGTTATTTTTATAGGTTTAGAAATGTTGATTTAATATTAAACAATCACTCTCCCTCTCTATGTCTCTCTGTTTCTTTCCTTATTGAAATATTCCTCTTAACAAGTGCTGTCTTCTCTTCAAATGGCCTAGTTTGCTCTAAATTCTGATGGTGTTAAAATAATATCTATTGTGTTTCATGATCTAGATTCATTGAATGTTTTATTTAGAAAAATTCATGAGTATTCGTGCTTATAAATTTATCGATTTGAAAATATGTTGAAAGTTTAATGGAGAGATTCTTACACATTTTTATCAAAGTTATATTGTAACTGCAATAAAGCAGACTATACAGTGAGGATTGTAGAAGGATAGAGTGAGGATAATAATGATTTGAATAATTTCTACTTAAGATTTGTCTAATATATCTTAAAAACCAAATTAGAAGTCTATTTAACAGAGGAGAAAATTGTTGAAATAAGTCTCGTGGAAATAATTACTCGACTATCATAATTCTAACAGCGTAATGACCACTTCATCCCAGCAATGTTTTGCATTTTAATTTACTTGTTGAATACCACTAGAGAGTTTAATTAATCGATTTTTATTGTATGTTTGTAAGTCATTAGCTTATATTGATAGACACGAGTACGCTGAAACATAGAGCTTAGTATGACTATTTTCTAATAAATAATCAAGACTAGCGAGGGTTTATGAATTCCTAATAAAGATATTGTACTTGTAAAGAATGAGAAAGACTATCAATTCTTATCTTCATTCCAAATATTTCAAAGTGACAAAGTACTTGTTAATAATGGAATAAATTAAATTCTTTCTCGCCAAATATAAAGAGGATATTTATTCTATATACTAAACTAGTATAATATTGTTAGAATTCTAATAATAAATGATAAAAATAAATTAATTGTCTCATTTCTTTTTAAAAGAGAAATTTATTCACATTATTTGATGTTATTCATCATCAAATGCATCACGACCATACCTCGGGTTATAGATCATGGAAATATTCAACTTATCAATAATTTTTATTTGTAATTTTACCCATTTTTTCTCTATTTGCCTGCAATATTTAACAATGTTAAAATATCTCTTCTAACAAAGGCCTCAAATATTTTATTTTATCGCTTTTACGTTTGAAAGTAGAATTTTAGACTAAATCCTACGAAGAGGATTCATAGGAATCTCCTATTCATCCTGACATTTACAGGTTGCACCGAAAACAAAAAAAAGTTTGGACTATTGATTACTTGTGGCAGTATATACAGCGTTTCTCTGTGTTAAACTACACAGTTAGAGAGAAACATAAAAAAATGTAAAGTGCATTAGTAAAAACAAAGTTATGTATTATAGGCCTGCCGCTACTTTTTACAGCTGCAACGTAGATATATTTTACGTTTTATATTCCAGATTTAGTATTCCTTTTACATTTTTGCACTTGACAAGGGTTCTCATACTTCGTCAATGATTTTCACTAAGCGAAAAAAAAAGCCATAAACGTTTCATTAAATCTCTGATATTATATTTAATTTATTTGAAAATCTCTTACATGTAACGTCCAGGGTAGCATCCATTAATGAATCTAGGGAATAGAAAACATTTTCACATAAGAACGCAAAGGAGAATAAATACCTAATATAAACATACCTTAAACAAGAATATTTAATCAGGGTGTTAGAAGGATTTAAGATACTTTTTTTTATATTATTATATTAATATTCGGTATATTATACAATATGTAAAGAGTGTACAAACAGAATATATACAGTATCTATAAAAGTGATATTATAAGAAAAAACTATTTAATTCTTTTCATATACATCTAAGATTCTTGTGCGTGAATACCTACATAAACATAAAGCCCTTTGTTTGTTCTGCTCTGGCGCAAAGTTTTCGTAAAAGTTGATTTATATTTCTATAAATAGTACACATAAGTTAACTAACCAAATTTTGCTTTTCTTTTCTCTTTTGAGAAGACAAAGCTTATATCTCTAATCAGACATTCGTAAAAAAAGACGTCATTTTCAATTTAATTATTGAGATCTTTTATTAAGAAATAGGCTAGATTCATTATCAAAATAATTAGAGTGCGAGATTCTCTTTTTTCATCCTATTTTAATTTTCCTCTTCTTTTGGTAGTACCATCTGATGCTCTATTTAATGTAAATACTGATAAATAGAAAAAAGAGGGCTATCGGAAAATCATGTTTACAAGTGTACTCTCATACAAACGTATATAATAACCATATATGTAATAGTATTTCTTTTTCTCTCTCTCTTTCTATCTATCTATCTATCTATCTTTTCTCACTCCCTTTTTTCCTCCCCCTCCCTTTATCATTTGTAATACATGCAGAATTGATAATGCATATTGTAATTATTATTTAATGAATTTACTTCCATACTGCTTTTATCTTCCTATGTGACTGTTTAGTAAACTAGTTTTATAATGGATAATGTTACAGGACAATTATATTAAGGATATGAAAGATTACGATTTATTAAATAATTTTGATGATAGTTAATAAAGCAGAGACTTTTAATTGAATAATAGGAATAGCAGTTTATCAACCAATTTTTTGAATGTATATTAAAAAGAGAAAGAGCAGTTGATAAAATTTTATACAAGACACCAAAAAAAAAGACTATAATTTTTGGTTTTACAATAAATTACTTATTACTGTTATTTTGAGTAATGATATGCTGAAGATCTTATCTTTGAACTTTTTTCTTCTTTGCCCAGCGTTTCCCTTTCATTATTTTGCCTCTAAGCAACAAGAAAATTGCAGTGTATATTTTATGCTAGTCACTTTTAATATACATAATATTAACTATATGAAAGATTTCTATAGACAGCATATGCCTTACTTGGCGTAAAATTATTATTGAATTTAACAGTCTAGTTTCAAACACATCTGTGAAAAATATTACGTATTCAATTAACTTTTATTTTTATTTCGCTATATACAGTATCTATATATATCCGTATATGTATTAGTATGTATATGTATACGTTATTTTTGACAGTTATTGTTTATATCCGCTATCAATATATCCCGTATTTAGCTATTTTAAATTTATTTCAACCGGAAGAGAAATTACGTCAATGTAACATATTTGCCATCCTTTCAACTTTTAGACTGAATCATGAATCCAAAAAGAACTGAGACTTTTTTTTAAAAAAAAAAAGAAAAACTTATTTAATCAGTGAGGGATAAACATTCGCTCTTTGATTTAGTATATAGATGTAGTATTTACAAACGCACAAGTACATATATTTAATAAGTCATAAAAATCTTTGATGACTCTGAATATGTAGAATTTTTGAATCTTATTAGTCTATATACAGTATATATAGTTTAGCAAGACCTCCAATAATAATAGAAAATATTAATTGCTTATTAAATCCTGTCTGATATATGTTGTATATAAAAATTAGTAGTGTAATGAGTCTTCTCAAGTATACAAGAGTTTTTTCTTCTTTCCCACTATGCTAACAAAAAGGGATGAATACAGCTTTTAAAGTAGGCCTAGACAAATTATATTAGTCCACCACATTGACTTTTTCACTTGTAGTAGAGCTTAGAGAAAACTTTTCGACGAATAAAACTGGCCCCTCCAGACGTGACTTATTTCCTCATAATTTCTTTTGCAGTATTGCTAATAAATTCATGATTGCTTTAGTTTATTTGTAAAAATAAAAACAAGCTCCAATTTTATCGTAAATCCTAAAATTAAATTCTTTATATTTCTTAGTTAAGCAGCATTTCCCTGACTAAGAAAACTATTTAAGTATTCAGGTCATATTTATACTTGATTATGCATAACTCAAGAACATATTATACTATAATATTTTATACTGTATATTTTAAAATACGCTAAAAGTATACTAATAAGAGATGTTTCACTCCATCCAATATCAACATTCCGTGTAAGCAATTTTATACTTTTTACAGTTAATTAGGAAAAATATACTAAAAAGAAATATCAAAAGTATTAATTATTAATTAAGGAGAATACTTTCCTATGTGTTGTTCTCTTTATATCTTTTTGTCTTTTCCTTTTCCCTTTAAATGGTTCATTATTTGGAGATTGCGTCTTATATATCTATACCTATAGAAATAAATATAATTAAAATAAGAGGATTACGTTAAAAGATTGTACAGTTTTATAAATTGCAAGCTAATTAGTTCAAGATTATGCTAAAATTTTTCACTTTTCTTCAACCTATTAACGGTCGTTTTGATATGAATAATTGATGTAGGAAAAGCATCTCTTTATCTCCTTATATGCTACCATTTGTTATATTCTGTTCACTTTGAAACAGGAGACCAAAACAGATATAAAATTATTATTGGCTATAATTTAGTAGCGTTTCTAAGATAGAATAATTGGCTTTTATAAGCTCCACTCAATAGACTCTTATTAAGCGTTCTTCTGGAACAATTTTTTCGTGGTATATACTTATGTATGTCAACGATTCGTTCTGGTGATTGCGTCTATTCTGAGGCACTATACTATCAAGAGAAGACATAAGTGATTTATGCAGTTGGGAATGCACCATAGAAACTAATTCTAGCACATGTAGTAGTTACTATCATTATTTCTGTCCCATTTTTCTTTGTAATATAAATTATATATGTTGACAATTTGTTGTCATTTTTACAAAAAATTAATTTTAATTAACAAAAAACCTTTTGTATATTTTTAGAAGCCTCATTTGGTGAAGAAGCTCGTGGCTCTAGTGGTGATGAATCTGACGAAGACGTCCGACAGCGGTTTATAGAGGTATTGTCAATAATTTCAACATTCTATTGTATAATTATCTTAAATGCCATACATATTGATTCCAATTTTGTACAATTTATTGACAAATAGCTTAAAAGATCATCGTCCGTAAGAGCAAGCGGTCAATCCGTTTTGTGTAAGAAGAGTGCGAACGATCAAACTAAGGAAGGACAAGGTAAAGGCTTGATAATTTTATTTAATTATATATTTTGGAGTCAGGATGCACAAAGTGTCGAAAATCCACACAAAGTTAACTAGTTGTTTATAGTTTGATGCCATAGTGTTATTTTTCATTAACTTAAGGATTAGGCTGATTAGTCACGGTACAACTATACCTCTATCTTGCTATGTGGCAAACTAAGCTTATTTTCTACTATTGCTTGAGGATTCAGATACATCCCTAATGATACCTCGTGTAGAGAGAAAGATATATTGTTTATAAAGATATTTTTAAAGAGTCATATAAAAATTTTATCAAATTAAAAAAAAGTTTGAGTCTGATAAGATTTAATAGCTAACATTATTCATACGATTAAAAAACGACATATTACAGTTGGAATTAATTATTTATAATTAAAGTTAATTATAAAAATCGTTATTCTTTTTATAGACGAACCAGATCATCATTCTATCCCAAAGTCAAACGATTCTTCAAATAAAGACTCATCAATTCTGGCAAAGAAAGATTCAGCATCAACAAGGTCAAGAGAATAAATCCTCCTTTTCTCTCACTCAATACATTGCATAGTTCATAGACTAATTTCTTCCCTTTTTTAATTTTTATAGATCTTCTAAAGTAGAATCAAATGAGTATGATAATTACGGTTACAGTACAGAAAAAGACGTAGATATTGAGTCGAAAGTATCCAGCAACGAGGAGAATATGTCCATTGAAGGAATCGACCATGAAGTACATTTTGCCATGTCATTTATTTTTAACGTTATTCTATTACTGATTGCTTTACAGCTTGGACAAAGTGCTGATGAAACTATAGAAGACGAACATGAACGTCAAATTATTTCTAGATGTGGGCAAATAAATGCCACTTTCAGTTAGTAATTACAGCTTTTATTCTTTGTATTTTCTAACTTTTTTATACTTAATTAGTCTTTGAAGAAGATAAGAAGAGAGTTTCCGTTACTATTCATAATGCTCGAGATATTCCAACGAAAGAAAGGGGAGGTATGTCCTTCACTGTCGTTCTATTTGCATTATATACCTTATACAGCATATTTATTGGAAATTTTTATTAATGTTTTATTGTAAAGCAATAATCTCATAAATGAATTTCATCTCTTAGGAGCCAATAATACTCAAGTTCGCTTACTCCTCCTACCCGTTAAGAAGGGCAAATGTAAAACAAAAATTAAGGAAGGTGAAAATCCAGAATTCGAAGAGACGTTCAATTTTAAAATGACTGCTGGTAACTATCTATTTATAGAAAGTATCAATACATCATAACTTATTATATATCTTTTTATTTACTTTAGACAATTTAGCAACACATGCCATAAGAGTTAGGTTGTATGGTTGTGAGAGGATGAGGAGAGAACGAATGATTGGTGAAAGTGCAATTGGTTTAGGTCATCTCAAGGAAGTTAAAAATAACTCGAAGACACAAACGATAACACTGGAACCAAGAATGAATATAAACGTAAAACAATATTAATTGCATTTTCTGCCTCAACAATCCAATAATTAAATTTTCTCCAGCCCCATATACTTTTATATAGTATACCTTATATAATCCTATAAATCACCATGAAAAACCTTAAATTTTATTAATCTAATTGAATTTGTCTCAAAAATATTTAATAGTGCTTAATTCATAATTTATTGATAGATTAATTCAATTTAAAATAATTACTAATCACGCAGACTGAAGACGGCTATGATGTCGGTTCATTGTCATTAAGCGATAGTGCATCCTCAACTCAATCGCTTCAACATGGTGGAATGCCTGAACTTCTTTTAGGATTAGCTTATAATGAAACGACTGGCAGATTGAGTGTTGAAGCCGTTAAAGGTAAATAAGAAATGTTTCTACTTCCCTTCCTTAAAATAATTTTATATCCCGTTTATCTTCCATAAAAGGTTTAATAACTAATTGATGAAATACTAATTTAATTAAAAGATAGGGTATTTACCAAAAGTGCAATGGAATATTGTTTCGTAATAAAAAAACTAAGAATAGATAAAACTATAAAACAAATTTCTACGAAGAAATTGCTTTTTCTATTGCGTAAATTAGGGACGTGTCTTTTTCTTTGTTAGCAATAAATATATTACAAGAAGCAATTAATCTTTCTTTTTATGTAACTAGAAGTTTTTACTTCTATTGTTCCATTCAACGGTTTAATTGATAGATACATAATGACACTTGATGTACAAACGAGTTCTATATCACTATGTCTATTTGTAGATAGATAAATACACATACGTAAGTATGTGTTTACAAAGGTGTGTAAGTGTTGGTAAATCTGATTATATTGATTTTTTTTTCTATTTCTTTTCCAATAGGATCAAATTTTAGAAATCTTGCAAGCCATCGACCTCCAGATACTTATGTTAAATTTTCCCTGATGTCGCCTACGGGCCGAGAAATGTCACGCTCCAAAACTACTGTTAGACGAGGCCAACCGAATCCTTTATTCAAAGAAACTTTCATGTTCCAAGTTCCACTTTTTCAACTTCAGGAAGTAACGTTAATGGTTTCCGTGTATAATAAAAGGACAATGAAAAGGAAGGACATGATCGGCTGGTTTAGTTTAGGTAAGTGGAAAAGAAAACTGTTACTATAAACTATATTCTTAGCTAGTTGACTGTGCAAAGAGAACGTTTCTTAGCAAACCCTCTTGGCTTTTATTGCTGATCGAAACGTCTTTATACAAATGAAGTTAACGTAGCCACCAAACTCCAATTTTATAAATCATCGATGTTTTTTCAGGTTTAAACAATTTAGGGGAAGAAGAACTTTCCCACTGGAATGATATGGGAGAGTCAAAAGGAGAACAAGTTTGCAGATGGCACGTACTATCTCAAACCTAATCCAACAGTATATTCGTTAGAGATTACTAAATTTATTCAAAAAGAAAGGAAAAAAAAATATTAAACTTCTCTGCATTAACCTGTTCAACCTGTGATAAAATAAAGAAGAATTTAGTCTTAATATAATATCCATGCTATTAATCTGGAAACTGCATGTTTGTAAAACATTTTTAAAAAATAAAAATTTCTTGACCTTATTTCTCCATTCAATCTTTTAACTGTCATGTGTCTTTTATTTAAAATATTTATTTATATACTAATTAATATTATAAAAAAAGTTTGTTAATTATTTTTGTTGTGATGTAATCGACAAACAAAAGATTAAAAAATGAAGCTGGTTTTTATGCGTTTAATTTTAGATACTTTTTAACACTGCAGCTAGTCATGTTGTATTTTTCCTCTTGTTCGAAACTAATACATACAAGACATTCTATTTTCTTCAGAAGCAGTCTAAGTCAAATATTATACTGTATATTATACTGTAGTACATAATTTTATTAATATCATTCACCGACAGTACACAAAAGTGTATTTATACATTTTATTAATAATACTAATTGGTGTAAATTTAACCGGAAGTCCGGTTGATAATTGAAAAGATTGAACATCATTTTTTTATTTTTAAGTAATTTATCGATTGTTTTTTACATTTTAATCAATTTTTAAGTAGCGACAAAATAAAAACTACGATAGATATGAGGAGTATATCAAAATGATAATCGTAATAATACAATAGCATCTTTCATTCAATAAAATCGTGTATAGAAATAGTTGTAATACTCTAAATATGTAATTTACTGTTATCGGTATTCATTATTATTAATGATAATTATTCAATAATTACTTACTTGCTTTAATATTAGAATATTAGTTACTTTTATATCATTCTACTACCGAAGGAAACAATTTAAAGTGGTTACATTAAATACAAATGACTTTAATTAATAGTCTTAATGCGTATGTTAAAAATAAATACGGATTACTTTTTAGTTAATCTTTTTCATTACCAGCTTAGCTAGTAAACAGATGGCGCTACCTTAAATACCATTTTAAACGACCGAAAATATTCGCACTACAGCATTAAAGAAATGGTCTAAGCTTTAGCCAAGCATATCGAATTTTATAGGGAATTATAATCTTATTAAAAGTGAAGGTGTTTCCTAAAGAAAACTTGTCAAAAAACATATAAATATACGAATACAATATTTGTGATAATTGACGGTAGCTGGCGCTAAATTAGTTTTAAAAAATGATACTAACTTCTTATTTCCTAATTAAAGAAATTTGGGTGTGTTCACAACCACCTACGTTGCTTTTTTAATGATAAAACAACATATTAAAAGCTAACTGGAGATAAATGAATAGATTAGAATGTCCAACTTAACCTGACACCCACTGGATCGTACCGAAATGATATAGGCTCGCCCACTGTAGGCTAAAATACTAAAGTCTTCAGAACAAAGTTTGGCGCTCTATTGAGCAGATTAACAATGCAAAATGGATAATCCGAATTTTCTGGATAGAAAAAGTTAATCTTGCACAAAGGAATAATATGTCCAACGTGAAAGTAGCTTTGAGAATCCGTCCATCGAATAAACGGTATGAATAATAATTATTATTATAAAATAAACGGATAATTGCAAGGGATTAATCCTCATGTCGACAATCCAGTGAACGAAGGGACGCCTCGAAAATAGTGTTAAGAGTGGAAAATTCTTCTATTACTCTAATAAACCCAAAGGTACGAAAATTGTATGAATCATTTATGAAGCGTAAAACTATACAAGAGATTCTAGTAAAATTTTAATAAATGAAATATTCTTAATCGTTACGTCAAAAGCTATTTTGTCAATTCATTGAATTATTGATTAAAAAAGAATTTCCCAATCGATTCTTTACCAGTTTGTCTTCTTTATTTTTTATTTGTTCAAAAGGATTAGCTGTTTTGTTAATTAGGTTATGGTGTAATTCGATATTGACCCTCTTTTTTTTCAGAATATAATAGGCTTTATTATGTAGTTTATTCTTTTTAACTTAATCTATTTTCCCTAGTAATTTGTTATTAATTTGTCCTCTATCATTCAACAGTTGCAGATTCCTAATACATACGGCGATAGCCGAGATCGAGAAAAGAAATTTACATTCGATTTTGTGTACGCTCCAGAGGAATGTTCCTATAGGCCTAATGACACTCAGGAAGAGGTAACAATTTTTTTTCTCAAACATGTTTAATATTAACTTAGTATTTCTTACATATTTCTTACAAAAAACTAAGAATACTCGATTTCATATAAATTTTAAGTGACTAGAGCGCTAGAGTTAATCCACCTTTTACGTAATAGGTAAAAGTATATTCGATTAATATTATTGTTGTATTAAGTAAAAAGATTATACTAAAAGTATAAATATAAATATATCAGGTATAAGGTAAAGAATAAAAACGAAACTGATTATTTGACGTTTTATAATTAACAAAATGTTGAAAGTTTACTTGCCTAAACGTATATAACTAAAAAAAAATCTAGGCTATTTCGATTAAAAGGATTAAAGAATTGATGACAGTATGCGTAACTTGCATTGATACTGAAAATTTTTTTGTACTAATACTCAAGTCAATTATCACTCTTAAGAGTTATGTACTACTGAACCAGATGCCAATACTCGATGTGCTGATAATCTATTTATCTCTTTCTCTCTCTCTCTCTCTTTCTCTCTCTCTCTCTCTCTCTCTCTCTCTCTGTGTGTCTCTTCTGTCATCCACTTCTCTCTATTAATTATTACTGAATGGAACAGAGTTTAATGCAATTAAATAGAGAGTAATTTTTTTTCAATAATTCCTATTACTTACTGTATATGAAATCTATGTTATTTATGTAATATCATTTAGTAGTTACAAGTACGTGATATTATTCACGTATAGTAGAATTGGTAGGATTAAGCGTATCAAGCAATAAGAAGATGATAAATTATTTTGAAAAACAAAAACTTCTCGTGCTCAGCAAATCATTTAAAATTCTATATAAATAATATAAAGCAAGGTAGAAAAGTTTCTTTTTATGTATCATCTTCCTTTTATTTTTCAAGAAAGAAAAGAAACAATTAATCATTAACTCTTGAGCATCTTAAAAATTAATAATTAGATACAACTACAATACCAATATATCTCTAAAATTTATATATAGAATGTTAATGTTTATTCTAAAAAAAAACACCTCTTTTATCACATCTTCGCCTTCTTATGTAACAGATTTTATAGGCTTTATTAATAATTTTGAGTATATTTTTCTTTTGTATATTTACGATATCGCTACAACAGGTACTTAACGTTTTATCAATCAGGTGGCCATATTCCCTTTGATAGCAAGTCCACCTACGAATTATTTGCATCAACATAGATTTATTACTTTTTCTTTTATTTCCTTTCAAAGAAATTTTCTAAAATAGTTTTAAGAAAATATATACTTAATCACTAAAGCTTGTGTAAAAGGTCAAATGTTAGAACCAAATGTGTGGTCATGTAAGTCAACAGTCCCCTGGAAAGCGTAATAAAAATAAAAGAATCTATTTTAATATTTAACTGTGAAATTGTGGTGTTGTTTAGTTGTTTCATATTTGAACAAACTTATTTTAAAACATATCTGTATACAGTATACTGTATATACTTTATATATATTATGATTTACAGTGCAACTGTACACGTACACTGAATAGTACTTGTACATTTCTTTTAATAGTAGTATTTTCCCTTTGATTAAAGTGTTTTGTCCAAAACGGAAATGGCATTTAAAAAAGAAAATAAGCCGTTAATCTATCTAGAAAAAGAAAAACAATTATTATTTTTTCGTGGTAGAATATTAGGCCTTAATTTGAATTGAAATTTATTCTAGACGATCAAATACATGCTATATGTCCATATATTGTAATTAAATGTATTACAAAAAGTTCGACGGAGTAGATAAGTTGATTAAAATTTTGCGTTCAACGCTTTTAAATCAATTTATATAGCTTATAGTGTTTTTGTACAAATTAATCTCTGAAAAAGTTATACGCAATAGGCTTAATAATTAATTTTCTATTCTAACGTTTTTCTTTAATTGTCGGCAATAAAAACTCTACTATTCCTTAAGCGTTTGGTCAATGACCCCTACGACGATCATAAATAAAGATTTTTTTTTCAAATCAAAACTACTTAGTTATAATAGAATTAGAGAATAATAAGCCTACTTGTTGATTAGAAAGCCGTAAAATTCCAATATTTAGAACGAAATCTCTCAATTCAGAAGATTAATTATAAAATAAAATAACTTGCTATTTTTTAAAGTATCAAATGTAAAAAGAAAATTTCTATTGATTAATAATCGATTTTTGTTCCCAAATGATGTAATAGGATTATATGTTAATCTCTTTACTATAATTGACCCAGGTTTTACTTCTCTGTAAACTAAATTGATACCAGTGTATTTCATCTGAGTGTTATGCTTTCTTATATATCTCTCTAAATTAAATACACGTGTGGTTGATTGCAGTTGTTCAACCTGACACGTGCTGTTTTATATACTTTTTTATGAATGTTTTATAGCATGGGAACAAGAAAATATTAAGGGTTATTTTTCTTTTATCTGTAAATATACACTATTAGGGCCATTTGAGAATTGCAGGTGTTGCTATTATATTAAAATATTTTAGATTTGATATTAAACAGAGAATGAAATTTGGTGAAAATATCAAAAATACTATTTGAAAAAGATGTGGGTGGAAATTTTCTAAAAATAGGTGGAATTTCAATAATTTTCAGTCAATCAGAAATTTAAGCTGTTATCTAATTAGCGTTTATTTTTTGGATCATAATATTCAAACCACGCCAAACCTTCTCTATTTTATCATGCCAGAAAAGTTAGAAAGTTCTATAAAAGTTGTTTAATTTCCCCCACTCCCGTATCAAACAGAAACTTTCGCTTTTCCACTCAAACCCCTGGGATTAGCCAAATCAAAGCTTACATAAAGCAATATATAACCACCCATCCTTGGAAAAACAAACCTTTACATATCAAACCAACAAACATTCCATTGCGATCCATTCGCCAACTGCAACGTATTTTTTATTTTATAAAAAAGGGTAAAATCACAAAAAAATGGTGCAATTAATTTTGGACCCTTATGCCTTTAAAAGAGATAACGAACGATCCACAGCTGTTGGTCGTCGACTTTCAAAGCACTATCTGTTTTTACGCCTTAATTAAACGCGCGTGTAAAGCGACCTTCAACCCCGTCTGGTTTTGGGCAAACATGACGCTTCCGTTACAGCTGTGTTCAGTGTGCTGATAAACAATCTTTAGGAATGTTTGCCCAAATGTCAACGGACGCTCTAAGTTTGCAGTTTTGTTTGCAATGTTGGTTATAAACAGAATTTTTTCTCTGGAATTCTCAAGTGTACATAGCTAACGGCAAAACTTATGAATCAAAATATTTTGCAAGTCAAGTTTTAAAGATATTTAGTTAATCAATCCTGAATCAAATTATTATTGTATTATAGCTACGTTTATAAATCTGCTTACGTTATAACAAATGTCAATAAAACCAAACACTAACGGAACACGAAAACCCTACCCCCCCCCCTATTTTTTACATACGCGTTCAGCTATAAATTCACTGATGTAATGTATATTATAACAAACGACTTTAACTTTCACCATATGCATCTTACATCCATATGTAGACAGGTTTTAACCGTAATGTAGGTCAGTTGGACACAAGATATGTTACTCTATCCTATCCGCCCTCTCATTCTCTCTCGCCTCCCACCCTCTAGTCTAGTCTCTCTTTCTTCTCTCTTTTCTCTCTCTCTCTTTATCTATATCTCCTTTTCTTTCTTCCTTCTTATCTTTATGTACTCAGCCCATGTATACAATAAACAAAGAATATATAATTCTATTCAATAAGCAGATAAATACGTTTATTTTTTCTGAGATATATCTATAAAAGCCCCTTTTATTTTCAAAGATACGACAAGTAAATGTTTTTGCTGAGTAAAGTAGATTTCTCATTCATTTAATTAATGAAATAATATATTTTATAAATTTAGCATGATATTACTACAGTTTTTCTGCAAGGAAGTGGAAGAGTTTAAAAGTGCTTCACCTTGAAAAAATTTCTAGAAACATCTGCTTTACAAATTTCTTGTTTTTCCAACAAACATTATTGATTTGTTTGTAATCAAACAAACTGTTCAATTTACGAAACCTTACGGGCTAAAAACTGCCAGATAAAATATGATAAGATTGGGGCTAATCTGGAGCAAATCTCTGCACTGAAATGTTGCAGGAGTCTGCGAAATATCAGCCTAGGGTCATAATGAGTAATCCTGTGGAATTTGATGTATTGTACAGTCTAATTGCACTTAAGTATTTATCAAGGGTCATGAAAATATAAACTTGCGGAAAAGCAGTTGAATTCATGCAAGATTAATAGCAGTATCTCACTAAACTGCAATCCAATTTTCACCTATGATATAACCCTTTTAGGCGAGGGTAAGCTAAAATAAATTTATGTAATATACTATTGAGATAGTAATCAAACATTAATTGAAGTTTTAACTAATAAAGAAAAGTTTGAGAGAATACTTTGTTAAATATCTATAAGAGCATATTAATCTTTTAATAATACAAAAAGGTAAGAGTAAAGTGTTTTATCGAGTATGACCCTCTTAGATCAGCATATATTTACTTATTATAAGACATAATCTAAAAAGGATATTTTTTGTTTTATTATCTATATCGTTTCTTAAATTTAGAAATTTAATAAATATTTAACAATTAACCTAATTTCTTTACCTATTCAAATATTTTGAATATAGATAATTCTCGTCTAGTAGAATCTATAAAAAGAAAAAAAAATCAATGTCAATTTATTTATGTTTCAACATTAAATGTTTTGACTAGGAAAATAGGGAATGATTGTAAGTGGTATAAAGAGAAAGAAGGATGCGTAAACCAGAAAGAACGGGGGGTGGGGGCTGGTAAAAGGTAAGAAAGACAGAGAGATAGATAGAGAGAGAGAGAGAGAGAGAGAGAGAGAGAGAGAAGAGAAGGGCAGTAAAAAGGGTGTGTTTGCGTGTATATATGTTTTGGATAAAATGAAAATAATTCTTTCTACTTCTACAATTCTAATGTTTCTTACTATATTGACATTGATAGCATTTTGGTACTTGAAAATATTCACAACTTTTTTCATAATTAGATTATTTAGTATTGTGTTTTTTTCTTTATAAAAATATTGTTTATCACATTATTTTTATAGCTTTATACTATGTAGTAAATCAGATGTGGTTTTTATTTCTTTTACTATTTCTCCTTACAAGCCTTTGTAGTAAAAGGATGACTGGCGTATTGCCAAATTTTGTAAGGAGAACGCCATCTACTTTCCGGACATTTTGTCATGTAATTGTGCAGGTAGTTTTACATATTATTTCAACTGTGAAACAATTGCCAATTAGGTATTAAAACTTTTATAATATGAATAAAAGGGAAATATTAAATATAGTCGTATTAAGGAATATTTAATCGGATACTGTGAAGCGTTGTTAATAATAGTTCACATTGAACTCGAAGCGTCTCTAATTTTAATGATTAAATATGAAGAAAATTGAATAAATATGAAGTAAAATAAATCTCAGACTACACTTTATTTGATTTATTATTTCTTGTAAACAACAAAGATTAAAAGTCTCTGGTTTTCTGGCTCTATTTAGAGTTAATCATAGATCTCTAATATATTATATACGAAAGAGAAAAACATAATAACAATAACATTATGTTACCAACAAATTCGCTTATAGATGTGTAAATATATAGCCTATAAGTTCTTTATGCTCTATAGTAGTATAGTGATGAATTGCAGTTTTAACTTCGCGTAATTAATTTCCTTTTAACCTTTTTCTTGAAAGATAAAGGGTTGTAGATAAGAGTTAAGGTTCTAATTGCTTTTCACCATTTATACAAAGAAATCGCTTTGTTTTTGTTACCTGTTTACTTTTAACATTATGTTTTCTTTTTCTTAAAATATGTTTAAAGATATAATCTTTATAATATTTTCATAAGATAGAAAAGAAAATAGATATGATAAGAATACGATGCGATTTAGCACATAACTGCGTGATCAATATACATTTATCTATATATTATGTGTATGTTAAAGTTATTTAAATTTCTTTAAGTATATTTGCATAGATAGAATATTAATAATCCATTCGCACTTCTTCATAACTTTTAATAGGAATGTTCTGGTTTTATTAACGAATAATATTAAATATTCTTTTCGGTTTAATACCATTTTTTACAATGCCTTATGTCAGAGGGACTCCGTGGCGCAACGGTAGCGCGTCTGACTCCAGATCAGAAGGTTGCGTGTTCAAATCACGTCGGGGTCATATCTGTTTTTTCTTTTCGTTATCAGTCTTATTTTTTTTATATTATTAGTAATGCTAGAAAGTAGGTAAACAGCTTAATATAGAACAAAATATTTAATTAACCTTAACAATAACATATACTTGGAGATTTGTTTTTTTCTTACAACTTGCAAATAGAGTTGAATTCCTTCCTTCCTTCACTAAACTATACTTTCAGGAAGGGATTATTGTTAATAATAAGTGTATTTTCTCGTTACAGTATTGTTCATTTCGTTTACATTGTACATTTATAAAGATTATCGGTAAATCCCTACTGTTAGAATGACATACAATTGTTAAACATAAAGACGCCCCGACATTTATCCAGTATTTTCTTTGAAAAGTAGAAAGGTAACAACAAGAAGAAATACTATATTCTCAATAGTTTTTGATAGTTCAAGTATACTTTAACGAAATTTAACGATAAGTATCTGAATCTTATCATCCAATCAACACCATTTATTAAATAAGAAAAGAAAACATTGTTCAATAATTTTCCTTATCAATTGCACTAAAGAGTAGTGTGGAAAGAGGAAGAAGAGTTAGAAGAAGAAGAAGAAGTAAAATTAATTAATCTTATTTTGTATTCTATTCTTAATATGACAGTTATAATGCTAATTATTCTACTATGAGAAGATTAATTAAATTCTTAAGAGGAAAGAAAAGAGAAATGAACAGAGACTGCTTTTCTTTTATAGTACCATTTTGAACTTTATAGTGCAATTGATTGTGTTTTTTTTTGTTTTAATCAGTTCTATAAGAGAAATTAATTGCCAAGGGCAATGAGCCTGTTTATCTATATCGGCAGACTTTTTTCGTTATTTTTGCATAAATGCTCATGAAAGTGTAGAGTTTCTTATCAACGAAATTATACCCATAAAATATACAACAACATTTTTTTTCTATAAAACCCAAACTTTAGGCCTAAATCTTTAACTTAATTATCTATAAAAGGTTCAGTAATTCTTAAACACGTATGCTAAATGTTTATATAAGATTATAAAGAGTTTATCAAACTTTTTCACAGATTTTTAATGATCTCGGAAGCAAAATTGTACAATCAGTTTTCGATGGATATAACGCATGTGTTTTTGCGTACGGTACTACGGGAAGCGGTAAAACTCATACTATGATAGGATATGAGGTAACAAATTATTGTGATATTTACAATTAGATGATAAATATACCTATAAATCTATTCTAGAATGAAATTGGTATTACTCCAAGAATATGTCAGGTAAGTAATTTGTCAATATTTAAATAATTATAATTAGTAGTATGAATATTTATATTATTTAAATGCTCTTTTTATAGGCTTTGTTCAATGGAATAAGCGAAAGTCCTCCGGAAAAAGATGATAAACAAAAAACAAACATTTATAAATTAGCTGCAAGGTTTGTAAGAATATCATAATTTTTGACAAAAAAACTGTGATAAATATCTAGGAAATTAAGCTTATTATAATATTTTCTGGTCTATTTCGAATTAGAAGATATATCTTGAGTTTATATACTAGATTATCTATTCTAATCCTAATCGATTAATGTTTTACAGAGATTAATTCCATGTTGATATTAAAAAAGTTCTTTTTCCTCTTAAATAGTTATTTAGAAATTTACAAAGAAAAAGTTCGTGATTTACTAGCTCCGAAATCAACTCAGGGATTGAAAGTTCGTGAACATCCAAAAGACGGTCCATATGTCCAAGGTAAAGTAATCTAATATAATCTTATAGATTATAGGTCTTTTTTTCTTATTTTTAAATACCCAATAATTTTCTAACGCTTTATTTAATCCGTTAATCGTGTGAAAATATTCGTATTTGCTTCCGATGTAACGTAGATGGCGCTTTTATTTGTAAAAAAAAACTTTTTTCTTCCAGACTTATCTCAACATGCTGTAAAGACTAATTTACATCTACAAAAGCTCATTTCTGAAGGCAGTAAAAGACGTTCTGTTGCTGCTACACATATCCATGATCGAAGTAGTAGAAGTCATGCAATTTTTATAATTTATTTTCTACAGGTTTCCCATTGAATTATAATGATATTTTATTTATTAATATTCTAAATATTTTAAATAGGCACATTTAGAAACAAACACTCCCAGTGAAAAAATGTCTAAAGTTAATTTAGTTGATTTAGCTGGTAGTGAAAGAGCCGATAATAGCTCAAATTCAAGTTCAAAACGACTGAAAGAAGGAGCTAATATAAATAAAAGCCTTGTTACTTTGGGTACAGTTATTAAAAGCTTAGGTAAAAATTCAAGGAAATCATTCACTTTTTCTATTTCAAATAGTATAACACTTGTTCTATTCAGCTGAAATTGGGCTCTTAAGTTCTGAATCATCAGCTTCAACTGGTACAGTTAGAAGTAGAAATCTGTACATTCCCTATAGAGATTCCGCGCTTACCTGGTTGTTGAAAGATAGTTTAGGTGGAAATTCAAATACAATTATGATTGCAAGTAAGTTTACGTTAATTCTACTCCTATAGAAGAATTTACTACATCTTGAATTAATTTTCACTTTACAGCTATATCTCCTACCGAAAAGCAATATTCTGAAACGTTAAGTACACTTCGATATGCCCAGAGAGCAAAAAATATTGTCAATAAACCAACTGTTAATGAAGTAAAACTTTGAAATGAAATCACAATAAGAATTGTTTAAATAATTATTCTCTCCAGGATCCAAATGTAAGACTTATCAAGGAGCTAAGAGCGGAAATTGAACGATTAAAATTACTTCTAGACTGTCGTCAAAATGGGGTATGCAATATTTTTATAGTTTATACTTCTTCGTAATTATTTAACTCTGAAGTCATCACTTTTTTTTTTAAATAATATCTTAACTCTCCAATCAGCCTGTTCTTAATCGATCACCCTCACGTTCCCCAAGACGTAGAGGGAATAAGACAATAGAAACTCAGGTATAAAGAAAAAAAATCCTACCATATCTTATTTAGCTATGTTTTCATTTTAAAAGCATGAACTTGAGAATCTTTATACAAGATTTTACTCATAAAATTAATAATTTATCCTATAATTCTTAAGTAATAATCTTCATCTTCTCTGCTGAAACTTTCAAATCTATGGAAAGAAATCGACGTTATCAAAAGACAATTTTCTTTTGATTTCTTACAATTTCACTATGCTCTTACAAAACTTTTAGCCTATCTTCCTTTTTTCTGCTTAAAGATATCGGCAGTTTTTGTAAGCCTCTAATTAAAAATATCATGCTAAAAAGACAATATTTACAAGTCAACTATTAGATAAAAAAGCGTGTAGTTTATATGAGCATTTACTCTTTAGCTTGACGTAAATAGCAATATTATGCCATAATGTATTTCTATGAGACTATAATCTGTTTAATTAGTCTTTTTTCCGCTATGGTCTTGGATTTGGACACATTCATTCCAGTCTGGCCAAAACGTTTCCTTAACTCTGAGAACATAGTCGCACAGATTTTTCAATTCTTTGGTCATATAGGCGTTTAAACATCCATCCATAGAATGATAATATATTTGGCAAAGCAGGCCAAAAATTGCGCAATCGAATTCAGTGATCTTGTCGCCCAATAAAAACTTTTTATCACCTAGCGAAAGAAAATATTGAAAAATTTATTGTATTTTCTCAATTATGAGATATTTATTTTACAAACCGAGAAAATCTGAAAGGGCTTTTAGGTCTCTGCGTGCAATATCAAAAACCTCCTCTTCAGTATGTCTACCCATTCCTTGACCATAAGCATTTTTTATCTGACCTTTTTTTACAATCTAAAGACAATTAATTATTATAAAGTGATTAAAATCTTACATATAACTTACCCAGATAACATGCTGAGGTATTTTAGAGATGGTCCAAAGCTTCGGTATTTTTTGATAGACCCACCTTTCCAGAACTAAACACCAATACAAGTTTTCCTCAGCCATTTTCTGCATAGCTCTGCCAATTGCTAATTCGGCAGGTGTATAATCGTGATCTAGGTCCACTTTAAATTTCCTTTTCATATACTCAATACTGAATTGGGAATCAGTAACGTCATCTTCGTTATACGAAATCCAGGGAAATTTTCCTTTCGAACTCATAACAATATCATGCAGTTCCCCTTCATATTCGATATTTGTTATCTTCATAAATAGTTCGAGTTTAATTGCAAAAGGTGAAAGAGATGGGGCATAAGGACCCCTGGGACCAATATGAGCATAGACAATGTCCTTTGGATAATTGGGACGTTTCGAAGACCTAAATAATTGTTATTTTACATTTTGTAAAAATTTAAAAATTTAAAGGTTAAACTACTAACCGAAAAAATTTAAGATAGACGCCAATTCCAACAATAGGTATAGCTACTGATGCAGCCAGATAAAGCATCTTGTTTGATGTTTAATCGGTCAACACTGAATCCTAACTGATATATTTAGTAAATGTAGGGCATAATTACAATACATATTAAATAAAATGGATGACAAAATAGCAATATTATTCATTTCTTAACTTAGTTCAAGGTCGTTGAAAAACGGGTAATTCAATTATAAAATTTTTTATGTAAAAATAATATTAAATTACGAAATTTTTAGACTACAATACAAAAAGTATTATATAATTACGTATTATAAATTGAAATATGCTATGCTAACTCCAATATTCTCTAATATATTACCTGGGAAGTGTCTTCAAGTCATTCATTATTATTTAATCATAATTCCCTCTTAGCTTAATCTGACTGGCATATCAATATCGTATAAAATCCTTTTTGTAAAGAGTATACCTTTCTATTCTTAAATTTCTGTATTTTTAGTCTTATGTAAAATTTGCATAACTTTTCCCTATTAGGGATTTTAAATCTTATTTATCCTAATCTCGACTTTTTCCTTTAACCAGCATCTTATATCAAGATTGAAGGTGTCTCTTTTCCAGTTTAATTAAAAACATGCAAAGATATAGACAACTTGACACCCTGATTCAATAATTACCATTACCAAATAAAATATCTGTTATAGATATCTTTTTCAATGTCTGTGAAAAAGGTCAACCATGATATGATAACTACTTTTAAACAACGGTGCTGTTCGTAAATTATCAATGATTTTCTATTCAATGTCTTTTTTTCAGCAAGACTGATTTATAAATTTAAGATATTTCGATGAAAAATACCCTATTTTTATACATTGTAATTAATATACCTAGTCTATAGAATAGGCCTTAAATAAAGGTTGATATTCAGGACATAGACAGAAAGGAAAGAGCATACATTATATTTTCTATTCACGCAATAGAATGTGAATCCTTACTAATGTCTAGATTACAAAATATGTCAAAAATTCGTCGCACGACTAATTCAACCGAATTTTCAATTATTGTAAAATTATTCAATTTCTGTGTAACAACTTAAATTTTATTGGAAATCGTTTGCGGAAACTGTTAAAATATCAAAAAAAATAATGATTTAATCAGTTGCAATTGAATTAATGGAGATATAGTATATCAATCATTCTCTTTTCTCTATAATATAATCAGGAATATTGTTTATAAGCCCTTAAAGGTGTTTTTTTCCCCTAATTTATTCGGTTGTTTCATTACTAGACTTTATAATAAGAGAAAACCTTAGCATTTGGGTAGTAGTTTAATAAAGTTATATATAAAATATAATAGTTCTTTTTATGTAAAGTAGATGTCATCATTGTTACGAAAACAAAGTTTTAGTAGGGGAGATGAGTTATCTTTTTCTCTTTGGAATATTTAACTTATAAAGTCTATTTTAGATTATTTATTGTAAAAGAGAAATGTTTACAATTAAATATTTTCCCACATGTTTGCCATTCATTATCCTTGTTAGCATTCCAGCATGATACGAAAAAAATTGTCCCAAACCTTTCTATTCTCTAAAAAATACTAAAGAAATAGTCTAACAGTTTGTTTACTAATACCCTTATATTAACTTTATAAATAATACGTTTTACTAATTATTACACTAAATGATAAAAAGTAGAGCATCATCTTTAACTCTACTCAATAAGAAACAAAAGAAATTAATATAAAAGCAATATCTCTTTTTTTCAGACCGGACAATTTTTATCAGTTGCCGATAGTAATTCGACGCTTGAAATACGCCTTGAAGAAAGCTTAAATAGGGTAAAAATAAAAGAATTTAAACTTTAATCTTTCCAAAAATAAAGAGCAATTATTATTGACTTTAATACTAAAATGATAATTAAGCTCTAAAACTTTTCTTGTCAACTTTTCATTAGAACTTTTGCCTTTAAAAAAAATTCGCTACCACTTTTTAGTTTCTTTTCCCTTTTTGCTAATTTGAATATTTGAATATTAATTATGCTTTTTTTTTCATTTATAAAACTTAAACAATAGGAACGTTCATTAACGCAATCTTGGATTGATAAATGGCAAACGCCAAAGTCTGTTATTAAGGAATCTGACTTTAGTATTAGACCAATTTCTAATTTTCAATCGAACGAACGATCACCTGGAATAGTATTAGATCTGCGACTACCTCATCTTGTCAGGATACATGACGATCTCTTATTTACGGGAGTGACAGTTTTCATCCTTCAACCGGGCACGACATCTATTGGCTCCATTCGCTCAACCTTACCACATGATATAGGTATATTCAATTTTGTTGAATAGAAAAGTAGCACCAGTTTTAATACGACTCTTTTAGAAATGTAGTAGGCATGATAACAATTTACAAGAAGTGCCGTTTTTTTTTTTATTAAAAGTCATACATTTACTAAACTTTGAACAAGTTTGTTGAAGTGCTTAGTAACTGTAAAACTTTACTGTTTCAACATTTTTTTAATATTGAAAATATTAATCAATTGATTTTTGTTATCGATGTTAAGAAATTTCTACATTTTTTATCCTACAGTTTTAGACGGTTCTGACGTCTTAGATGAGCATTGTACCATCGTAAATAACGACGGTGTTGTTGCGCTTCATCCAATTGGTGAAGCTTCAATTTTTGTTAACGGGCGACAGTGTAATGATAGAGTTTCACTGACGCAAGGAGATCATATATTCTTGGGAAGTGAAAATCTGTTTAGATTTAATCATCCGCAAGAAGCAGCCAGGTTAAGAGAAGCTAGAAGGGTAAGTGTATTAGTCTATTTCATTGTTTCCTAATTAAGTGAAATAAACTATTTCACAAAAAGAGCGTCTACGGTAAAGATACGCAAGCTGGTGCTCTGTCCAGGTGTTCTAGTACTGGCTCCATTCCAACGGTGAATAGTAGTGGCATTGACGTCCATTCTCCAGTTTCATCAAGTCCTATGTCGAGAGGGTAAATATTAATTTTACTGTGTTGCTTTTGTCACAAAATGTATTTATCTTTATTCAAATCTATATTTTATTAATCAATAATACCTTAAAGAGTATAACTATTTAAATATTTAATTAATAAAAGGTACTCGTTATAAAAATATTCGGTCAATTAACGATCAATGATGAAAAATTATCATTTCGTATTATATTACATACTATAAGATAAAGAAAAGAACTTATTTTATCTCAACAAGTTGAAAACTGGTTGTTGAAAAGAACTTGTAATGCGATTGTTGTTAATTTAAGAATTAATTTAGGCCTATGTCATAAATAATAATAATAATAGTAATAAGTTTAAAATACACATCTATATGTATATATAATAGTTTTGTATGTACGTGCAAATGTATTAATAATCCTTGATAATTCGTCCTTTCACTATTTACCCATCTATGTCTCGTTCTCTACGCCCTTAATCCTCCCTTCCTCTGTCTGTCTCTGTTTTTTTTTCTCTCTCTCTTTCTCGGTGTTCTATTAAAAAATAAAAAAAAAGAATATCATTGATTTATTTTTAATAAAAAAAAAGCCTTATCCAGATTATTATTATTAATATCTTATCAAGTAAACTTTTTATATTTTCATTTAACAGGCCATCATGGAACAATTTTTGGTAAGTTTTTATTATAAAAATATACATAATATTTCTGCTAACTAGCTCTATTAATAATAAAAATATAACTTGATCTTTATTGTATAAATTTCACTTTTTGCGATAGAATAATGAATATATCTATACTGTATATACTAATATATAGATATGCCATTTTATTAAATAATAGCTATTTAGAGTGAATTTTACTTGATTTTTGTTATATAAAGAAAGGAAAAATCATTCTTGACGGACAGTATATTCTTTTTCGTATTTGTGATATAATTTGTTAGTTTTATAAGATCGATATATTGTAGATTTGCATACTTCTCTCAATTCCGTTATTTGTAATGATTTTTAACTTAGATATTGTTGACTTAAATTCTTAAGTTTACATAGTCTTGATTTTATGATAGCAACAAAACAATAAAATTTCTATTCTTTTTTAATTTTTTTAGCACCGAAATGGAAAGGCAAGATGAAAAATCAACTGGTTTTAGGTAAGCAATCTCATGAATATTAATAAGTTCTTAGGCGCTATTTTTTTTTCATGAATTGTTCAGAAAAATTTTTATTACTTGTATATATAAGATATATAATGTGATTTCCATATGGGAGTTACTTTGTATCCTTTTAAATAGACTGAATAGCGAATAGTTTCCATTTCCTTCCGGGTTTTTTTTTGTTTTAACCCTTATGACTTATAAGGTTAATGCATTCATTTAATTCGCAATTTATTTTATTTATAGTCAGAGTTTCACTGATAAATCTAAATCGGTTGTCTTTGGATTTTATAGATAAATAAATCGAAAGAGTCGCCAACTCTTTCATAGGGTAATAGAGGGAGAGATAGGGAGGGAATTCCTTTCACTATTTTCTTTCAAGTCTCCTTTTTATGACATTTGAAAATATCTTATGAATAGATCTCAGCTTTTTTCCGACTGTCCTTTATTTGCTGTTTACCTTAAATACAAATATACGCCTACATAAGAAAAAAGACACATTCCCTCTCTCACTTTCCTCTCTCTTTCTCACTTTCCGTGTTTCTTTGTTTCTCCTATTTCTGTCCCAATAGAAAGTGACATTTTATATATAACTATCATATTTTTGGTATTTGAACTAGACCATTTTATATGTGTATACACTGTTTTAAAGATAAAAAAGGAGAGAAAGCCAGAAAATTAATATTATTTTTAAGACGGAATCGATTGCTCTTCCTTGTTTATTGTATTAAATAAAGAATTGCAATAATTTGATTAATGAATTGAAGACAGATTTAAAACACTTATCAGATTTCACAACAAACGTAATAATCAATATGTTCCGTTTGACTTTCTATAAATCGAACTAACATCTATTGACAGAATTTGGCTTATTAATTGATTCAATAATTGAAGCAATTATACAACGCATACAAGTCATAATTAAATGTACTGCGAAAACGTGTCCCTTGCTTTTCTTTTCGCCTTTTAGATTGTTTTTTTGTTGGCTTTCTCTTTAACAACAACAAGAGTGTTTTTTTTTAAACGTTTTCCACCTTGTATTGTATGCATTATGTAATAATGTTGAAAGTATCAATCTGACTAAATTAGCCCTATATTAAACGTATGAAAAAACAATATAACAAAAGAGTAAATTTTTTATAAATACGATTTTAGACATTTCTTTAAAAAACTAGATTTTTAATAATAAAAAAAAAATATTCAAGAAATTGAAAAACATCGAAGGCTGCCTTATCAAGAATTTTTACCTGAGTCCTCAGCCTATCTTAATCAATATGCCACGTGACGCTATATTTTAGTCACGTGGTGCCGTGGTTGATCATTGCTGGCCTAACGATAGAAACACGTGGAACAAACCCAGGAAGAGATCGTCTTAGGGTTAAGATTTTAAAAAAAAATTGGATATTATGCTTGTCCTGCCTCGATTCTTGAATTCAGTGGAATCAATACAATAAGAGACATTTAAAAATGACGTTATCTAGAGGACTATAGAAAAAAAATAGGCGTTTTAATTAAAAAAATAAACAAGAGACAAAATGTTTAAAAAGCTCTTCTGCGGAAGAAAGAAATGCAAGAAAAAAGGGAATAAAATTTATCCAGATCTCGCCCCACAGAGGCTAAGTTTAATAGGAAGGCAAAAAAGGTATATTTGTTAAACCAGCATCAATACATAAGGCAGCTATGACATGTATATATGTGCTATATTTCTATATAATAACTCTACATATACGGTAGCTAAATAGTCCATATAGATTAGACTATTTTTAGATTATTATGCATAAGTTAACAATTTCACTAACATCTGTTAGATTAAATACCAGTTTTTGAAAGTCTTAAATTCTTTTTTGAACGAGCACTCCTAAATGACGTCAAATTTATTGATTGACACCGAAATCGATAAGAAAGATAAGGTGAAAAAGGAATCTCTCTTTCCCATTGTACCGATCGTTATACTGTACTTTCGATTAATAAAGCAGGTATAATAATTAATAACAGTTTTGATTTGGTTGGATTTATTCTGAGTAGTGTCGAAATGATTGAACTCGATTTATACGGGAGAAATTCAATATTTTCGATAAAAGAAATGAGTAGTTTTAATTACGTATACTGTTAGTAGTCTACTACGACTTTCACTTATTCGTATACAATATATATATAATCCTTCTGACTCTGATTGTAGATCTAACTGATTAAAAGGTTGTTTTAAAAAATCTTAAACTATACTAACTTGTTTAACCTCTTTTACGGACACTGTTATGTCTGTATGCAAAAGTGGCAATTTAATCGGTTAGTTTTAAAAATTAGGGGGATTTTACGCCTTGTTACTTCAATTATTGAAGAAAGTAGAGGGTTAGAGGTCTTTTAACAATGTTAAGTGTCATATACAATTCTTAGCGTATAGATTATAAAATAGTTTAAAAACAATCGATCTAGCTAAATCTTATATATCTAATATATAGTATATATACTGCATATCCTACTTTTTAGACTCAATTTATCGATAATTGTTAGTTTTTATTTTCTTTGATAGGCCTACCCATCAATTTTAATCATCTAATCCGTAATATGCATTGAAATTATTACAATTTACAACAAAAAATTTACTAATAAACTCAGAAAGGAGTTTTTTTTATTATTAGTTAGGCATATACCTATCATTGCAAATAATATACAGTAATAAAGGAAAGCTCAATTTGCTTGTTCTTTTTTTTTTTGAATAAATAGGCTAAATATTTTTACTTTTGTCAATGAGGTATTGATTATTATTACTATCATGAAGAACAAGGTTTTATTGGGTGAAATATAATGTAAATTCACTTGTAACCCTCTCTCCTCCCCCCTCCCCCCTCTTCTTCCCTTTTCTAACGCGAATATATATTTAGTCCGCTTAATTTTTAAGTGAACGTATAGTCAACAAGATTGCCCTTTTTATGCCCTTGTCTACGGATATAAAATAATATATACAAACAATAATCCTTAAATAGAAAATTTCTCAGTAAATATATATCGAAATGTCATAATAACAAATGAAACTAAGCATTTAACAAAATACAAAAGTAGTAAAAGAATTTTTCCTATTTTTGTTATCGTTCCTCCACAATACTGTTCACTTTACGTACCTTTGTCTTTCTATTTAACTCTTCAATTCATATATCTTTTATCTTTACCGACATAAAAATCTAATAATAATAAAAGAAAAAGGTGTTAAAAATATATATACACTAGAAAATCTTTTGAACTCTTTTTTTTCCCACTTAAAATTATTAAGTATTGGAATTTGAAGGAAAACATTCATTTAATGGTAAATAAATTCTATCTATTTAGATTATTAAATCAAAAAATAGTTTTTTATCATTAAAAGAAATAATATTGAATTAAGAAAGGGTTATTGATCTGAACAGTTCTTAAATAGCGCCTTTTTTATTATATCCTTTATAAATTTATATATATATATACGAGTATATTATTTTGAAAAATTTTTCATTCTTACCCTTATATAGATCTGATCTAGAATATGAGGATCATAGGACAAATTATATTGAAACCGAAAAAGAATATTATGAAAGATCGAGGCCTCAATCTGAAGATAGGAGAAGTTTAGAAAAGGAAAAAGAAGTATTGGAAAATGATAGAAAGAAATGCAGAAATGATTATAGAACGACTTTAAATCGTATAAAACAATTAGAAAATCAATTAAAATTGACTAAACCTGAAGTGTATGAAAGAGTGCCTCGCGAAAATTTTCGTCCTTTGGAGCCTTCCGTTAGTTGTGGTGATTTAGCAATTCAAGCTCGACCAGATATTGGTCATTTAGCCGTCCAAACGGACAGTGATGTTATTTCAATAGCTTCTACTGTTGGTAGCGTAGGATCCTACGTATCATGCCCCCCTACCTTAATGAGGTAAGCTATTTTTTCTTATAAACAATAGCAACAATTACGTTATTTAATTAAAAAAGAATGTTAAAGATCTTAATTGTCTGTAAGATAATTTTCTTATCTAAAACAAGAGAATTCGTTTTAATTGAAAGAAATGTAAGTGAAAATATTTAGATTATTTATGACGTTGGCGGTACTCAGTTATTTTTAAAACTTAATAATATTGATAAAAAGAAATATTTAGTACAAATGAAATCAGTTCAAGCATCTTCCCTACTATAAATTTTTATATTTTTTCATAGTAATAAATTGATTTAGAAGCTGGCAATAAACCTAATTCTTTGAAAATATTCGTAAACAACTCCTTGAATTACTTCAATATTGTTAAACAAAGTCATAAATTATTTATAAATTCCTTATAAAGGCCTAATAATTTATAAATTTTATTATTCTTATATAAATAATTTTTTAGACTATCTTCTTATAAAATGTATTATATTAACTGTTTCTATATAAATATCTAATTAAGGGTTATATCGATTTGTGTAAATTTTCTTGTTCTATTACTATTATGAATTTATATATTCGTTAATAATAATCTAGAATTATTATTATTTTATATAAATTTTTACATTCTATTCTCATTTTTAATAGGTCATCTTCGAGACGATCTAAAAGGAAGAGGGATTTCGATATATTTTTAGCGAACAGACATTTACAGGATGCTGAAAATAGTCGTTTAAGGAGCGTTGAAGAGGAATTAAGGCAGGATAATGAGAGAACAATTGAACAATTAAGATATGAACAAGAGAAAGTTGAAATTTTAAAGAAAAGAGAAAGACTTCTCTTGAGTTGTATGGATAGAGAAGAGCCTCTTGGTGAGAGTTATAGTGAAGATAATTCCCGTCTACGTGTCTCTGCTGAAATCAATTTTGACTATGGTAATGATTTTACATTTCTCTTTTACAATCTCATATTCTTCTATTCCTTACCCAAAATAGATAAGGACTGTGCCATGAAGAGAAGTACCTGCTCTTTGGATAGTCAAGTAATAAGAAAACAAGTTGAACCATCAACAGGTCTTTATAAAACATCCAGCCTTAAGAGTTTTCTTAAACAAAGAAGAGATTCATTCGAAAAAATTGAGACGAAATGCAAGTCGGATATAACCATTTTTGTCCCAAATTCAAGTAAATTAACAGGATCTAAAGATATGAACACTGAAATTAGCAATATTGATAATATTCCCAACACGGAGGTGGGCGTAAAAATTGCTTATGAAGAGGGAACGCCAATTATTCAGAGAGGTCGTCGCGTAGAAGAAAAAAGGAAAAAGACACGAAAATCAAAAAAACAGGTTTTTATAGAGTTTTTCTTATTATTATCAAACATTATGATCCCTTTTTACTTGGTGTGGTTTTTCAATCGAGTCCTCCCCTATTTACTTTTCTGCACGTTAGGTGGAACAATCTTTCGTCTGCCGAACTTTACCCGATGGAAGAGCAGATAATTCTCTTCCAGTCTGTCAAGAACTTTCTGTTGTGAAGGTTTGCATGCCAATCTAGATTGAATTGATTTACATCCGTTGATAGTGTTAACGTTGTATTGCCTATAGCCTATTTTTAGTTTTTGATTCTGAAATTAACTTTATCTAATCTCCTAAATATGAATTATAAAGAATAATTGTTTTTCTTTTTGATTTTATAAATTCTTTAACGATTAATAATAATTATTTATTATAAATTAGAAAGGATATTTTATCTTTATCAATTTAATTTTTACTAAAATTTACATAACAAAATACTTTTAATTTCTGTTTTTCTGTGATTCAGGATGAAAACTTGAATCAAGAAAATACAACAGATGTTGACATTTCTAACGATTCGTTAGATTTATCAAGTTCGGCTGAGTTTTCGGACGATTCCTTAGGTAACGAAGAAGAAACTGAAGGAAACGTTGATAAAGTGCCTTCGAATATCACGACAACCTGTAGCGAAATTAATATATCACTACCTCATGTTCGTTTGGAAGCCGTCAATAAGGACGGTATTTTTATTAGGTTTGTCATCTATGTTTATTGTAATATTATATTATTTATACTGTTTAATCGTATAAACTTGTTAATAATATATACATTCCTCATAGTTTACCGCCTGCAAATCTACCTATCCAAAAAACCGGTGCGATAAGCCCTAAAAAGGGGTCAAAACACAAGGAGCAGCAATCCAAAAAGCCTTTATCTGATTTAAGCGTCCATTCTAGTCAAGAAACTCGTCAATCTGTAAAAGACTTTCAACAATATTCGCCTGACGTTCAACATTTTACAGAAGAGATTCAACTTGAATGTACTGAACTACTGCCAACAACTGATTCAGAAACATTCGATAACCTGAACGAGACAGATAATCGCCCTCTAGATACAAATAAAGATCTTTCTAAGGTAAAATCTTTAGAGGAGAAAACCGTTCCAATCGAAAGGATTAGCGACGATGAGAAATACACAGGCGAAATCATTAAATATTCAAGCGATTCGATCGTGCAGCACGCACTCGCACAATCAATCGTGGAAAATATTAGGCTCGATCGAGTCGAAGAGAAAGAAGCTACTCTTATGGATAGTTCAATCTTAATAGAGCCAACAAACAAAGCGGAAAAGTTAGATACGTCTTTTACAACTTATTCGGAAGAAGAAGATGCAAAAGTTAACACAAATCTTGATAGAATTGAAAACGTACAAGAAATTCAACAGCATAATTTTAAAGTCGATAATATTGTAAGTGCAACTGATACTGTTGAAAAAGACAATGCCAACTGTTTAACAAAAGAAGAGGACAATGTGCCTCTGGATAATCCTTCATGTGAAATGATATTAGAAGAGGACGCTCAAAATAAACCTAGCTTATTAGTCAAAATTGACAATACCAACAGTAGAGCCGAGGAAAGTGAAACTACTCTATTATCAGAAGGTAAAAATATGGAAAAACTAAATGAACCGTGTAGTTCTCTTATTGAAATCAAAGATGCCGAAAACATATTAATCAATGCGACTACCGAAACAAAAATCGATGATTTATCGATTCAGGTAGTAAAATCAATATCAAATGATGAAATTGAGCGGTTATCGTTAATAATTGAAGAGGGAGAAGACTCTACGGCTAAACATGATAATAAACTCTTACATTTGACGGCTGAGAGTTTAACACACGTTCAAGGACCTCCTGAGATTTCTGATTTAACCACAGGAGATATAAAGACTACTGAAGAGAATAAAAATACTGAAAAAGAAGTAATTTGCTACGATACTGTTAATGTCTCAAGGGAAGAAATTCTTGAATTATCTGAAGATGCTAATCTTCATAATGAAACAATTGATTCGTATATCGTCGATAAAGCTGACGTTCAACCCTCTAATGAATCGGATAATGAACGTCCAACTCTGAGTGACAGGGACGGGGATAATAAGACTTCAAATCCTGATGAAGTAAAAACTTTTAAGAAAGCTGATTCAACTGAAATTTGCAAAGGTGGAGTTGTTACGACGACAGATGCTAATTTTCAATTAGTTGATGCTTCTCAACAATTGCCATCCGCCGTTAAAGAAGCTGATTGCGCTGGTAAGCAGTCTAATGAAAATGAATTATCCGATCAACATGATTACGTAATGGTAACTGAAAAGAAAGAAGATTATTCTACCGAGCATATTAAATTAACTCCTGCATATCAACTTAACATTTCCGACAAAGAAGTGAATTCAGATAATTGCTCAACTATTAAAGCAGATATTGTAAATGATCAAATAAATCCATTGGAAATTCTATCAACAGAAAAAAAGAATGTATTAGAAAGAGACGCTTCAAAAGGTGAATCAAAACATGCCAATGATGAAATTCAGCAACGAGACGATGAAAGTTTAAAAAGTGAAGAAATAAAGTCAGCTATAGAAAACGTCTATGACCCAAGTATGAGAGAAAAAGCAGCTCAAGATGAAAGTTACCAAACAGATATTGATTCAAAGAATACTCATTTAAACGAGAAAATTAAATTCTCTGGAAGCCTTAGTCCGGAAGTTCACAAAGTCCTACCTTCTAAAAATTCTGATAGCAAATATAAAGAAAATATTCTCTCAGAAGAGAAAACATTTGAAAAATGTCCTGAAATTGAATCTGCTTCTATAGTTATAGAAGAGAGCAAGTTTCAGTTCTTTTGTTTATCTCCAATTGATGGAAATTCAGATCAGGATAACGATGAGGAAATTGCTGATTTATCAACAGATTTGTTTGTCATTCCAAACGAAAAATTGACAGAGGAAGAACTAACACTTTATGAACAAGAGAGTGAACAGATGGAAACAAACGAAAAAGTTAAAAAGAGACTAGAGCTTCAATTCGAAGACTCAGCATCTACTGATAATAATGATATGGACGAAGGTGTGTCTGATAATCAAATTGTTGAATTATCTATAAGTATTGAAGAACGTACCGAGAATATAGACTGTCAGTTAAGAGAGTCAACTCAAGCAGAAAGTTGTTTAATGAAGGGTCTAATCGAAAATAAACTTCAGGAAACTGACAATATAAAAGATTTAGACGGCAACAATAGATTATCTGACTTGAAAAAACCTGTTACGGAAACCCACGCTATTGTTTTTTCAAATAAAGAGTCTGATCTAAACGTTTCAGAAGAGTTGACGTCACCTCTCTGCAGTGATCCCAATGAAGGTACTAATGAGCAGTTAGAGGGCGAAAAAGACACCAAACACGAGGAAATATCAAAGCAACCGCCAATCTCACCCAAATATAGCGATGAGTCTCTTACAGATCCTCTCGTGGACGAAGCCAGGGAAATACCTCAACAAATCGACATTGAAAAGTTTACTTCGAAAGCAATCTCTGATGAAACGAAAAGTGAATGTAAATCAACCATGGCTGATCAAATAAATTCAGAGAGAGAGGGTGAAGCCCATAGTCCAAACATAGAAGAATCTCCCGCGTTACCATATAAACACAATACAGATGCACAATCTGATGAAGATACTGATGATACTGCAAGTTGTCCAGGATCCGTAGATCTTAATAAAAGCTCTAATGATAATACAAACGAAATACCTAAAAATGTTGGTGACAGTTCCATTCTAGCAGCTGGACAAGAGGATGACAAACGAAGCAGTTTGGATGATCCTTGCAAAAAATCTTCCGATGCGAAAGCTGATGACAATGGAGCTGCAAGTGTCATTTATGAAAATCCATTCGATGAAGATATCGAACATTTCCGATCTTTAAATGAAGGAGAACCCTCAACTACTAATGAAAATCTTAATGTTAATCTCTCCTCAATTAAGGAGATATCAGATGACAGTTATCCTGAAGATACAAATAAACATTCACGATTTTTATTTGATACTGAACGAGATCTTGAAACTCCAGTTTCTAATCAAACTTCAAGAATTAACGACTCTGCTTTACTCAAAATGTCAGAAACTGAATTTAAGGAGCAAAATACAAAAGAAATTCAAGAAAAATCTGTTATAGTGCATGCAGTAGTGGATAATCAACCTGACATACTTGAAAATTTTCCTATCGTTCAACCTGTGTCGTCTGTCGTTGAACTTTCTTGTACAATTACTAGTGAAGAAAGTAAGGAAAGTATTGAGAACAGAGGAAAAGAGAATAAAGATAATAAACATGAAAACAAAGAAAAGCTAAACAAACCGGATGAGAGCGCAATTCTTGATGCTGATGAAAGTAAAGAGAGTACAATTATTACCGATGAATCAAAGGGGAGTGCCATGTTATCAACAGAAAAAGACAAGGAAAATTTCACCGATAATAAAGAGTCTAGAAGAAGAGATGGATCTCCATCGGCAAAATTTGACAACAATACCACTGCTATTGAAACATTAAAACAAGAGTGTGATTCATTACTCATAGAGAGAGAGGAAATTATTAATGACCAGAGTTGTTTAAGTGAAAGATATAAAGGTGATGAAAATATCATTAATTTTGAAGAAATTAAAGTTGATTCGCTTCGGGAAGAAAAGGAAATCAATGTAGAAATGATTAACATTACTGATGAGCCTGGAGACAACGTTAGTTTTCCATCAACTGAAAAGATTATAGATGACGAAATTGGAACAAATGCAGAAGAATGTAAAGACGATAATTCTCTTTCACTAGAAAAGAATATATGCACAGATATTTCTATTGACTCGAATGAGCTTAAAAAAGACGATGGTTCTCTATCAACTGATAATGCCAAAAGCAAAGTACTTACAACTGATACTCATGAATCTGAGTTAAGAGATGCATCGCCAACAACAGAAAATATCAGACTGGACGATAGTACTATTGACCATGAAGAGTATCACCAAAGCAGCGATACACTACTGACAGCAAAGAAAACAGCTGAAAAAAGAACAGGCAACAATAACGCTGAAAAGAATAAAAACGTCAAAAATAACACCGAAAGACCTGAAGAACTTTACTCGCTTTTAAAAGAACGGGAAAGCGATCTCGAAAGTCCAATTAACACTGCTAAATCGAAAGAGAATTTAAATTCTATACAAGTAAAGACAGGAAGTGAACAAAATATTACTTCTATTAAAGAACCTAATGCCAGTGACTCACTTCCAAAAGAAAGAGATATCGATATAGAAAGTTCGAAAGATACTGATGAGACTGAAGAGTATGTTAGTTCTTTAACAATAAAGTCTGGAAACGAACCAATTATTACTTCAATGGAAGAACCAAGTGAAAGTGATTCTCTTCCCAGAGAAATAGACAGCATCAGAGAAGGTTCCAAAGAGATTCTTGAGACTGAAGACAATATTAGTTCTCTACCAATAAAGACTGGAAATGAAACAATTACCACTTCCATTGAAGACCCGAAAACAAGTGATTGTCCCTCAAGAGAAAAAGACAGCGTCAAAGAATGTTCCAAAGATACTGATGAGACAGCAGAGCATGTTAGCTCTCCAATGGTAAAGTCTGAAAGTGAACAAATTACCACTTCCGTTGAAGAACCTAAAAAAGAAAGTTCCAATGATACTGATGAAAATGAAAAGACTATTATTCCTACACCAGTACAGGCTGAGAATAAAAAAATCACCGCTTCTTTTGGAAAACTAAATGCAAGTGATTCCCTTTCAAAAGAAGGACATACCGATGCAGAAAGTTCCAAAGATACTAATGAGAATGAAGAGAACATCAGTTCTCTACCAATAAAGTCTGGAAATAAACCAACTGTCACTTCCATTGAAGATCCTAATGCAAGTGATTCACTTCCAAAAGAAAGGGATATCAATCTTGAAATTTCCAAAGGTACTGATGAGACTGAAGAGTATGCTACTTCTCTACCAATAAAGTCTGGAAATGAACCAACTATCACTTCCATTGAAGAACCAAATGCAAGTGATTCACTTCCAAAAGAAAGAGATATCAATCTTGAAATTTCCAAAGGTACTGATGAGACTGAAGAGTATGCTACTTCTCTACCAATAAAGTCTGGAAATGAACCAACTATCATTCCCATTGAAGAACCAAATGCAAGTGATTCTCTTCCAAAAGAAAGGAATATCGATCTTGAAATTTCCAAAGATACTGATAAAACTGAGGAGTATGTTAGTTCGTTACCAGTAGATTCTGGAAATGAACCAACTATCACTCCCATTGAAGACCCTAATGCAAGTGATTCACTTCCAAAAGAAAGAGATATCAATCTTGAAATTTCCAGAGGTACTGATAAAACTGAGGAGTATGCAACTTCTCTACCAATAAAGTCTGGAAATGAACCAACTATCACTTCCATTGAAGAACCAAATGCAAGTGATTCTCTTCCAAAAGAAAGGAATATCGATCTTGAAATTTCCAGAGGTACTGATAAAACTGAGGAGTATGTTAGTTCTTTAACAATAAAGGCTGCAGATGAATCAATTACCACTTCCATTGAAGAATCTAAAACAAGTGATTCTCTTCCAAGAGAAAAAGATATCGTTAAAGAAGGTTCCAAAGATACTAATGAGACTGAAATGGATATTAGTTCTCTACTAGTAAAGGCTGGAGCCGAAAAAGTTACCACTTCTATAGAAGAACCTATTACAGATTATTCACTTCCAAGAGAAAGAGATATCGAAAAAGAGATTTCCAAAGATACTGATGAGACTGAAAAGAACATCAGTTCTCTACCAATAAAGTCTGGAAATGAACCAACTATCACTTCCATTGAAGAACCAAATGCAAGTGATTCTCTTCCAAAAGAAAGGAATATCGAAAAACAAATTTCCAAAGATACTGATAAAGCTGAAGAATATGTTAGTTCGTTACCAGTAGATTCTGGAAATGAACCAACTATCACTTCCATTGAAGACTCTAATGCAAGTGATTCACTTCCAAAAGAAAGAGATATCAATCTTGAAATTTCCAAAGGTACTGATGAGACTGAAGAGTATGCTACTTCTCTACCAATAAAGTCTGGAAATGAACCAACTATCATTCCCATTGAAGACTCTAATGCAAGTGATTCACTTCCAAAAGAAAGAGATATCAATCTTGAAATTTCCAAAGGTACTGATGAGACTGAAGAGTATGCTACTTCTCTACCAATAAAGTCTGGAAATGAACCAACTATCACTTCCATTGAAGAACCAAATGCAAGTGATTCTCTTCCAAAAGAAAGGAATATCGATCTTGAAATTTCCAAAGATACTGATAAGACTGAAGAGTATGTTTGTTCTCCAATGGTAAAGTCTAAAAGTGAACAAATAACTACTTCCACTGAAGAACCTAATACAAGTGACTTGCTTCCAAAAGAAAAGGATATCGATATAGAAAGTTCAAAAGATACTGATGAGACTGAAGAGTATGTTTGTTCTTTACCCATAAAGTCTGAAAACGAACCAGGTATCACTTCCATTGAAGACCCTAATGCAAGTGATTCTCTTCCAAGAGAAAAAGATAGTGACACAGAAAGTTCTAGTGATTTTGATGAGACTGAAGAGCATGTTTGTTCTCTACCCTTAAAAGCTGAAAGTGAACAAATAACTTCTTCCCCTGAAGAGTCTAAATCCGTTGATTTGCTTGTAAAAGAAGAAGGCGGCGACACAATACACCTCAAAGATTCTGATGAGACTGAAGAGCATGCTGGTTCTCCTATGATAAAAGCTAAAAGTGAACAATTTACTGTTTACCATGAAAAACCTAATGCCAGTGATTCTCTTCCAGGAGAAAGATATATCGATGAGGAAGGTTCCATAGATGCTGATGAGACTGAAACAATTATATCTCTACCGGTTAAGGCTGCTAGTGAACGAATTTACACTTCTGTGGAAGAAGATAATGTAGACGATTCTGTTCCAAAAGAAAAGGATTACGTTAAAGAAAGTTTAGATAATATCGATGAGACTGAAGACCATATTAGTAAAGAGGACAAAGAGAAGGAAAACACTAGTACTTTTGAAGAACTGGAAAAATTTGATTCGCTTCCGAAAATAAGTGAAAGCGATGTTGATATTGATGAGCCGGAGGAGAACAATACTTCTGTATCATCCGAAACGGTTAAAAATAAAGATGGCACATGTAATCTGAAAGAACCCAATGAAGAAAGTATCAATGATAGTGATAGTCCTATGGAGATTACGAGTTCTCTATTAACAGTCAAGACTGATGGCAAACAAAGTTCTACAAATTTCGGAGAGCCTGAAGCAAGAGAATTGCTTCCGATTGAAAAAGATACGCATGTAGAAAGTTCTGATGATATTGATGAGCCTAATGATAATGCTAATTATCCATCATCAGAAAAATTCAAACATGACGAAATTACTGCTAATACTGATGAATCTGAACAAGAAGGTAGATCTTCGTTGACAAAAGATAGCAGAGTTGACGATAGCACTACTGGTCATGAAGAATATAAACAAGAAAGTGTTATCCTACCAGCCGGAATGGAGAAAACTGATGATAGTGTGAACGATAATAAAGAAGTTTGTTCTTTTTCAAACACATTGGAGAAAAACAAAGATAATACAACTGAAAATGATTATTCTAAAGAAAGTGAAGAACTCACATTAGAAAGTCCACCAGCTAGAGATGAAAAATGTACAACTGATACTCAAGAAAGTGATATAGCATTGGGTGGAAGAGGAGGAGATGGAGAAAGTACAGTTGATACTAAAGATTCTCAAGCAGATAATAGTGAAGTATCTATAGCAAGATACATAGATAAAGAAGGTACTTATGGTATTGAAGAACCTGAACAGCCAAGTGATTTCGTATCAAGAAACACTGACAGAGATAGAGAAAGTACCATTGCCATTCAAGATCCTAAACTGAAAAATGATGCAGTGCTGCCGGAAAAAGCTGAATATAAAGCCCCAATGTCAACAGAAAAAGTTGAGGCAAAAGAGGGTACCTCTGTTATTGCAAAATCTAAACAAGACACTTCGATAGAAAAAGTAGATCGAGAAACCGATATTGATTTTATAGCACCTGAGCTAGAAAGTGGTATTCTTTCATCAGAAAAGATCAGAGAGGAAGCAAGCGCAATTAAAGCTCAAGAGCCTGATCGCGAAACTGACTCCCAGTCGATAGTAATTCAAGGGGAGGGGAAAAATTTTCATGATATTGCAGAAAGTAATAGTGATAGAGATAGTTTTATAGAGGAGAGTAGTTCTCCATCAACAGAAAATGTTAGAGATGAAAAAAGTATTACAAGTAAGAACAAACCTAACCAACAAGACAATACCTTATCGGTTGTAACTGACAAAAGTGATCGTATTGCTGAAGAATATATACAGGAAGATAGTTCTCTGCCAGCAGATAGGAATAAAATCGAAGGAAATATTTTCGACAATCAAGAATGTAAAGAAGAGAACAGGTCGACAGAAGTAACCATGGAAAAGAGTATTATTGACACTAAAGAATGTGATGAAGGAGACATATCGATGTCTCAAGAAACAAGTAAATCAAATACTGTTGAATCTACTATTTCAAAGCCTCTAGTAAGAGAAAGTCCCGAAACTGTCACAGCTCGATCAGAACAGTATGGTATATCTAGGGAAAATCTCGCTCATGTTGCAGGCGAAGGAGAAGTCGATGAAAGTGAAACAACTGAGCTATCTACTATAGACATACGCGATACAAATGTTGAATTAATACCTACAACTAAGCCAGGAGATGATAAGGAAGTTCAATCACCGACTATCATTTCCTCAACCGATCATCAGGAATTGACTATGGTGACTGATGTATCATGCGAAGGAGATAATAATAATACATTAGAAACCAACTTTCAGCAAGAAACAGAGAGTAGTAGCGAGAATGAGTCTGACGATGATTCAACCTCGAAAGATATAAATGACACAAATTATGAAAACAGTGATGATATTTTAGCGGACGATGAAATGGAATTGGATGGATATGAGATTATTCAGCGACTATCTTCAATTGAAGAAGTTAGTGAGGAAGATATCGACGAACTCTCTCGACAAAGTGAAGGTTCAACATCTGCCAAGAAAGCAATTACAGATAGTTTTGGTGATATAGAGGATGATAGTGGCTTCAAAACTGGTGAAGTTAGCCTGCCAAAAGATGATGAATCTTGCACGGACGATGAGTTTTCAAAGGAAAATTTAGACAGTGAATACGAGCCACAGTTGGAAGAAGCCTTGAATGACACATTTGAAGCTGAATCCGACTCGGTTGAGTCTCAAAATGAGTTTGTTGAGCCTGAAATAGTACTGTCAAACAGTGACAATGATACCAAAGTTGAAGGTGACAGTGATAAATCTTCTTACTACACGGCGTCTACAACCAGTCTTGAAAAATGGTATTCAGCCGACGACTTAACTCCCGAAATGCTCAAAGGATCCATTTCAGAGGAATTTTTACCTTATTCATACGAAAGCGTGTTAATCAAAAGTCCTGTAGTTTATGACAGTTCAGAGACAGAATATTATACACCAGTCGCCTCGGAAGATGAATATGGTGAATGCACTATGGTTCTTCCCAAAACCAGATCTTCTGTGATCACGAAAGGGGACCTGGGTAGTTCTAGTGATGAAGATGTAACTCCTTGTCCTTCAGCAAATACGTCTCCCAAGAAAACTATTTCAAGAGACATTGATAGCTCGGAAGAAGAGGTTTCTGATAGTGAATCTGTTATCTGTAGGCCTCTTGAAACGAAGGACCAAGAAATTACAGATGAAAATTCTTCCAAGGAGCAACTGTTGGACGATCTTTCCACCTCAGCTGATGCTGTACATCCAGAGAGTCCGGGAAACGAACTCCTTACATTAGATGCTATAACGAAACTCTCTGAAACGATTCAACCAACAACAGCGACATCTGCCACTGAACAGACGGATACAGAGAAATTAATAAATCGAAATATTGACAGCTCATGCAGAGCTCAGAATGAAAACATTGAACCGGTTAAGCCTCTCATGGAAGTTGAATTATCTGCGATTCAACAGGAAAGATCTTCAAATTTAGAGGGTAGTTCATGGTTGGCGAAATCGGCTCCTTGTTTGAGAGATTCTGATGAAAATGAACATTCTTTGAAGGAAGTTAAGCGTTTATCGCTTTCGGAATTATTTCTGAAATCTGCTGAAGAAGGAACAATTACAACAGATCCAATCTCTGGGGAAGTTCCTACTACTTTCTGTAAAGTAGTTCATTTTAAAGCTCCGGAACGTCGTACGAAAACTGCTTCGGAAGAAGGCGCAGAGGATAGTCCTACAGGTAGTACTATCTCTGCAAACGTAGCACCCTGTTCCGCTATTATAAAGGCTTCTTCGAATGACAACGAAAGAGAATCTATACCTGATAGTAATTCAACAAACTCTGACTTTGGAACTGAAACGCATGACGATAATCCAGAAAATATATATAAACATACTAAAGTGGAAGAAAATGACGAATCTAGTGATTCGGAATACTGGCCAGGACCGGATGAGGAGAAAAAGGAAAGTGAGGAGCTTAAAAAGTTAGATTATCCACCTTATGATCCGGAGAGTCTTGAGAATTTAGATAAAACTTTATTATTTGAAGACCCACTTGATGTTGATGATCTCAAATCATCAGATGAGTCGGAAAAAGTTGTGATAACAGATTATGATATAAAAAAGATCGGTAAACCTACGCCAGATGATCTAACGACTCTCGACAAAGAAATCATTGATTCAACTTGTTCAACTCCTGTAGAAGGAGATGTTGAATCGGAATTAATGCTTTCTCATACTAGGGTTGTTAATTTCAATGTTATGTCAGATTCAACGACGAATTCCGACGTGATAGAAAGTTATTCTGACCAAATGATTATAGAGTCCAAGTCATCTGAATTGAATGAGGAAGATAATACATCACGAAACGTTCATGTAATTGGCTTTCAACCGTCAGGGAAATTAAAAACTTCAGATGAACCGACCAAATCTAGCGAGAAAAAATTCGGTCCAGTTATTTTGGATTTAGAAGTCTCTCCAAGAAATAAGAATCAAAGGCTTTTATCAGAAAATTTATCGTCAGATTGTGATTCTAATAAAACACAAGCGTCAACAGCTGAATTAGAGACAAGAAGTTTACCGATGTCGGGTGATTCGGAGTACTCTGAAGCTAGTGTTGATAATCAGAGCATAATTATGGATCGCTATATTCTAAGTGATCTACCTTATGAAATATGTAACGAGATTGAGGCTGTCAGAGAGGAATATCTTAACAGAAATCCAGTTTTACAGAAATCTTTCTCAACCTCCGATATTTCGATTAAAACAATGGTAGCAGAAAGACGTCTCAGTCTCCAGGATCCTATAATGGAGCACAGATCGACCTCAAAAGACAACATTTTTATATTACTTTTACCTGACAAAGAAGAACGAAGAGATTCTTATGAATCTACAAGTATCAGCTATACAGTTCCAGTTTTTGAACGATCGGCCAGTGCTGATACCCTAAAAATCATTCATCCCGATAGATATAAAAGACAATCAAGATCTCTAGAAAATATACCCCCACCTGAGGACGATATGACAGCTGACGATGTTTTTGCCGAAAGCCGTCGTCTAATGGAAAAAGATACAGAAGAAGATACTTTGAAAGAAGGTGAACCTGAAGAAATTGTTGGAGCAGCTCCTAAAAGAGTCAGTTGGGCCGACCTCCTCCAAAATGAAACGACAGATAAAAAGAGTGTCAAGTCATCAGTAGTCCCTTTGCTATCGTCTTTAGCTAAAGAGAAAATAAACCCAAATTTGTCAGCTGAAAACGAAGAAAACTTGTTTGAAGGAAAATTAGAAGAGGACCAAGAGCTAGATAACTCATCACGAGACAATAAAGAGTACAGCACACTAAAATCCGAAATTAAAGATAGTAGAGATGAAACAGAGGATAATAATACTGACAAACTCCAACAAGGAAAAGATTCAGAATCTTTAGATACGATAATAGCTCACTCACAGGATCTCGAAAACCTTGATAATGCTAGTATCAGTAGCACTGATGACGATTACGTTCTTCAAATACAACTATCAGAATCAAGTGAAAGTACAAGTTTACAAATACCAGAAAATAATTCAACCGACGAAGAAAGTGCAACGGATGCTGAAATTTCCACACCTGAATTGGAAACTATTGTCCTTAGTCATCCAAAAACCGACAATCAGTCAGTAGCTCAAGAAGAATTCGAAAACAAAATTTCCGACGAAACTACAACGAAGAAAGAGAAATATCAAGTATATAAAGGTGATTTTCAGAGTAAATATTTAGAATTAAAAGAAATTGAGAGCAAAGAGACGGCTTTAGGCGAATTGGATGAAACATTGAGCGTATGTGGCGAAGAAGAAATTCAGCTAGAACAGACAGAAAATACAAAACAGTTATTGACAGAAGAACCAATAACTAAAGAAACAGATGATATCGAGTCCCAAGAAAAAGTTACATCTTCCCTGCAAACTGAAACAAAGAAAGAAGAAAAACAAGGAGATGCGGAACAATTAGAGGACAGTAAGACCACTACAGAAATTTCTGAAGAAGAAACTAATTCGAAATCAGTGGAAAAAGAGGAAGATACCACTGGATTGACAGCAAGTGAAAATGAAAAAATAACTTATGAAGAGGAACTTGAAATTGATGAAGTAGGCGACGCTGAGGAAACAGCGGAGAAAACAAAAAAATTGCATAGTGATGAAGAAATAGGTGATGATAAAGAACTATTGGTGAGAACGGAAGAATTGCCAAGTAATCAAGAAAGAGAAACCGAAAACTCACAAGAAACGAAACAAATTATTACTGCTGAATGCGAAGCTTCTGCTTCCGATAAAAATGAAGAAACTAAAGAAAAGTCGCCAGAGCAAGATTCTTCCATCAATATCACAGTTGCAAAGGATGATAATACCTCATATGAAAAGGTAATTTCTAACATCCATAATGATGATATTGCCACAAACACAGACATTACGACTATACTGGTAAGCCAACATCAAGAAGAAGGACAAGAAAGCGCACAAGAAATAGGAAAGAGCGATGAAATTCCAGAAATTTCAGAAGGAAAAGATAATTTAGAGTTTGAAGAAGGAGTAACACCAACGATGAGAAGAAAAACAAAGAAAGAAGAAAGATACGACGACACTGAACAGTGTGAGGACATTAAGACAACTACAGAAATTTCCGAAGAAGAAACCAATTTGAAATCAGTGGAAAAAGAGGAAGATGCTACTGGATCAACAAGCGAAAATGAAAGATTATCTAATGAAGAGGAAATTGAAATTGATGAAATATCCAACGCCGGAGAAACAGCGGACCAAACAAAAGACTTGCATAGTGATGAAGTAATATGTGATGATAAAGAACAATTGGTGAGAACGGAAGAATTGCCAAGTAATCAAGAAAGAGAAACCGAAAACTCACAAGAAACGAAACAAATTATTACTGCTGAATGCGAAGCTTCTGCTTCCGATAAAAATGAAGAAACTAAAGAAAAGTCGCCAGAGCAAGATTCTTCCATCAATATCACAGTTGCAAAGGATGATAATACCTCATATGAAAAGGTAATTTCTAACATCCATAATGATGATATTGCCACAAACACAGACATTACGACTATACTGGTAAGCCAACATCAAGAAGAAGGACAAGAAAGCGCACAAGAAATAGGAAAGAGCGATGAAATTCCAGAAATTTCAGAAGGAAAAGATAATTTAGAGTTTGAAGGAGTAACACCAACGATGAAAAGAGAAACAAAGAAAGAAGAAAGATATGAAGATACAGAACAATTAGAGGACACTAAGACAACAACAGAAATTTCCGAAGAAGAAACCAATTTGAAATCAGTGGAAAAAGAGGAAGATACTGCTGGATCAACAACAAGCGAAAATGAAAAATTATCTACTAAAGAAGAAATTGAAATTGATGAAATAAGCGACGCAAGAGAAACAGCGGAAAAAACCAAAGACTTGCATAGTGATCAAGAAATAGATGATGATAGAGAACAAGTGGTGAGACGAAAAGAATTACCAATTAAACAAGACATAGAAAGCGAAACACCAGAAGAAACGAAACAAGCTCTTATTGCTGAATGTGAAGCTTCAGTTTCCGATAATAACGAAGATACTGACGAAGAGTCAACACAGCAAGATTCTTCCATCAATGTCACGGATGTAAAGGATGATACTATCTCTGATGAGAAAGTAACTCCTAACATTCGTAAAAATAAAAAGACTGCTGAAGAGTCACCACAGGAAGATTCTTCCATCAATGTCACAGCTGTAAAAGATGACACAAATTCGCAGAAAAATGTTATGTCTAACATCGATAATAATAATATAGTAACAAACATAGAAATGACGCCTATTCAGGTAGGCGAACTAGAAGAAAAAAGACACGAAGACTTTGAAGATGCAGGAAAGCACGACCAAATTCTAGAAATTTCAGAGGAACAAGATAATTTGGAGTCTGAAGAAAAAGTCACACCTTCTGAGCAAAACGAAACAAAGAAAGAAGAAAGATATGAAGAGATAGAAAAATCGGAAGATAATAGGATTACTATAGATACTGCTGGATCAACAACAAGCGAAAATGAAAAATTATCTGCTAAAGAAGAAATTGAAATTGATGAAATAGGCAACGCTGAGAAAAAAGCGGAAAAAACAAAAGAATTGCTTAATAATCAAGAAATAGAAAGCGAAACACCAGAAGAAACTAAACCAATTCTTACAGCTGAATATGAAACTTCTGTTTCCGATAAAAATGAAGATACTACTGAAGAATCACCACTGCAGGATTCTTCCATTAATGTCACAGATGTAAAGGGTGATACTATCTCTGATGAGAAGGTACCTCCTAACATTGATAATGATAATATTGTAACCGGCACAGAGGTTACACCTATATTGGTAGGTGAACTACAAGAAGACGGACAGGAAGACTCAGAACAAACGGAAAAAAGTGATGAAATTCTAGATATACCCAAAGAAAAAGATAATTTAGCGTATGATGAAAAAGTCACACCTTCTGCGCAGTACGAAGCAAAGAAAGAAGAAAAAGAAGAACACACAGAACAATCAGAGGACAGTAAAATAACTGCAGAAATTCCCGAAGAAGAAACCAATTTGAAATCAGTGGAAAGTGAGGAAGACACTACTGGATCAACAACAAGCGAAAATGAAAGATTGTCTAATGAAGAGGAAATTGAAATTGATGAAATAAGCGAAGAAAAAGAAACAGCGGACAGGTTAAAAGAATTACCTGTTAGTCAAGAAGTAGGTGAGAAAGAAAAGGTGGAGAGAGCAAAAGAATTACTAAGTAATCAAGAAACAGAAAGCGAAAAACGAGAAGAAACGAAACAAACTCCTACTACTGAATGCGAAACTTCTGTTTCGGATAATAACGAAGATACTGGCGAAGAATCAACACAGCAAGATTTTTCCATCAATGTCACAGATGTAAAGGATGATACTATCTCTGATGAGAAAGTAACTACTAACGTTCGTAATGATGGTACTGTCACGAGCACAGAAGTTACACGTATATCGTTAAGGGAACTACAAGAAGATGGACTGGAAGACTCGGAACAAACGGAAGAAAGTAATGAAATTCCAGAAGGAAAAGATAGTTTGGAATTGAGAGAAAAAGAAAAGACTACAAGCGCAACAACGTCGAAATTTTCTGTGAATAATGAAGCAAAAGTAGTTGAATTTCAAATTAGGGAAGAGACCGTAGAGGAACAAGATAACTTGGAATTTGAAGCCGAAGAAGAGGAAATGTTCAAATTAATAACCAATACAAGTGATAATTTACCTATTGAAACCAAGATTTCCTATGAATTGAAAGAAAAAGATGGTAAAGATTTTGTTGAGGAATCGTCAAAATCATCGGAAGAACACATGGAAACAGAAGAATGCATATCTGTCGTCTCTCATGGAAATGAACATTCTAATGAAGACTCATTGATACAAGTTTCTACTACTAATGTTGTGGATGTGAAGTTTGACGAAATTCTTGGTGATGGAACAGTTCTTCACCTAGATTATGATAATATTAAAACACAATTAGAAGATATCCCAGCTTCAAGAGGCCAAATAGATGAAAATATCACGGATGATGAAAGAAGTTTAGGGAAATGCGAAAGAACTTTGGAAAGGAATGATAATGTGAAAGCTGAGGAAAAAGGTGAAGATATTGAAGGTAAAGAAGGGCTTGGAATGATAGAAATAGATTCTGGAGCAGAGGAAAGAGACAAAGTAATAGATAAGCAAGATGTATTAAAGAGAGAAAAGGGAAATAATGATGGTTTGAAGACGAATGATGAAGACTTTCAAGACGATGACTCTGAAATATCAGAAAGAAAAGAAGAGACTTCTGAACTGACTAGTATTGCAAAGGAATATCTTCTTATTGATGATGAAAACAAACTTGAAATGGAACAAGTTGAAGATGTTGATGAAAGCAATAAAGTATCAACATTACCTGACCGCGAAGAATCAAAATTAGAAACTCCAGCAGAAAGAAAGGAAGTTATGTCTGATAAGGGCACAACTCTTCTTTCTGATATTCAAGGGTATAATATTGAAGTTTCAGAGAAAGAAGACTCTGTTAATATAGAGAAAGATATGAAAACTAATAACACTCTTGATGAAGAAGCAATTCGTCGTTCTAATGACGATAAGGATATGCTAGAATCTGAAGACTTACCCAGTGTGAAACATGAAACAAAAGAAAATATTGATAAAGATGATGAAAAGCTAATGGAGAGTCGTGAAAATACAGAAAGCATAGATAACTTGAAAAAATCGGATGAAAGAGAAAGGGAAATATTTGACTCGACAAGTAGCCAAAGTGAAAACTTTCAAACTGAAGCGGCAGATAAACATGAAACAAAAGAAGAAGCTGTGGAACAAGTTGATGAAAAGTTTGAATTTTCGTATGATTACGAAATAGAATCTGAGAAACGAGAAGAAATAAAAGAATTAGCACCTGATGAAAGCGAAGCAATTACCTCTGAAGGAGTTGAGCAAATTAATAAAGATGAAGAAACACTAGGTTCTATTAGTAATGTTAGAGATATGAAAAGTGATATTGAAGACGATGACTCTGAAAATGTCTTTAATACTAATAATGATAGTATTTCCACAAAATTAGAAGATCTGGCTAGTGTACGAAGTAAAACAGGGGAAGAAAAAGAAGAAGAAATGGAAAAGAATGAAGAAACCTCAGATGAAGAAAATAACTCGGAATTAGAAGAAAAAGACAAAGAATTACCAAAATCGACAACTAGTGATAAAGAAAACTCTTCCATGGCTGTTGCAGATAAATCACAAATGGGTGAGGCGAATGAAGTTAAAAAACCAGTTGACAAAGAATTACAATTACCTGACAATCAAGATTTAAAATCAGAGAAATTAGAAATTACGAAGGAAAAGTCAACAGAGGAATACAAAACAATTGTTTCCGACACTAAAGATGATATTAATGAAGATTTAGAAACAACAAATCCTAACACCAATGTTGTGGATGTGAAAGGTTATAGTACTTCTGATGAAAAAACAGTTGCTCATACCGCTAGTGATAACGTTGCACTACAATCAGCTGATGAATCTAATGCGAGAAGCGAATCAAGGGTAGACGAAAGAAAAGGCAAAAAGGAGCATTCGGAAGCGAGTGAAGAATTTTCAGAAATTTTGGAAGAAGATAATTTGGAGTCAGGAGAAAAAGAAACATATACGACTGAAACAGCAACGAATGAAAAAGAAAATTTTCTTACAGACCTTGAAGATGAGTCTAAAATAAGGGAAATAGAGAATGCTGCGGAACAAGTTGCCAAAGCAGCAGAAGTATCTTATGGTCGAGAAATAGAACCAGAAGAATCAAAAGAACTACAAATTGTAACAGATGAAATTTCCGATGGAAACCAGCAGATTAATAATGATTTAGCACTTCGAGATTCTACTGGCATTGTAAAAGATTTACAGACTCACAATATCCTTGATGAAGAATTTGTTCTTACCGACGACGATAATATTCCAATAAAATCAGAAGATATGCCAAAAGTGGAAGAAGGAGAGATACATGAAAAAGTGGAAACAAGACGTGAAATTGTGGAAAGAGAAGACAATTTGATATCGGAAGAAAGAGAAAGAAATATCATCGAGTCGACAGCGAATGAAAGAGAGAGTCAGTCTATTATATCTAAAGATGAGCCTAAAAGAAGGGAAATAGAATTTGCTAAGGAATCAGTTGGTAAAGTACTGGATTTACCCGATGAATATAAAATAAAGTCAGAAGAAACCGAGAAAGTTTCAACTGATGAAGATTCGATAGTACAATATCCTATAGAGGAAAATATCTCTGCACTAAATGAAGTAGAGAAGCCAGGAGAAATTTATCACATTGAGACTTCAAAAATAAAAGATTCCGAAGAATCAGCTATCGATAGCGATAAAACCGAAATCGAAGGAAAGTCAGGCGAAATAGCTGAAGGAGGAGGTAAAGAAAAAGGATTAGAAACTAAAGATGCTTCTGTTGAAGAGATAGATCAAAAAATAGAATCTGAAGAAACAGCAGAAATTATAGATGAGGAAATGGAAATAGCTGTTCCCAACTTAACAGGATCTAATGGTGAGGACTCCGAAACTGAATATTGTGCTAGCAATGCTTCTGTAGTAGAAAATATTTGTGACGAAAGTGTTAAACGAGAAATAAACGTTTCTTCACCCACCGAAGGAGTTGCCACACATTTAAAGGTAAAGCATCTTGAAGATGATTTATTTGCAAAGGACAGCGAACCATCTCTAACTGAAGAAACACAGAAGGAAAATGTTACCTTCGAAATTGATAGTGCATATGATTCAAAGGCTGATAGCGTAATTAATGACTCATCTCTGGCTTGTATACGGGAAGAAGAGAATGAACCAGAGCAAAAGTCGGAAGCAGCACTTTCAATTGATGAATCTATTCCTGCAATGTCAATATTGAACACAGAGGATTCAGAAGAAACATCATCTATGTCTGAGTTACAATCAAATTATAAAGATTCACAAAACAGAGAAGTTTATAAATATGAAGATACTGATGAAGCGAAACTAGAGCCCGTTTCAGCTACAAGAATATCTGAACAGGAATCTCTCTTACCTACAACACAAACTGAAAATATTCCGTCTCTACACATATCTGATTCTGAGTTAGTTGCTCAATACTCTTCATCAAATATTGAACAACAACCCGCTGTTGAACAAACAAAGACATCAAACCTTAGTGAATCCTATAAAACTAACACAGACTCTGATAAAATAGAAAACGAAGAAGAAGAAACGTTTGAAGATGCTTTATCAGAAGTTTCCGCGGATAAAACAATACGAAGAACCAAAGATGATGACAAAGATTATCACATTAGTGACAACGATGACGATAATAACGATGATGATAAGAAAGATAATGACAATGAATTCGAAATAATTCAAAAATCCTCTTCTTTGGAACCTTCTTCGATTGAAACATTTTCTAGTGTTAGAGATACAAGCGGAGACACAAATTTCACGGAGGAAGTAGGCGTATCAAATGAACAAGAGAGCCCTGAAAACATAACAGACTTATCTGATCAATCTGTAAAATCAAAAGTTGATGCAAAAGAAAAGGAAGACAAAACGGACGAAGAGCCCCTAACGTCAGGAAACACTTTGGAATTTTCTTCCATGAAAAATTCTGTACTACAGCCTGAATCAAAGCTAGAAAACTTTCCAATTGAAAGTACTAGAGCTATTGTTGATTCAATTTCATCTGATATAACAGAAGGCATTGTTACTCAAACAAAAATGTCAGACGATGAAGTAGTTACATCGAAAGCTACAGATTTTTCAGAAGTCGAGATCGAAGGAGAAAGAGAAATGAGTAAAACTTCATCGACAGAATTTGGTGAGCTTGAGAGCGAACAACTAAATGCTGATGCTACATCTAGAAAGACGGAATTTGTTGTTTTAGTAGCAAATAACAATAAACGCGATCCTTCTTTGGTAGAAGAAGCGCAGGAGAGTACAATGACATCTTTTGATGGAAATATCGATAATAATAGTAACATCAATAATAATAACAATAACAATAACTTAAATTTCGAAGTCCAAGGAGAAGAAACAAACATTAAAGCTCTGTCTTTCGTAGAAAAAGAGGATCAAGAGTTTGTTCAGCTAGATTCTATCACAAAAAGCTCTTGTAAAGACAATGATGATATGGTTACAGCTGAACACTTACAAGACACAAATCAAAATGTTCCTGAATCAGTCTTGGAGGCCACAATCGAACAACCACAAATTTTGCGTGACGAAAACGAATCGTCAATGCATGTTCAAGAAAATCTGTTAGAAGAGCATAAGACACTTCTGCATGACGAATTAAGCATAAGTCAAGAGGCAAACAGGCAACAAGTTAAACCAACAGAAGTAGGAGATTCATACAAAGACAGTTCCATTGATCTTCAACAGGAAGATGAAAATGTCAGTGAGAAAAAGAAAGGTATAACTCGAGAATTAATTTTTGCACAAGATCCACTAAGTGGTGATAAAAAACATGAGGGTGGTGAATCAGACGCTAAATCAGATATAATACCTGAGCTAAAATATGGTCCTAACGACAAACAACCTGTTTTGAATATAAGTAAAAATGTTTCAAATAAAAGAGAAAGTTTACTGATGGAAGATGAAGAAGGAACAGTATCTGCTTCTTTAACGACCGAGGAAAAAGTTACATCTTCTGAAAAAGAGGATAGTAATCTAACAAAACATCCTCTTGATATTATGAAGAATGACAATGAACAATCACAAGAAACTAAAGACAAAAGTAACGATGACAAGAGTAAAGAGGGAAAACTATCGACTGACCAAGAAAATCAAACAGAATATTTGAAACAAATCGACGACTCTGCTGCTAGTATTGCTGGTGCTCACTCAGAGGATAAAACTCATAATGTCGCAAATGTGACCAAACAGGAACAACAGGAAGACTTCTTGAGCACGAAGCCAAAGGAATTGTTTAGAGAAATTGAAAGAATTTCTGAAAATGAGAACGAGGATGGTATAGAAAACAAAAATGTGGAGGTTATGAAAGAAAGCAAAGAGCAATCAAATGATAATGAAAATAATTCCTGTGATCAATTAGCAATCGACCAGGAACTCGCACTAGAAGAAGCCACTGAAATCTCTGAAACAATCAAAGAACATTACATTGAAACTACAACGAAACAAGAGAAAGGTGAATCACAGAAAAAAGATTCTGAAAGCGAAAATATTATGTCAGAAGAGATTGATAGCAACTCCGGAGATTCGATGGAAGATATAAATATAGATTTGCAACAAACACGTGAAAATATTGAATTAAAAGAAAACGATGACACTAAACTGAATACCAATGAACAAGACCAAATATCTTCATATCAAATAGCCCAGTCAGATGTAGTAAAACCTGATTCGATTGATGAAATTCCTTCTGATAAAGAAGATACTACTAATGAAAACTCGAAAATAAAGGAATATTCTAGTAGTGTTAGTGATACGGAAATTGGACATAACCTTGCAGAAGAATCTACCTCAAATATTGCTGACATCAAAGTACAAACCGAACCAACAGAAATTTCTTCTTCGAAAAACGACACAACGGAAAAAGAATTACAAATAAATAAATTAGCATCAAGAGAACATAATAATTTGCAATTAGACAAAAAAGAAAAAGAATTAGCTGCATCAAAAACCGAAGCAAAACAGAATCTGCCTACTGAGGATGAAGATAAGCATAAAACGAAAGACAATATAGAATCACTTGCCAAGACACCGACAGAATGTGACGATGCAGAAATAGTCCCAGAAATGTCAGCAGGAGAGAAGCAAATTATATCAGATCAATGCGAAATTGTAGATAACCCTCTTGATGAAGCTATGGAAGTTTCTGCTGGTAATACAATCGACTTCAAAAGTGACGCTACCTTTGAAGTAGAACCCAGTTTCCACACTGATAGTCACGATATTACAAAACAAAGAGAGATTATTCCAAATGTGAGAAACCAAACAAAAGAAAACATTGGAAACGATAAAGGACAAATGGATAAACCTGATGAAATTTTGGAAAAGCAAGATAATTTGGAATCACAGGAAAGTGAAGAAAATATTGCTGGATCAGCAACAAGCCAAAACGAAAAACTATCCGATGAAGCACAAATTGAAATTAAAGAACTAGGCGATGCTAGACAGCAAGCGAAGAAGACGATAGAATTAACTAGTAAACAAGAAATAGAAAACGAAAAACCAGAAGAGACACAACAAATTATTACTGCTGAATATGAAGCTTCTGTTTTCGATAAAAATGAAGATTCTGACGAAAAATCACCACAGCAAGATTCCTCCATTAATGTCACAGATGTAAAAGATGATAATACCTCTGATGAGAAAGTAATTTCTAACATCGATAATAATGATATTGCTACAAACGCAGAAATTACGACTATACTTGTAAGCCAACAAGAAGAAGAAGGACATGAAAGCGCACAAGAAATAGGAAAGAGCGATGAAATTCCAGAAATTTCAGAAGAAGAAGATAATTTAGAGTTTGAAGAAGGAGTAACACCAACGATGAGAAGAGAAACAAAGAATGAAGGAAGATACGATAACACTGAACATGCTGAGGACATTAAGTCAACTATAGAAATTTCCGAATTAGAAACCAAGTCTAAATCAGTGGAAAGCGAGGAAAATACTACTGGGTCAACAACAAGCGAAAATGAAAGATTATCTAATGAAGAGGAAATTGAAATCGATGAAATAAGCGAAGCAAAAGAAACAGCGGACAAAACAAAAGAATTGTGTAGTGATCAAGAAATAGGTGATGTCAGAGAGCAAGTAGAGAGAACGAAAGAATCACTAAGTAATCAAGAAATAGAAAGCCAAACACCAGAAGAAACGAAACGAACTCTCACAGCTGAATCCGAAGCTTCTGTTTCCGACGCTACTGAAAAATTAACAGAGCAAGATTCTTCTATCAATGTTACAGATGTAAAGAATGATAATACCTCAGATGAGAAAATCACTTCAAACATTGATAATGATGGTATTGTAACAAGCACAGAGGTCACACCTATATCGCTCGGCGAACTTCGAGAAGGATATGAAGATACAGAATATACAGAAAAAGATGAAGAAATTCTAGAAATGTTTAAAGAAAACGATAATTTGGAGTCAGAAGAAAAAGTCATACCTTCTGTGCAAAACGAAATAAAGAAAGAAGAAAGATTTGAACACCCAGAACAATCAGAGGACGGTGAGATAACTGCAGAAATTTCCGAAGAAGAAACCAAGTTGAAATCGGTGGAAAAGGAGGAAGACACTACTTTATTAAAAACAAGCGAAAATGAAAGATTATCTAATGAAGAGGAAATTGAAATTGATGAAATAAGCGAAGAAAAAGAAACAGCCGACAAAACAAAAGAATTGGTTAGTGATCAAGAAATAGGTGATGTCAGAGAGCAAGTAGAGAGAACAAAAGAATTACTAAGTAATCAAGAAATAGAAAGTGAAAAACCATGGGAAACGAAACAAAGTCTTACTGCTGAATGCGATACTTCTGCTTTCGATAAGAATGAAGATACTGACGAAAAATCAACACAGCAAGATTCTTCCATCAATGTCACAGATGTAAAAGATGATAATACCTCAGATGAGAAGGTAGTTCCTAAAATCGATGATGATGATATTACAACAAGCAGAGAGGTTATTCATATCCAGGTAGGCGAATTAGAAAAAGACAGATATGAAAACGCAGAACAAACAGAAAAGAGTGACGAAGTTTTAGAAGGAAAGGATAAATTGATATTCGAGACCAAAGAAGAGGAAATGTCCGAATTAATAACCAATACAAGTGATAATTTACCTATTGAAACCAAGATTTCCTATGAATTGAAAGAAAAAGATGGTAAAGATTTTGTTGAGGAAGCGTCAAAATCATCGGAAGAACACATGGAAACAGAAGAATGCATATCTGTCGTCTCTCATGGAAATGAACATTCTAATGAAGACTCATTGATACAAGTTTCTACTACTAATGTTGTGGATGTGAAGTTTGACGAAATTCTTGGTGATGGAACAGTTCTTCACCTAGATTATGATAATATTAAAACACAGTTAGAGGGTATCTCGAACGTGAAAAATGAGGCGAAGGATAGAATCTCAAAAGATAGAAGTGAAAAAGAACAAAAAGAACAGAGTGGTGAAAGGGAGGATGACTTGGAATATGAACGAAAGGAAAGTAATTTAACTATATCAGAAAGTAATGAAAAAGGTAGCTTACCAAGCAAAGAACTTGAAGAAAAGGAAAATGAAGATGTTGAGGAAGCTAACCAAATAGTAACATTACCTGGAGATGAAGGAGAGAAAATACAAGAACAGGACGAAGCTAAACCAATTCTAACTGCTGAATCTAATGTTGATTTATCCGGTAAAACTAAAAATGCTGACGAAGATTTTGAAACACAAGACCTTACCATGAATACTCTTGATGTAAAAACAGATGCAACTTCTGATAAGGTGTCAATAGTTCACATTGATAATGATGATATTCCGAAAAAATATGAAACCACTTCTATTCTAAGAGAAGAAACAATAACGGCAGAAAAACATGGAGAGATACAACAAACGGAAAAGAGTGATATAATTTTGGAGACTTCAGAAAGAAAAGATAATTTACAGTTAATAGAAAGGGAGAAAGATAGTACGAGATCAACAACAAGTGAAAAAGAAATAATGTCCGGTGAAGAAGAGATGGAAACTAAAGAACTAGTCGATGCAAGAGAAACAGCGGACAAAACAAATGAATTGGTTAATAATCAAGAAATAGACGATGCTAGAGAACAAGCGGAAAAAGCAAACGAACTACTCAATAATCAAGAAAATGAAAACGAAAAACGAGAAGAGACGCAACAAATTATTACTTCTGAATGCGAAGCTTCTGTTTTCGATAAAATTGAAGATACTGACGAAAAATCACCACAGCAAGATTCCTCCATTAATGTCACAGATGTAAAAGATGATAATACCTCTGATGAGAAAGTAATTTCTAACATCGATAATAATGATATTGCTACAAACGCAGAAATTACGCCTATACATGTAAGCCAACAAGAAGAAGAAGGACATGACAGCGCACAAGAAACAGGAAAGAGCGATGAAATTCCAGAAATTTCAGAAGAAGAAGATAATTTAGAGTTTGAAGGAGTAACACCAACGATGAGAAGAGAAACAAAGAATGAAGGAAGATACGATAACACTGAACATGCTGAGGACATTAAGACAACAATAGAAGTTTCAGAAGACGAAACCAATTTAAAATCAGTGGAAAAAGAGGAAGATACTGCTGGATCAACAACAAGCGAAAATGAAAGATTATCTAATGAAGAGGAAATTGAAATCGATGAAATAAGCGAAGCAAAAGAAACAGCGGACAAAACAAAAGAATTGTGTAGTGATCAAGAAATAGGTGATGTCAGAGAGCAAGTAGAGAGAACGAAAGAATCACTAAGTAATCAAGAAATAGAAAGCCAAACACCAGAAGAAACGAAACGAACTCTCACAGCTGAATGTGAAGCTTCTGTTTCCGATAAAAATGAAGACTCCGCTGAAGAATCACCACAGCAAGATTCTTCCATCAACGTCACAGATATAAAGAGTGATACTACATCTGATGATAAAGTAACTCCTAACATTGATAATGATGGTATTGTAACAAGCACAGAGGTCACACCTATATCGCTCGGCGAACTTCGAGAAGGACATGAAGATGCAGAATATACAGAAAAAGATGAAGAAATTCTAGAAATGTTTAAAGAAAACGATAATTTGGAGTCAGAAGAAAAAGTCATACCTTCTGTGCAAAACGAAATAAAGAAAGAAGAAAGATTTGAACACCCAGAACAATCAGAGGACGGTGAGATAACTGCAGAAATTTCCGAAGAAGAAACCAAGTTGAAATCGGTGGAAAAAGGAGAAGACACTACTTTATCAAAAACAATCGAAAATGAAAGATTATCTAATGAAGAGGAAATTGAAATTGATGAAATAAGCGAAGAAAAAGAAGCAGTCGACAAAACAAAAGAATTACTCTATGGTCAAGAAATAGGCGATGGTAGAGAAAAAGTAGAGAGAACAAAAGAATTACTAAGTAATCAAGAAACAGAAAGCGAAAAACGAGAAGAAACGAAACAGAGTCTTACTGCTGAATGCGATACTTCTGCTTCCGATAAGAATGAAGATACTGACGAAAAATCAACACAGCAAGATTCTTCCATCAATGTCATACATGAAAAAGATGATACTATCTCTGATGAGAAAGCAACTCCTAACATTGATCACGATGATATTAGAGCAAGCGCGGAGGTTACGTCTATACTGGTGAGGCAACAACAAGAAGAAGGACATGAAGATGCAGAACATACAGAAAAAGATGATGAAATTTTAGAAATACCCGAAGAAAAAGACAATGTAGCATATAATGAAAAAGTTATACATTCTGTGCAATACGAAACAAAGAAAGGAGAAAGATTTGAACACCCACAACAATCTTTGGACAGTAAGGTAACTGTAGAAATTTCTGAAGAAGGAACCAAGTTGAAATCAGTGGAAAAAGAGGAAGACAGTACTTTATCAATAACAAGCGAAAGTGAAAAATTGTCTAATGAAGAGGGAATTGAAATTAAAGAACTAGGCGACACAAGAGAAACAGCGGAGATAACAAAAGAATTGGTTAGTGATCAAGAAAGAGGTGATGTCAGAGAACAAGTGGTGAGAACGAAGGAATTACTTAGTAATCAAGTTATAGAAAGCAAAACACCAAAAGAAACGAAACAAATTGTTATTGCTGAATGTGAAGCTTCTGTTTCTAATAAAAATGAAGACGCTACTGAAGAATCAACAGAGCAAGATTCTTCCATCAATGTCACAGATGAAAAGGGTGATACTTTCTGTGATGATAAAGTAACTGCAAACATTGTTAATGATGGTATAGTAACAAATACAGAAGTTACTTCTATACTGGTAGGCAAAGTACAAAAAAGATGTGAAGACGCAGAACAAACAAAGGAAGATACGGATAAAAGAGAGCTGGAATATATTGAAGATGCAGAGAAAAAAGAGAATTTTGACAAGGAAATAGGTTTACTCATTGAAAGCGAAGGTAAGCCAGAAACAATTAAAATCGCAGGTGTGAAAGAATCGGCTCGTGAAGTATCGAAATTACCTGAAAATCAAAAAAGAATATTGGAAAAATCTGAAGACAGAGACAAGTTTTCAACTGATAAATGCAAAGAAATTATTTCTGACATGAAAGCACATATTGACAAAGACACAGAAGTTGTGGATGAAGTAGTAGATCCTATTACTAATGTGATAAATGAAGATGCAAACCTTCATTTCGATGCTGACAATGATACAAAGAACACTGAGAAAGAATCAGACAAAGAACTAGAAAGTAATGTTGAAAGCAAGGAATTTTCAACAGAAATGAAACTAATAGAATCAGATGTATTGTTGACTCAAGATGATGACAGTGTTCAAACAACAACAGGTGGAAATATTAACGTTATTGTTAATGTAAATAAAGAAAAATATACAAACGAAGAAACTACTGTTGAATCCGGTAGTGCTAAACCATCACAATTTGACATCGATAGTACAACAGATCAGGAACAAGGCGGGGAAAATATGACCCAGCTGGAAAACAAGTCTAAAACAGAACCTAAGATAAAAGTTAAAAGACAACAATTAATAAAGAAAGATAATATAGAAGCAAAAGACCAAATTCCAGTAATTGAACATAAGCCTTCGATTAAAATGGAATCTGCTAAGTACGCTCAGACTGAAGAAACTGTTCTTAATACAGAAGAAGTTTTAATTGCAGCTGAACTAAGTAAAGATGAATTAAGCGAAGGTTTTACATCAGAAAAGCTGCATTACGATAACATAATTACTAGGGTAGAGGAAAGAGATTCAAATGTTGATATTAGTCATCAATTTACTTCCTCTGATGAATCAGAAATTAAACATATAGACTCTGATCGTAGTCCCTCTGATCTAAGTATTTTAATTGACAAACCAAAAGAAGTTACAGAGGAGAGCGAACATAATTCTACTGAACAGATTGTGGACGACTCAGTAAATACAGATTCAAACATTGAGCATATCGATGAAGCGAAACTAGAGCCCGTTTCAGCTACAAGAATATCTGAACAGGAATCTCTCTTACCTACAACACAAACTGAAAATATTCCGTCTCTACAAATAGCTGATTCTGAGTTAGTTGCTCAATACTCTTCATCAAATATTGAACAACAACCCGCTGTTGAACAAACAAAGACATCAAACCTTAGTGAATCCTATAAAACTAACACAGACTCTGATAAAATAGAAAACGAAGAAGAAGAAACGTTTGAAGATGCTTTATCAGAAGTTTCCGCGGATAAAACAATACGAAGAACCAAAGATGATGACAAAGATTATCACATTAGTGACAACGATGACGATAATAACGAGGGTGACAAGAAAAATGATAGTAATGATGAATTCGAAATGGCTCAAGAGTTTGTCACGTTTGAACAATATTCAAAAAATTCAACTTCTGATATTATAATAACTGAAAATAATGATATTGTAGTCCTAAGAGAAGTTGTGGATGAAAACATTTCTTCAGCAAATGCGATTTCTGAGGAAATGGCTTTTCAAAAACCAATTGCGCAAGAAAATATTATTAGGGAAGAAACTCCAGAAATTATTGGAGGCGAATTACATATACCTGATGAAGCAAATTACAAATCTAATGAATTGGAGAATATTAGAGCGCACTCAGATGGCGAACGTTTAGAGACTGAAAGTAACATCGATGTTTTAACAGACCGTGTTGAAACTTCAAGTGAAAAAAGGACTGTACATATTGCTCGTGAAACCAATATTTCAGCAGAAATTGAACACACCAAGAGTCTCGAAAATTTACAAAAGTGCATAAAATCTATAACAGAAAATCTTTCAAGTCAAAGAGAAACCGTTTATGTAGAAACATTCATTGTTCGAGATCAAATGAATAGACATGATGAAGTCATACCAGAGAGGCCATCAAGTGAGCTGGAAGAGAGACAACCTGATTCAGATAACTCGACAGAAAAGCAAACTGAAATCTTCCAGAACAACAGAATTTATTCAACAGAAGATTCTGGTGTTGATCAACCAAGTGAGGAGTATCTTAGTGGACCAATAACTAATGCAAGCCAATCCAGCTGCGAACAGATACGAGGAGAAGTTGGTAGAACTTCAAACGAAAACTTGCAAACAGTTGTACCAGAAATAAGGGAGATCATCGCTGTTGATGATTGTACTATACAGTCATCAGTTGCTAGAAATGAAGATGCCGGATTGATTACAATTCCACTCAATCTACAACAAAGAGCATCTTCCATGGATCAAATCTCCCAAACAGATCATGAAATACTAGGTAATTCCATTTCAACTCAAACTGGTTTTGACGAGACCGTTGCGCCAAGACAAACTTCGTCAACTATAGATCTAATACAAGAGGAAAGAAACGACCTAAGCGTTTCAGAGAATCTTGGACTCTCAGTTGATGATTCTTGTCAGACTATATTGACATATCCTCCATCATTCGAATCATCAACCCAACTACAATTAATCGATCCATTTTTGGAGTATGTAGGAGAAGAAAATCGACATTTATTACATTATATTCAATATTCAAAAGAAAGAAAAGAAGAAACTTTACATAGGAAAAAGAATCATTTATATTTAGAAACAGAGTGGGAATCGAGTAAGTCAAGCGAAGTCCTCCCATTAGATTCATTTTTCTTGGAAGAAAATTCTCCCAGAGAACGTTCGAATTCAATGAATGAGCATTTGCTAGAAATCAACCTGAATCGAAATTCAAATGTTATAAGTGGTGTTGAAATTAGTTCAATTGAATTGTACGAAATTTTGTCAAGATCGTCCGATAGTGATAATGTTGAAGATATTATCGCTTGTAATTCAGATATATCTACAAGTTTACTTGAGCAAATACGGCTAGCAAAAGACGCTCTAACAAAAGCAATAAAATACAAACCAACGAATGAACTAGTAATGAAAGGTTCAATTACACCAAATGTTCCAGTAATAACTTTATATTTAGAGAAGGACGATAAAATGAACGACTATCCAGAAATAATTGACGACGTTATTGAAGACCAGGAGATAGTCGAAGATGTACACTCCGATTTAGAGGGAGAGATTCACCCTTATTCCTTTAACGAAACAAGGAGCAACATACCCTTCCTCTCAGATTACTCTGGTGATTCCAAATCACCAAAGTCGTATCGTTCAGAGGAACGAATATATACTCAAGACTACAAACCAAGTGAATTACCAGACGATAGCATATCTTCAGTGGGGACAGATGAACTTGTTGCTCAAGCTAAAAGTAGCTTCAGCGAAGAAGCTATTTGCTCGTTTGAAACTTTTAGCTCGGAAAATGAAGCCATCAGTCCCCCACTTAGTACAACGAAACAAAGCTGGGGATCTCTTCATGCCGTTAAAGAAATGAAAGACGAGAGCATTGAAACTGATGACGAATTAGAAAGATTACGCTTGGAGAGGGAAAGAATCACAACTATGCTCTCGAAAGATATTTTACCATCGACCTCTCAAGTAGAACTTGCTGAAGCACAATTGCACTATGTACTGGGCCAAACTGATACACTTCTACAAGCTTTAGATCGGGATGACGACGATGATTCGGCTTTAGAAGATGTATTAGTCGGATTTAAAACTCCCGAAAAAGATCTGGAAAATATAAACGAGGACTTTCAAAAGAAGTTTAGAGATGAACTTGTTGAAGAGAAACAAGGTATTGAGGACAAAATCTGTAAATTAGAGACGAAACAAAAACATAAAGAAAGAGCAAGACTGGAGGATGAAATAGCTATGTTAGAAAGAGAAGAGAAAAGACGAACTACAAGACCTTTTCCAGTTAAAAGTGGAAAGCTAGAGAGATCAGCTCAAATCAACGCTTTTAAAATGGAAAGATTATTAGAAAATTCAAGCTTCGAAAGAAAACGCTTTGTTCCCAGATATAGAAGTGTAAGTCCTTTCGTTCTTGAGGAAGAAGATAAAGATGAAATACCAAATGCTCCAATATACGCTGAATCTCTTACCCCTAAACAAAGAATGAAATATTTGGCAAACAAACGAAGAAGACTAGTTAAAGACTCAACTTTAAGAAGAAATCCAATTGTCTCTTCATCAGCTGGAGATTTAATAACTTCTACAACGTCACTGACTTATTCAACATCAATTATTTCAAGTTCTCGAGCAAGTCGAAACATGAATCTACCCGGATTAACCACCGTCTACGACCGACCTCGTGCAGTATCAACGCCTCAGAAGGAATCAGATTGGGATGATCTCACTAAGAAACTTTTAGGCGAATATCAAGAGGCTAGAGGAACTAATGAATTAGAAATAAAAAAGGCGAAAGAAACGTTTGAGAGAAAACCACAAAATCCTGAAAGTTTGTTAAGTTTTGAAGGTCATCTTGGTAGAATAGCCAAATTGGAAGAGGTAAGAAATAAAGATTAGATATGCTCCATATGTTTTATTTTTTTTTAGATTTTAATATAATTAAATACTAAAAAATAATGCACTTGATTCTTAACTCCAATAGTTGAATGTTTTACAAAACTAACTCGTGTTTTGTTGTTTTTTTTCTTGTTAGAGAACACCTACTTATCCGCATGGTCACTTGCCTAAAAGTAAAATTACGGTATAAAATAATTTATAATTATCTTTTATTAAATAGAATTTATTAATATTAAAACAAAAGTAGAGAGAATCTAATATGAATAATATTTAATAATACAGGCAATAGAAGCTGAGATTGATCGTATGAAAGCGAAATATAAAACTGAAAAGTATGTACCAGATTTGAGGTATGTTTTATTTTCCCATTTGGTTCTGCTTTTGAAGCTATACATAACTTTATTTCATTCTACAGTGCAGCGTACCTGAATCCCCTTTCAGCAGCTGATGCAATAATCAACCGTCACGAAAGAGCTTTAGCAACTATAGACCGAAGACGTCATAAACCTCCAAAGAATAAATAGGCAAGAGGAAACTGCTTTTAACATATCGAATAAATACAATTGCAATAATGAAAAATGGATTTGGATAGAATAAAATTTGACGAGGAGAGAAAATATGAAATCCTGCAGGATGTTTTAAAAAAAAACAATACACACACAAACTGAATATCTGTGATACGTAGAAAAGAAAAAAAGTTTGCTGTGATCTAACTGAAATCCATTAAGAATGTTAAAGACTAATTATTTTTATATTCCATTTATATCAAAGTCATTTATTTTAACTATTAAAATCTCCTTCTATTGTTTTTGTTGGTTTATAAAGGAACGAAACATTGTAGTACTTAAACCATTTTGGGATACAAAGATGAAACATTGCAAAAATTGTATGTACTTTACGTACATTAAGATAGAATACTAATGTGTTTTATTAAAGTTTTTTTTTTAAAAAAAAACACCCACACAAAAGTGTATATAGAACCTGTTAATGTGCTAATGATAAATATATGTATGATGTATATATAAATACCTTCTGTACAATGTATGTGCTATATTTCTCAAGAATAACCAAGGTTAAACATTTAATTAAAAGCAAAGTTAACTGTGATGGTTTATTAACTTGTCTACATTTTGTTTTTTTTTGACATACACTACAAGAAAAACTTGTAATTAAATTAACTCTACGAAGAAAAATGATTTCGTTTTATTAGAGTGTCTATATATATATATATATAGACAGTATATACTGTATATATATACAATATATAAATTTATATATATATATATATATAAATATATGTGTATACATATACGCATGTATATTGTATTTATATGCAATATATAATTATTTTTCTCCAGACCTGTGACCTAGAAAATAGATGAAACGTCTTTACTTTTTAAAGAAAATACATATTTTTTAACAATTTTTAATAATTCGAATTTATAAGATCTAAAACTCTATATCAAAAAGAACCTAGACATAATAAATAATTCATAACAAGCTAGCCGATAGAAATCGAAATTGTGACGTCAGAGCATTATATGTACATAATATACATACTGCAGTCGAACGTCGTGTTGCGAAGATCCTGAGGAAAACATTACTCTCTGCTTTTTTTATGTTTTATAACCTGATAGAAAAGGATGAAAATCTTATTTTTAATGTTTTTATTTAGTAATTCGTATGAAATCCATCATGATATTGGTAAGTATTACTTTTAAACTATGAAGTTTTTCTGTAGTAATATATTATATAGCTGACTGTCCACATCTCAAATTATTTGTCATAGACATGAAAGGGTTTATGTCTTAAAAAAGAAACTATAATAAGACTAAAAAAGAGATGTATTATGTTTCTTTTGATATTTTTAGGTATACTTCAAACTGGAGTGACTCTTATATCAAATAATTGGATAGAGTTTACCAAATATTCTGTAAACAAGAATGAAAATGTTACTATAGATTTTAGAACAATCTCAACTTCAATTGATACACCTTCGCTCAAATCGATTCGCAAAGGTTATTATTTTAAATTATCTACATTTTTTAATATACAGTAAAATAATAACTGATATACTTTTATAATATTCTTTAAATGAATATTTATTAATACCTTTTGTTTAAATCAGTAAATGAATTTATATGTTCAAATCAACTAACTCTACTAATATCAACTGATGTATGTGCAAAAACGATTGAAACTCTTCTACCTTCTAATTTTCCCGTAATAAGAATAAATAGTAGTGCGGAATGTGATAAAACTAGGAGGAATTCTTTTAATCTTCCTAATACTCTAACTACTGCAGAAATATTGTTGAAACTTATGAAAAGTTTAAATATGGAAGCATGTTCTATCTTTATTGATATGTCAACGAGAGGTAAGTTTCGATAAAGCTATTACATTCTATTGGAGTAGATTAAGATAAATTTCATTAAAAACTACTTATCCCTGAAACTTATCAATTACTTGTTTTCATAAATGGTCAAATATATTATACAAAATATACATATGGAAAAGAAACCTTTTTAACGTTTTGAAAGTGATTTTATAGGAATTCAATAGATTATAATAGAATTGTTTTTATATTGTACTGTTGCAGTTATTCATAATAGAATTTATTTAAAGGGTTAAATTTTAGATAATTAATAATAGTGATGCATAACATATACAATACTATAATTACAGTATATGATGAGTGTGTTTATGTGCAGGTATTGATATCGAGCAGAGAGTATTTTATTTTGTATACTATTTTAGGTAAATTCTATTTGGTTTTTTCCCTTAATATTGATAATATAAAACTACGAGAGTAAAAAAAAGTGAACAATACAACACTAATATACGACTTCAAGCTAAAAGCTAAGAGAAATTAGTGAGCTTTATATTAAAAACTATACTATTATCCTTTTCAATAATATACTATATATGGTTGATATATTTACTCAAACCGTATTTGGAGAATAATTTACAGTTGTTTTCATATAATCAATTAAGCTAATGGAATAAATAAAATCGCTCTTTTTCTCTATTTGTCACACACACCTTCATTAGCTCTTCTTTTACTCTCTATCACAAGTCATAGGTAACGCGAACAAGTTCATAAAAGCATCTAGGTATTAAATAATAGACGCCTTTATTTAGAAACTATCTATTTACATGAACGCCTCTCCATATAAGATAATAGAATTTCTGGATTAAGATACTTCATTCTTTGATATATATATTGTATACTGTATATTGTAAATATATACATATCTTTTCTTATACAATATTTGAAAGAGTCTATCTTTTAGCTTGCAAATCTAATGTTTGAAAAAATTATCGGGTACACATTAGTCGATATGGTATTATTTATTCACATTTTTATTAGTTAAGGTATATTTATGAACAATATTTATGATGAAATATTAAATTTTCAAGACTGCTAAGAGTTTAGTGTATCGTGTGGAATAGGAAATATTGATTTGCCATGGAAAGGCCGTAGACTTGCATCTATATGGAAACTGTTTAGAGTAACAAAGACACAATAAGTGCTATAAAACAAAGAAGCCAAATACACCTATTGTTCAGAGTAAATAGAGAAACATCCTGATATTCAATATTCAATGAATGTTTTTGTTCATTTTAGACAATTCTTGCATAATTTAAGTATAAGTTTTAGTTATATAAATGTTCGCTAAATGCGCTTAATAAAACTATATATATGGTATTTACAAATAAGGCGTAATATATACATTGTAAATTGCTTTTTCATTACATTTCATCAACAATCTTTAAGATATTGTCTATATTTTATTGCATTTTAATTATTGAACTAAGAGATTCTAATTTTTGTATCTTTATCATTTTATTCAACAGAATATTTGCTTTATAAGATATTGGATGCAATTAGACATTTAAACATTAGATGTAAAATAATCAATATAAAAGACTCGGACGATGACGAAGATTTAAGAGATTATATTGAATCTACCGAAAAAAACAACCTACAAATTTTTAAGGCGTCTACTTTTAAAACAAGGCTATCAAAGAATAATAATATTCTTCTTTGTTCTCTACGTAATATTGAACGCTTAATAGATCAGGTATTTTCCAATTTCTTTCCATCTAAATCATATTAATTTTTCGAATATTTATAATATTTATACTGGATACTATAAATTGATTTGAAACAGATAAATTATATTGAAAAATATCGAATGCTCACTAAAGGAGCTATATATCATAATAGATGGTTAATTATAGAAGAAGGAGCAATTGAAAACATTCTTCTAGAAGTTGCAAAAAAAATTAAAGATGTTGATAACTTTGCTGCTTTATCTATTATGGAACCAAAATATGTTACTCTTGAGAGTCGTTTTCAAGTAAGAGAAACCTTTTGACCTTTCCGGGTCAATTCTTCATCGATTGTAAATAATATCTTTTTTATTTCCTATTCTTAAGGATGCAGTCTTTAAATTATACAAAGTTTTAGAGGGCATCTACGACGATCCGTCCTACACTACATCAACATCCTCTTGTGATGCTTATTATGCCGATATCTTTAACGACTTGTTGAGGAACACGTTTGATACTAAAGAATGCAGTAGATTTAAAATGTATCATTTTCCACCCTACTCGAAAAAGTTTGAAGAGACCCTTTTTTGCGATAATGATCTACAATCATTAAATTTCGATGTGTTTCCTAACGAAAAATACGGGTTTAATGGAAGGAAAATGGTTGTTGCGACTTTACCGGTAAAACACAAAATTACTTTTAATAAATTTAATGAAAGTAATAAGGATATTTGTCTACACCTAGTTTGCTCCATTTGTCAAAAAGAAGACCGTCAAAGGAAAACTAGTCTATTCAGGAGTGTGCATTGATCTTTTAAATGAATTTGCATATTTACTTAACTTTACGTAAGTCCTTAAGAGCTTACTTTCTATGGGAAACTGTAAAGTTTATCCATAAATAAACAGCTATGACATTATCGAACCCGCTGATCAACAATGGGGAAAACAGCTTCAGAACGGAAGTTATACCGGATTAGTTGGAATTATGCAAAAGCAAGTAAGAACTTGTTTAATAAAGAAACTCCTTGTAAAATTTTTAAAAAAGTGATAGTAAGACATTTCATTACAGGAAGCAGATTTACTCTTCGCTCCTCTCTCTGTAACAGATGCTAGGAGGAAGGTTATGGATTTTTCGACACCATATTATTTTGAATATTCATCTGCACTTATCAAATTACCCGGAGAGAATGAGGGCAAGTGGAAAGTTATAACAGAACCATTCAGATGGGAGGTATATATCTATACAAATCTTTACTTATTCCGCCTACGTTACATCTGCTAATTAATATTATTTATTCTAAATCCCGCTATACTAAATAATATTAGTAAGAAAAATAGAAAAAAAATCCATTACCAGACACAATTACCTACATATATATTCTGTTACTATTCGCATTTGCAGTCTCAAAAAAATGACAATTTTTTAGACGTATTTAGTAATATTGATAATAATCCTCTAAATGCTATCTTCATCTTATACCTCATCTTTCAGGTATGGCTATGTATAGTAATGTCAGTGCCCTTTACTGGTGTTATTGCTTGGATAATAACAAAAATTTCTCTGTATTTAATGAACGGAACACCACTTTTCATGGAAGATATATTTAGAATTTGGGATAAGAGTATGTGGTACGTTTTCGGTGCTCTACTCACACAAGGTTAGCTCATACAACACCTGATGATTATATATACAGTATCTATACATATGATGTAAGAGAATATCACCCAATTAATTTCTGTACATGTACCAATCGCTAATTAAGTATTGTATATAAATCCCTTGGCAACGTGACGCTAAAAGGAATAATTAATTTCACAGGTGGAGCCTACCAACCAAGAACGATGCCCGGTAGGACAGTTATTGCTTTCTGGTGGTGTTTTTCTATAGTGATGGTAGCGACCTACAGCGGAAACTTAATTGCCTTCCTTACAGTTTCTAAGCAAGAGATACCTTTTAATAGTTTGTCAACTCTGGTAGAGACAAGCAATTATAAATGGGGATTGATGGGAGGTACCTTTTACGAGGATCATCTAAAAAATGTCACAGATCCCATTCTTAAGGAGTTCTATACAAAGATGAGAGAGTTTTATGAAGAAGATAAAAGTATATTAGATATAGTATTCTCAAATCATATAGAAAAAGTTAAGAATGAAAAATATACTTTAATCAGTGATAAAACTTCATTGGAGTATGAAGTTATACAAGATTGTTCACTATCTACAATAAAAGATAAATTTTTATCCTTTCCTTACGCAATAGGAATGCAAAAGGGGTCACATTTTTTTCGAGAACTTGACGAATTGTAAGCATTTAGTAAATTAATTTTAAATATTTTTAAAAGATCTACTTTGAATTCAGATTATTATCCCTACGTTCTGGTGGAATTATTCAATTTTGGCATAACAAACATTGGCCAAAAGATAAAGGTTGTACATCCCTTAATCAGCCTACTTCGAAACCCGTTACAATTTTGGACGTTCAATCTGCATTTTATATACTCTTAGGAGGGCTATTTATCTCTCTTCTCATATTAATATACGAACTAATCAGACAGAAATATTTTCCTGAAAAACTGACATCAAAGACGATTAAGATAGAAATCAATTCGAAAGAAGAGAATATTGAAAAGAAGCTTAATTCTCAGAGTAATGAAACTGTTGTTACTAGGCATAAGCCAAAAATGAATAATTTATTCTTGCCTGATTAATTTTATATAAACTGTATATATACATAATATAAATAGACTTTTCATCATCATTTACATCTTTCATTTGTTTATATTTTGATTTTTAATATAAATAAACAACAAAGAAATAAGATATAAGTTTTTAAAATCATTTGAAAGCCGTATTCTTGAAAGAAAGTAAAGATTGTTTTCTTCCCTGGGGAACACATCATTTCTTAAAAGGAAAATAAATATCATTGAAATGAATAACCTTTGTAGTTTAAATATAAGCTTTGTATAGATCGACGTTGAAAGTAAATGATAATTATGATATACACCTTTATCAATAGAATATCTAATATACAATAAATGTATATACACATAAATATATAAATATATATGTACAGTACAAGTACTAGATATGTTCATATGTCTGTACTAATACTAGTTTTATTAATTACATATCTTACCAAGTAATTTTACATTATCTATATATTGTAGTTTGTTCATGAGTATCTTGATTCTTTATCTGCTATTATTCTATTCTTCCTATTTCCTTTCTTTATTTTCAAAACAGCCAGAACGCTCGATAGAATGGTATAAAAAATAAATAGTAAGTCTTCTATAGAAAACTCTTTAAAGAGATAATAGAATGTAATTTCGACTTTATTAACGCTATTATTATCGTAATGTTTTGATCGATTTAACAATAGTTAAGTTAATGATTTAATATTTAGTATAATTATTACTAAAGTTATTTAACTAATGGAAACCCTTAAAACTTATATTGTATATAAATTTTTAGAAATTCAAAAGACCTATTATATAATAGAGTTCAGCGTAGAGAATAAGAACTTTTTCTTGGTATATACACCTTTAGAATACCTCTCTAAACTACTGTTTGGTTAATTGAATATGATTTCGTAACACCAGATGGCTGCTTAGGAACAGGACAAACTTTACAAATGTCCGACAGATAATTTACACTATTGAATTTCGCTGAAGAACGTAAGATATCTTTAAATACAAATTGATATAAATTTTAGAAATATTATTGCTAATTCTTTAATTACTAAGATTCGTTTAGACTCCTAATTATTTATTCTTAAGAAAGAAATTCAGGTCTAACTTTTTACTGATTTTTTGGCTCCCTTCCAATTAGATCAATAACTCTCTGACGAAAATCAATAAGAAATAAAAGCTTCGTATTTACCAAACGTATTATTGCTGCTAGAAAACTTACAGTTTTGTATTAACCATGGAGAGGAGAAGTACTAATTCTCTCCCCCCTGACCAAAACGACGGTAAGTTATACATAAAACTATGTAAGAATTAATTAACTAAATTATGTAACTTTTTAAAAATACAAAAGATACTGGGAAGTTGCCAGAAAATGCTGAAATACAATTTCCCACCACACTGGAACGTCAAAATGAGGTTACGTTTGAAAAAGAAGAAACTGCTGAAGATGGAACCAAGATTAAAACGGTTAGAAACATTATATAAGCATTTAAAATAATCATACTTGAAAATACTCTATATTTCAGACAAAGCATACCTATGAAACACGTGAATTTGTGGATTTAGAACATGGAGAAGCAAAGAATTTTGACCTTGGAGAATATGGTAACTATAGTTTTAATAAAGTAATAAGACAACTATGTTGATGTCTTGTTAAGAAAACATCTTTTCTTATTCAATAAAGAATGTTATGTTTTCCCCTATAAGCTTTGTTTATTCAATGAATTATAAATTCTAAATTTGTTTACCGCAGAACCTCCTGAAAGAGATGAAGCTCTACCAGACCTTAACACTCTCATGACAACTCTGCAAGAAGGTGAAGATCAGGAAATGCCATCCCTATTTCGCCAACCTGAGAACGTTCCTTCGTATAAAAAGATTACAGAGTTACAATGTGAAATTGAGAAAGATAAAGTAGAAGAGTACGTTTCTAAATTCGAAGAAGGTGTAAGGGATGATGTGGTAATGATTGGGAGTATTTCATTAGAAGAAGTTCAAGAAGAAGAAAAGAGATTACGTGATGAGCATATAGCGTATAGAGAACAGGAAAAAGAAGAAGAGAGAGACAAAATGATTGAACTTAAAAGGAGGGAAGAAGAAGCTAAAAAACGAGTTGACGAATATTACAAAACCAATAAAATTATTATTGACAAGAGAAAGGAGGAATTAGAAAGAGTTGAACGTTTAGCAATAGAAAGAATGCAAAAATCATACTTAAAGAGTGAAAGTCAATTGATTTCTTGTCTTGAAAATAGGAAAGGAGAAGTAAAAACATACTATGGCGATCTTGCTACAGGTGATGGATATTTTGGTGGATCCAAGGGCAGAAGATGGAAAGTAGATTGGGAAAGAACTCCTCAACCTATACAAATTAAACTAAAAAGCCTTAGGGGAGTTAAGGATAAATTGCCAGGAGGGCGTTACGTTGTTATGGTCTCTCTCTATAACAGATTAGGTGGCCATGTTTTAAGATGGTCACAGATGAAAGGCCAAATGTGGGGAGGTTCCACAGAACCCATTACTCATGATGGATTATTTCATAATACGGAAATAAAACTAGATCAGAGTGTATTTACAACTCTACCATCTAGACCGGATATTAGACCAGGCATGGTTTTAGTCTTTGAAATATTCTTGCTAAGGGGAGCTGTTGTTTCAACTGATAGAGTTGTAGGCTGGGGTGTCTTCCCTATCGCTGACGGAAAGTTTGAAGTAGTTGAAGGCAAGTACAAGTGTCCCTTTCTCAGAGGTGAAATGGATTATCAAATTGACAAACACGAGAAAGTGGAGGAGTTGATGTCCTCTGACATGGATCATTGGCTTTGCAATATGTATTTCGAAGTAATAAGACTCCCTAGATATCTTGCGGGACAAAAGGAGTATGAAGTCGAGTTGCAATTCTCTTCCGGTATGCTTGGTTTCCCGGATAGAATTAATACAGGTGAAGAATATAGAGATGGAGAAGCTCCAATTCCAGGATCTTTGGGCGACATTGACGATTCAAATATAAGTCAAAGTCGAATTTCACTGTAAGAAATTTTGTTGTTTTTATTCAAATTAAGTCTAGAATAATTCTATAATTTCCTAATATTTTCAGGGATTCAAAATTGTCAATCAATTCAAGCCAAACAACAGACAACAATGATAACTTTGCTTCTAAGAGAGCAAAGAAGAATAGTGACAGAAAAAAAAGGCATTCGGAATCAAGTTCGAATGATGCAGACATGGATTTGAGAAAGAGACGACCTGTTACTACATTATCTTCTCGAAGAGCTCATAGAGAGCATAAAGTTAAATTGGATTTCACTTCTGATTCGGAAACAGACTACGATGAAGATGATGCCTACATTATGAAGAAAGAAGAAGGATTTTATCCGGTAAAAGGGCAGGCTGGTTTGTGGTACAAGGTGAGTTCAGACTCTTCTTATTATTAATGTAGGTTTACGTTTGTAATAGCTTTGTGCTTGATAGAAACATCGTTACAATCCACAAGATCACTATTTTAAAAAGTATTTCGCACTGTTACCAAGAACACCAATTTTGAATCCTAAAAAGAAACGTAAGAAATTAACCTATTTGGAACAATTGGAAGAGCATTCTATTGCTGTTAAGTAAGTTTTAACTATATTTTTTGTTAAGAACAGATAAACAAAGTTTCTTTTTTCGTATAGGCGTCCTTTTAGCGATAAAGGTCGGCTATCAACAGCTAACTATGAGAAACTTGAATACGTTGGTCGTCAAATGATGGCAGAACTTGGACTATCACAATGGAGAAGCCGAGAATTTTGGGGAATGTTGCTGATGTTTCTGATTGTGTTTTGGCTTCGGTTATACATGCATTATATTGGACAATGGATTTTTCTGCAAGGACTTGAAATTCCAATTAATAAGTAGATATTTCGTTAACTTTTTACATAACAACATAGTATATATGTCATTATTTCAAAAGGTTTGATTTTCTTCCATACACCGTCAACTTGAACTATCAAAATACGCTACTACAAATCCGAGAGGAGGTTGCCCTGGTTCTGCTTGGGCCGCTTACGAATATAATATTATTCGTTATCCTGGTCGTCGTGAGTTGGGGTTGTCAAAGAATTCTTGGGATGTTTCCAGATATCGGCTCAAAGTTTACTATTGCAATGGGTCTACAAGCTTGTCTGGATCCATTCCTTATTGCAATAGTTGACAGTGCATTAAGAAGATGGAGAAAATTGGGTGGAGATACCCCTATAGCAGATTATGCTAAGCTATATTGGACATTCCAAAGAATAGAAGGATCCGGGTTGGCTGGAATATTCATTACGGTTCTTCTCTATGCTTTTACATGCTTTGCAGCTGGAGCTATAGTCTATATGTATTTCTTGAGGTCGGTTAATATTCAATATGAGACTATAATTTAAAAGCTTTTCTTTTTAAATTATATTTTGTAGATTACACAATAATGGCAGAATGTTGGATATCTATTGGAGATTACATGGAGAAGAAGATGTTTTCTTTATCCCCTATGACTTGGAAATTTCTAATCACGAACTTTCCTACCTAGTTAAGAAGGCAGAACAATGGAGAGGTGAAGAAGGTGAGAGGCGCAAAGTGGCAGTATACGATTATGTCTGGGAGGAGGAGACCGTAGAAGAGACAGTTTGGGATGAAAACGGAAAACCAGTGACCAAACTAAGCGAAGGAAAGAAGGAAATTACTACTCATATTTCTATTCATACTTTGCATTTGGATGGCCTAAAAGAGTTATACAGACATTTTCTGCGATTACCTGACGGAGCTATTTGTGAGGTATGTACTAAGCATTCGATCAATAACCGGATTCATTTGAAATATTAATGCAGGTGTTTGGTGATGTAACTATTCCTGGAATGGATAAGGACGTAACCAAACTAATTCAGAAAGACACAAATATTGGCAGCAAAAATAAAATTTCAAATTCTAGCCTGTTGAAGGTGATAATTATAAACAACTTGATTTATCTATTAGACTAATATTTTTTCTTTGTAAGATGGCGGAACCAGATCGTTTGCCAACAGCTGCTAGTACTTTCCGACCTATGACAGTTGAATCTCAGATAGATATGGAACCAACCGAAGACGGCGCAAAAGGTAAAGCAGACCGTTTTGACGATGGTCATAGGAAAAAAGGCTATCCAACAGCAAGTAAAGTTGTAGTACCCGGACAAAAGAAGAAATTCTAACCAAAAAAACTTATCTTATTTTAAAGCAAAACATGATAATCCTTATCTCTGATGGTCTTCGAAAAAATCTTTGTCTTCCAAATTTACATATTTTGTTTTCCCTTTTCCTGGCTGGACCAATTTTTAAAATCAAATAAATGCAGTTATTTAGACTAATCATTGTATTTAAATATAATTTACTGGACAAAACTACCATTTCGTGAATTTGAAATTATATCCAATGTGTTCTATATTTTATAATATACCAAGTGGACAGTAGATTAAAAGTAATACGTATATCGATAGAGTATTTACATAAAAACAATTATAGCTGAATATACATTGTATTTTATTCATCTATATTTATTGTTGTGAAGTGGTTCATTTCTTAAGATTTATTAAATAACATAGAAATGAAGAATAAGTGAAAAATTAAAGAGAGAAAAACAATAATGCCAACCTTCCTTCTGAAAATATAAACGTATTTAGTAAATACAAACTAGTATTCTGAGAATAGTATTTACATACAATTATCTATGTAAATATCAATCTTCATACATTTTTTCTTAGTAATAAATTAACCATAATGTATTATATAATATTTATGATGGAAAGTTCTTCCATCATAGAATACTCATTGTAATAAGCATAATAATTCTCTCTATCATATATGATTTATGTAATTATGTATAATTTAAAAATAAAAAGAACATATATATTCAAACATATTTTAATAATTAATATAAAAAAATGATGCTCATCCTAATTATCATCAGTATTATTCTATCAAAAAAAATGAGAGAAAGGGGGCAGCAGGGACAGAAAATTCTCTTTCATTGATTTATTGACCATTGTCTTCTTTATCTACTTGAAAACAATTTAAACCAGCTTGAATTAATCATGCCATTGTTTTTAAAAACACATAAGTAGATAAAGAAAGAAATATACTAACATTTACATAAGCCTATTTTATCCTCAATAAAAAAGATTAGTCTATTTTCTTAATACATTTAAGATGAGACTAGCTAGGATGAAATAATTCATATTAGTGACTGAAGGTGACCCTTAGATATTATGCTATGAATTTTTAAAAGAGATTAAATAGGGTCTGAAAGGATTATTTGTACATTATTATTTTTCACCTAAATAGGATGTTATTTGAAATAAAGGTTTCTCAGTATCTCTCTTTAGTACAAACATCTATGTCCTAATCATATCAATTTTCAGTCTCTAAAATAATAGGAAAATTACTTATCTTATTTACTTGATACTGTACGGATATCCTGTGTCAATTATATACAAATAACAAAATTTGATGATATTAAACAATTTTATTGACAAAAATGGATAATCGTATGATACGACTTATCTATAAATATTGCTCAGTCTGCCAGTAGTATGATAGCAACTAATCACTTCACAACTGAAGCAGATTTTCTACCTAACAAACCTTCTATTAAATAAAACAGAACTATGAAATATTTTGCCGTCGTATTTTTGGCTTTCTTTGCCTGTAACTATTTATTAATTTTTAAATTATTATTGTTATTAATACATATTTTCTTTGATCAGCCGCCTATGGAAGAAATTATTGCAATTGTCCAAGAAATTATGATCCAGTATGTGGCAATGATAACAACCAATATTCTAACGAATGTGAAATGGAATGCAAGTAAGATCATTATATATTACGGACGGAAAGTATTTCATTTCATAATGTTTCTTTCTTTCAAAAGAGGTGTACTCTTGAAACACCGTGGACCATGTGACTCTCCAAGAGATGTTGCACCAGTTTGTTTCTGTCCATTTATCTACAGTCCCGTTTGCGGTAGTGACGGAAAAACATATTCTAACGGCTGTGAAGCTGAATGTGCTGGAGCTAAAGCTGTAACTACTGGAGAATGTCCCAAAGTTTGTAACTGCTTTAAAGATTACGATCCCAAATGCGGCACTGACGGTCGTACTTATGCTAACACTTGCGAGGCTCAATGCCAAGGTGTTGGCATCATCCATTCCGGACGTTGCAACTGCTTGACAACATTGGACTTAAATCCAGTCTGCTCCTACAACGGAAGAACTTATGACAACCCATCTCAAGCCGCTTGCGAATTTGCTCCAATTAGAAAATTGGGTCATTGTTAATTTAGAAAAAGGAAAAATATTCCAAAAATTCAAAATTCCTTATGTTAGAAAGCATTTTAACTATGATTTTCCTAAGAAAAAGTATTAGATTTGGTGGTGCAATAATTGTTAAAAGCTTTATATGTCCGTTTTTATAAACAAAATAGATATTTTCATCAATAAAATAGTGAATTTCAAAATTTCAAATTGATGTTAATCACTTTAGAGATTTTTTTTTATTAAAAATTTATCATAAAATTATCCATTAGATCGATTTTAATCATTTAGTCGAAAAATTTGTTTTTTTTAGATAATAAATAATAAAAAATATTAAGCTATTATTTCAATATTAGGGGAAAAATTAGATGCATTATTCCAGTCAATAAACGATTAAATGTTAGCCTATTGCAAAATGCATAACATTTATAAAAATTTCAATAAGCTTGAACACTTGCTATTCGAGATTACCTCAATTTTTACAATATTAGACAATGTTACAATTGTATTTAAGGTTTTTTTTTATAAAAACCATATGTGAACATTTAACGAACAGCTTTATTTATAATTTTCCTCTGGGTGCGCCCATTACAATTATTCATTCACTAATTACTGTAAAAAGTTAATTCAGCTATTACACTTTCAGTGTAGATACAATAGCTGAGTATTTCTCGTTTCAGCATGGAGAGCTTGTTTAAATGTTTATTGGTTATTACTTTATGTTCAATTGGAAATCTTGAAAAGCCAAACGTTAAAATAAGAGTTACAGAAAATGGACTACGTTTCAGTTAGTTATACTACAATAAAATTGAATGCTTTGTAAAATATATTAAGACTTCCTGAACTATTTGTTTCCTAGTTAACGATTTTGCACCGGATATAATCATGGAGGCATTAAGAGAGATAAAGTTTCCGAATATTGGAGAGAGTTCTTATGGATTAGAAGCAGAAATATACAAGTAAAAATAATATTTACAAATATCAGGACAAATAATATAATATCTGTATATATACATTTGTTAACAATTTAGTATAAGACTGGTTGAAATACCTAAAAGACTGGATGTTGATATTTATACTGTTGAAGGAGTTGGCTTACAAATTTACGTACGAAATGTGTTCATTAAGATTCGGTCTGATTATTCTTATAAGTTTTGGTCTATAAGGTAAAACAAGAGTATACATTACAAAATATTACTCAAAACTAAAATATGAAAATACAACAGTTCTAGCAAAGGAACGATGGATGTTGATACAGTAAATTTTGGCGTGAAAGTTTTAATTTCTAATGATAATAGTAGTGGAAAACCATCACTTCAAATTACTGAATGTACTTCGTCAGGAGATGTTGCTATTTCTTTTGGTCATGATATTGGGTATATAAAAAAATTGTATATAATTGTGCACTTGTCATTTAAATCTAATTCAGATCTGTTTTGAACATAATCACAACGATATTCCGCAAAGATTTGGTCAATTTAGTTAAAAATTCGATATGTACAACTGGTAGAGAAAAAATTAATGATGTCCTTAAGCGATATTTGCCAAATGGTAACAAAATACGATCGTAAAGTTCAAATCAAACTGTGTATATATAATTCTATTTATTATGACGAATAGCTAAATTTCCGGTGAATATTGATTCAAAAAAGTACTCTTTTAGCTTAAGTTTAACGGAACCAGTCACTTTTAAAAAAGATTATTTTGATATAAAGGAAAGGGTAATATATCATTTCGTTAAGTTTAAAATATCAACACTTTTTAGGGTTTAAATTTATTAGGTAGAGCTATTAGAATTTAACTCTCAATCGAAATATCCTGTCGCACCACCTCAAATACCTGATATGGACAATAATGTTTCAAAAATGGTCTACTTGGTTTTATCAAGCCATGTTATTAATTCTGCATCATACTCACTATTTAGAGCTGGTGGATTGTCGATAAGAATAAGCAAAAATTCTCCATTTATTCCTCCAGAAATGAAAAAATACTTTCGTTCAACTTGCCAAGAGAATGAAATATGCTTGGGAAATTATCTTCAAACAGTAAGTATATAATTTTGTTATTCTCCATTTCCTACAATTTAGAGAATTTACTAAAAATGTAGATAAAGACAAAATATCCTAATCACTCTTTGTCGTTATTTGTACGAGCACTCAGACAGCCAACTGTTTCAATAAATAATAATGAAATTAACTTGAAATTACAAGTTGCAATTGATTTAGAAGTTCAAAAGGATAAGATGTACTTTAGCATCCTTGAATCAAAAGTGGTAAGTATCAACGCACAATATCATTTATTATGTAAAATATTACAACTAAATAACTGGAAATTATTTAGAATTCATCTATTGATTGCGTACTAAATTTAGCTGGAGACGGTGTTGACCTTGATGTTACCGATATAAGGTAAACAAAAATTATTGTTGTGATTAGGAAAATTTATTGATTCATTTATCGACAGAGCAAAATTTGTAGTTGATAAAACAGAAATTAGTTTCTTTAAGTATGGTTCATTCCTAATAAATGGTTTGGCAAAAACATTCTTCCAAACTGTCTTAATTCCTGAAATTAACGGTAAAGCCCCTTTAAACAACTAATACTGCTTAGTTTACTTTTTCAAAGCTATAAATAATATAATTGTAATTAGCTCAAGGACCATTTCAAATTCCAATTATACAAGACATTCTTAAGATTGGTAATTTAAAGCTCGTCAACACAGGACATAAAGTAAGATACAATATAATTTAATCGTATGAAGCATAATAAATCAAAATATTTCTCTTTAATAGGATATTTTAGCAGTTGGTGGAGATCTGACGCTAGGAATAGAATTAAAAGAACTTTAATAATATTCATGAATAAGGAAAATTATAACTTATTATAAAAACAATATTATGTGTCTTTGAGATAGATAAAGATGAAAAGAAATCTTTATCTTTCATTTCTAGTACACAATATTTTTAATCTTTGCAAAAATACAGCTTTAGTATTCTCTTAGTCCATTTAACTTAGTTTTTTATTGAACGAATACTAAGTAAATTATTGATAATTAAATTAATTAAATATCATATTGATAAATGCCCGCCAAAAATTGAGTACATATACTATTAATATTAATTTCCTGTTCTTGGACAATATGAAAGTTGTTTTATTGGAATGTTTGCTGCCATTGTATTTATTATATTACAAACTAAACTAAATTGTAATATTAGCTCTAACGATACAACTGGAAATATTTGATCATATATTGCATTGTTTTAAACAAGAAGAAACTAGAACAATCAAACGGATAAGATAAAATATTACAAGAAATTTTTCGTAGAGCGAAAGAGTTGAAAAGATTTAAAAAGACACTCCAGGCAAATTATTATATATATATGAAGTCTGACATAAAGTATGGCTTTTTTTTGTTGCAAGTAGGTAGTTGCTTTTCATTTCTACATGATCATATAGATGGCGTCCAGTGATGTTGTATTTGTCATAAAAGTTAGAATTTATCATATGTATCCATTATTTGATGATATAAATATCTATTAAAACACAATATACTTTACATATATATATGAGATTTATCAAAATTTTGCTAACTTGTCAAAATTTAAAAGGATAGATTATCCTTGAAGGAAATCAATTATATCATAAAAATTTTTCCGAGTAATAGAATATAATACAATTGAAAAACCATAAACTAAAGAATTTATAGAACTAATCAGATAGTTCAGCTTGTTAAATTTAAAAAATAAAATATGAATGTTAAACTGATTTTTTGAACACTTAAGCCTTTCATGTAGAATCCTCAAAAATTAAATATACGTAATAATAACTTTGTTAATTAATAGCCTTGGTTACCATAATATAATGGAAAGTTTATATTGATTATAATACATGTATCGACATCATAATACAAAAAAAACAGATATATCTTTAAAATGTTGCAGTATGAAGGACTTTCTTTTAAAATATACCTGTAACAATTTTCCAAGAAACATATATAAACAGAGAAAGAAAACAGAGGAAAATCTTTAAAAATCATTTTATTGTAATGAAACATATATTGACAGACAAATAATTATAAAAAAACTAATATACGGTATCTTATCTATAAGGTGTGTATAATAAAGCTAAAAATATTTAGAATTTTCTATACAAACATCTATTTATAACAATGTACAACAACAAAATTGAACATCCGATAATATTTATTAAAACCTTGATTATAATTCAATTTCTTTCAGGAATTCGACAGAATTTCGAAATCATCTTTTTCCAATCAGTTCTAAATCTAGAACTTGAAAAATAATACACAAAAAAATTTAAAGCATTATTTCCAAAATAGATAAAAACTACTATTTGTTTAATATTGGCTGGAAAGACATTTCTTATTACAAAGGGAACGTAACATAATACAAATAAAACTGTTAATATAATTAAGACTTTTGCCAATTTCTTCGCTTCGCTGGCCTTTACTTTCTTAGTAGTTTTAATTGTTTTCTTTAAAGTTGAAGTTGTTGACAGATATTTATTTGTTTGATAATTTGACTTTAATGTAAAGACTGTTGTGTTTTCAATGGAGCTTTGAGCGTTGGAATTACTTGAAACTGAATATCCTTGATTCTCAATAGATGGACTTGCTGAGCTAACAGAGCGAACATTAGGTCTTATCTTATTTTTTTCCCTTTTCCATAAAGCCAAAAAGGCTAAGGTATACATTACAACAACTATAGAAAGTAGTACAAAGAAAAGTGTAAAGATGAACAAGCTAAAATACTGTCTAGCGTATATCGATACCAGCTTTTTCGCTCCAACAACTATCACAGTAATAAAGATATCAAAGAAAACAACATATATCGCTCTGTTACCCTTTAGAATAAATATTAATGGTTTCGCTAAGGCAATATATCTATCAATAGATATTGAAGTGAATAAAATGCCCATAAATATGAAAACATAATCCAAAATAAGCCCGAATGTTGTAAGTCCTTCATTGACTATTTTACCAAAAGCAAAGGCTATAGCAAGAGGTATTACAAATAAACAGGTTATCACATCTACTATAGCTAAAGTAATAATAAAAATTCTAGAGCTATTTTTTTCCCTATTTCTATAAATTACCAGAATACATAAATTTCCAAAAATACCAAGTAAGAAGATAATTGAAATGAAAACTAAGAATATATAGATTGCAATAGGTACAGCTTGCCACAGTTTGTCAGTTGAAGTACTATTTGAAAATTCCATAAGGTAATGTAACACGACGACTTAGCTTACTTTTTAAGTAAAAATACTTAAAGAAAACAACAGCAATTCAAGCTAGCCGAAATTGTCAAGTTTGTCAAATTATTTCATGAGTTTTTCTGTGAGAAAGAGTGCAGAAATTATGTATATAAATGCATGGACACTAATGGCAATACCATTGATCTTCCCATGTTATAAGTACTTTCAAAAGAAACCTGAATCGAGTTATAGCATCCGATTATACTAAGAAATGGATGCGAAATTTCTTATTATATTGGTTAAATACGTTTATAAAGGCATAATGTTTTATATAAAATCTACTGCAAATTAATCATTACATTTCTTTCATTTATTACTTTTTGTAAAAACAACACTGTATAATTTAGCTGTGATAATACAAAGGATTCAAAATTTGATAATATAAAACTAAGAGATAATAAAATTTTTGCTATATTCGAAATAGAATATCGTTCCACCTGCTGTTTATATATAAACGACTCTAATCTTTCCTTAGCTCTTTTTATAACAAAAAACATGTAAAATAGGTAATAACATTTATATAGATAAAGTGAAAGTAGGTCAGATATTAATTGTAACTAATAGAAATAATTATGTAATTTAAATAGAATTCTTTGCTTTTAAAAGTCTGTATGTTAATACTCTCTTTAATTATTAAATAACCATTTTTCATTAGTTATTAAGCAATTGTTTGCGTAATACATTCAATATTTTTATTTTTATATTGTGTAATAGTTTGAAAAGATGAAAATAAAAGAGATTTTTATCAGTCCATCTGCTACTTTCGTTCTAATATTATGTAAAAAAGAACAAGACAACTGTAAAGTTCCTAGCCTATATCTGATAAAATTTAGTGACGTTTTGTACCAATTAAATATTTTATTTGCCTAAAAATAAAATTTTTTTTGCTACAACAGTCGAATAGATTACCAAAAAAATATTAAATATTAATTATATCACGTATAGATAAAATAGGCCTACTATCAATAAATTATTCCTTTTTTATCCTAATAGGAATTATATTTAATTTTTCAACAAACCCGAGCAATTTTATATTAAATACATATACTATTTTATTAATAAATAGCTTATGTTTTATTGTTTATCTAGTTTTCATTGAAAAAAAACCAAGAAAAGCTTGAATGTTTTTCCTTTTTTGCTATTTTTGAATTCGTTAGTTTGATTTCTATTCTGCGTTAGTCAGAAGCTACAGTAGAACTTTACGAATAACATTATCTCAACATTATGCTAAGCTATTTGTTGCCGAAATAAAAGTTCAAGTACAACAAGTTGGATTTTTATGAAGAGTTTTTCTATTATCTAATCTATGCTTTTCCAATGTTTAAATTTAAAAGAAAACTTCTTTTTTACCGTATATGCTTTAATTGATATTTCCGGATGAAAGTTTGATTTAAACTTTTTATTTCATTTCGTTTAATAAAGGTAAAAGAATTTGAATTATATTCGATTTAGGGAAATAAATCTACTTTGAGAGGAGCTTAATTTATTAAGTATATTGGAGTATAAAGTACATTACGTGTCTATGATATATAAAGATAAAAATACTTATTAAGGCATTTTTATTGTTATTTTCAATATAGACTAGACTATCTATCATTGTCCACCTAGTAATAATTAGATATACAGTGTGAAAATAGGTTAAAGAACATATGGTTAATGATTCATACTTGCACGGTAAATGGTCAATCTATGTGCGCAATTCGTCCTTGATGAACGTTCGAATATTCACTCGTTAACATGGTTCAACTGAACTTTTATATAATGCTTTTACTACTTACTGTGGATAAAGTTGCAGAAGTATCTCTAGCAAGACAAAATTATAATTCTCGTTTATGTGTTGCAACCTGCTATGCAAGATGTAAAGATTTAAATTTTAAGGTAAGATTTTCTTGAATATTTTATTCAAAAATGTAATATTTTAATTATCAATACGATTTTCTGAAAATGCACAATTATACAAATATCTTTATTTTTACAGCCTGCATACTATAGACCATTGGTATGTATGTTTTAATTTAAATGGCATGAAAATTACCTTGTATTTCGTCTGTAGATTAAATGTCAGAATCAATGTAGAACATTAGAAAGTCATACTTGTCTTGTAAGTATTTCGAAATAATCGCTATAACTTATTGCTTTTAGTAAAGTTAATTTGCAAAAATCTGTATTGATAGACAAACTTTACCAACTGCCAAGAGAGGTGTGTGACAGAAGTTAGACGTATTGTTCCCGACCCTAATTGTAGAGAATTATGTGCTGACCCATATTTGCCAAATAAGCCGTCACCTTTAATTTCTTATAAAAATAATCCATACATTGTATTTGTCGAATGGAATGAGTCCTATACTCTTAATCATAATTATTATATTGTTGAAAACTTGAACGTAGAAAAATGCACTGGAAATACGTGCGCATGGAAACACATCGAGACGGTATAACGAATAGATGCTACTCTTCCAGTATTTACTAATTTAATCTAAAAATTTCAATAAATTTTAGACTTCTAATACAACGAGCTACTTTTATATGGATGTATGCGAAAATAGGAAGATACGTGTTGCCTCAGTTAATCAACATGGTACAAGAGGATATTCCAATCCTATCATAAGAACAAGTATATAAAGCTATTTTCAATATACTACAATATTTAATTTACTTTTATTATCTTATGGAAAAGATTTCCCTCAACCAAAAGTTCAACTTTTGGATAATTCGTTCGGCGCAACTTTTGATGGTTACTATTTTTATATAAATGCAACTTGGACAACACCTTTAGGTAATTAATACAAAAAAAGTTAAAATCTCTTCAACTTAACTACTTATAAGCCTTCGTTAACAGATTGGGATGAAAGAGACATTCAAGAATACGTTATTAATCCACAAGTAGCGAAATATTGTGAACATACGACCTTACCACCAGTTCCCATTGTAGAAAGACGAGATGTATGATAATCTTAAATTGAAGTAATATTTGAGAAGCATTCATCAAAAATAATATTTTCTTCTTAAAACAGAAATTTTCAGCCGATATACGAATATTTATATCTGGCTTTGGATGTTTGTATTATTTTAATGTGACTGCAATTTCGAGATGTGGAGTTAAAGGCATTCCAGCTGTGTTTAGCGTTAAACTAGGTTGATATTCTTTTTTTAGCTATCTTGTTTGGAATATTGTTATTTCGTTAAAATTGCGCTAATACTTAATCCTTTTCTTATGTCTAGAGTGTCGATCAATTGATGGATTTGATTGTCCAACTGAAAGACGTCAGTATATATTAGTTTATATAATTTTTATAAAGTCAATACAAATGTTTTCTCTAAACAAAATAGCCAAACAACCTCCACAAGTGCAAAACTTAACAGTTACTACCTTGTCCGGATATAATAACGTTAGAGTGAGCTGGAGGCTGCCCTTATGGAATGAATCCAGACCGGATTACTATTTTCTTATTTGGGGACCTTCCGAAAATTTTATTGCTCTTGATGATGTAGAGAACACCAAGCTAATGAATGACGTAACATATTTTTTAATCTTATGCACTTTAACGACCTATATTACACTATCTCTTTTTGTAGACAAATTTGACAGATGTATTTGAAACTGAGATTCACGTTCATAATATTACGCAACTATACCTTTTAGGGGTCAGTATGAATTTTCTTTAAGGAAAACGTTATAGTATTTAATACATAATAACAATTACACTAAAATAATATGTCATGATTATTATATAATATAGGTGGCACCACGAATTGGAAAGGTGATTAAGGATCCAGCCGATCTTCGAGATTCAGCGATTGCTTTCGCAAACTTTTTAGTAGGAGAAAGTAAATTTTGCAATACTGATTAACAACTATTAAAACAAAATATTCACATTTTAATTAGGTGTTGCTACTGATACGCCTAACACAACAAACACAAAAGGAATACTCATTGGAGTACTTCTTGGAACAGCTGCAACCATTTGTATAGCAATTACGATTGGTTTGACTGTTGTACGAAAGAAGTTAAGAGAAAAACAAAGAAAACGATCTAATTTTTCGCCTAATCCTTTTTATTATAAATGGTACAGTTGTAGTAGTTTTGCATAATTAGAGTTGAATTATTATAAATATATAATTGACAGTAATGAGACGTCGGATTCCCCTAAACCAGATGCCTGGGAAGTAAATAGAAATGATCTGCAGATCAGTGAAATATTAGGCGAGGGTAATTTTGGGCAAGTTGTAAAGGCAACTCTTAAAGGAAGAGAGAAGCCAGTTGCTGTTAAAATGTTATTAGGTTTGGATTATTTTTTTTAAGCCTGCTAAGAAGAAGACTAATAGAAATTCATCCGTTACAGAATATAGCTCTGTCCATAGGCCGGACTTTCTTCGAGAAATTCAGGTTATGAAACAAGTTGGAGAGCACGAAAATATCATTAATATGCTTGGATGTATAACAACCTCGGAGCCACCTTGCTTAATAGTTGAACATATGCCAAAAGGCGACCTTTATCATTACCTACAAAATGCAAAGACGGAAAACAATCTTATCAATGTTGATAAGCTTTTAAATTTCTCCATTCAAATAGCTACAGCAATGAGTTTCTTATCGAGTAAGGGATTTGTTCATAGAGATTTAGCAGCAAGAAATATTTTACTAGACGAAGGTGATAAAATAAAGGTTGGGGATTTTGGTTTGGCAAGATTTATTCAGGATGACAGAATATACGTATGTCGTAAAGGAGCGAAACTTCCTGTTAAGTGGATGGCTATTGAAAGTATCTTTGATCTAAGTTTTAGCTCTCAAAGTGACATGTAAATATATCTATTCTATTCTTAAATTAACTGTTTCTTAACTTGTGTGATATAATTAACAGATGGTCTTTCGGAATTGTCCTCTATGAACTTATAACGCATGGTTCAACACCATATCCATCATTTTCAAATGAAGAATTACTACCTTGCCTAAAAGCAGGTTACAGAATGCCAAAACCAACAGAATGCCCTGAAAAATTATATCAATTAATGATACAATGTTGGAATGCAATTCCCAATAGAAGGCCGTCTTTTGATAAACTAAAAAATGATTTGGAAGAGATGCTATCTTAATTTTCAAAACATTTATGACAAACCTTTTTTTATAATTTATATCTCTTTTTCACTAATTTTTTTTAAGTATTTCTTGATTGATAATTAATTAATGGTTATATATTTTCTCCTTTTACTACAACCATTGTCTCAACTTTATCATAGAAATATATTACAATGTACATAACTGAAAAACTTGAATGAAAAGTGACAAAATATTTGAAATGTCAAAATCAAAGAAAAGAAGAGAATTTCTATATTAATTTTAACATTTTCGTATAAAGTAGTTTGTACTTTTTTTATTATGATTCTGCAAAACAAAATAGAAAATAGTAAACTATTGGAAAATTTAGTATTCATATTGATTTCCTGTGTAGTTTACAATACTTCCTCAAGTATAACTTGGCATATTGCGCCATATAAACGACTATTGGATTTAGTATACAGCTGTTTCAATAGCGATAACTTTTTGGACGTTTTTTATATATGTATATATATATATATATAATATAGTATTTCTATTGGAATTCTTTTATATGCCATTTTGCTTTTTTTTATATACTTCCGGTTTGTTTGTAATTAGATTTATTTTTTAAAAATATAATAAGAACAAGGAATAAATGTAAAAGCAAATGAATACATGCATACATATATGTTAAATATGTATATAGTGTTTATTGATAGATAGTATGTATATTATAAATCAATGATATATAAAAAAAAGTACGGACGGATATTCACGAAAAATCATAATATAAACAACCAGGGGTTGTATATAGAGAAATCATTGTATCAGATAAGGTTAAATAGTACATTTTTAACAACTAAAACGTAATACATTACATTCGTATGACAACCCTATATTTATTAACTTGATATTGAATAGATTAGAGAGCTTACAATGCAAATAAGTATCACTTTATTATATTATTGAGATTAATAAATATATAAACATTAATTTATATGTTTAACATTTTAAGATATTCAAAAGTAAATATAAAAATAACTGTGTATATATCGTATGCACTGCATACACGGTCAAAAGAGAGGCAAAGAAATCAATTTTTTTATATATGTTGTTGTTAATTCATAATATTTGTCACTTTTAATGATAAACTGTGCTATGGGAGTATATTTCTCTGATTTTAATTTAAAATATATGTATTAAATGTCACTCTTTTCTATTTATTTTTCTGATTATTAAAAAGCAGAAAAAAATATGAAATACAAAAGCAAGAGTAATGTTTGCCAGAGTAGTTTTTTTTAATATAATACAGTACGCTTGTAATATCATTCCCGAGAAAGTTTGTACTATAAACTTTACATTATATGACAAATATAAATGATAAAATGGAGTATGATTTATTAACAGAAAGAGACCGAGAGAGATATAAAGACACAAAGAGAGAAACAGAAAGAGACAGAGAAAGAGTCGATCTACATAGACGTCCCCAAGTAAACGCGTTTATTAAATATAGTATAAATTTAAGAAATTGTAGAGAGTTTTCCTTTTCATTTAATAATTTAAAAACAAATGTATGTATATATAAAATTAACAGGAAAAAACAAAACGGATTATGGAAATGCTAAAAATTTCGTATAATATAAATCAATGCAATGAAATAGTCAATAAATTTACCAGATGTTCAATTCGATTTTTTTCAGAGAGAGAGCAACTAAGTTTTTTCTTTCACGTCGCAATTGACTATCAAATGGCCGATAATGCAGGATCATCCAGTGAAGAAGATTTATTAAAACCATCGCAAAAGATTAAGGAAAGATGGGAGATCGTACAAAAAATTGGAGGAGGAGGTTTCGGTGAGATATATGAATCTATTGATCTAAATACCAAAGAAATTGTTGCTTTAAAATTGGAATCTGCCAAACAAACTAAGCAAGTCCTTAAAATGGAAGTTGCAGTATTAAAAAAATTACAAGGGAAAAAGCATATATGTAAATTTGTTGGTTGCGGAAGAAATGAAAAATTTAATTATCTTGTTATGAGTCTACAAGGAAAGAATTTAGCAGAGTTACGAAGATCTACTATAAAAGGACAATTTTCTATATCAACTACTGTTAGAGTAGCTTATCAGGTATGAATAAACTTGTCTCTTGTAAAGATAGACTATAATAACTAAAAAAGAAACAAAATACAATTTTCGTATATTAAATTAAATTTATTGATATTTTATAAATGAAAATTTTGATATTAATAGAAATAGCTCATAGTCTATGTTATGAAGGGGATAAATAATTGATATATGATGCTTTTTTGTTGAATAAAAATATTATTTTAATATTTTTAATGTTATTATGTTAAAACTCTATTATTCATCTATTATCATCAAAAATTTTTGAACTCATCCATTTTCTCTTTTAAATTTACTATTTAGATTATTCAAGCTATTGAGGCAATTCATTCAGCTGGCTTTCTTCACAGGGATATAAAACCATCTAATTTTGCAATGGGAAAAACTCCTGAAACTAAAAGGATAGTTTATATGTTGGATTTTGGTTTAGCAAGACAATTTACAAATAATAAAGGAGATATTCGGGCGCCTAGAACAGCTGCTGGCTTTCGAGGCACTGTAAGATACGCTTCAATTAACGCTCATCAGTCTAGAGAAATGGGTCGCCAAGACGACCTCTGGAGCTGGTTTTACATGGTAGTGGAGTTTGTGATGGGTGGCTTACCTTGGAGGAAGTTGAAAGATAAGGATCAAGTGGGACATATGAAAGAAAAATATGATCATAAAACATTCCTTAAGTACTTACCGTCCGAGTTCGTTGACATTTTAAAGCACATTGAACAATTAAAATATCACGACAAGCCGGATTATGATCACATCAGTGAAAAACTACAAAGTATTCTCTTACGAAAGTCTATTAGTTTTCAAGAAAGCTACGATTGGGAGAATACATCGGGTACTCTCCTGCTTCAAGTCAATAATAAAAAGGACCCAATTTTTGAACGGGTAAGTTAACTAATTATTTCAGTAATATCTTTTAATTAATAAAATCGATTTTAAAGGGCCAACATTTTGGTGGCTTAGAAAATCTGAGGATGACGCCAAAAACTTCCGTCCAATCCCTCTTTAAACAGGACAATTACAATGTTACCAAGCCAGGTCAAGCTCTAACTGGAAATTTGAAACAAACTCCAAGAATTGGAAGCCGTTTAAAAATGCAGATTAATGATGACAAAAAATCGTCTCATATAGAAGTTGGTTACGAATTGATAAAAACTGACGATAAAGATAGTGATGAAATAATTATTACTCCAGTGATAAGACGTAGTTTTCCAGTTCGATCCCCAGCAAATGATAATCCAACAACTACTGTAAACAAGAATTCAGATGTAAAAGCTCTAAAAAATGCATTATTTAATAATATTTTGTCACAACAATTGATAAGGTCAACAACGTCAGATCATCGACATAATTTAATTCCTGCAAAACCGCAATATAGTTCAAATACCCAACTCTCATCTGCAGCCTCGTTCAATAATCACGATAGCCTTCCCAATCACAACAATTGTAGTCCTAATAGGCAAGGTATAACCTCCAATAATATCAAAAGTTCTACAACTGAAACAACAGTACAAAAATCTTCTCTACTAAATCCAATGGATTCGATGAAAATTACCAAACTTGATGATGAACTCGACGAAAATCATAATAAAAGTAAAAGATACGAAGATAAATCATTCTTGACAGCAGCAATAGCGGATGATAATGGAACAAAGACAGCGCCCTTTACTGGTCTGAGTCACACTTCGATATTCGAAGATGATAGCGAAATTATTAAACAGAATAATAAATCAGGCTCAGCGAATTCTCTATTAAAGTTAAGAGAAAAGCTTAAAAGACCAGAAAGGAACGATGGTAACTCGGCTAAATTACAGCAAACTGAAAAATACAGAGAGCCACTAAAAGCTATGCTTCTCCAAAATAAAGCAAAAAATTCAAGCGATAATAGAAGTATATCGTCCTATTATAGCACCGACGAAGAGAGTAAATACCAAACAAATCTAAGAAGAAATAAAAGTTTAGAAAACTTTGCTAAATGCTTAATGGAAGTTGAAGAGAGACTTGTATTCAAAAAAGATTATTAATAATTTGTTTTAATCGTATGTATAAATAATAACACAGAAATTTCTAATTTAAAAAATGGACTGAAGGTAAAAGAATATCTCTCAGTAGCAGTATTACCATGTATAGAAGGAAAATATTGTACTAAGAAAACTTTCTTAAAAACTTTCTTATTGTATTTTTTTTAATAAAAAAAAAAGAATTCAAGTGAATAAACTACTATTATAAAAAATTGTGAGCTGGCAATAGCTTTTTTCTCACGTAAAGGCCATTTACAAATAAAAAAAAAGGCAATTCGTGTATAGTCTTGGATCTATTCTTTCTTATCCTTCACAAAAAATGCGAGTTTAAAAATAAACTTTACATAAACGTCCTGATCTATTGACCTACATTGTTATATATGCTCATGACATTGAGAAATTCGATGATTTGAGTTTGAGGAGTGTTGGGTGAAGTATGTTTCATTTATATTTCTTTAAAACAACGTTAATTTGTAATTATTTTGTATAAATCGATGTTTATTGTCTAAATTTTTACTTAAACAATCCAATTTCGTATTTCTGAAAAGTTTTCGCCTTGCAAACTCTTCTCTGAGTTCATCTTCCTGAATAATGCATCTTATTAATATGTTCTATTTCTGTTTTAGTTGAAACAATTGGTAAGCATGTCCAATGGTCATAGTGCGCTGGATAATACTGTAAACTACTCGAATGATAAGATTAAAGAAGCAAGAGAAGAATTGGAGCGTATGAAGAAAGAATTTGGCTTTTGTGAACCTGATAGGGGAGATTTAGATGATGAAACAATTGTGTGGAGAACTATGAAGCCGGATTATACATTAGCAAATCTTCTGTATTTCAAAGGCAAAACTCAAAATCATAAGGAGAATTCATTGGAGCTCATTGTTGAAAATGCAGTAAAACTTTGGGAAATGGAAGCATCCCATAAGGTCGATATCAATCAATGGACATCAATTAATACTGAAAAGTATACTGTTCAAGCTAATGGCGGAAAAGTGTACGATAAATTTGAAAGTTCAGAAATGGGAAATTATAATTGGTTAATGAGAGACGTAGAGAAGCGTCTATATGATTCTAACCAAACGTTTGAGAGTTCTCATAATCTCTTCCGATCTGCTTTTCCTGATGGTTTTGCTTGGGAAGTCTTGGAAGTTTACACAGGACCGCCAAAAATAGCATTTTCTTGGCGTCATTGGGCAAATTTTGTTGGAGAGTTCGAAGGTAAACAAGGAAATGGAGAGCTGCTCGAAATGTTTGGATTTTCCATAATTGAAGTTCAAGAAGATTTAAAAATTTTGAAGATTGAAGTGTATTTCAAACCTGAATTGTTTCTTAAAGCTCTACGGGGAGACATAAAGCCTGCAGATGTGAAAAACTCATTTTCAGGATGTCCTTTTCAACAAAAAATCAATTAACTAGTTTTAAGAATAAGCTAACATGATTTCTGATTTGTATTTTATTAATTTTAAAAGCATATATTTAACTTTAGAGATTAAGCAAACTTTTGATGCTAATAAACTATTAAACATTAAATTGACTGTATGGCTCAAATCCCCTCCTGCTATTAAACTTCAAAGAGTACTTTAGGCGACTTCGGCTAAATGATTCTAGTATGTCTTTCATTGATTCTCTATTTATCATTGTTATAAGAGAAAACCATGTACCAATTAAAGCCAATGTTAACACAACAAGAAATTCCAATATGGTAGTATCTATGAATACCTTAAGAACAACTAAGATACCATAAATGCCAAAAAATACTGTAAGTTTAATATAAAGATACATTTCGTCCCGCTTTGTTCCAAAGAGGGTTGGAGGTGAGTATAGGAGAATTTTTTGGAATTTAACTGATATTATTCCATAAAGTATGATATTCAAAAGTGTAGATAAAAGTATTGGTGATATAACAAAAACAATTTGAGTAATTTGGCCACTCAGCCAGCAAACTCCTAGTGACTCTTCTTTAATATTGTCCCCCAAGATGTCCGTTGACCAGTTCCTCAAAACAATTGGGGCAAGACATAGAAATGACGATGTGATCCATGATCCTATAACATATCTTCTAACAGGTGTTGAATAATAATTTTGATCAGTTAATGAATTAACTGCTGAATTTAAATTCAAGGCTGCCGAAACTTGAAGAACTAAGAAAGTCGTAAACATCCAGTGACTGAAAACTGCTATGATCATACACTTTGTTTTTGACAATGGTATAATTAACGACATAAGAGTTAGAAGTAGCCAAAAGAATAGTACTAATATTAAATTCCATTGAAGCCATATTGATGTACTTCTTAGCTTTCTAAAGCAAACTGGTGAAAATAATCTAAAAATTAAAGCCAATAAAGCAAAGGCTAAACTTCCGATACATATTATAAAAAATGTATTAGGATCTTTCTTTTCGTCGCTCTTTAGACAAACGATATCTTGGTCGCAAACTTTACAAATAATATGATAGTTATTTTCGAGTTTTTTCCCTCCAATACCAAAATGTCTTCTACATCTTTTATCTCTCAAACACAACTTTCCTTCATAATTTAATCGAAAAATTAAAACTGATTGATATTGTTCGTGCTCATCTTCTGTTCTTTGAGCGCATTCGCTTTCTTCCATCGTGCAAATACAAGATTTAATAAAATCCTTACCAACGATGCTTTCGGCTAAGTGGCATTTTTCTTGGCTAATAGAAAGAAAACAATTGATAAAGTTTATTTTATTTTTAATATAAACTTTAAAAAATGATATAACCATTCATCTTTTGTCCTGTATCCACCATCTTCTGTGGTAGTAACAACTATTTCAGAAGCTGATATATTAAAGCTTGTAGGAGTACTATAACTTTCGATTAACTTCACACAACAAATAGCCAGTATAGGTATAATATACAATTTCATATTTATTCAAAGAAGTAATAATTTCGGTTGTATTATATGTAGGCTATTTATATATCGTAATCCGAATATACATATAAAAATATACAAGTATATATATATTAAAACTCCAAAAAATCCGTCTTTGCGACAACTAAAAACGAAATGAAAAGATTAACATGGCAGCAGCTGATTAAAACCCGCCTAATTCTCCCCTGTTCCCCCACAACATCATTTTCATATACAGATAAATTAACAGAACAATTAAAGAGTTTTTTTTATCGTTTAATGCATTCATGATATTCGTACCATCTGACGCAAGTTACAGCTAACAATTATTTAATTGCTCAATACCAACGTATAAATCCTTTATTGTTTAGAACATCTTTTTTGGCGTAATATGCGGTTAATAATACGCTTTATAACAAATGACAAACTCAGAAATTATTTTATTTCATAACTTTACAACATATCATATTAATATTTGTGTTAAAATCATATAGAAATCATTTAAAAGTAGATTAGTTCAACCTATAACTACAGATGATTATAATAATATACACCTAGTAAAATATTTTTAATTTTCATAATAGTCTATTCATTCTTAATCTTTTCTATTTTCTAGAAGGATTATCATTAAATCAAATATCACGAAGTAAAGTGTGACCTTTATTAGAGATGATCATACAGCCTTAAAGCCGCTGTAATAGTTATAGTAATAAACTTATATTTCTTATTTTAATATTAACTAATTATATATAAACACACAAAACGTAATTACTTAATTAAACCTAATCTATTAATATCCTTCTGTATTTAAAATCTCAAAATAGAATCATCAGGTGAAATATATTATAGTTGTAAAATGTGATTTAAAGTATCTATTGGTAGCAGAGTGATAAGAAAATACCTTAGTATACGAAGAAAATGTGGTATTACATCATTTGAACTTTTCTTAACTTTCAATAACATTATTTTGAAATATACGTATAGAGTGCATATTCTGTGTATACTGTATATTGTATATAGTATTAGAAATTTGATTGTGAATTATATACATCTTCATATTCTTTATAAAAGGCTACAAATTTAAACATTTATCTCACAGACTTTAATAATTTATCATTGATTGAGATTATTTGTAATTTATTAAAATGTAACTGTGCTATAATATTAATTAGGTAACAAAGCATATTAAAACCATAATGAATATTATCAAGGTCAATATAAGACCTTTACGAAACAGACTTTAATGTACTAAATATCAGTGTATATTTATATATATATATTTATATATACTTCATGTATTTACCCATACCAATTTATATTAATAAATTTATACAAAAGAAAATTAACAAATGATTAATAACTAGATATAGGCTTCTTAGCTTCCCTTATAGAAAGGTTATTGAACTTTATTTTGTCACGATTCATCTCTTATGGGCGTATGATTCATTCCCTTATGCCACCGGCTTTTTTGTAAGGGTAAATAAGAATGTTTCACTATTTATGAATTTTCTATTCCATAAATGATGACTAAGAAAGAATATCCCAATAGATGGCATTGAAAAACTATTGTAAACTGCGTATTAACTTAAGGCCGCCTGTCGGTGCCTGGCAGTGCCACATTTCCCGTAACTAATCAATATATTCAGAGGTTGCTATAAATTGTGTTCTTCAATTGCAGCTCAAATAATCAACTAATACAAGGTAAAGTATCTAATCAACTATGATTCTAGTATTTCTTGTATTATTTGTCTTCGATTATATAATCTAATGGGTTATTTTACTATATGACAGGAAGCTTTTAATTTTCTGGTACATTATCTTAAATTTTACAGACATATGAAGAGGGGCCAAGGAGAGTCAACAAAAATGAGATCTTTTCTGATATTAGGAGTTTTTTGCTTGCTTACAATTGGTAAGTTTCGAAATTCTAACAAATAATTAAATATTTATGACAGAAACCTAAATTTAAACTCCAGGTCAAGTACACGGAGAGAGTCAACCACGATCATGCCTTTTTACTGGTAACGAAAACGACTTATGCGATGCATCCAATTGTTCGGAGGACAATGACTGCAGCAATGATAAAGTGTGTTGTGCAAATAATTGTGGAGCTCTCAGATGCGCCAAACCAGGTAATTTATACATTTATATGTAAAAGTTAAGATTACATGGTTGACGTATTTTAACAGTTATTTGCGAATATTGTCCTGAGGCCGAAATTAATAATTGTACCTACGGCCGAAGCGAAGAATCTGTCAATGGATGTCGGTCCTGCAAATGTAAAGAAGATCCTTGCAAGGTGAGCTTCAAATTATCAAAATTGATCATTTCTATTATTATTATTACCATTGAAGAATATGAAATGCGAATCGGATAAGTGTATCGTTTATTTCGAGGACAGACCATTTAACAGAGTGGCAAGAGGAAAGTGTATTCCAAAACATTTACCAGAGAAATGCTACAAAGAACCTGAAGTAGCTGCAGCAGTTATTAAAGGTCCTGTTTATTACTACGATGTTGTCCAGGAAGTATGCTTGAAAAAAGAGTTTGGTCCATCATGGCATTCTTCATCCTACGAAGGTTGTCGCCAAAAATGCAATATTACTTGCCCTCTAATGAAATGTGTGCCGTGCCAGTATGGATACAAAACTACAGTAAATGGATGTCAAACATGCGAATGTAAACGACCACACAGACCATGTAAGAATCTAGTTTGCAAGATGAATTGTATTTCTGGATTCAAAATTGACAGGCAAGTTAGTATAATTTAAATGAAAACCAACTGAAGAAATATTTTCATTATCAGATATGGCTGTCGTACGTGTGAGTGTAAAACTGTTAGAGGACCACAATTTTGCTATGAACCAAAAGTTGTAGGTGTATGCGAACCAAAAGTACTGCGATATCACTATGATCCGATAATAAATAGATGCAGACCTTTCATGTTTGGATGTAATGGAAATAGAAATAACTTTATGAGTTATCATGAATGTGAAAGCCAATGCACTAATCCTGGTTGTCCAGTGCCGTCGTGTAGAGACTCTTGCGATCATGGATATAGTTACACTCCAGAAGGATGTCAAACTTGCAGCTGTGCTCATAAACATGTCTGTGACGGAATTATGTGCGCCGAAAATTATCATTGCGTTAGTGTAAAAGACTGCTCCGGCAAGAGATGTCGAGATACATTCCAATGTCAGCTGGGAAGTTCTTGTAAGATTTTAGAGAATAACATCTTTAATTTCATAATATTAAGATTTTCATTAAATTATAGATCCCGAAGATACGGATTGTAAAAGTGGCTGGTCAAAAAGAAAAATCCTATACGTTACAATCCCAGTTGTCATAGTGGTTATTTTGGCAGCAATATCCATTGTAAGTTTATCTCCAAATTTTTTAAAACTGTTTGGAAGTATCCGTATAACTTTTTTTCTTCTTCTAAAGGTTCTGTTCATCAAATTGAAAGCTATTCATATAGTTAAAGCGAAAATTAAACCACAGAAGAAGAATATGGAGAAACCTCCAATTGTAAGTACTACATAATTGAATATTAGTTTCCTTTTGTGAGTCTTATAACAAATATTTATAATTTTATTAATAGGATAATTCCCAAGTTGTTTCTGTGGACTATGTTTATCAAGAAAAAGTTTAAGACGAAATCACTTGACCCCTTTATTGATAGCCTTTATTTTTCACTTGGAATATTATTAACGTTGACCTGCGATCTGTTGTTTTTACACTCACCAGTGATAAAATACTCGTATATTACTGTTATAAGAATATTTCTTTTTACTGTGTGTTTACAAACATTTTCTCCTACGAAAAGATTCTAAAGTCTCTTAATAAAAATATTTTGTTTAATACCTCTGTCGTATGGCAAAACTGATGAAGCCAAAACTTATCACAGTCGTAACATTATGAACCAGAAATTTATCTTTCTTATTAACCTTGCTACTTAATAATACATATATAATTATTATAGTCATACTTTATTCATATGTTTTTATACAATATTAATAATTACATCGCTCAAAATCAGTATTAATAACCTACGTGTATTTTATCTCTATTTATGTAGAAAAGAGAAAGCCACGTATGGAGAGATAAATTTCTGTGAAATCTAAACGAACACCTTACTGTTTAATATGAAATGACATTATAATATTATTATTTAAAGGCGGCGTATCTTTTTTGTACCAACACATTCTACTATTAAACTTACTTTATTCAAAACATATTACTAAACCCATTGTGGATGTAGAATGATTAGAATCAATAACATACATAAAAAATTAAGAAATATTACACCATTTAATGGTCTATCATCCTATTCTCAAACTTTCTTGTTTTCTATAGAAACTATTTATATTTCCCAACTATTTGTAGAAAGCTTTTAAGTAAATTTTTAATACAAAGTCATTTATTCTTTCATATAAATTTACTTCTTTATATGTTTAAGTACATTAACTTTATAAATATAGGCTTAAGACTGTTTTTATTATCTTTACATGTACTATCAATACAGCTGAAGGCTGTTTATCTACTCTAAGACAAAAGGTCAATAAAAAAATAATTTGAATTTAAAATGTAATTAATTATATAATTGTTTATTTTGAAATTTTGCAAAATCTATCTTTTATATGAAATCAATTCAATTTAAAAATTGACCTATTTTCTTTCGGGAGGGGGCCGGTTGTTTTGATCAAATAAATTAGCGCCCTCTAGCGCCAACCAGAGACATAAAATCAATACACGATACAAACATAAAATCCCATAAACCTCATTTTCAAAGTATATTTTCTTACGGATTTGGCAACTGAACATTGATTTTGGCACATCATTAACGGTAGGTAATTAATAATAATACATTGATGCTGATAATGAATTAAACCGCGACAACAACGCAATTGTTTAAATAGTTTCTGTGTTTTTATATACAGTATATATAAATATATATATTCTCTAAAATAGACCTAAGCATAGATTTTATCAGTAAAAACGTGGAACAAATTGACAGTTGTAGGAGAGGGTAAAGGGTTAACTAATGAATTATTACGCGATTAATAGATTTAAAAGGCTTATAATAGCAATTACAAGAATGAGAATGAATTCGTTATATAAATACTAGATTGTTCTAAATATACATAGGTTGATACTAAATATGACAATGTTAAGTAAATTTTTAGTAATACCCTTTAAAGGTTTATATATATATAAAAGACTCTTTATTACTATCTCAAAAGCACACAACATAGCAATTCGTATTATCTATTAGAAACTAATTCGTTATATGAGTAATAAATTACACTTAAATTTTGATAAACATGCAGATAAAACGAGAAGATGACTTTCCTAAGTTGTTCTCTATACGCTTGCTTGTTACTGCTAAGTAAGTATTTGATTTTAACTATTCGTCACGTTTTCCTTTATGCATTTTCTATATATAAAAATTTTTAGTTATCTACTTATTCATTAGTTTCTCTTTGTAAAACAGATAGTATATTAAGTGAACATGCTGGAAAATGTCCAACTGCAGAAAAAGATTTTGAATGTTATTCACCTAAATATTGTTTAAATGATAATAATTGTAATTCTAACGAAAAATGCTGCAATACATCCAACTGTGGAACGATATGCCTAAATGCAGGTATAAGTTTACTTTATTTTATGATTTATTAAATTTATCGTAATGAATACTGTAATATTCATATTACAATACAAATTGTAATTATTATTTTTTTATCTTAAGAAACTGGTATACGAGATGTTTCCAAATGTGAAGATTGTACTTTACAAGATTGTCCTTACGGTTTAAGTACTGTACGGGAAGATAATGGATGTCTTAAGTGTGAATGTAAGTATTGCCCTGAATGCTTTATGAATTGTGAATTTGGTTTTGAGATGAAAAGCGATGGATGCCCCGATTGTAAATGCAGAAATAATCCTTGCAAGGTTGGTGATAATCCTAAATAATCTTTTATAAAGAGTCACTAAACAATTTTAATATATTAATATAGTATATATATTTTTAATATATAGTTGGTTTTATGATTTTATCCTACTAGACGGCTGTTTGCCCAGACGAAGAAAAATGCGTAGTTGTTAAACCAGAGGCAGCTGAAATACCTCTTTATCCGTATGCGAAATGTGAACATTGTAAGATATTTATATTTTGCTATGTTATAAGCATATTAAAAACGTTAAATTTTCTTCTAGATGTACTAGACGATTGCTTTATACCTGTGAAAAAAATACCAGGTATTGGAAAAAATACAGGCTTTTACCATTACGATATGTCAGCGAACGAATGCAAACAAATTTCATTCAATTTCCAAGAGAATTTTAATGTTTTCAAGACGAAAAATATTTGTGAAAAAACCTGCACAATACAAAAACCTTGTCCACCTATGGATTGCTCTTATCCTTGTAAAGTTAACACCCAACATGAGTGTCCAACTTGCGAATGTCCTAATACTAAATTTAGACTCTGTTCTGACTTAATCTGCCAGAATCTTTGTCCTGCTGGATTTAAAATTGATCAATACGGATGCGAAACATGCCAATGTAAAGAACAATCAATGCCTGATAAATGCTATTTAGCGGCTGAGATGGGCCGTTGCGAAGCTGCTATGAAAAGATATTATTATAACAAGAATGATAAAACATGTTATCCATTCACTTACGGAGGTTGCGGAGGTAATGGCAACAATTTTAAGACGATTTCGGAATGTTTTGATAGCTGTGTCGAAAGTCCATGCGCAATACCTATGTGTACTGAAGAGTGCGAATTTGGTCGAGTTTTATCTAAGGAAGGGTGCGAAACATGCAAATGTGCTGACAAATACTACTGTGAAAATGTTGAATGTGCCAAAAATTTTGTTTGCGTAGCTCAAGATTTATGCGCTGATGCACATAATTGTCGAACAAGCTTTCAATGTCATCCTGTAGGCACAGGTAGACAGTCTCTTTCTTCTTATAATGCATATGCTTTATATGAGCTAATTACTGTCATTTTGTTACAGTTACCCCTTTTAAGCCAGCTACTCACAGAAGAACTTCTTATTGCGGTTTTAATGCAATAGGAACACTAGTTGGTTTTATTGTTGCTATGGTTCTTGCCTTCACTCTTATTGTTTTCGGAGTTTTTGTTGTAAGTTGTCAAACTAATATCATTTTTTTTACTAACTTAAGTTATGAAATTCATTGTAATAGATTATATTCAAGAGCAAATTTATTCAAAAATCTAAAATCTGCATACGATCAGCAGAAGAAAAACCTAAGGTTTGCTTGTTAAAATATTTTACGTTAAGTTTAATACAAATATTTATTATATTTTCATTTTTCTTTTATTGTTTTTACAGATAAATGGAAGAAATTGTTATTGTATTATTGATAATAATGCAATAGTTACCCCAACTGAGGAAAAGAAGATTTCCATCGCATGATCTATATATTAGAAACAAGATTTGTACGAACGATATTTATGAATTGTTATATTCTCCCTTGAAAAAAGATATACATAGTGCGTTGAGTAAGAAGAATCTTTGTTGATTATACGACAACTTCGTCTGAATTTCTACTACAAACAATTTAGTAAGGCTCAAGGCGTTTATACAACAAAAGATTATTATCTGATTCTTTCTGTTCACTTGGACTGTCTGTCTATATATTTCTATCTCAATCTCGAAGACTCTCTTTTCTCCTCCCAAACACATGCACATGTATGTGTTATTAGTTAGAAAAGTTGTATACATTTGACAAATATTCCGCTCTATCTTTATGATAACTATTAATGTGTAGTGTACATATCAAATTGATTCAAAGAAAAGAAACTTTTTTTAACAATTTGGCTTGACCCAAAGACTAATTATACTGCTATATCTAAAGAATAAAATTCTACGATTATATACAATTATATACATAGCACACGTATATTAGAATGTATATATGTTTGTCAATATAAAGTTATGTTTCATTGCTCTCTCATGAAGAATTTCAGATATTTTTCTGAACAGCTTGTTGATAAACGTAACACTTGTTTGAAATGTAATCTTTAATCTCACTCTGATTTTTTAACACGGTTATGTATACTGTATATGCATACATATGAAATATCTATATTTGTAGTATGTTAAGATGAACGTTGAATAAACTGTTCAAATTTTGTTAGTGAAATAAAAAGAGTTACTTTTCCTGTAGAAGATTTTTCTCTAATTGAATATTTTCTTCAAAAACAAACTATATAATTCTAACAAAAGAAATAAAAAGCAGCAAAGTTTTGTTTTTGGATCATGTTTATCAGTTCCATACCATCTTGATAAAGCGTCTATGTTTTATAGGCCAAAAAAAACTACAAACAGAGAACTTCAACGTTAAGCAAAAACTATCATTTTATGCTCTGAATTCATAGATTGTACAAGAATATCTCAATTATGCTTCTAAACTATTGTGTTTTACTTCAATTATTATTAGCGATAAATCTGAGCAGTGCAAGTAAGATTGACATAAAAGGCATTATATGCAATTAGCAAGTTTTAACACCTATATCGAATATTTTTCAGTTGATATCAGCGGATACACGAAATATCCTAGACAAGATTATTACGGATACGACATGGGAAGGATTATTACTAATACACAGGCTATTGATTGTGCGAAATTCTGTGAGAGGAAAACGAATTGTCTGGGATTTGTTATAAACTTTTATAGAAATCTTTGCCATTTAAAGTACAAAGTTGGAATTAGCGGCTGGTCGTTTGATGAAAATGAAGATACAAATCTTTACATTAAAGGTGTTTAATTAGAGAAATTAATTTGATAGTAAAATTTTTAACAACTTCTAATTTAAATTTTTTCTTTAATGTTTCTTTTTTTATATTCTATTATTAATTTAGATGAATTTCCTGGATACATAAAATATACCGATACTGACTTTTCCGGTAGTTTTCAAGCTGAGAAAACTGATAATAAAGCCCAATGCTATGAAATCTGCAGTAGTAGATTAGTTGAGTGCAGAGGCTTTGTGTATTACGAGGGCAAATGCTTCCTTAAAACTACTGGACACTGGTCTAAAAATCAATTAATATCGAAACCAGGAGCAGATTTGTATATTAAGGATCTTGACGATGAAAGTAGATATGCTTATATAAACATAGCTTATAGCTGTTCTTATTGGAATTTTTTCTAATAGTTGCAGTAGATGGATTTATCAGATTCTCGGAGAAGAATTATATCGGGAGTGATTTTAAAACATTTTATGATACAACAAGACATGTATGTGGAAACAAGTGCAAACATTTTCACTTTTGCCAGTCTTTTGTATATAATTTTAATAGCCAAGAATGCACTCTGAAAACTGAAGGAAACGCTTCAGGGGATAGCTTTAGAAATAATCTATTTACCGATTTTTACATAAAAGTACACGTGGACGGTTATAAAAGGCACGGTCACAGCTACTATCTAAATAAGGATTTAGATAACTTTGCAGTTAAAAATCGTGATGTTTGCGGGAAAAAATGTAATCGGACGCCTTTTTGTAAGGCTTTCGTTTTTCAAATGGATAACAATTGGTGCTATTTAAAGAAAGATGCTGTAGCGGGTTGGAAACACAGAAGCTACCGGGAAAAAGTAATTTACGATTTATATATTAAAAACTAAACAGGTATGCGTAAAATATATCACTTTTTTCTGATGCTAGCACTACTAATTACTCTGAAAATATGTACTATCATTTTATTATATACTACACATATATAAATATACTGGATACTCTATTATATTCCAGAAATTATGTTAACATAGCTGGTATAGTGGTTTAATTCAATTTAATATTGATATTAGCAACATCTATTGATATTTAAATTGCGGACGGTTTCTACTAGAACCAGTCCTGTTGTAATAATTTTCAAATAAAAATAAATAATAGATAAGCATGCAGCACGAATTTGTTCATTATATTATATTATTATTAATAATAAAAACTAAATTTATATTTATATGCCTATATGTAATAGTCTGGCGTAGCTTTAAACTTTTCTAATCGTATTTTAATATGAAAGAACTAACAGAAATAGTTCTATTTGTACTTGAAAGGATCCTTAAACCAATGATGCAGAAAAACGATTTAGGCTTATTTTCTTTTATCAAGTTGAAATATTGAGAACTTTCATTCAGAAATCTGAACAGCCAAAGGATATGTCATCCAAAAGTGTCGAACATGTGGAAGAAAACAATAAGTTTCTTCCAGGGAGAGTTCAGGTTTTTGAAGAGAGAATTGGAGAGAGAATCAAATGGGGAAATAAATTAGATTTTATGTTTACGTGTATAGGCTATGCCGTTGGTTTCGGTAATATATGGAGATTTCCCTATATATGCTATCAATATGGAGGAGGTGCATTTCTTGTCCCTTATTTTATTTTAATTGCTGTTATGGGTTTACCATGCTATTTTCTATTATTCGTTTTTGGCCAGTTTTCAAAGTTGGGCTTACTACAAATGTGGAGAATTAGTCCAATATGTAAAGGAATAGGATATGCTATCTTTTGGATAAACTTTGTAATTGGATGTGGTTATTCTATTTTAGCATCTCAAGTTGCTGTTTACTTTTTCGCTTCTGTAGTATCAATTTTTCATGGTATTCCTTGGAATGGATGTAATAATACCTGGAATACTGAAAATTGTACAGAAATCGGGAATACAAAGAATTTTACTACGCATCAAGCTTTAAGCCTTTCAAACAACTCTGTAACAGCAGTACAAGAATATTACAATAACTATATACTTGAGAAATCATCTGGTTTAGAAGACTTTTCAGGCCTTTCTTGGAAATTATCGCTGGGATTATTATTTAGATACATGCTATCTTTCATCTTACTTATTAAAGGAATAAGGTCATTGGGGAAAGCTGCATACTTCTTCTCGATTTTTCCTTATTTCATGTTGTTTGCCCTCTTGATTAGAAGTTGTACTTTACCTGGATTTCTTGATGGAATATTTTATTTACTCAAACCCGACTTTTCTAAACTTTTAAACATACGTGTATGGTATATTGCAGCAAGTCAAGTTATATTTTCAATGGGTGCGGTGGATCCCACGAACATAGTTATGGCCTCGTACAATGATTTTCATCATAATTGCCTCAAAGATGCTCTTGTTATTACCGTAATTAACAGTTTAACGTCTTTATTGGCTGGGTTTGTCGTGTTTAGTACACTAGGATTCATTGCTCATGAAAGACAAACTCTTGTTGAAGATGTCGCCACTAATGGACCTGGTCTTGTATTTGAAGTGTACCCAGAGGCTATCTCAAGAATGCCTTTACCGGCATTATGGGCAGTCTTATTCTTTTCGATGATGCTTACGCTGGGTATTAGTAGTATGTTACCTTCTTTAGAAGCATTATCCAGCTCGATCACAGATTTGTGGCCCAGTATTTCTAAATCATTTATTAAAATAGGTCTTTTTAAATTTTGTCTTTTTAGCTTTCTATCCATTCTATCACTTCCAATGGCAACAGGTGCAGGAATTTATATATTAGCTATATTCGATCATTATGCTGCTACTTTTCCCAACTTCTTGATGGGCTTTAGCATTATCTTGATTATTATTTACTCATACGGCTATGATAATGTAGAGAAAAATTATAAAATGATGTTAGGAAAGAAACCAGCATTATATTGGAAAATTTGCTGGAAATATTTAACTCCTTTAAGTTTATTTACAGTTCTTATATTAATTTCAATTAATTTCGAATCAATTAAAATAGATAATTATAAGTTTCCTGCCTGGAGTATAGGTTTAGGATGGTCTTTTGGAATAGTACCACTAACAATTTCCCTCTTTTATTTTATAATTTACTATTGCTACAATGGTGGGTATACTCTATTGAAATTATTCCTTTTACCCTCAAGAAAATATCATTCTATCTCTGAAACTTTTTCAAATGACTTGAATGGCAATAAAAATAGGGAATATTCTTTTGTAGGCGGTACAATCATAGAAGAAGATGATGAACAGTTCATCAAATTAAAAATAAATAATCCAAGGCGTATTGTGTAATAGTCTTTTGTATTAAAATTTTTCTTTAAATTACAAAACGAAATATACACAATGTTATATATCAAGATAAGATTTCTATGTAGTTTTCCGACAAACTGTTGTATTTATTTTCATTTTCCGATTCCATATCTACACTTTCATAAATCGGTTCGTTTCTATCCTCTGTACTTAACACTTTTTTAAAATTTTTAGATGTTTGTATCTTCTTCTTTTGTTTCAATAATTTCTTTTGTTTAATACGTCTTCTCCAAAAAAAGAATGTAATTAAGATTATTATTCCAATTAAAAGTAACATGATTAAAATTGTTATGAAAATTGAAAATCCGCATGAATCTGTCCAAGAAGTCTGAGCCATGTTTTCCTTTATGATGAATAATGTTCTTGATCTAATTGTCTTTAATACATATATATGTTAGAAAATTCCATTTTTGTTAAATGGCATAAATGTATGTAATTTTAGAGGCCTAAAAGAGTTTAATTACTTGCGCTGAAAATTATACTTAATTAGCTACTTTAGTAATTATATCATAAAAATAGTGTAAATATGACTTTTTGACTTCTTTCAAACGAAACTGACATAAAGAGACTAACACTTATGATTTCATATCAGGGTATATTCAATTCATAATTCTTTTTGAATATTCAAACATTCACATTTTAGTTTTATTTAAACGCAATTAAAAATCTCTTAACTATATTTCAATTCATGAAAGAATATTAATATTGAAAACGAATTATTTTATGCGGCATTATGAGGAATATTCAAGAAATAGTACAAAGTCTTTATCTTGGGGAAAGGGAAGAGAAGTAGAAGGTAGAAGAGGGGGAGGACCAGAACAATATCTCCTTTCAAGCTTGAAAATATTTCTTCAACTCAGCTGAATTTAAGACTCTATCCTCTTTTAATGTTTGAAGAATATAAAATGTAATTTGTGTATTAATAAACTATGAAAGGATGCTTAATTTCAAAAGTTACTTACGATTAGTATCCATCAGTTTGAATAGAATTCTAGTAACAGCCAATCGAAACTTTGATTTTAACAATTTAGCAAACTCTTGCTCGGTAAGAAATCCATCTCCGTTCGAATCATAGGGTTTGAATTTCAAAAGTTTTTCAAACTTGTTTGATCGTTTACCGGCTATTGGTATACCAAAGTCTTCATCGTCTGTAAAGTAGAAAGCAGCAGTTACAGCAAGGAGAAGGAAAGAAATTAAAATTTGAAAGTATTTCATGACGTTTGCTCAGCAACTAACTGCAATATTCCTTATGTTTATATATTTCTATTAATGAGAAAATTTATGAAATATATGACAGAAAACAAATATTAATTATTAAAAAAATGTCATGTTTTTGTCATATTCTGTAATGATTTTCAATAATAACAAAAAGTAAATTTATCAAAGTGACACTTTTAGGGAAAAAAAGTAAAATTTTTACAATAGTTGTTGATTCTCTGACTTATTAATTTTTTTTCTATTTAAAGCTGCTCTCTTATGACTTTTTCTATGAAAGCATTTCCAAAAATATGCTTCTTTTTCTATTGTTCTGTTTTGCACAATAGACTAAAGATAAATTAATAAAAACTATGGATATCTAAACTAATTAATATTCAGAAATAATAATTTATAAAGGAAAACTCTCCACTTCAATTGCATTATATATATCATTTAATGAGATTACTTTTAATATATATTCTCCTCCATCTTTTCAAACTAAGACAACAATAAACCTGTATATTACATATGTTAGTATATTCAATACAATGTATTGACGCAGTAGCGACATCTATACTTCTGAATGAGTTATTTATTTTACTATTAATTTTTCATCAAATTCTACTGATTTTTATCACTATTTATTCTATGAATTGAATAGATACAGTTAAATATTATCTGACAATATATAATACATAGAAGCATTTATATAATAACAACGATTCGGGAAGATTTTCTAGAATTTTGTCATGCCGGCCAATACTATTACTACAGTCGTAAGCTTTAAGAAGCAATTTCGTGCAGAAATCCTAAATAAATTTACAACTCTAGCTGTTGGCTATTTAGATGGGTAAGTTTTATCATAATATACTAGGGGAAGGCAGTAATAGATGATTTTTTACGCATAGCGATAATAGGGAGGTTTTAGTGACTTGTGGAGAAGATGGCGTTCTTCATGTATATACTATAGATAATAGTACGGATAGTGATCAGTGCTTAAAAGTATACACTATTAAATTTATTATATTCTCTTATTTAGGCCTATTTAATTTTTTTCTTAAATATATAGAAAATAAAAACTTTGGATTCGAAGTGCTCTTCCATACAATGTATATGTATAGCTGAAGTAACAAGATTTGGTTCGAATGACCTAATTGTTGCAGATTCAAAAGGTCATATTGTTGTTTTCTTTAAAGAACAGATAGTTTGTCGAAAGAAGGTATCTGATTATCCACTATCAAGTTTAGCTGTGTATAATAAACCAAGTACGTAGTTCAATTAATTTATTTATAGTTGTATTATTTATTTTTTATCATTGTTTGCAGATGGAATGGTAGTTATTGTTGCTGCAGATATAGAAGGAATGATAGTTGCCTTTAATCCATATATTGAATTTTGGAAATTTCATATATCTAATATACCTATTCCAAAGGTAATTCTTGTTTTCAACGGTATCATAATTTCTAATATTTCTTCTTTCCACTTAAAAAAGGGTCCAAGTTCTCTTGTTAAGATTCTTGCTATTCATATAGCACACTTGAAAATGTCTGAAAATACAGTTGATTACATTCTAATATCCGATACAGCAAGACAATTATTATTTTTAAGAAATGGAAAACTTGTTCATAAGATAATTCTTCCATTTTGTGCAACTGCTGTTAGTAGTACTATTATTACTGAGACAAATTCTTTAAATCATAATTTATTTATTACTTTAGATATCATCTGGTTATTATCAAAAATCTTCAACGAATACAGAAATTGCTATTGCTAGCGAAAATGGTTCCATTCATTTATTAAATAATACCGAAGTATATATTATTTATTTGCTTATGATATGTGTATATGTTTGAATCTATACTATAATACAACGCTTATTCATTTCAGATTATATTAAACGATTATGCCAATTTAAATGTCCCTGTGAAAAAGATGAAAACTATTCGCGTAACTCATTGTAAAGATACAGTAGACACATTAATTTGTACAGGAAATTTTGATTCCGTATTTGGTGTTAGGGATGGCACGGTTTGTAGATTGACATTGCATATCATTTTCATTAGATCTTACTTTCATGTTGTTGCAATTCATAATAGGTTTCGCAATATGAAACAACCGATTGGATTGAAAATACCAGTATAACAGATAGTTCATCCTTATATTTAGGATCCAAGGATAATAGTCTTTTCTCAATTAAATTAGATTTGGATTCTTAAACTACTATTTTAAATATTTTAACTGTTCTATGAAATAATTTCCTACCTTTATTGTTATACTTTATCATTAGTATGAAAAAATTATCAGGTTATTTATGAATTGAAAGAGTAATTCCTTCATTGCGTAATTACAAATCATTCGATCTAAAAACTACGTTATAATATGAGTAAAGTAGCAAAAATATCTTGAAATATTGTGATTTTAGAGGTCTTTTATTATTCATATATGAGAATTATAAAATAATTTCATATATATGTCATAACTTGTTCAAATTTTAAGTTTTTCATTGTAGCTTTCTTTCAGAATCATTTGAATCTTTAAATCCAACTAGCTCTTTCAAGTTTGCCTGAAGAGCAGATAGTTTCTTTTGTAGATACTCATGTACATATATCTCATTCTTATAATTCAATTCTTTTGCTCTACTTCTTGCCTCATTCAAAATACTCATCAGCATATTCAAGCAACATATTATTATGAAGATAACGAAGCTTGAATAGAAAAAATGCCTGTATGGCGCTCTGTCTTTATCTAATTCTCGCATTATAGGAGAATTTAAAGAAGCAATACATAAAGTATAAATAGAAGACGAGACTGTTGAAAACGATGACACAATTGTCACGTACATCAAGTATCCAAAGTGAGCATGAGCAAACAAAAGTATCAGGAAAACCAGAGATAGAGATTTCAAGGAACTCGCTGATAGGACCATCGTATTCCATAATAACATCACGGAATGATCATATTGCAACACGTATAACATTTTCAAACACGATATGCCAGTTATAAATGCTATCATGTATGTATAGGCTTCGTCAACCACAATTAGATGTTGCATATCAACAAATCCATCTTTTATGGCATATTTTACCTCATTTCGTAAATATAGTTTTACAAGAAACAATCCTATTGCAGAAAGTGATAATATCAGATTTATGAATGATACTTTGTTCCATAAACTCTTGAAATATGATAGTCGTTCTTTTCGAAGCAGTTTAATTGCCTTGTAGAATTCATAGAAAACGAAAAATACAAATAAGATCTGACAAACCAAAACAACAATACCGTAGGTTGAATGATACGGATATAAATCTATCACTGCAATTCGATTCCATTTCGTAATTGCAACGTCCATTCCCTGTTCAACAACAATTGTTAAACTGATAAATAAATTGGAATCAGCATTAAATAGAGTTGATTCTATTATAATAGCTCTCGTTTTGGCATCTAACCAGTCTTTAGGCGGTAGAATCGGTGTTGAATGTTCAAATATATAGCCCCCAGTCGGATATATATGTCGTTGTGCAACAATAGGATAAGATAACGGATTCTGGTAGGACCATTCGTTTTTAACAGTATCAGGGCTGTGACTTGAGAATGATTTGTTATAATTTTTCTTATCGATATTATTGGAGGAAAGATCATAGGAACAGTCTTTAATAACATCTTGTAGTTGTTTACAAGACTGTGAGACAACTCTAATTTGTCGCCAACGAATTGAACCAACTCTAATCCAACTTTGTTCGAATGCTCTAATCTTTTGTTCCTTCCAATGAAGTTTTTCGCCATTGTAATATTCCGTATCAAACAATGATGGGTTAAAATAACGATCTCCCCATATGTACAACTTTTCAAGATTGGTTATATTTATCATTTGACGTATTATTCCATTTCGAATAGTTTGAGCAGCACGATGGCTATTCAAAGGTACTTGTTTATAACCGATTACCATTAACAAAATAACATACACCGAAGTGAGAATAATTCTAAAAAGTAGTCTTTCTGTTTTTGCATTCCGTATTCTTTCCATATGTCCTTTAATTAATTCTTCTAGATTTGGTTTCGGAATACTTTCCATTGTGCTTTGAGCTGCGTATATGAACATTAATTTATTTATATTTTTCAAACAATAGTAGCTAAATTAATATACCTCGTATCCTTAAATAATATTGACATATTTCTGTTGCTCTATTAACTACTTCTACATGTTTTAGAAAATTTTCATCGTCATTTTCAAAATCGGACTTTTTTAACAAAATAGAAAGAATTAGAGCTAAAATGATAACCTGTAAGAAATAAAAAATACTATCGTTTTTCTAAGCGTTTACGTTATTCCATCGAAATACCTTGAAAGGTTGGATTAGTAATACAGATTGTCCAAAACTTATGAACATTGATGTTAGCCATTGCTCGGATTTTGTCTTTCCCCATTCCAATGAGTATAGTAATACAAAAAAGAAAGATGAAATAGATACAATGATGACTAGTGCCCACGATACATAAAGGAAGACAGGAGGTAAAGTAAAAGACTTAGTTCTCGATATACTCTCTCTTCTAGTTTTCTTAAACAGAGTCATAATTAAGAAATTCACTGGTAGTACTACAACAGCTGAAACTGTGCCAATCCATAGCTGCTGCACGGAGAATATAAGTGGTCCTAGCTTATATGCTAAATCAGTTTCCTCATTTTCCCTTTGATAGAACATTGCCGATGCAATCATTGAAGTAGCGATTAGAGAGAGACAACACCCAGCTCTTTGAACTCTTGTGAAATAGCTTCGGGTAGGTCTTGAGAAAACACTCAACCATAAGTGATCATCTGTCAGTTTGTTCCTTAACCACATTGGCCATAATCTTTTGAAAGTGATTAATGTATTACTTTCAGATGTTGGAATATCCAAACATGGTATGGATTTGGTCAAAGATGAATTTGCATAAAAATAGTGTTTTTTCATATCTTCTAGATTAACCAGAATTATTTCCTCCAAAAACCAAGACGGTGATTTAGTTTTAATTGTTGGATTTATCCAAATTCGAATGCTCTTTGGTTCTCCCAAACTCTTTTGCGTCGTCATATGATAATGAGATATACTCGATCTCTTTAGCTCATCTCGATATCCATCATATAAAGTTCGTATATTTGACGACGACTCTTCTCCTTCAATCATGAATTTTATCTGACTATCCGTTCCTGCATTTCGGCCATATCCCGTTCTAACAATTAGAGCGTAATGGTGACGATCTAGTGCAGAATTATCCAAAAGACTTCTCATTTTCCACATTTCTTCATCTTTTTTATCAGCTCTTCTCAAAATTAGTAGAGAACACCAGAAGAGTACCAGCATACAAATAATCAAAACCAAGACGGCTATATTGTCGCCAATTCGTTTCAATTTTCCGAATGCCGAACTAAAATCTATAGGATTCGGAGCGACGAGAACATTCGATCCGAAGAAAGTGAGATGGTTGCATTGGCAAGTGATAACATCCTTCTTTTGAACATCGGCCACCTATCGAGACGATGATTTCATTTAATTAGATTACTCGACTGTCCCTGAAGAGAACACTAAATAAAGAACTTACAGAGCAGTTATCCTTTTGCCATAAATTTTCACTTTCAGCCCAAAACAGACAGGAAATTTTCTCCATAAATACTGAATAGTGAATTAAATCCGACTCTGCAAATGGTTGAATGAATCAATTCATTACAAATTCATCGTTGGGAGTTGTCAATCAACAATAAATGTGTGACTTACCGAGTTTCATTCCAATGTATACAGTTCCATTTTGAGAAACTGGAATGATTCGTTCAAAATAATTTACTGCCGATGCAGTAGAGTATACAAGATATTGTTCATTCTCAGTTGGATTCTCATTCAAACGAACGTAAATTCGAAATTTTTCTCTTTTTTTCATCTTTAATTTCATAAATATGGCAGAAGTAGGCCAATCGTATGTTATATTGTGAATGATCATGGAAGATTTCCTCTCGGATAGATCGGGAATGAAAACATTTAGATATTGAGTTTTACGATTGTCCATTTTGAGTTCAAGTTTAATATCTTCTTTAAGATTACTGATATGAATCGGTCGGAAAAAGTTATCAAAAAGCTTAACAGAGAGGGTATGAGAGTTAATAAGATTTTTCGATTGAGTTCCCCAGGTTATAGGATTTTTTTTGGACGATATTGTCTGTAGCAATTTATGAGTTAGAAAGAATCATTAAGCTACCAGTGTTTTTTACTTACTTGTAGGTTAACATATACAGCAGTATATTTATGTAACAATTCAGATGATAAGGATGGGAAAATAACTTTATTCTCTCCACTTTCAATTCCAGTATTATATAAGGAAACTTTTTTTAGCTTTTGAGCTGTTAGTTTCCAGTTATTATCTCCAATAGTTATTGCTTCTTCGTCTTCTACTCTGCTTTCTAAGATACTTTGAGTAATAAGGTCTGTTGTTGTCGTAATGAGAGGAACGACAACTCTAGTCTATTATAAATCAGAAATAAGTAATAAATTCTTATTAATCATCCTTGAGAAACTTACTAATGCGTTTTCTTTCACGTCAATTTCATTTTGTTTTATTGTCACATTTCTTTTATACATTTCTTGACTTTCTGGTGGCAAATCTGGAGGAACAGTTGATAGAGATGGGGATGGATAGCTGATGTCAATTAAACTTGACACTGCTTCCATTAAGCCTGAGAGCATATAGTTGTATTAGACATACTCGTTTTTATCATTTTAAGAGATTATATACTTTCTGAAGTTGAATACATAACTTCTTGGTCAGTGTTCAATAGACTTCTATATTTAGATGATAGACGATAAACATTTTGCACAGCCTCACTCTAGGATAGCATAAATATTAATAAATTAATGTTACAAATAATTTTTATTACCGTTGCTTTATCCATATAATAATCTGAGTTTGATCCTAATATTCTTGATAAAGTGGCAGATCCTTGCTGAATATCTATTTCATTTTCAAGAAAAGTATTAATATCAGTAAAAGAATGGATTAATGAGCTTCGTATTTGCTGATGCTGCTCGAGAGAGAAGGGAGTTGAATAACACGAAGATTGCCCATCAAGGTATGCCATGACGGCTGATTGTATTCTTAAGGCACCTCTATAATCTTTGTTCGTGATCATGCTATTCATTTCACCTTTAAAGTCAGTAAGAATATTTAGAATATCTTTGAACTCTGCTGTGAATGATTGAACATAGGCAACCAGATGAACAACATTTGTGGACCCTATCGTATCCGATATTTCAACTTTAATAGGCAATTTCGGATTTACCGGTAAATGCATGAGAGGAGATTTTGAATTAGGTGAAGAGTGAAGTAAATTCCATCCCAAATGGTCTTTATAATAAATTTTATACATCATTGGCCGAAGAAAATATACATCATCCGATGGACTTCTTTTCAATTGTAAATCTTCATCAGACCAACCTGTGCATATAACTTGAAATCTTGTTTCCAGAGAAATACCTTTTAAATAAATTACTTTGCGTAAATTCATAATAATAAACCTTTGTGCTTACCTTGTTTTGGCTCTACCCGACACGTTCCAGAGTAGGGAGGAAAGTTAGTATTGATTACCTTCTCTGTAAATCCATAAGTGTTACCACTCCTCCATGTAGTTCGAATGGTATAAACTTTACCAGGCTGTAATATTCCTTCTTTTAAGCCTAAATATTCCAAATTTGCTTCTAGAAGTGATTACATAATTTAAATAAATGAAAGAGGTATTAAATTAAATTTTTACCAGTTGTTATATATTTTTTGACGTCTACTACGGAGGAGCCGTTTTCGTTTTCAATTAAAACTGACCATTCTCTTTGCCATATCATATTTGATGGACAATTACTACACATTGTTCTTAGCATAAGCTTTTTTAAAGCATTAATCTTTCTTTCACAGTTAATCAAACATATAATATTAAGATTTGGATGGAAGGATGAAAAAGCTATTATAATAATTTTTTGCTCTGAAGAAGCTATCTGATTGTTCTGTTTAGCTTGTACTCTTAAGGAGTAGTGTCCAATACCTGGTGCCAGTGTTGAAAGGCATCCGAAACCACATGTTGCTCTTTTTTCTCTTTTAGAGAATTTTTGATTTGATAAAATCGACCATACAGCAGATGATGAACTTTTTATGCTAAATATAAATTCGTCAATATCACCACCATCTTCATCAACTGAATTTGAAGCGTCAATTAATATATTCTCATTTAAATTAACTGATCTTGCTGTGCCACCAATAATATTAACTTTTAGAGGAGTTTGCAATATTTTTATGTATTTTATAGCTGTTGCTTTTACATTAAATTCTGTAATTGTAACTGTAAAGTTTATTATATGGCTGCCATAATGCAATGTTCTCGGTGGAATCTTCAGCCAAGGTTTTTTGCGATTTGGCATACTAATTATGTTCTCCCTTTCATCATAAACTGTCCATAAAACCGTTACTGGTAGAAGAGTTTCACAGGTACTTTTAAACTCAGCTTGAAAGTAACTTGCTTCTGATTTATATATATTTAATGGATCATCTTGTTTCTCACCCATCTCGCCTAAATCTATAACTGGTTTTTGACATTGGACAACTTCGACTTTAAGACGAACTACAGATTTAGACCTGCTATTAAAAGCATAGACGAATATCTCGTATGTTCCTGGTTTCTTCCACGTATGAAAATGTTGTAATTTTTTTCTTTCAAATCTAAAACTCTTTAGAACAACATTTTGATATTCTTTCAGACATCCTGTATGACCATACAGTGCTTGGGTTGTCGAGTCTCCAAGGTCCCATAGCAAACATGGTTCTATACCAAGAGATGTATAACGAAGTTCCAGTTTCGCTTCATGATCAACAACGGCGGAACCAATGACTTTTAGGGTCAAACCGGCAATGCGATTTTGAATTGTTACGTGAAAATATTTGGTATCTTCACAGAAACTGTTACTTGCCGTAACACTTAGATTATATGATCCTTGTTTTTCATAAAAGTATGAAAGTTGGTATTCTTTGTACGGTGGTTTAATGGCTGGCTCTTTTTTCTTTATCATATTAAATAAGAGAGTAACGTTCGAACCTTTCTCCCATTTAACTTTGAAAATAATTGTCTCATCTGGTGAATATATAGTAGCTTTAGAAGAAAATTCCAGTTTTTCTATACACTCTCCAATTCTAATAGTTGACGATTGTACTTCAGTACCAACTAAATTTTTTATTTCTCCCTTTATGTTATAGTATTTTTCTAGTTTGTATTTATGACTAATCGTAAAATTATGCGTTTTATTCAAGTTAACATGATCAAAATTGTAAATTTTGCCATCTCCTGTTTCTAGTCTAGCTGAAGCATCTGTTATCTTTTCCTTTGAATTATTCAAATAGAAAGTAAAAATAGCATCATCATTGTAAGATGGTACATTTTTTGCTTCAATTAAAACTTTAGGTAACTTCCTAACTAATTGAATTCTCTTCCATATTACTTTGGTACTATATTCATTTTTTACAGACATTGTGATATTACGATAACCTTCGTTCTCAAAGACATAAGAAAGTGAAAATGTTTTTGAAGTTGGGCTGTCCCCAGGGGCAGCGAATGCATTCAACAGACCTTCAATATTAGATCTTATATCAATTCTATAGTTGGAACCCTCACTTACGAGGCAAGATATATTGAAAGGTTTCCCAGTTTCCCAGACAGTCTCCGTCAATACTAAATATATGCTACCAATTTCCCTTACAGCTACTACTTCGATAGCTTTTGACTTCGTAGATATTTGATTTTTAGCCGTTAGATGATAGGTATGGGAGTCAATTGTTAATGGGACTGGAACTTGGAGTTTAGTCGCTATTTTTGGACAATCCAAGGACTGTTCATATACAATTCTAGTAGCTTCATTTGTTTTTATGTCAGTCATGGAGCAAGTTATAGGAACTCCATCAGTAATTATCCAACTGATGACCACATATGGATCTTTAAGACGTATCAGATGCTTTTCAGGGGAGATTTGAATATTTTGTATTGGTTCTTCAACTTCGATGTTTGTTATTTGACACGTTTTTGATGAAAAGAAATTTTGGGCCAAAATGTCAATTTGAAATTTTCCGGTTTTGGTATAGTTATAAAGAAAACTTTGCGTTTGATTGGATATAACATTCTGTAACACTTTCTCTCTTCCATCACCAAAAGAAATTCTCAGACTAACATTTGTTCCATGATTTACTTTATATTCTAGTGTATAAATATGTTTATTGGACAATAGAAGCTCACTTGTACTACACAATAGGGAAGATATTGATATTCCCACTTTAACTTGTATTTCTCTTTGTATTTCACTCACAGGATTACTCGCCTTAGCAATTAGCGTATAGAAGCCATCATGTTTATATAGATAGTATAGCTGCCGTTGATATTTATTTACATATGCTAACGAACTACTTTGATTCCCATCACCAAAATAGATTGTAAAATTTGAATGACTTGGAACGGCTACCGTTTCTAAGAATTTAATAAGCAAATTTAAAGGTTTTATTGTTGTTGAAATATCCAGAATTTCAAGATTCAAGTCAACAATAGGCTGGTAAACTTGAAAAGAAATTGTCGATGTCAAATTGCTAAGAGTATTGAAGCATGTTACAGATGTAGTATAAATTCCTTCGAATTCTCCAAGGATACCAAAATTATAGATATAATCTTTACCATTTGAGACAAAAAATTGATTTGGTATAGTAATTGAGCCATTGGTAGAAATATGAATATTAATATTCGTCCCCTTAGAAATATTCAGTTGAACATTGGTAGTTTCGTTACTCTTTAGAATAGTTTTGAAAACTTGTATATTGAAACCTAAAATTTCTTCTTCTACAGTTATATTTGCTGAATAATATGTGGTATTACTAACAGTATTACTAAGTTCCATATTTATTTGATGTACACCTTTAGCAATATTTGTAATATTTGCGTAATAATGCGTAGAATTGTATTTCATAGTTAAATATTTAACATCATTTATAAAAAATGATGTATTGACTGGATTTCCTTTAGATAGTTTCCACCAAAAGATTTTTTCATCTTCAAAGTTAAAATAAAAGTTTCCAATAGCTATAAAACTGTCTATCTTTTCTTGAACTTCAATGGAATCATTATATTTCACTTCTATGGAGCCTAACTCATTGGAAATATTCAGACTTGTATTGAAAAATCCTATTTGTGTTGTAGTGAAAGAGAATGTGTATATTTTGCTGTTGTTTACAAGAGCTGCTATCATTTTTTGCTGTTTGGTGTCTCCAAACGTTACTTCAGCTTGTAAGTTACTTCCTTGTTCAATTTTTATTTCCACTGTAACTTTCTCACCTATACTTAATACTTTCGGATGGACTCGAAAGATTTGAAAGTTATCAATAGTTGTTCCTATTTCACGATATGTTGATTCTTTTATAATGGATGAAACATTATTAGATACTTCAACTGTTAGATAATAATGGCCATCTTTCGGTATAGATGAACAATGACCATATATCCTCTCAAAGTTTTGGAAGAAGTATGTTCCACATAAAACTGACTGTAGGGCGGAGACTTCTTTAATCCGAACTGAGAGTTGGACGTTGGTAGCAGAATTATTTGATTCGATGCTGAAATTCACTCCTGACTGATAATGAGAAGAGTTTCCAACTAGAATATCTATCGTTTCAATAGGATTTTCGATCTCTATAAAATTGCTGTATGTTGATACGTTTCCAATTATATTAGATGAATTTCCGTATAGCCTGTATATTCCAGGTTTACTGTAACTTATCTCATAGTTTTCCCTATAGTTTATATGATCTCCTGTCAAATTTTTTGTAGCAGTTCCTTCATTAAGATAAATGCTATATTCCAAATTTGATCCAGAAATTTCCAAAGTTGTGTTGAAAGTTTCGTTTGTTTTATAAAATAACTTTTCAAAAGAGATTGAAAGATTTGATACTTGACGTTCAATTTGAACTGTCGTATTACCAGTCAATTCTGATATGTTATTCTTTGCAGTGATAGTAAGGTCATGTATTCCAATAGTTGTAAAGTTATCAGGAAGGATAAAGAAATAATCTCTGGTTTTTCCCAGAGATGTATCGTTAAATACCTCAAAAGTAACATCATATCCATGATCAAGAGTCCATGAAATATTTTTTAAGTTATCTCTTTCGAAAAGATAAAATTTGGATATATTCAAACCGTAAATAGGATCTTGAACAGTTATATTCCATTCTGATCTGTTTTCATTCAAGATATTTTGGCATGATACTGTTAAATTAATTAATCCTTTACTATCGAAAAAATTGGGTATGGTAAATGGTATTGTTAAATTGCTAATGAAAGTAGTATTTATTGGTAAGTTATTTTTAAACAAGGTGCAATTAGCGTCGGTTCCAGAATCAGCCACAATTGAAATATTTGCGTAGCTATTTATTGAAAGAATCTTTGGTGCTATAAGTTTCAAATTTGATACAACTTCTGTAAGTTTAATAACTTGAATTGTTACATTTTTTATAAAATCATTTTTCTCATTTCTTCCAATTATTTCTATTTCATAGAAACCAATATGTTCAAATTGATGATATAAAATTGTTTCTTCTGTGAAAAACACTGGGAAATTCGTAAAATTAACTCTAAACATGGCATAAGTTTCGTTTTTCACTGATAAGAATATCTTAAACGTCTGATTTACATTGATTAATTTTATATCTCGATTTAAAAATGAATAATGATCTTCTATTGTCACATTAAATTCAGTTATTGGAAGAGGATTTAGTAAAGGTTTTACAGCAGTTTGACTGTAAATCTTATAAGGATAACTACTCGTACAGTTTTGCATCTCAGGCAAAGAGGAATTTAGACAAAAGCAGGTCAAATTGGCAAAGTAGTAGGCAGAGTGAGTATTTTCAAAACCGCATTTTTCTCTGCAATGTGTATCATGATTGGCTTTTCCGATATAAGTCCAATTGGAATCAATATTGTCTACGCAACCCAGGTAGTAGTAGCCTAAGTATAATTATATATCTTATTAGTGAAAATATTAGGTAATTATTACTTTTAAACTTTACCCAAATTAAAGAACAATTCGTTTGGAGTTGTCCATCCATCAGTAAAAATAAATTCGTCTATGCTGAATGAGGATATTTCGTCACCAAAGGTTAGAATCTCACTGGGTGGCACATGAACATCAGATTTAGTTCCATTAAGCTTAAAAAAGAAGATTCCATCAATGTAAATATTTAAATCGAATCCCCAGCTCCATGTTAGATGAAACTGAAACCATTTGTTGATGCGAAAGTTCATGATATGTTCCCAAAAATAGTCATATATTTTCATCTAGAAGGAATATTTCGTCAAAAGTGATTTTTTAAACTCATAAAATGATAAAAAACGAAACTTTTTACCTTTATTTTACAATATCTTCGTAGTGGTAAACTGGAATTGTATGCACCACAACGAATACTCAGCCATGACGAATTGAAGATTGTTTTTTCACCTTCATCAGGAAAATACATATAAGCACTAAATGCAAAACCAACACATTTTGTTAAATCTGTAAAGCAGCTTTCTTCTGGCATGTCAATTGCTATGCTACCATTTGATAGTTTCGCAAAGCGATTACTAATTTTCCCGCTTTCATAGGTTACATTTACACATTCATAGTCAATTTCATTGTTGTTTAATGTTCCTTTATCTTGTTGAAAATTTAAAATTAAACGATTTTTATATCTTATGTAACTTGCTGAAAAAAGCAATAATACATTCAATGGATTTATCGAAATATTTCTGTAAACTTACTGTATTGATCTTTAACAAAACTGTCCGACGTTACGTGATCAATAAACGATAGTTCATCGATGGAAACGCCAGCGTTTGCGTTATCTCCTAGTTTGATTTGGGATATTTGCTGAGTATCAACTGTTGTTAAACTTTTCTGAATAGCAACTGATTGCTTTATACTGTTTATGTAAACCGAAAGAGGATATATGGAGGCGAATTTTTGACAATATATTAGAATAAAATTCCATGATATTCTTCTTAGATCTGCTTCAAAATATGAAATTTCTTGTTTATTAATGCATTTTCCAACTAGAGTCTCATTTTCTGGTATGTAATCTAAAATAATTGATGTTTGAATGTTCAAAATATTAATTCTCGGATCAGATTTCTTAGCATTCAACTTTAACCAAAAAGTTATTCTAAGACCTAACTCACACCAATCAATAGCCGATATACATTCTTTTGACAAATAGTAACTTGTTTCTATGGCTTTTTCTATTAATACCGATGTATTTTTTATTCCAGTTTCTCTTGTAAGTGTATCATTCCAAAAGGTATCATCAATATGCTCATCAAATGAATATACATATTCTTTCTCTAAAACACTTACCATACCATTAACCATAGTTGAATTCATCATGTATCTATATAAATATATCTCATCAATATACAAATCATCTCCAGCAAACTCCCAAGCAACATTTGCTTGTTCATTAGTACATGAGGTAAGAGGCTTTAATAGTAACTGACCTCCATTATAGGTCACATTTATTAGATCAGAAGTCATGGATACACTTAAATGAGTCCAAATTCCTATAGAGGTTGCCAAACTAAGAGGATTTGGGAGGTAAACACTTGAAATTGATATATTTCCAAAACTCTTTAGTTCAATTGATAGAGCTTGTCCAAAGCTTAAGATTGACATTTCAGAAAAGGAATATGGTAATTTATACCAGAAAGCAATACTAAACCCATCAGGACATAAGGATAAGCTAGCCGGGCAAGAGTATGTCACATATGTATCTAAACGTCCCAAACTTAATCCATTTCCATTGACTCCTTTTATAATATTTGAAGATTGTTGTGTCCACCACCAGCCTCTTTCATCAGACAGATCACCTAGACTATCCAGATCTTCATAGGATTCTCTGATAGATTGAAATATTATTGATCTATCAGTTTCATCAAAAACATAATTTTCCGATATATATAGATCATCTATTGCTAAAAAAGTTCCATCATACTGTCTTCCGACTACTAAACAATGATTTACATCACAGAAGGAAGGTCTACCATGAATTGACAAGGGATTTTGAGTAAGTACAAGTTGTGTGCCATTATACTTTACAACATCAATATTATTAATATAAAGAGACAACCCTTTTACTGAATGCCATGTGAACATAACATTAAGCCAATTACGTATTACAAATGTCTCGCTTGTTGTTCTCCAAACTGTGTCCTTAGTAACTACTTCTACAGTCAATTTATATTGATCGTAAACAACGTAATAGCCAACCTCTGTTGTATTTGACATCAGCAATAGAGCATAATTTGTATTTGATGAAGGACGAAACCAGAATGATACAGATAGGCCCAGTTCACACTCCAAAATATTTGCAAAGCATCTTGTTAAGTGATGCTTATTTGTGTACAATTGAAAACTATGATAATCTATGAGTTTTGCTGCTTTTCGCTCTCCATCGGCAAATGGGATTAGCTTTGAAGTACTGTAAGAAGCTTTATATTGTCCATCAGAAGGAAATTTGCCGATATCTAGTTCGTCAAAACTAAACAAAATTCCAATTCTTTCATGTTCAAGACATTCGACACCGTCAATATTCCATTGAAAATTTCCACTACTAGTTGGTTCACTTATTAGAACCGTAGCAATTGGTAGAAACATTCCAGAATTATAAGTCAAAAATCTCTCCCCTTCGTATGATATGTAGCCTTCATCAATACTTGAATCGCTAATACCATTGCAATTACAAGTTTCAGTATCATTACAACTATTGTCATTTTTGCACGGACAAGTCATTGCAACATCAGCTCCAGGGAATGTTTTTGTTTTTACACTGAAAAGTCCTCCGAATTCCGTAACAGATCCACCTCCAAAAAGTTTATACTTATTTTCACACTTGAATGTAAACTTTTGACGGCATGAAGACGATCTACTCGATATGTTAGTAAGTATTTCCTGATCATAAGCCAAACTATCGGCCAAGGAAAATTCTTTACTCCCAGAAGTAAACCAAGTGCCTTCATCCTTCATAGGTATATGCTTATAAGTTGACTTTTTAGATGAATTTGTAAATTTACAACGCATCATATAGGAATCTACTCTTAATGGATAATCGTCATCAAAATAAGCAGAATTCTCGTATTCCGAGCATGTTTTCATATCTAATTAAAAGAAATAAAATCTAACATTAGCTTTAAATAATATTATTTTTAATGTATTAATAAATTACCATAAAAATCGTATAATCCTATATCATCAATTATTCTATAGTGCTTCGTTGAAGTCATTAAATAGTATAAATCGTCAAATTCTCCTTTTCCTCTATTTGATATAGTAAATGGAGCTCCAGTCAATCTTCCTCCAACAACTATATATCCGTCAGTAGCTGAGCTTTCAATAAAATCTGAGGTTTTCCAACAAGTATAATTTAGCTCTGTATTATGTAAATAAAATCTAGCTCTTATAATGAGCCCTGCATGATTTGAGACATTATATCGAAGTTGGATAAATTGCCAACTATGCATTTTTATTATTGTCCATGAAGCGCACGTTTTATTTTGACCATTAATTGTTATTGTCATATTATCATTCACGTTTGAAACTTCTATATGTGTTTGCTGCATATCACCAACCCAAAAATGGGTTCCTGCAGTTGACGATATTTTAAGCCAGAATGTCCATAAAAAATTCATCCCTAAACAATATCTTGGACTGGTCAGACAATTTTTAAAAAACTTTTGAGAGATTGCATAGCCAGTTTCATAATTAATGTGATTCCTAAAGTACAGTGATCCGAATTCTAAGCTGGCACCTTCTTCCAATTTAAAATAAACTCTAAGGTCTTTAGATAGACTTAATCCCCACTTTCCCCTGTCACCAACTGTATAGCCATTTACAACAGATTCGAAACTAGATGTTCCTGAAGCAAATAGATTCTTCGTCTCTATTCCTTCATATAATTGAAGTGATAAAATTTTTTTATACTGATTAGAGATTATAAAATTGAATATCATAAATGTTTTAAAGCATTTGTTTTGATCGAAATCGCATCCTACATAATATTTAGGCATTTTATAACGATTTTCAAGCAATCGACCTTTACATTCAGTTATTGTTCCAACTTCTTCAGAATTTATAAAAACGGTTAAGCCTGCAAAAGGTTTATACAAATAGTGAAGGTAAAACCATTGACTGTTTGGAAAATATCCTTCATATTCATATAAACATGTAAAAGTGGCGATTGAAATGACCAATTTTCCATTTCTAACAAAAATCGATTGCCCATAATAATTGGGATGATTACCACCATTATCAAAGATATATCCTTCCTGAGAATCATTCGGTACTCCTGCTATGTACAGCCATAATTGAATAGTTATTCCTGATATGCATTCCTCTATATCTTTCAGGCATTTATGCGGGGGTACATTTTCTTCTAAATAGTATCTCCCATCAAATATGTGTGCATTTGCTATATCTTTTAGAATGGTAACCGCAGGTCCACTTGCTTTACTCTGTAGAGGCAATGGTTCGCTTATGTCACTTACATTAAAATACTTGGCACCCGGAAGGCCCATTTGCCAACTTGATACAGTTTCTATAAATTACAGCTATTTTGTTCAAATGAACATTTTACATTAATCTAAGCTTACCTATTTTGTGTATAGCTTGATAAATGTCCAATTTATAGGAAAGAAAGTAAAGTTCATCAATCCCAAGGGCTATCGAAGGCGAGTTACTTCCTGTTTATTATCAGAGATTTTTGATTATTATTAAATGAAATGTGTAATAGGAATGATGTTTTTTACCAAGGATTAAGGGAGCTGAGAAATTGACTGAATACGGTGAAGGAAGATTTCCAATGGAACCTTCGGTGGCCAAAAATTCAAACTGATCACTTACAGAACTGTCACTCTCAGAAATTTTAATAGTTTTCTGTGTAAAAAGATAATAATCTGGAGTGTTTAGGTAATATCTTTTAAGTAAAATTTACTATAAATCCATTTATAATAGGGTCATAAATAAACAGTATATGATACCATTCATCTAAGAGTAATTTCGGACTCTGATATGTCAGAGTTCTGTGTTTCATATTTATTATCAGATTTAACAGAATAGTTGATTTCATTTGTTCCAAATATAAATAAAAGCCTGAAAAGACACTACATTTTAGATTAAATTAATAATACTATTGCTAAAATTGCCTTCATGCTGGATGCCTACATCCACATTTCCTATTACATACACTCTTTCTGAAGCATTAAATTCAACAAGCTTCAACCAGAAATCTAGTGTGAAACCATTGGGACACCAATGAGCTCCAGCAGCATTTTGATTTAAACATGTTGGATATGAACCCAAACTAAAAGAAGTGCCATTTAATAATAAACCACCGTCTTTCCTTCCAGCAAATATTGACAATTTTTGTGGATTAGATAGTTTTATAGGTTTAGAGCCAGAAAATATGCTGTTTTCGTTTATTTCATCAAAATTGAAGAAAAATTTATCAGTATGGGTTTTAGAGAGTTCGTCTATAAAAGATTGGAGTATTTATTAATGTCTTTACGATTTTAATGCAAAAGATAAAATAGAAAGAACTCTTTATCGAAATTATAAGATACTCTGATGATTATAATGTTAATTTATTAATGTTTTTCGTATCTAACGGATCAGCAAAACTAATCAATATACATTTCTTGAATAACGAAAAACTTTTTAAACCTTTTCTTTTCAATGAATGAATTGTAAAAGATGGAGCATCTATTATCTTTGAACACAAATACACTGTGAAAAGCAATATTCCTCATTCATTTCTGATATTGAGCTGATCGGTTTAAACAAATAATCCGTAAGAAACCGTACAACAGGATAATATAAATACACTTTCTTTTTTATAATAATGTCCTTGTTTGCTACTGCTTGTAGTTTTCATCAATAATAATATAGAGTTATACTATTTCATGAAACTAAACTAGAAAAGATATTATAAAACTAACTTACCGTAAATTTTCTCAACATTGTAGGTACTGTAAACCCGGTCACCTATTCTTAATTCATCAACAAGAATGGATCCACTATCAAGATATTTTACGATTTTTAATGCTGAACCAGGGCTTGTAATGGTTTCATTCACGTAATTACTTGAAAAAGAAACAACTTCTTTATCAAGCCAAACAATTATTCCTTGAGATTTTATATTATACGATACAGCAATATGGCACCAATTATGTAAGCATGATGATAACGTTGTCATTATTCCATAATATTTTCTTTCTCCTGTATTCAAGTGCACATATAAGGTACTGTTGCTTCCGTAATATCTCATTTCAATGCCTCTAGAATCTGACTCGATTGTAGATATTAATTCAACTGCTGCAGTGGAACTTGTTTGAATGTTCAGCCATACCGAAATAGATATACCATATTGACAATTAATGGGACTTTTTGGGCACTCTGTTGCCTCTGCCCAATTAGCCACTATCACATCAGAAGAGGGGGTCACTTCAAGGCATTTTTCTTTAACTCCATTTAAATAAGATAAACCAGTTGTTGAAGCAATATATAAACTGTCGAATGCAGGATCATTATCAAGAGCCCAGAACCAAGATTTAGCACTGGTATATGATAATGAGGATAGGAAATATAGCAAAAACAACATGGCAAATTTCATCTTTTCCCACGGTTTTAAATTAAAACTAGAAAATCTTTCGAGAACAATCGGGCTTATAAATCATCAAGTATCTAATGAATTTTTAATCCGTTATTATCATAATTGATGACGGATTTCTTAAGATCAATTCATCGGGCCTCAATCCTAGCAGCTTTCTGAGAGAAAGAAAAATAACTGAGAGGATATTAATTCATCTACTGCAAAATTTCCTGGACAAATATTCATTCAATAAAGTTACATTTTGCTATTCTTAAGTTACACCTAAAAATTTTAATTATTTCACTTAAAAACTTCTTATTTTCCTAAAAAATAGAAGTATCATTCAATTGGTTCAAGGAAAATGGAAATCTATAACTAAATATAATAATATATATAATAAATACTCTAGTTTCCAGCCTATAACTGAGGTAAGATATCGACCTACATATTATCAGATTAAATTAATTTCCCCCATTTACATATGAATAAATTTCGTTAAAAGTAGTATTTAATGCCATAAATTATAATTTATTTAAATTGACACTCTGGGATTAATAAACATATTTCAAATTCATAATAACTAACATTTATCTTTTTTTCTTCGAAGAAAGCATTTAAAGAGAATGAACTTCTGATATTATCAATATATAGAAGTTTTATGCTTTTTAACAAAGACTTGTAGTTATATATAATTTTCTGTTTTATATTCCGTATTGGTTCAATCAATTTTTAGATTAGCCCAATATTTGTATCAATGAATAAATAATGCTCCAAGAAAAAGATTAATATATTGTTATTTTTCTTCCTTTTTTCTCATTGAATCCAAAATATTCTTTAAAATCTAACAAACAACTTTGTATCTTCTTATCCAAATACTCTAAAACATAAAAATCACTTTTTATGTTAGATTTCTTTGCTCTGCCTCTTGCTTCATTCAGAATACTTATCAAGATATTCAGGCTTAAAACCGGTATGCATAAGACAAAAGTAACGAAAAACATGTGCCTGTAAGGAACTCTTGCTTTTTCCAAGTCTCTCATAAGTGGTGAGTTTAGAGACGATATGCAAAGAGTATACACTGATGACAACATCGTTGAAAATGATGACAAGTGTGTAACGTAAAGTAAGTAGCTCATATGAGCATGAGCTAAAAGGAAAAAGAGAAATACAAAGAATAAGGATTTAAGAGAACTTGATGCATTATTAATAGTTTTTATAAGCAATAGAATAGTTTTATGATATTGTAGGACATACAACATTTTCAAGCATGATATTCCACTTACGAATGCCACGATGTAAGTATATGACTCATCTATGACTATAAGGTGCTGCATTTCCACAAACTTATCTTTAAGACCTATTTTCACTTTGTTGCGTAAAACAGTTTTAGCTAAAAACAGTCCAATGGTACATAGAGACAAAATCACATTTATGAATGAAACTTTGTTCCATAAACTCTTGAAATATGCAAGTCGTTCTTTCCGCATATGTTTAACTACTTTGTAGAATTCGTAGAAAACGAAAAATATAAATAAGATCTGACAAACCAAAACAGTAATTCCGTAGTTTGAATGATACGGATATAAATCTATCACTGCAATTCGATTCCATTTCGTAATTGCAACGTCCATTCCCTGTTCAACAACAATTGTTAAACTGATAAACAAATTGGAATCAGCGTTATATAGAGTTGATTCTATTATAATAGCTCTCGTTTTGGCATCTAACCAGTCTTTAGGCGGTAGAATCGGTGTTGAATGTTCAAATATATAGCCCCCAGTCGGATATATATGTCGTTGTGCAACAATAGGATAAGATAACGGATTCTGGTAGGACCATTCGTTTTTAACAGTATCAGGGCTGTGACTTGAGAATGATTTGTTATAATTTTTCTTATCGATATTATTGGAGGAAAGATCATAGGAACAGTCTTTAATAACATCTTGTAGTTGTTTACAAGACTGTGAGACAACTCTAATTTGTCGCCAACGAATTGAACCAACTCTAATCCAACTTTGTTCGAATGCTCTAATCTTTTGTTCCTTCCAATGAAGTTTTTCGCCATTGTAATATTCCGTATCAAACATTGATGGGTTAAAATAAGTTGCTGTCCAGTTGTATAAGTCATGTAATTCAGTAACTTTATCAAGATGATTTATAAAGCCATTTCGAATAGTTTGAGCAGCATGATAGCTCTTCAAGGGAACTTGTTTATAACCAATTACCAATACTAATATGATATAAATACATGTTGTTACAATTCTTAATAACACTTTTTCTGTTTTAGAATTTTTAACGTTTTCCAGATGACTTTTAACCATATCATTGAGATTAGGTTTTGGAATATTTTCAATTGAACTCTCCACTAAAAGATTAACATTTTTTAATTATAAAGTAATTTACATAAAATAATAATAATAAACATAAAATATACCTCTTATTCGCAGAAAATACTGGCAAATCTTTGTTGCTTTATTCACTGTTTCGACATGTTGTAAAAACTCTTCATCATCAAGATCAAAGTCAGATTTTTTGAATAAGATCGATAGAATAAGAGCTATCACAATGACCTAAATGTGTATTATTTTAGTAGATATTACTATACCTATACTTTTTGTAATTGATTAATTACAAACCTTAAAAGGTTGGATAACTATTACTGATTGAGTGAAGCTGATAAGCATGGATGTGAGCCATTGCTCTGATTTTGTTTTACCCCATTCTAAAGAATATAAAAGTACAAAAAAGAAGGAAAGAAATACTGTTATTGCCACTAATATCCATGAAACATAGATAAATATGGGTGGTAATGAAAATGACTTCAGCTTAATCATATAATCTCTCCTGGTCTTTTTAAACAAAGTCATAACTAAAAAGTTTATTGGAACGACCACAAGTGCCGATATTGTACCAATCCACAATTGTTGTACGGAAAATATTAATGGTCCTAGCTTATATGTCAGATCACTTTCGGCATTTCCTGCTTGATAGAACATTGCTGAAGCAATCATGGATGCTGCAATCATACATAAGCAGCATCCAGCTCTTTGCACTCGAGTGAAATGGCTTCGAGTAGGTCTGGACACTACACTTAACCATAAGTGATCGTCAGTAAACTTATTCCTTAACCACATTGGCCATAATCTTTTAAAAGAAGTAATATCTTTATTTTCCGATACGTTAACGTGAGCAGAAGGAGAGAGTTTTGATAGCAACGAATGGGCATAGAAGTAATATTTTTTCATTGTAGAGACATCTACTAAGATAATTTCTTCTAAAAACCAAGACGGTGATTTAGTTTTAATTGTCGGATTTATCCAAATTCGAAGGTTCTTTGGTTCTCCCAAACTCTTTTGCGTCGTCATATGATAATGAGATATACTCGATCTCTTTAGCTCATCTCGATATCCATCATATAAAGTTCGTATATTTGACGACGACTCTTCTCCTTCAATCATGAATTTTATCTGACTATCCGTTCCTGCATTTCGGCCATATCCCGTTCTAACAATTAGAGCGTAATGGTGACGATCTAGTGCAGAATTATCCAAAAGACTTCTCATTTTCCACATTTCTTCATCTTTTTTATCAGCTCTTCTCAAAATTAGTAGAGAACACCAGAAGAGTACCAGCATACAAATAATCAAAACCAAGACGGCTATATTGTCGCCAATTCGTTTCAATTTTCCGAATGCCGAACTAAAATCTATAGGATTCGGAGCGACGAGAACATTCGATCCGAAGAAAGTGAGATGGTTGCATTGGCAAGTGATGACATCCTTCTTTTGAACATCGGCCACCTATCGAGACGATGATTTCATTTAATTAGATTACTCGACTGTCCCTGAAGAGAACACTAAATAAAGAACTTACAGAGCAGTTATCCTTTTGCCATAAATTTTCACTTTCAGCCCAAAACAGACAGGAAATTTTCTCCATAAATACTGAATAGTGAATTAAATCCGACTCTGCAAATGGTTGAATGAATCAATTCATTACAAATTCATCGTTGGGAGTTGTCAATCAACAATAAATGTGTGACTTACCGAGTTTCATTCCAATGTATACAGTTCCATTTTGAGAAACTGGAATGATTCGTTCAAAATAATTTACTGCCGATGCAGTAGAGTATACAAGATATTGTTCATTCTCAGTTGGATTCTCATTCAAACGAACGTAAATTCGAAATTTTTCTCTTTTTTTCATCTTTAATTTCATAAATATGGCAGAAGTAGGCCAATCGTATGTTATATTGTGAATGATCATGGAAGATTTCCTCTCGGATAGATCGGGAATGAAAACATTTAGATATTGAGTTTTACGATTGTCCATTTTGAGTTCAAGTTTAATATCTTCTTTAAGATTACTGATATGAATCGGTCGGAAAAAGTTATCAAAAAGCTTAACAGAGAGGGTATGAGAGTTAATAAGATTTTTCGATTGAGTTCCCCAGATTATGGGATTGAATTTAGATGATACTGACTTTTAAAGAAAAATTAATAGTTTAATATTTTGTTTGTCTCATTCATGTATTTACCTGTATAGCTATTTCTTTTCCTTGATATGATTTTAATAGTTCGGAAGAAAGGGATGGAAAAGATATTGTGTTCTTTTTTTTATTATATTCATATTTATTGTTGAATATGCTAGTTTTTTCTAGTTTTTGCACTTTGAGCAGCCAATTTTCATCACCCAACGTTACAGGCTCCTCACCTGTTACTTGAAATTGCATCAATTTTCTTGTTATAGAATCACTGATTGATTCAGCTCTCGTTATAACTTCTTTAGCCTAATCAATATCGAATGATGTGAATAATCAGAAACTATGTACTTTTAATGTATACATACTAAAGACTTGTCAATTTTATCAATATCCTCTTGCGATTTGGTAATATTTTCAAGATATTCCTCCCTCTGTTCCGGGGGTAAATCAGGAATTTTTAATGTTGGAGGAGTCGAAGGTTGACTTTTTGCTATAATACTTGTTAAAGTCTTCATTATTGCTAAGGAATAGGGAAGAATATTTTTAGTTAATTAAACTCTTGTTTATCTATTTCAGTACCTGTTGATGTACTGAAAACAGCATCAGGCGATTCGGTCAAAAGAAAGAATTTACTGGCTATATTCTGTAATATTTTGATTCCTTCCACCTATTATAAAGTATTTTTAGTTATTTTCAATATTAAGACATAAAAGGTAAGTTTAGTTTACTTTTGTTTCAAACAAGTAATAGATATCCTTTGATTCAAAAATAGCTGCCAAGGTAAACGAGGCTTGCTGAATGTCTAATTCGGTTGTAAGTAAAGGATTTATTTTTGAGAAGATTTTAACTAATTCATGTCGAATTTGTCGCTGTTCTTCCACAGTAAATTCTGTGGAAGAAGAGCAAGAGAATTTGGCGTTTAGAAGGGAGGCAACCGATGTTTCTAGTCTCAAAGCTCCATTATGATTGTTAGATTGTAATAGTCTATTCATTTCTCCATTTGGATTTAGAAGACTATTTAGAATTTCCTTCGCTCCAGCTGTGTAAGGTTGAACATGAGCTGTTAAAAACACAGTTTCTTTTGCCCCAATCATATCGATTATTTCAACTTTAATTTTTAAATTAGGATTGACTGGTAAATGCATGGCTGGTGTTTTCGAATTAACGGACGAATGTAATAGGTTCCATTCTGAATTTGTCTCATAATAGATGCTAAAAGTCATTGGTCGATAAAAGTATAGATCTTCGGACGGGCTTCTTTTCAAATTCAAATCTTCATCGGACCAATCAGAGCAAATAATTTGAAATTTTGTCAATAAAGAAATACCTATAAAATACAGAAGAAATGAATTACTTATAGTATAAATAGTCTTATAAGCAGTATTTACCTTGGTTAGGTTCAATAACGCATTTTCCGTTATATGGAGGATAATTAACAATAAATTTCTTCTCTATAAAACCAACGATATTTCCAGATCTCCATACAGATTTAAATAAATATTCTTTACCAGATTCGAAAAAATGTTCTTTAAATGCCAAATGTTCTAGTTTATGACCTATAGAAAATTAACATATCTATAAACTAATTACAGACAAAGCTTTAAATAGATCTTACTTGTTGTTATATTCTGACTGATGTCAATTTCCTTAGAATTACTATCATAAACAGTCCACGTTTTATCCCAAATTAAATTATCCTGACAATTGGCACATTTTGCTAATAGAGTGAATTTCTGCGATGGATTTATTTTTTTATTACAATTTATTAAACAAACAATATCCAACTCAGGTACAATGCCAGAATTGTCAATAGTATAAAGCTGTTGTAATTTAGTGATGATTGAGTCTCCTTGAACAGCTTCAACTTTTACAGAGAATGACCCTGTTTCAGTTACTTTCATTTCATAGCATCCAAAACCACAAGTAGAACGTTTTCTTCTTATTGGATTTTTATGTCGAAATAGAATTTTCCATTCGGTACTTTTTGAACCTTTCGTACTAAATATAAATTCATCAATTTGACCTCCATCTTCATCTTCAGAGTTCGAAGCATCTATTTTTAGTTTCTCATTAAATTTTACAGATCTAGCATTTCCTCCTTTAATATTTAACTCTAATGGAGTTTTTAGAATCTCAATGTATCTCAGTTCGGTAATAGTCATCTGATATTCGATAATGGTAGCGGTAAAATTTACTGTATGTAAACCATAATCTAATGCTCTTTTAGGAATACTAAACCAAGGCTTATTATTCGGTTTAATGTTCAATTTTGCCTCAACTTTATCAAACACACTCCATATCATACTTATAGGATAACTATTTTCGCATTTATTCTCAAACTCAGCCTGAAAATAGACCGTCTCTGATTTGTATATGTATAATGGTTCAGTTTTTATCATTCCAAATTCACTAAGCGTTATTATAGGTCTCTTACATCTTAACACATTTATTTTCAAGAACTTTGTTGAACGTGAATTTGAATTAAATGCATATACAGAAATATCATAAATTCCAGGTTGTGTCCAAGTGTGTAGATGCTGGAGTTTATTTCTACCTCCCCGAAAACTTACCAAAGTAACATCTTTATAATTTATTGTACAATTTTCACTTCCATACATATATTGAGTTGTTGAGTCTCCAAAATTCCATAAAAGACATGGATCTAATCCCAAGGTGGAATAACTAAACTCTAACTTTGTGACTTCATTCACTACTGCATAGTCTATAAGCTTTAAAGCGGTTCCAGTTACACCGTATTCAATTCTTAATATTTGCCATTTAGTTTTCGTACAAAATGTATTTTGAGCACTGGCAGTTACATTGAAAATCCCTTGCTCTTTATAAAAATGGGAAAATTCAAAGCTTTTCTTTACAAGTGACTCGGGTGTTACTTTATTTTTTCCAGTGGAAATAATGAGAGAAACATTTGAACCCTTTTTCCAAGAAGTTTTAAACAAAATTTCAGATAGTGGCTCAAAAGTATTACCATTCACATTAAACTCAAAATCGTCAATGCATTCTCCTACTCTAATACTTGAAGTTTGACTTTGAGCGCTTATTATATTCTTTACTTCTCCTTTTACATCGTAATATCTTTCATTTTTGTATTTATGAGTTACAGTGAAATTTTTCAAGTTGTTTAGACTAACATTTTCAAAAGTAAATGTTTCTCCATCACCTGTTTCCAGTGTTAGAGTCGCTTCTTTGAAATTTTCTTTCTTATCCTCCAGATAGAATACGAATTTTGCATCCTCATAGAAAGATGCAATATTCTTTGCCTCCAATAAGACTTTTGGTAATCTTCTCACAAATCTTACTCTTTTCCATATTTTTTTTGTGCTATAATCGTTCTTTACTGCCATTGTTATGTTTCGATAACCTTCTTTTGTAAAATTATAGGTCAAGGAAACAGTTTTTACTGTTGGATTATCTCCATTCATAAAGAAGGCTCGCAATAAACCTTCAACGTTTGATTTTATATCAATTCTATAATTGGAACCTTCACTAATCACTCCTGATATGTTAAATGCCTTTCCAGTTTCCCATTCTGTTGCCTTTACATCTATATAGATATCACCTATCTCTCTTACTACCTCAACTTCAGCAACAGCAGCTTTCGAGGACAATTGATTTTCAGCAGTCAGGTGATAAAAATGAGTACCAATAGTTATTGGAATTGGGATATGAAGGTTTTTTGTAACTTTCGGGCAAGTAATTCTATTATCATATACGGTTCTGTCTGCCTCATCAGCTTTTTTATCTAATATCAAACAAGATATCGGATCACCATCGACAATGTTCCAACTGATTGGAACATATGCATCTTTAATTCGGACGTTGAATTTATCTTTGGTTAATTGTAAGCTCGTAATGGGTTCTTCTACTTCAATATTTTTTAACTGGCAGACCTTCGTTGAAAAGAAATTCGTTGCCAATAGATCAATTTCATATTTCCCAGTTCTACTGTAATTAAAATCTTGAGAATATTCATTATAAATCTTTACGTTATGATACTTGAGTTTTACTCCATTATTATAGTTTATTTGAAATGTTACATTCGTACCTCCATGTATTCTATACTGAAATTTATATTCTAGTTTGTTCGAAAGTATATGATTAGCCATGCTACACGTTACTGATGAGATATTCAAGCCAACTTTGACTGTTATAATCCTGTCTAGTATACTAACTGGATTGGTGGCAGTGACAAGTAAATCATAATATCCATCATACTGGTAAAGATATTGAACTTGTCGCTTATATTTGTCGATAAAATTTAGCGAAGTTGTTTGGTTGTTATCTCCAAAAGTAACTAGGAATGAAGGATTTGTTGGAGCATCAGCAGTTTGGAGGAAAGTAGTCAATAATTTCAAAGGCGTAGTTGTTGTGGTAATACTCTGAATTTCTAATTTCATATCGACAATTGGATGGAAAACATTAAAAGTTACTGTTTTTGTAATGTTACTTAATCCGTTGTAACAATTCACAGTTACATTGAATGATCCTTCTTTAGAGCTTAGGACTGAAATTGTGTTAATGTAATCGTCAATAACACCTATTCTGTAAGATGTTGAAGAGGAAATATTAACATCGGTATTTATGATAATATTTACGCTAGTTCCTTCTTTAACTTTAATTGTAACAAGTGTTTCTTCATTAGATCTTAAAATAGTTTTTTCGATGCTTAATTGAAAACCGATGATTCTCTTTTCTACTGCTATATTTGTAGAATAAAAAGACGTTGTACTAACTCCATTTGTTGCCCAAATTTTTAGAGAATGATTTCCTATGCCGATTCTCGTAATATTTGCATAAAAAGTGGTATAGTTCAATCTTATTTCTTTAAATGATTTATCATCCAATAACATGGTGGTATTAACTGGATTTCCTGTTGCTAATGTCCACCAGAATATTTTCTCTTCCTCTACGTCAAAGAAATATGGTCCTATACCTTTTAAGCCAGATATACTATCTTGTATTTCAATACTCTTATCAAATTCAAGTATTTCCCAACCAAATGAGTTAGAAATATTAACAGAAACGTTAAAAATTCCTCCGAATGTAGGCTTTACATTATATTCGTAAATTATAGTTTTATTAACTAATGGTTCAATGAAATGTTCGTCTGTCATAGGTCCATAGTTAATTTTAATTACAGCATTGCTTCCTTCTTCTATTCCAATTTTAACCTCAAAAGTATCAGCGGTTGTTAAGAATAAAGGACTAACATCATGTAAAACAGGATTTTTTAAAGGTGTACCTGCTCTAAAAACCATACTCTCTCTCGTCAAATTAGATACATTGTTGTGAATTACAGCTCTGATTTGGTAAAATCCTTCCTTTTCAAGATATGAATAATTCTGTTGAAAATTTTCGAATTGTTCTGTGAAAAGTTCAAAAAATGGCTTCTCTTCTGATGAATCAATGTCAATAATTGATAAATTAACATAAACGTTAGTCGCCAAGTTGCTTGAAACAACACTACAATTGACACCCTTTTGATAGTAGCTTAGATTTTGTACTACAATATCTAAGTCATTAATGGGATTTTCAATATCAATTAAATTGCTGTATGATGATATATTTCCAACTATATTAGATGCATTTCCGTATAACCTGTATATTCCAGGTTTACTGTAACTTATCTCATAGTTTTCCCTATAGTTTATATGATCTCCTGTCAAATTTTTTGTAGCAGTTCCTTCATTAAGATAAATGCTATATTCCAAATTTGATCCAGAAATTTCCAAAGTTGTGTTGAAAGTTTCGTTTGTTTTATAAAATAACTTTTCAAAAGAGATTGAAAGATTTGATACTTGACGTTCAATTTGAACTGTCGTATTACCAGTCAATTCTGATATGTTATTCTTTGCAGTGATAGTAAGGTCATGTATTCCAATAGTTGTAAAGTTATCAGGAAGGATAAAGAAATAATCTCTGGTTTTTCCCAGAGATGTATCGTTAAATACCTCAAAAGTAACATCATATCCATGATCAAGAGTCCATGAAATATTTTTTAAGTTATCTCTTTCGAAAAGATAAAATTTGGATATATTCAAACCCATAATAGGATCTTGAACAGTTACATTCCTGCTTAACTCTTGAGAACTGATAAAATTATTACATTCTACCCGTAACTCTACTGTAACTTTTTCGTTAAATGATACTGAAAAAGTAACCATTTCAGTTAAATTAGCAACTGTCCTGTTATCTTCAATTTCATTATTTCTATAAAGTGTGCAATTTCCAGGAGCTCCTGATGAAGCTCTATAAGAGATATTGACTGGTTTATCTTTTAAAACAACACTAGGAGCTATCAGTTTTAGCCCTTTTATTGCTATGACCGGCTGTATTACCTGTACCGTAACATTCAAGGGATAGTTGGTTTTCTCATTCCTTGCTATAATGTTCATATCATAAATTCCAACTTTTTCAAATTTATGACGTATTGTAATATTTTCCGTGAAATAAACGGGTTTTGTTTTTAAATCAACTAGGAATACAGGAAAAGTCTTTTCTGATGTAAATAGCAACATTTCAAAGGTTTCATTAACATTTATAAAAGTGCTGCTGAGATTCATTTCTGAGTAGTGATCTAAAACAGTCACATTAAAACTAAGAATGGGCTCTGGGTTAACAATTGGAATTGTTGCATCCAACATATAGATTTCTATGTCTGCTGTTGGTGAGCAGGGCTCAGTAGTAACAGCAATTGCTTCTGTGCAGTAACAATAGTTTATACCAGTCTTGCTTGAAATAGCACTAAAAGTATAAATTACATCACAGTGACTTCGGCATTCCAAAGGATCCACAGCAGAGCCCTTTGCATCCCAAATATCAGTGATTTGTGTAATGCATTGAAGTTTATATTTTGCTGTATACAATTTAGCTGTTATAGTAGGAATATATTTGACTGAATATATAACAAACCCGAATCAAAATGTGATTCCTCTGGTAAAACTAAACCATTCCAGAATCCCAGTTCATCAATTAAAAAAGATGATTCATTATTTCCAATTGATATTAAATTATTCTGAATCATTGTTTGATTGGTGCTGTTTCCAGATGAATGTGCTCTTAGAATATTGTCAACGTATACTTTCAAACCTAATTTCCAACTCCACATTACTTGAAAATGAAACCATCTATTTGTATGAAAGTTTAGTATATGTTCCCATTGTCTATCAGGAAGATTCATCTGTATGTAAAATATATATGTTTCTTAATACAAAACTCCTCTAACACTTAAAATATCTTATAAATCTACCTCAATTTTACAATATCTACGGAAAGGTAGACTTTCATTGAAAGAATCGCAATAGAAACTCAGCCAAGGCGAAGAAAAAATATTTTTCGATTGATCATCTGGAAATTTAATATAAAGTGACAACGTAAAAGCCAAACACTCTGTGAGATCAGTGAAGCAGTTTTCATCGGGGATACTAATATTAATATGACCATTTTTTAACTCCGCTGCATTAGGTGTAATACTACCATTCACAAAGAAAACGTTAACAGCTTGACTGTCTACAAGGTTACCATTAAGTTCTCCAATGTCGTTAATATTTTTAAAGCCAAGCGAGAGATTTCTTGTTGGGATAGTGGCATTCTCTTTATGGGAAAATTTTAATTAATACCAGCTGTGATAATTTAAGAGACTATTGAAACCTTACCGTACAAGTAAAAAATATCTAGTGGTCGCGTTAATTTATCCCTAAAAATGAACTCATCAATCTGAATAGAACTTGGACCGGTATCTCCTAGCTCAATTTTTGAGGAGAGGTAACGATTGATTGGCTGATGAGTCACATTTGGAGTAAAAATTTGCTGCTCGCCATTCAAAAAGACTCGCAAGTAATTATGCGGTTCTATCGTTAAAGTAAACATATTCCAGAAGAGCCTTCGCATAGGAATTTTAAAGTTAAAGTTTCCGGTGGATGTGAAATATTGCCCAATTAACGTTTCGTCTGATGGTAAGTAGTTCAACGATAGGGAAGTTTGCAGATTAAAAACATAAATTAAAGGATCAGATTTACGTGCTAATATTCTTAGCCAGAATGAAAATGTTAAACTATTTGCACACCAATCATTGTTAGCAATGCATTCTTTTGAAAATGAATAATTACTAAATGTGCTACCTTGAACTAAAATAGATTGTTTTTTTATTCCAGGCTTCTTGAAATAATCACCATTCCACGGTTCTTCAAAATGATTCATATCAAATGAGAAGTCATATTCTCTTGATACAGCATTACTGACGTTTTGAATATATGCTCTAGTAATAGGCCTTATATCAAAATTTAGTTCATCAAGCTGTACATTTTGACCAGTAAAGACCCAATCAATATTTTCATTTCTTTCATTTTGATTAATAACTGATGTATTAAACGAAGAGTAAGGTTTCCCGTTATAGGTCATATTAAACGTATTGTTCGTCAATGTAAAACAAATATGAGTCCAAACACCTACTGAAGTTGAAAAGATAACTGATTCATCCAGGAAAGTACTATTTACTAAAACAACTCCTGAACCATTGTAATTCATACTAAAGACGTGACCAAAATTAAATATTTCTGAACCTTGAAAATTGACTGGTAACTTATACCAGAAAGCAATACTAAATCCATCCTGACAGAGTGTTAAAGTAAGGGGACATCCATTGATCATATGAAATGATAATCTTCCCAATTGTATTCCCTTATCTATTGCTCCATCAATTTCTTGAATATCTGTGACATTCCAAAGCAGACCAATATCATCAGTGAGTATTGCTACTTCATTCAAACTTTCATACACTCCCCCTAATCCAAGCCGATACAAAGCATTTCTTTCTTCATTAGAGTAAAAATAATTTTCTGATACATATAAGTCATCCATACCCACGAAGAGCCCGTTGCTATCTAAACCAATCACCAAGCAATTTTCAGTATTACAAGATACTGATCTCCAAAATTTCACTACACCATCGGTCGATTTGGTTTTCTCTCCTCCATCTTTTGTGGCGTCTACACTATTAATGTAAAGGTCAATCCCTTTGTAACTCTGCCAAGCAAATATCACATTCATCCATTGAGTAACTGCGAATTTAAAACTAGTTGCCCTCCACACTTCATTTTTTTTGAAGACTTCAACTTCTATTTGATCATCATGGTATACTACGTAAAAGCCACTATCTGTACTATTAACCATTGCCAAGACAGCAAAGGTTGTATTTGACGATGGACGAAACCAGAAAGACATTGAGAGGCCAAAGGGACACTCCATAAGATTACCATAGCATCTATTTTTTGAATGAAATAAACTCCATATTTGAAGACCAGACGTACCATAAAATCGTATAGCTTTCATATGGTTATCTTGTATTGCTAACGTTTGTGCATCTTTTAATCCTCTAAAATTATTATCAATTGGAAATATCGACTGATCGAATTGGTCAAATGAAAATAAAATTCCAGTTTTTTTGTATTCTAAACATTCAAACGTTCCTACTTTCCAACGAAATGCACTTGATATACTAGATGTAAATTCAACTTTTTCAAACGGTAGAGAAATCTCAGGATTTGATAAAATATCTGCTGCTGATAGTTTTTCATAACCTTCATCGTTAACATTGGTCATTATTCCATTACAATTACACACAGTTTCATTAGCACAGGACTTATCATTATAACAAGGACAGGTAGACGGTGCCTTTGCTCCAGGAAATTTGGTAAACGTATCGCCTTTAAGAGATGACATTTCGATTTGTAAGTCATCGTAAAGTTTTATACTGCTGTTACAATGAAATGAAAGTTGTTGTTGACAAAATTCCGAGCTGTAAGCGGCGACAGAAGCTGCCGGCAAACCAAGATTTGGACCATCATCAGGAAAAGAATAAGAGAATGTCTGGGACGAGTCAGTGAACCATTTATTTTCTTGTGCAAGTGGAAATTTCTTTTTTGTTGCAACATCTAAAACGTAACATGAATTTTAGAAATAAAGAGCAACATTTCTATTTATTTCACTGAAGTTTACCGTAGGAACTGGAAAATTTGCAATAAAAATCAGTTCCATTGACTTTTTGCATATTAGATTCATCAAAATATTTTGCATATTCATATTCAGAACAAGATTTCATATCTAATATATTCATGTAATTTGATAATATTTAAAGATACACACTTGATAATTAACTTACTGTAGAAATTATGAAGAGAAATTTTATCTAAAAATTCTTCTATGTCAATACTGGCATAGGAATAATATAAGTCATCAATACCTCCATTTCCATTATATATAATTTGATTATTTATTAATTTACCACCTAATATCACAAACCCTTCAGTACTGGCAACCCAATCTCTTTGATCATCACTACAATTTGCCAAGTATCTGATGTTATTTATGTAAATTTCAATATGACTTATTATTTCTCCTCGATTAGTTATATTATATCTTATCTCATAAAATTTCCACGAATAAAGATCTACATTTATGACAGCTACACATGTTTTATTACTCGAATATCCCGTGAAATGTACACCGTCGATATTATTTGATATCTGGAAAACAGTTTGATTTGCATTCCCAACCCAGAAATGAATGCCTGAAGATGATGCTATTTTTAACCAGAACGACCAGGAAAAGGCAGTTGGAGGACAATGTTCAGGACTGGTTAAACAACTTGCTAAGAAAAGCTGAGATTTAGCATAGCCCGAGCTGTAGTTAACATAGTTTTTGAAATATAAAGATTCATATTGCAAAGTAGCACTTTCATAAAGTTTGAAACGAATTTTAAACATTTCATTGACTTTATTAGATCTATCACCCCTTTCTCCAATAGTATAATTCTGAGAGTCAAAACTATCAAAACTGCTCGATCCAACACCGTGTGTGGGAGAATTTGTGAGTGTAAGAATGCCCTGAGTTTCGTTCTCATCAGCTCTATCAGATAGAATGAAATCAGATATCATAAAATTTTGAAAATTATTCAAGCTTGTAAAATTAGTTCCAACATAATTATTAAAAGATCGAGTACGACTTTTAAGCAAACGACCAACACAGGTATTTGCAGTATCTATCAGTTGAGAGTTTATAAAGACTCTTAATCCCTTTTTCCCAAATTCAAATGTATAGAGTAAATTGAACCATTGATTCAGTAAAAGTTCATGTTGAACTTTGAATATACAAGAAAATGTTGTAACAGAAACTACCAATTGTCCATTTTCAATATAAACTGAATGTCCATATTTATCATCAGCATTGCCACCAAAATCGATAATATAATTTTTATTATTAGGATCAGCTGGAGCTATTTTTAAAATATGTCGTATAAGTATATATGACTCTGAAAGCGAAAGCTAAACCTACTAGGAAAATACAACCACATTCGTGACGTTAAGCCCGAAAAACAAACTTCTAAATCTTGCAAACAACTTGACAGACTTGAATCATTAGTTTGAAAGTATTTTTCATTGTAAAATTTATAAGGAGGATGTGCTTTTGTAAGGTCATCACCAACTGAAAAAAAACAATCCTCACATGTATCTGGAGAAGTAGGGAATCCGTCAGAAGTTTTAAAATCGCTTTCGTAATCTTTCATTTCCCATTTTCTTAATACGACTGTTTTCAAAACAGAAGAACAATTCATTATCTTGAAGAAATTTATATTTTTAATTTCCTCACCTATCTTATCTAAAGCATTTGTCACATCAATTTTTTTTGATTGAAAATAAAGTTCATCTACAGTAAACTGTATACTACTTGAACCATCTCCTATTTAATTAATTACAGAATATTGAGGATAAATATAATTAATGAATGCTCAATTAATCCCTACCTAGGATAAGTGGATTATTAAATTCAGCTTTTCTAATCTTATCTTCTTTATATGGTTTGCTTGAAGAGCCAAGAAAGTCAAAATCTCGTGAACTTATTTCTGTCTCCCCTGAATTCAATTTTTTCTTAAAGAATTGAAGAAAGAAATATTATAAATTGCTTAAATTTTATATAAATTGCTTTATTTAACTTACAACATATCCGGCAATGAATGGATCATATATTAATAAAACATAATACCATTTATTCAGCTTTATAGCCAAACTTTCATAATATGCAGAACCAGTTGATTTGAATATATATACCCTTATTGTAATAAAATTATCTGTTTCATCATAATAAGCGTATATTGCGAAACCTATATAAATTATAATTAGTTGTCATTAAATGAATTATCATTTTTAAGCCCCGTACCTTCATTTGAAGAATCAAAATCTGCATTTCCTATTATTTTACCGAATTTATCAAATTTTGAGTTAATCTTTAACCAAAATTCTATTGTAAAACCGTTTGGACACCAATCACCAGTAGTCGTATCTTGAGAAAGGCATTCGGAATATGTCCCTAAATTAAGTGTAGTACCACTAATATGCAGTCCTGATTGTTTCAGTCCATCAACTAAGGTTAAGCCATTTAAAGAGGCTAACTTTAAAGGCGGTAAGCCAGAGAGAATATTTCCTTCATTGATTTCGTTGAAACTCCAAAATATCTTATTGGTTAAATTGAAGCTTATTTCACCTGAAAGTAATTTTAATTATTGAACTAATCAATTTAACATTTTCTAAATATAATAAATATACAATTGATTAATCGTAATCAATAATATATCTAAATAGAATGTTACATATTTCCGTGTTGTCAACACTTTTAACTGAAAAGAAGAACTACTAGTTTTTCTCAAGTGATAAATTTTTATTGAAAGTGAACTATTTAATATTAATAGATTAATTAATAATTAAACGCAGATAGAGAATAATATTTCATTGAACATACTTTCTTATTTGTACTAAGAAATAGCTCAATGAAATGTATTAAAAGTAATTATTTTACTAAAATTTTTATGTAAAATTCTATCTAAAGAAAATCCCTTTTTCAAAGTTATGATAGGTCTTGGGAATCTATTTTTTAACTCACCATAAAACACATCAAGGTTTATTGGATTGTAAACATTATCTTGAATATAGATTTCATCAATTCTAATAGAACCTGTGACCAACGTTTCTGCTATTTTTAAAGTTGATCCAGTTGAAGATGTAGTATAATTTGTATATGAACTATTAAATACATGGTTTGTGTTATTTATTGCAATAATTAAAGTGTCTGAAAATTTATTCCAAACAGCTTCTACATGACACCAATTATTGAAACAATAACTAGTGTCTGTAGTCATTGCTACAAAGTTTTTTTCCCCAGTATGTACTGTAAAACTAATGGAATTATCTATCCCATTAAAACTGATTTGGAATCCTCTTGAATTTGAACTTATGGTGGAAAAAATGTCTACATATTGACTAGCTACACTTGATAGTGAAATCCAAAAAGCCACAGTTAAGCCATTCTTACAGTCTAGTGGACTCCTAGGACAATCTTTAGAGTCACTCCAACTAGCCACGGTAATTGTAGAAGAACCTGTTATTTCCAAAGCTTTTTCTCTTCGGCCACCAATATAGTTGGCATTTGATAAAGTAATGATTAAACTATCAGTATTAATATTGCCATCAAGTGCCCAATACCAAGATTTTCCATAAATAGACGGAAGAAGAAATAGCAATTTGAAAAATAAGATCATCATGTACTAATCAGTTTAAAGTGCAAGCAAGTACTAAAAAATATGCGCAGGTGGTAATTTATATAATAAGTATTTTTTTCAATGTCACCTGCATTATGAATTTTTAACTTTATTGAATTAGGTATATTGAAAGTAATTACAAATAAGCAGTAACCGGTCTCCATTGTACCTGTTATAGATCAAAAAATCTATATTCAATAATTTTGTCTGAAGAAGAGAGAAAAGAAGTTGTTTGTTTCTATTTTTATGTCACAAGATAAGCAAAATTACCTAGCCAAAAGTATTACCATTGTGCAGGCTAGCCTATAGCGTATGATGAACTTGATAAAAATTAGTTAGATAATTAATCCTAAAGTATTGGTTTTTTTTAAAGTTACATGTATACTTTATTCTATCTTATGTAATTTAAGAAATATATTTAGAATTGTTCAAGTTTCTATTATCTTAAATAATTTATAAAAAGATTGAATATTGATATTTAACAGACGTTCTTTAGATGAAACAATCCGCTCAATGCCCTGAAGTTACTTGCATGAAAATAAGCTGTCAATAAAAACACAAAGAAACACCTTATGCGACAGATATATTCAATGTATTTAGTAGTTATCCTTTGAAATGTACAAGAATAGCTTTTATACATGCAACGTTTATTCCTCTTGTGAATCAATTAAAGTTCATTAAACCTTCTTTTCCTTTCTGATAATCCAAAGTAATCCTTGAAATCAAGCCAGTGAGCTTTAATTTTCTTATCTAAATATTCCACTAGGAAAAGGTTTTTCTTTGGATTAGTTTTCTTTGCTCTACCTCTGGCTTCATTTAGAATGCTCATCAGAGTATTCAAGCAGAATACAACTATGAACAAAACGAAGCTAACATAAAATACATGTCGAAGAGGGGCCCGATCTCTATCCATTTTTCTCATTATTGGAGAATTTAAAGCAGCAATACATATTGTGTACATAGACGAAAGAATTGTTGAAAAAGAAGAGAGGTGTGTAATATAGAAAAGGTAGCCAAAATGAGCATGAGCCATCAGGCTAACCATAAAAATGAAAAATAAGGACTTCAGAGATTGGGACGCCATTCCAACTGTTCTTAGAAGAAGTATAATTGTTCTATCGTATTGAAGGACATATAACATTTTCAAGCAAGATATTCCGGTGATGAAGGCTATCATATAAGTATAAGACTCATCAATAACTACCAGATGTTGCATTTCCACAAATTCATTCTTTAGACCATTTTTAACGCTATTTCTTAAAGCCATTTTAGCGAGAAATAGTCCTATTGCTGAGATTGCCAATATCAAATTGGCAAATGAAACTTTGTTCCATAAACTCTTGAAATATGATAGTCGTTCTTTTCGAAGCAGTTTAATTGCCTTGTAAGATTCATAGAAAACGAAAAATATAAATAAGATCTGACAAACCAAAACAGTAATTCCGTAGTTTGAATGATACGGATATAAATCTATCACTGCAATTCGATTCCATTTCGTAATTGCAACGTCCATTCCCTGTTCAACAACAATTGTTAAACTGATAAATAAATTGGAATCAGCATTAAATAGAGTTGATTCTATTATAATAGCTCTCGTTTTGGCATCTAACCAGTCTTTAGGCGGTAGAATCGGTGTTGAATGTTCAAATATATAGCCCCCAGTCGGATATATATGTCGTTGTGCAACAATAGGATAAGATGACGGATTCTGGTAGGACCATTCGTTTTTAACAGTATCAGGGCTGTGACTTGAGAATGATTTGTTATAATTTTTCTTATCGATATTATTGGAGGAAAGATCATAGGAACAGTCTTTAATAACATCTTGTAGTTGTTTACAAGACTGTGAGACAACTCTAATTTGTCGCCAACGAATTGAACCAACTCTAATCCAACTTTGTTCGAATGCTCTAATCTTTTGTTCCTTCCAATGAAGTTTTTCGCCATTGTAATATTCCGTATCAAACATTGATGGGTTAAAATAAGTTGCTGTCCAGTTGTATAAGTCATGTAATTCAGTAACATTATCAAGATGATTTATAAAGCCATTTCGAATAGTTTGAGCAGCATGATAGCTCTTCAAGGGAACTTGTTTATAACCAATTACCATTAGTAATGTCACATAAATGCAAGTAATAATTATCTTATATAATATCTCTTCTGTATGTTTATCTTTTTCCCTCTCTTTCTGTTCTCGTCTAATTTCGTCAAAGTTAGTTTTTGGAATACTCTCAGGTGTACTTTCAGCTAGAAAAATTTTGCTATAATTTCCCAATGGATTCTGAAAAGCATATTCTTACCTCTAATTCTTAAGTAGTATTGACATATTTCAGTAGCCTTGTCAATAACTTCAACGTGATTTAAAAATTCTTCATCATCATTATCAAAGTCAGACTTTTTAAATAAGATTGATAGAATAAGAGCTATCACAATAACCTATTTAAATATATATTAAAGTATATATATATATTATTATACAATTTACATAGTTTACGTGTTTAATTAATGAAGATTTACCTTAAAAGGTTGGATAACTATTACTGATTGAGTGAAGCTGATAAGCATTGATGTGAGCCATTGCTCTGATTTCGTCTTTCCCCATTCCAAGGAATATAATAGAACAAAGAAGAACGACGAAAATACTGTTATTATTACTATAATCCATGCAATGTATATGAAAAATGGTGGAAGTGAGAAAGATTTTAACTTTGTTTCACTGTCTTTTCTTGTTTTCTTAAACAAAGTCATAATTATAAAATTAACTGGAATAACTATAATTGCCGATATTGTACCAATCCATAATTGTTGTAATGAAAATATCAAAGGTCCTAGTTTGTATGTGAGATCTGTTTCCTCATTTCTTCTTTGATAGAACATTGCAGATGCGATCATAGATGTAGCAATCATTGATAAACAACAAGCAGCTCTTTGAACTCTAGTAAAATAGCTTCGAGTAGGTCGTGACACAATACTAAACCATAAATGATCATCAGTAAATTTATTTCTCAACCACATGGGCCATAATCGTTTAAATGCCGTTATTTCTTCATTATTCGATTTTTGGACATGAACACAAGGTGATGACTTTGATAACCACGAGTGAATATAGAAATGGTGCTTTTCCATGGTAGAAATATCAACAAGAACGACTTCCTCCAGAAACCATGATGGAGATTTTGTTTTCGGTGTAGGATTAATCCAAATTCTTAAACTTGAAGGAATACCCAAACGATCTTTCGTCGTCATATGAAAATGACATATACTAGAACGTTTCAGTTCCTCTCTATGTCCGTCATAAAGAGTCCTTATACTGGACGACGACTCTTCACCGAGAACGACAAACTTAATTTCACTATCGGTTCCCGAGCTCCTCTCATAGCCTGTTCTTACGATGAGAGCATAATGGTGACGATCAATAGCAGAATTATCCAGCAGACTCCTCATTTTCCACGTTTCTTCATCTCGTACGTCAGCTCTTCTTAATACAAATAAGGAACACCAAAACAGCACTATAATACAGATAATCATAACTAGCACTGCAAAGTTATCTCCAATTCGTTTAAATTTGCCAAATGCTGAACCAAAGTCAATAGGATTTGGTGCAACAAGTATATTTGATCCAAAAGATGTTAAATGATTGCATTTACAGACAACTGAATTTGTTATATATTCTTTAGCAACCTAAAAAATAATCGATATTAATAATCAAATTTTATGGATTTATGAATTTTTACAGAGCAATTATCGTACTGCCACATTTCATTGAGTTCATGATAATAGAGACAAGATAATTTTTCTATGGTAATAGAGTAATCCGCTTTTGATTGTTCTGTAAAGTATTAGTTGGAATTTAATAAGTATAGTATAAATAATCATTTGAAACATTTGCATCAAAGAAATAAGCTTTCCTTTACCTAATTTCAATCCAATATAGGCCGTTCCATTATTACCTGTAACAGGTATTATTCTTTCAACGTAATTCGTCTTAGAAGAAATAGGATAGGATGAAGAAAACTTATTTCCTTTAGGCTCTTCATTTATATTTGAGTAGATTTTTAATTTTTGCCTCTCTTTCAATTTTATCTTTAGTAGTATGGCTTGAGTTGGCCAATCGAAAGTTATATTATGAATAATAATTGAAGATTTCCTTAGATTTAAATCATCAATTTCAACTTTTAAGGGCTTAACCTTTTGTTTCTCGTAGTTTAGCTCAATTGTAATATTTTCGGTCAGATCTTTGACAATGATTTCTCTGTCATATTTATCAAATAATTTAATCGATAAAGTATGAGAATTGATCAAATCCTTTGGCTGACTTCCCCAGATAATGCTGTTTTTATCGCTTGCTATAGTCTGAAAATTGATGAAATGTATATTGTCTATCATAGCAAATACAAGTGAAGAGTGACTAACTTGCAAATTAATTGAATTATCATCATATCCCTTTAACAAACCAGAAGAAATTGAAGGAAATACTACTCTATTCTTATCATTCCCACTTTGGAACGGTAATGTAAAAAGACTTGATCTTTTAAGCTTTTGAATTTTTAGCTTCCAATTCCTATCTCCCATAACTATTGGACTTTCATCAGCTACATGATGCTTCAACAGTTTCCAAGTTATAACATCACTGACTCTCTGAGCAGTGGTTACTACCTTATTTGCCTTTATAGGAAAAAAAATATTAATATTCATTTAAAGACCGACAATAGACAAACTGTTAGTTTTTCTCTTTTATCAATCATTTCCTGCTTCTTTGTGATATTTTCCAAGTACTGTTGTTGTTCTGCAGGAGGAAGATCTGGCATTGCTCTTGATAATAGAGGAGTGGGCAAACTCATATTTATAGAATTCGACAAACTATTCATTAGACCTTGAAAATATTAATTAAATTATATAGATTAATGATTTAGAGATGTTTATTCTCTTTTTAATACCCTTGGACATGGAATAGGACAAATGTGGATATAAATTCTTAAACTGGTACACCTTATTCGCCAAAGTGTACAGGTTTGCAGCGCCTTCTCTCTGTAAGTAAATTGCCGCTTAAATGAAGATGCTATATTAGCAATAAAAATATACTTTAGCATCTTCCGAATAGAATTTGCGATCTGCTGCCAAAATATTAGATAGAGTATTAATTCCTTGCAGTAAATCAGCTTCATTTTCCAAGAAAGGATTAATACTTGAAAAAGTGTTAATTAACTCTGATAGTAAGTCTTGATTTTCTTCATCAGTCAATTTTTTTGATGCCGAACATGACGGATTACTATTTAAATGAGCTGATATCGCTGATTCTAATCTCAAAGCTCCTCTATAGTTTTGATTGTCCATTAGTTTTTTCATTTCACCATTAGGATCTTTAAGAATGTGCATAATATCATCCAAGCCAGCCGTAAAAGGTTGTACATGAGCTGTTAAATATACAATTTCCACTTCGCCAATGAAGTCACTGATCTCAACTTTAATCGATAGATTTGGATTGAAAGGCAGGAACATTAAAGGTGATTGTGAACTAGTTGAAGAGTGCAATAAATTCCAGTCGTTTTTATTCTTATAATAAAAATTGTATTCGAGAGGACGAGTAAAGTAGATGTCATCGGACGAACTCCTCTTTAGCTGCAGATCCTCATCAGACCACTCGGCGCAAGATATTTGAAATCGGGTAACGAGCGATACTCCTGATAATTAATTGTAAATTTGTTTAATTAAAAATAAATGGATTGAACTATTACCTTGAACAGGCTCTATTTGACAATTTCCATTATATGGAGGATAATTGGTCGTTATAAGCTTTTCTGAGAAACCGTAAGAATTTGAAGACTGCCATATAGCTCTTATCCTGTAAGTATTACCTGGCTGTAATACTCCCCTTTCAATAGAGAAGAACTCTTTATTGGAACCTTTATTAAGGAAAGATGAAATACGATAAGATATCGAGTAATATTAATAATAATAATAAAGTAATTATTATATAATAAATTATACCTGACTTTATATACTTATCAACGTTGACAGCTTGAACACTATTTTCTAACAGCATATCAATTGACCATGAATAAGTCCAGACGGTAGTTTTAGGGCAATTTTCGCATTCACCTATCAAAGTAAATTTCTTTGATGGATTAACCTTTCGTCCACAATTAAGCACACATTTAATATTTATGTTGGGATGAAAAAACGTAGAATTGGTGACTATTAATTTTTGAATGCTCGAAGCAATTTTGTTCCCCTGCCTTGCTTCAACTTTTACAAAATGTTGCCCTGCAGCTGGCGTCTTAATTATAAGGCAACCGAAACCACAGACCTCCCGTCTAGCTCGTTCCGCATTTTTCTGCCTAAGAATAACCGTCCACCTTGAAGATGCATGTTTTTTTATACTAAATATAAATTCATCAATGAATTTCCCATCTTCATCCAATGTATCCGACGCGTCAATAATAATATCGTCATTTGAACGGGCTGATCGAGTTGAACCACCTTTTATATTTACTTCCAAAGGGGTACGCAATATCTTTAAATATCTTAGTTCTGTTGCCTTTAAGTTGAATTCTCTGATAAAAACTGTAAAGTTTAAAGTGTACGATCCATAAGCTAATAAGTTTGAAGGCAATCTAAACCAAAGTTTGTTATTCTGAGCTATATTAACAGGAAATCGTCTTTCATCCGTTATAGACCATATAAAATTAACAGGCCGGGAAGTCACACATTTATTTTCATAATCCGCTTGAAACAGTCTGGCCTCTGAGCGATAAATTAGTATGGGACTTTTCTCAGATTCTCCAAGTGATCCCAAATCAATAGTTGGTTTATTGCACTTTAAAACATCCACTTTCAAGCGAACTATTTCTTTCGAATTGGAGTTAAACACATAAACAGAAACCATAAAAGTTCCCGCTTTTTGCCAAACGTGATGATGTTGTAATTTCCTTCTGTCTATTTGGAAATTCTTTAGAATGATATCTTTATAACCCTTCTTACATGACTTTTCTCCGTATAGATACCGCTTACTCGAATCACCAAAATCCCATAACAAACAAGGATATAAACCTAAGGAAATATAACCAAATTCCAATTTTGAGCTCTTACCAACAAAGGCGCTACTGATTAGATGGAGCGACAAACCCGCTATTCTATGATCCACCGTTACCAAGAGCCATTTTCGTACACTGCAGAAGGAATTTATACCAATAACAGAAACATTATAGACGCCTTGGTTTTCATATATATATGACATTTGAAATTCCTTATCCCTTGCTTTCATTGCTTTTTCCATCGAAGTAGACATATTAAAGAGGAGAGTAACATTTGAACCTTTTTTCCAGATAGTATTAAAAAATATTCTTTGTCCGGGAGAAAATATACTACCATTTATATAAAATTCAAAATCTTCAATACACTCTCCTACTCTTATCCTTGAAGATTGATTTTGAGAACTTACTAAATTCCTAACTTCTCCCTTAATGTCATAGTATCCTTCCTTTTTGTATTTGTGAGTTATAGTGAAATTTTTCAAAGGATTAAGACCGACATTTTCAAAAATATCCTTTTTACCATCACCTGTTTCAAATATTAGTGTTGCTTCTTCAAATGTTTCGTTCCTATCTTCCAAATAGAATACGAATTTTGCATATTCTTTGTGCGACGCTACATTTTCTGTCTTCAACAAAACTTTTGGCAATTTTCTCACAAACTTTACTCTTTTCCATATTTGTTTTGTGCTATAATCATTTTGAACTGTCATTGTAATGTTTCGATAACCTTCTTTTGTAAAATTATAAGTCAAGGAGACAGTTTTTACTGTTGGATTATCTCCTTGAATAGAGAATGATCGTAATAAACCTTCAACATCTGACTTAATATCAATTTTATAATTTGAACCCTCACTAATCAGTGCTGTTATATTAAATTCTTTTCCGGTTTCCCAAACAATTTCGTTTGTAGTGATGTATAAATCCCCAATTTCTCTAACAACTTGAACTTCAGCAACAGCTGTCTTGAGAGATATTCGATTCTCAGCTGTCAGATTGTAAAAATAAGTATCAATAGTTAATGGCATAGGAATTTTGGTCTGATTAGAAATTTTAGGACAAGTTAGTGCTTTTGAATAAACTCTTCTATCGGACTCATTTATTTTTTTTGCTGTCATTGAACAAGTTATAGGAACTCCATTGATAATCCTCCAGCTCATTAAAACATATGGATCTTTGATTCGTACCAAATACTTTTCAGGTGAGAATACAATTTCTTGTATTGGTTCTTCAACTTCGATGTTTGTTATTTGACACGTTTTTGATGAAAAGAAATTTTGGGCTAAAATGTCAATTTGAAATTTTCCGGTTTTGGTATAGTTATAAAGAAAACTTTGCGTTTGATTGGATATAACATTCTGTAACACTTTCTCTCTTCCATCACCAAAAGAGATATTTAAGCTAACATTTGTTCCATGATGTACTGTATATTCTAGTGTATAGATTTTTTTATTTGACAATAGAAGCTCACTTGTACTACACAATAGGGAAGATATTGATATTCCCACTTTAACTTGTATTTCTCTTTGTATTTCACTCACAGGATTACTCGCCTTAGCAATTAGCGTATAGAAGCCATCATGTTTATATAGATAGTATAGCTGCCGTTGATATTTATTTACATATGCTAATGAACTACTTTGATTCCCATCACCAAAATAGATTGTAAAATTTGAATGACTTGGAACGGCTACCGTTTCTAAGAATTTAATAAGCAAATTTAAAGGTTTTATTGTTGTTGAAATATCCAGAATTTCAAGATTCAAGTCAACAATAGGCTGGTAAACTTGAAAAGAAATTGTCGATGTCAAATTGCTAAGAGTATTGAAGCATGTTACAGATGTAGTATAAATTCCTTCGAATTCTCCAAGGATACCAAAATTATAGATATAATCTTTACCATTTGAGACAAAAAATTGATTGGGAATCACAATCGAGCCATTAGTTTCAATACTAAAGTTGACATTTGTTCCTTTGTAAAGGCTTATTTGAACAGTAGTAGTTTCGTTGCTTTTAAGAATAGTTTTAGAAATGGATAGATTGAAATTCTTAATCTCTTCTTCAATTGTTACAGTTTTTGTATAATACGTCGCGTTGCTCACTTTGTTGGTTAACCAGAGTTCTAAATTATGATTTCCAATAGTTAAATTAGTTATATTCGCACAGTAATAGGTATTATTTATTTTAGTAGGCAGATACTGAATGCTCTCCAAGAGAAATTTTGTTACTACTGAAGTTCCTGATGATAACATCCAACAAAAGAGTTTAATGCTATCTAAGTTGTAATAAGATGCTCCTAACGCTCTAAATCCTTTCAATTCTTCCTGAACCTCAACAGTTTGATTCAATACTTTTGAAACAGATCCAAATTCATTTGATGATTTAACAGTTATGTTAAAAATCCCTATGGCATCTAGCTTTATAGTGAATTCGTGTATTTGACTACTGTTTACTAGAGATTCAATATAGATTTTTCGTGTATACAGCCCTAGAGAGACTTCTGTGTTCATATTACTTCCTTCTTCGATCATTATTTCAATAGTTATTTCTTCTCCAGTTTTGAAAAACACCTTACGAGGACGAATAATTGTGATATTTCTTATTTCTGTTCCAACTTTAGCGAATGTACTATTTTCCTTGACAATAGATACATTGTTACTCAATTCTGCTACAACTTTATAAAATCCATCTGATGTTATTGTTGGACAATTATTTTCTAGTTTTTCAAAATTTTTCACGAAATAATCTCCACAATCCAATAGTTTTGAAGAGTTAATTTCTTGAATTTTGACAGAAATCATAACGTTCGATGCCAAATTACTTGAAGCTATTCTGAAATTTACTCCTCCCTGATAATAACTTGAATTCTGAATGCTTACGGTTATCATTTGAATTGGATTTTCAATTTCTACATAATTACTGTATAATGATAAATTTCCAAGTATATTTGATGAATTTCCGTATAATCTATATACTCCGGGTTCATTATATTTCGTTTCATAGATTTCTGTATACTTTACATTATCCCCATTTAACTTCATAAAAGCATTTCCTTCACTAAAATGAATATTATATTCCAAATTTGACCCAGAAATTTTTAAAGTTGTATTGAAAGTTTCATTTGTTTTATAACATAATTTTTCGAAAGAGACTGTAAAGTTGGATATTTGACGTTCTATTTGAACTGTCGTATTACCAGTCAATTCTGATATGTTATTCTTTGCGATGATAGTAAGGTCATGTATTCCAATAGTTGTAAAGTTATCAGGAAGGATAAAGAAATAATCTCTGGTTTTTCCCAAAGATGTATCGTTAAATACCTCAAAAGTAACATCATATCCATGATCAAGAGTCCAGAAAATTTTTTTCATGTTATCTCTTTCGAAGAGATAGTATTTAGATATGTTAAAACCGGATATGGGATCTTCAACTGTTACATTTCTCTCAGATGTATTGGAACTGATTAAGTTATGGCATTCAATTTTTAAAGTAGAAATTCCTTTTTTATCGAAAAGCATAGAGTTTACGATAGGGTTAGTCAAATTGTCAGCAAATGTAAAGTTTTCTTTGAAGTTGTTGCGATAAAATGTGCAATTGGCCAAAGTTCCAGTAAATGCCTGGTATTTAATTATGGCTTCGGTACCAATTAATACGGAATTAGGTGCTTCCAATCTCAACCCAATTATATGCAAAATTGGCTTTGTGACATGAACTTGTATGTTTACCGGAAAATTACTCTTTTCATTCACTGCTATAATTTCAATGTTAAATATACCAATTTCTTCAAATTTGTGTTCCAGAATTCTATCTTCTGTGTAAAATTTGAATTCATTTCCGATGCTAACTCTAAACATTGGAAAAGTTTGGTTGTCAATGTGTAGAAACAGTTTAAAACTTTCATTAACATTAACAAGATTTATATCTAAGTTTTCCCTGGTGTAATGATCTGCAATAGTTACGTTAAATGCCAAAATCGGATCTGGATTTATGAAAGGCTTTACACCATCCAACCGATACATTGGATATTTATTAGTCTCATCGCAAGATTTCGCCGACAGATTTGCAGAGATAACACAATAACAATTAGTTATGTTTTCACCAGGTTTAACTATGCTATAAAGATCCTCAATCCCACAGAATTGTCTACAAGACTTAAATTCAGATTCATTTCCAGCTAATGTCCAATTTTCGTTTATTTCTGACACACATCCTTCTTTATACTGATCTGCGTAAAAAGGATTTATTACTATACTTTCTGAAAGACATTAGGTATTAAGCTAACTTAGATTAAAGTACGATTGTTGTGGTGTTATCAGTCCATCCCAAAAACTCAGTTCATCAATTTGAAAAGAAGATTTGCCACTTCCTATCGATATTACATTGTTCTGATCTGTTGTTTGGTTAGCGCTACTTCCAGATGATTCTCCTCTTAAGATATTGTCAACATAAACCTTCAAGCCTAATTTCCAACTCCACATGACATGAAAGTGGAACCATCTGTCTAGGTGAAAGTTTAGCATATGCTCCCAAAGTAGGTTTGAGAATTTCATCTAACATGAAAAAATAAAAGTTTGGTGAAGAAATTAAAAGAATGATATAGAACTACCTCAATTTTACAATATCTACGGAAAGGTAGACTTTCATTGAAAGAATCGCAATAGAAACTCAGCCAAGGCGAAGAAAAAATATTTTTAACTCCATTTTCGGGAAATTTAACATAAAGTGACAATGTAAAAGCCACACACTCTGTGAAATTCGTCAAACAACTTTCATTGATCATTCGAATATTAATATGACCATTTTTTAACTCCGCTGCATGAGATGTAATATCTCCATTTACAAAAACAACATTGGAAGTTTGACTGTCTATGAGATCATTGTTAATTTTTCCTATGTCACCACTATTCTTGAAGCCCAGGGACAAGTGATTTCTATGAACAGTTCCGTTATCTAAAAATTTTAAGAGACAAAAATACTAGAATTCAAAGGAAGGAGTAAAATTGAAAATCGAGAGGTGAACCTACTATAATCGGATTCAGCTGAAAAATTGGATGTACTTTCATCATGGAAATATAATTCATCAAATAGTAAACGGCTAGGACCGTCATCACTAAGAACAATCTTCGATAACAAATATGTATTATCAACTGTAGCATACTTGACGAAGGAAACGTTTTGCTCGATACTATTAAGAAATATACTCAAGGTTTCATTGAAAGGATTCGAGTAAGTTAATGTGATAAGGTTCCAAAACAGTCTTCTAACCATTATTTGAAATTTATAAGTTATCTCTTTAGTAATAAAGGTACCAATTAATGATTCGTTATGTGGTATATAAATTAGAGAGATCATTGTTTTAACATTTAGAACAATTATCATTGGATCGATTGATTGCGCTTCTATTTTCAACCAAAAAGATAAAACTAATCCTTTATCACACCAGTTTGGACTTGACAAGCATTTTTTAGAAAAAGAATTATTAGTTTCTACGGAACCTACGATTTCAATGGCGTCATTTTGAATCCCAGATCTTTTTGAAAATACCCCACTCCACTTTTCCTCTATACTGTCGTCAAAACTGAACATAAAATTTTCCATATTATATCTTGTTAAGTCACTTAATACAGTTTTATTAATAACAGATTTATGCAAATAAACCTCATCAATTTGAACTTTACTTCCTGAAAAGCTGAGTGTAGTGTTAGTTCCATGGCTTTCATAGCTCTTAAGCGTATAGGATGAGAGAAATTTTCCATTATAGTTTATATATAATGATTGATCATTCAAACTAAAGCTTATATGAGTCCAAATACCAATAGAGGAAGAAAAATATATTTCATCATTCAAGTAAGAACTTGTTAAAGACAAATTTCCAGGACTAACGAGCCTTAGCGTTAATACGTCTCCGATGCTCAGTATATCAATTGGTTCATATTTTAAAGGTAACTTAAACCAAAAAGACAAACTAAAACCGCTCGGACACAATGACAGTTTTAAAGGACATTCATTTGTAAAAGTGGTAGATAATTTTCCCAACTCTATGCCTTTTCCTTTCACTCCTTCAACTTCTGTACAATTTGATATATCCCAGAGCCGCCCTGTTTCATCGCTTAAGCTTCCTAAATCCTCCAGACTTTCATAAATTTCACTTAGGCCTTTCATATATATATATTTACGATCCTCTTCGCTATAAAGGTAATTTTCAGAAATGTACAAATCATCTATAATCATAAATTGTCCAGTTAGCTGTTTCAAAAGACATACGCATGCTCTAATACTACAAGGCGAATTTCTTTGATATAGAACAGAACCAGTGACCGCTTGTAGAGAGACACCATCAAAATTTGATGCATGTATGTTATTAATATATAGATTAAGACCTAAAGTGGGATGCCAACTAAACATAGCATTTAGCCAGTATTGTGTATTAAACTTAAAGCTTGTTACCCTCCATATTCTTTTTTCAAAACTTATTTCCACAATTATTCTGTTATTGTTATAAATGACAAAGTAGCTATTTTCAGTGTCATTTAACATTAATATCTCAGCAAATGTTGTAGTTTTTGATGGACGAAACCAGAATGATACTGAAACACCTAATGCACAATCGGTAAGATTATTAAAACATCTTATCAATGAATTTGTTTGACTTGTTAATTCTAAACCAGTATCATCCATAAATTTAATTCCTTTTATGTGATTGTCTATTAGTGGTACAGATTTCAATGGTTGGTAACTTGCTGCAAAATTTTTATCTATTGGAAAATTTGGAGGCGAATCACCCAACTCGTCAAATGAAAATAGAATACCAGTTCTTAGATACTCTACACATTCTAGTGAGTCTAAATTCCAAGAGTAACTACCTGATGAAGATTCGCTTATTTTGATTGTTCTTATTGGTAGCACTTGAGAACCTGATAATCTATACTTGTACGATTCAACAGATAGCGTTCCCTCATCAAAAGTTGGAGTGTCCAATCCGTTACAGTTACAGATTTTAGAGTCTAGACAAGATTTGTCATTGTAACATGGACATGTTTTTAATGTGTCGGCTCCAGGTAATTGATTAAAATAGACTCCATACATTGATCTAAAAGTAGTTCCTGTATTCTCCCCAAATAAGGTGAACCCAGAGAAACATTTTATGGTAAAACGCTGACGAAATATAAGTGAAGTATCCGAAAACTTTTTCAGTGTAGTTATATAATAATTATCGTACATAATACTATCTTCTTTTCTAAATTGATAGTTGCTAGAACTGTACCACGTATTCTCTCTCGTGAAAGGAAACCTCTTAAAAGTAGCTCTTTCAGGTGATCTTGAAAATTTACAGTATATCCATTTACCATCTACTCGAAGCAGTTCAAAATCCATAAAATACTTCGAATGTTCATACTCAGAACATGTTTTCATTTCTAAAATACAGTTTTGATTGATAATACTCCAATATGTATAACTAACTTACCATAAAATCCTTCATTGTGAACAACATCAATTTTCTTAAAATGCTTCTGTCCTATAAATCTATAATATAGATCATCAATTCCTCCACTTCCTGTATTTGTCACATTTCCTTCTTCCAGCTTTCCGCCAATCACAATAAATCCATATAACGACGCATTCCATACTCTAGGTATCATATTACATTTAGGAAATAGTTCAAGGTTATTGATAAAGAACTGAGCTCTAAGTATAGTTTTTGCATTTGTAGACATGTTGTATCGTATTTCAAGAAATTGCCAAGTATCTAAAGTAATATTTTTGGAAAGTGAACACGTTTGTTCATTTGCATATAAAGATATCGTTAAATTTTCAAAACTATTTTCAACTTCCAAGATAGTTTGATTTTCGCTTCCAACCCAGAAATGCGTTCCTGACGTTGATGTTATCTTTAACCAAAATGACCATAAGAATAACATAGGCTCACAAAGTTCCGGACTTGTTAAACAATTCTTGAAAAAGGGGTGTGAAATGGCATAGTTTCTGGTGTAATTTAAATATTTTTTAAAATATAACGAGTCAAATTCCAGTTTAGCATTCCCCTGAACTTTAAACTGCACCTTCATAGATTTTTCAAATTGTGCAGATCTGATTCCCCTCTCACCCGTGAGATAATTACTTGAATCCAATTCATCAAATGTACAATGCCCTTGTCCAAAAAGTGTAGTTGAATTACTAACAATCTCACCAATTAAAAGTTTATCATCGAAGACATCAGTTATTTTTAAACCGTAGATCATAAAGTTTTGGTAGTTAGTACTGTCGTTGAAACGTTTACCAACAGCTATAGAAACTGCAGGTAAACGATTTCGAAATACTCGACTTTTACATATTTTTGCTTCGCCCATCACTTCCGAATTGATTAATACTTTTAGACCACGTCTTCCGCTTTTATAGGTGTAATGCAAGTGAAACCATTGATTTGTTAACATTTCAAGTCTAACAACGTAAGAGCATATGGTAGTCGCAACAGAAACGATAAGTTTACCGTTTTTAACTAGCACAGAATGGCCATATTCTCCATCGCTGTATCCTCCAAAATCTAAAATGTGCGCATCTTTTCCCGCAATAGCTGATCCTATAGATGAATTAAAAATATTATAAAAATATTCAGAGCTTTTAGGAAAGTATACCTGTTAAATACAGCCATAATTTAACATTTAGTCCTCCGTCGCACAACTCCAGGTCCTTAAAGCAAGGTGAAAGAGGATTATGAAGCTTTATAGGATCATAATTGAAGTAATAATCGCCATCAAACAACATTGGCGAAAGCAATTTGTAATTATTATAAGAAATTTTAAGCATATATGGCCCGCATTCATGACATATTTTTGGAACGCTTGAAACGTCGCTAGATAATTTAATAAAGTTTGACGGTACAAGATAATGCGGTATGTCCATCGACCATGTAACCAATAATTCTTTAGGAGAAAAATATTATTCTAACTAAATGGAACAATAAAGTTAAACATTACTTATTCGTGATCTCGCTTTCTTGACATCAATTTTTTTAGATTGAAAGAATAGCTCATCCACGCTGAATGCAACATCATTTGTTCGCGAACCTAAAGTAATTTATTTTTATCTAATTAATTGACCATAAATTAACTACTAATTATTTTTCTCTACCTAATAATAATGGTTCGGTAAAATTCACTTCCCGTTTAGCAGACTGGTAAATGCTGGAGGTAGTTCCTAAAAAGTCAAGCACGTTTGAAGTATCCCAGTAAAGAATTCTTTTCTGAATAAAAAAATCAAATAAACAAGATGATATAACTATATTAGTATAAAATCTTTTGTATGTACTATAAATCCAGAAATAATTGGGTCATAGATAAGCATAATATGATACCAATGATTTTCAATTATAGTTTGAGACGTATATCGCAATGTATCTGTTTCCTTATATATATTGACCTCTATCCGATTGCTTATTAAATAAATAGCAAACCCTATAAAAGCGAATAAAAAACAATTAAAGATAATACGGAATTGACAAAATATAATTGTCTTTATATAATACCTTGATTTGAAGATGTTTTGTCCGCATTACCAATGAGCTTTGTGTATTGGTACCACTTAAACTTTTCAATTCTCAGCCAAAAGTCTAGCGTAAAACCAAATGGACACCAATAACCACTTTGAGTATTCTGAGTTAAACAATCAGGATATGTTCCTAAATCAATTTCAACTCCCTTCATTTTCAGAGCACCCCGTCTCCGTCCATCCGTTATAGCCACATTATCTGAAGAATTTAACTTTAGAATCGGTAGACCAGATAGAACACTTCCTTCGTTTATTTCATTAAAGTTCCAAAAGACTTTATCAGTAAAATTTTTGCTTAGATCATCTATAATTAAAGAAAGAAAGAAAATATAGTATATCAATTTGTTTGTTGTTAATCAATAGATATTAAGTTTCTTGTTAGTCTAACATATGTATAATCAATGAAGGTTAGTTAATTGATATAAATAATAAAATAGTTTACTAAATCATGTCATTTCTTTTTCATAACCTTCGCCAAGACATGGCGCTTATTTCTAAATCAAATGGCAATTGGTTGTCAATATAATTGATAATGTCAACTTTTTTTTTGTTTGGTCTATTAATTTTATATAGAAAAGCTATATTTAAAAAAACCCCCAATAAATTGACAATACCTGATGAGAGTACTTTAAAAACTTTGGATTTAATAAAAAAACATTAGAAATCTGATAATAAAAGTCATACCATATAAGATATCGAGGTCATACTCAGTGTATACATCGTCCTGAATGTATACTTCGTCTATTAGCAATTTTCCTGATATTATATCATTTCCAATTTTTAATGCAGAACCTCTTGTGGCTATACTGGCATTTGCATACAAACTGCCATTTGTTGCAATTTTATTATTAATCGCCAAAAAGTAATTCTCTGCACGTTTATTCCATACAAGAAGAACATGACACCAAGTACTTAGACATTCTGTTGTTACGCACTCATCATCATATGTTCTTTCTCCAGTATTCACTAGAAATTCTAGTTTATTGTTTGGACTATTATAGAGTATTTGAAATCCTTTTGAATTTCCTTCAATCGTTGATAAAAGTTTTACTTTTGAACTCCCAACATTATAAAGTATCATCCAAAATGATACACTTAAACCTTTCTGGCATTCTGAAGGACTGATCGGACAATCATTCGAACTTGCCCAATTTGCAACTTCGACACTTGAAGAACTTCCTATTTCAATAGCTGCATTACGTTTCCCTCCAACAACATTAACATTGTGAAATGTTAGATTCAAACTGTTAAAATTCTCGTTATTATCAAGTGCCAAATACCATGATTTTCCATCGGTTAGTGAAAAAGTGGATAAAAAAATTACTATGAAGAACATTTCATCAACGGCGAGAGAATGAGAGTGGATAAAAACTTCATTATAGATTTATAATATGGAATGTATATATATGTGTATATGAACATATATTCGCACACACATATATAATCATAAAATATAAGAATTCAATAAAATTTAAATATTAGATTTTTGCACTATAATAGACTGTCTATAATTAATGATTTATAAAAAATAACTCATAACACTTTCATATTTTTCTTCCGAAATTGATTGATAATAAGTATTAGCTCAATCATTAACCAATCTAGTTTATCAATACAGAAGAGATAACAATTAATGAACATTTTTTTTATTAATTTAAAGTTTTTAATAAACTATTGAAGTTGTAAACAAACTATTCTTACTTAAAGACAAATTTTCACTTATCATCTACATCACTAATATTCAACTTTCCTTCATAAAATCGAATGTAGCTAGCAGCTCAATAAATATAGGCATTGATTTCTATCCATAACGGTATTTGAAATCAGTAATAAATAGGATTTTGGTTCATCTATCCTATTTTTTCAATTATGTAAATGTGAATTCTAGTTTTTATCAAACTATAACAAGAAAAAATTGATAATATATCAAAAAAATCATTTATTTAGTCTCATAACTTAGCATAAATTTTTTGAAAGTAAAATAAGAATGAAATTTTAGATATCAATAAGAAGAGGAATTAATTTATACGTTGAAAGTAATAAAATAATAATAAATATATCTAAATTTCATAAATAGTTATCATGTAATTTAACTACTTTTCTCTGCCATATTAGCACAAAATATCATTAACAAAAAAAGATTGCAATTTCAAATTATATAAGACTGTTCTAAAAAAGTGTTTATTTAGGCCTAAGACAAATATAATAAGTAATTTTAAAAGAGCAAAGCCTCTTAAAGAAAACGAAGAAAAAGTTTAGAATAGGACTAATTAACACTTGAGAGGTAGATTATTTTCTCAATACTGACTGTCCTTACTTTTATTGGATAGGTGAACTTCATTCCTTTTTCTTTATACATATACCTATATGTTACAGCACTTTCGAAATGGGAATTTGAGTAATGAAGCAATAAACGGCGTTTATATTGTAATAAACTAATTAGAACTCTTTGATAGTGGTCGTTTCAATGTATATGGCTAATTTTCTCCAACTCTTTGTATACTTTCTTTGTATATTTAGTATGTCTATACATATTTAGTTAAAAATAATGGCTCAACCCTGTGGGAGAAGGAGAGACTTAACTAAAGCCAGTAAGTATGGCTTCTTCTTTCCATATGAGGTATTATGGAAGATACAGTGTCAGCTATAAAAAAACAGGAAACAAGTAAATTTTTGTCTTGTCTTATACTCTTGAGCCCTTCTGCAAAGATTTATTTTATAAAAATAAAGTTAAATAAATAGGCAAGGTACTTTTCTTTCATTCAATTATGCCTAAGTCATCTACAATTTATTATAAATTAAAAGTTCCTTCTCTCAGGTAAATAAATATTTCTTTCAAGACTCTTTTCTTTTAAAGATCAATAGATATAAAATACATTACAATTTCAAACTTCAGTCAACAACCTACTAATTAATATATAAATTTATACAATATAAAATGCATACACCTGTATATTAAGCTATTCAGTATTATCTATTGTTAAATATTATTGAAATATCATTAACACACAAAAATTTTAATTAGTGTTATTCGAAACTAAATTTATGAAAACCGTCGCAGAGTCTTTTTAATAATTTTAAACAGGGTTTGCATAATTAATTCTTAGAAAACATTCTACAATTCAGTGCGCTTCTTTGTGCTTATAACTGTAACCGGAAGACGTATAAGAAGCATTTTTTCAGATTTCAGAATTCGATATAGCCGATATCACACTTCGATGCGATTTCCAACGCATTTATTAAAACGTGTAGTCACAAAATAATCGACCCCCAATTCAATACGATTAATCGAGTCTTGAGTGACGCATGCGTATAAAAAAATAACGATAACGCGCATGCGTCACGGCCATTTTTGTCAAAGGCAAGCCGCTAGTGAAGCTTATAATAATGACGGACGCAAAAACTAAAAAGACTCCTGCTAAAATCCACAAATCCGAATCGGATAATAATCACGATGGACTAGAGGAACTAAAAGGTATTAAAAAAATAAAAGAAAACTTTTTTGATCTAGAAGAAAACATCGCTTTCTTATTTTGACCGGCGTGTACCTGTATTTTCGCGCGCTTTCATCGAATACTCCAATATTTCAAAGCTAGAAGCTTTCTTCAAGTATATTTTAAAGGTGAAATATCTATTTACAAATCAAATATCCATTGCTGTGTATTTTCGATCTTGAAAATCAAATATTAGAAAACACGCTTCCGCTAAAATGTATCTAATATCGCTCAAAGATGGCGGTTATTTTCCTTAAGACCTTTATCGTGTAAGTGGGTCCGTTTGATTAAGATAAATTCAAAAACTTGAGAGTTAAAAACCTTTTTTTTCGCCTCATTCATAATAAGCACCCTTAGTTTCCCTCGTAGCCGACAGAGAAACACAAGATGCTATCGAAAAAATTGATGAAGTTCAAAATGAGATCGACAAGCTGAATGAACAAGCTTCGGAGGAAATTCTTAAAGTTGAGCAGAAGTATAACAAGAGCCGTCAGCCGTACTTCGCTAAGCGCGCCGAATTGATTGGAAAAATTCCGAATTTCTGGGTCACGGCATTTGTTAACCATCCTCAAATTTCCGCACTCCTGTCTGAGGAAGATGAAGAGGTGAGATATTTTATCTAATGACTGTCACAAGTGATCATATCAGAACATTAGATAAATCTCTTGAGTTCTATTAAAACTTTTTAGCTGATTTGTATTAATTAAGTCAATTTTTCCAGGTTTTACAATATTTGACCAAGGTAGAAGTAAGCGAGTTTGAAGATATCAAGTCCGGCTACAAGATCGTTTTCCACTTCGATTCCAATCCGTTTTTTAATAATGCAGCCTTAACGAAAGAGTTCCACTTGAATGAAACGGGTGAACCATCAACAAAAGGTACTAACATCGATTGGCAACCAGGAAAGGATTTGACAAAAAAATCAGGATCCCCAAAAGCCGGGAAAAAGAGGGCTCATGACGAACAAGAATCATTCTTTAACTGGTTTTGCGAGGCCGGAGATGCCACTACTGATGAGCTGGGTGAAGTAATCAAGGATGAAATCTGGCCCAATCCTCTCCAATACTATTTGGTATGTACCAAAAACATGTATTAGATAAATGAACATTAAATTGTACTCCACAAATAGGCTTCGGAGATCGATGAAGATAATGAAGACGGAGATGAAGATTGTGATGTTGATGATGAGGTAAATAATTGAAAACAGTGGAAAGAAAATATTTAAGTGTGTTTATTTTAGCCTGAAGATGAGGAGGAAGATGAAGAAGATGTAGCTGATGAAGACGGCGATGAAGAAGACCCTTGAGCTTGTAAAAACTTTTTATTTGTACATATAAAAGAGCTACGAAGAGCCAAACGTTCATAATAAACATCTAAAAAGGCGCATTTAAAAAAAAAATCAACTACTCTGTCTGTTTTTGGTTATTTGTAATATTTTAGTTATCATGTGTTTTGTTTCTCTCCATGTAAAATTCAAAAACAATAGTTTTATTTTCGTTTACTTTTAAATTTGCAGTCATTAAGTCTCCGTTTTATGTTAATAAACTGTAATTTATACGCAAGAAGAAGTAATCTAAAGTTCCTGCGATACCATTCAGAGTTATATTTGACATGGCTGTTATAGTTTGCGTCTAGGAATTCTTTGTAGAATGTAGAATTTTTTTGTTGTCCACAAGCAGTGAATTTACGATTGTGCTCTAACCTGTAAAAGGAGTTTGTTGAGCAGTTTTTATTAACAGTCAAGAATTTTCTGGAACGTTTTCTAAAACGGTTTTACAATAGAATATTTTTTTTAAATATATTTTGGACTGACTCCTCAATGATTAGCTTCACTTACCAGAAATCGTGATGGAACTTAACTAGTTCTTTTCGTTCGACATGATATTCAGATTCCACGAGTGCGCCCTCGTATTTAATCGGTCGAATATTAGATACAGCATGAGGAGGACCAATCCATTCGACTGGCTTTCTTTTAAACATTGATAATAAGCGTTTCATATTTTCACGTTGAGAGCGATAATATATGAAGCTGGTAGCAGACCACTGGCGCAACCTATTGTTAATTTACATTAAAACTGAGATGGCGCCATAGCTTGTGACTTTTTTGGTACATAATATAAATAGAACTGAAACTTAATTGGTTAACAAAGTCCACATAAGGTGACGCATATATAAATTAATGATGGATTCTCAAACGGAAATACAATTCTTCTATTTCAATACTTGACTCGTTCTGTTTCCGAGTTAACATCTGTAAAATCAAAACAGTTTTACAGTATACAAATAGTAATAACTTGCAATATAACTTTTATAGTTCAAGATGCGAAAATAATAGAATAAAATACTGCTGTTTTACGTAAAAGAACTTTTTTGGTTTTTTAGCGCCGTGGGCAAAGGAATTCTATTTTATCGTTACACATGATTTTACAATATATAATTTCATTACAGGGAAAGTGACACTATTCTTGTCTAGTTTTATTTTGTTAGCACTAGTTATGTAACAGATTCATAATAACTATTTTATTCTGGCTTTTTGTGCGCGTGTACTTTTTATTACTGGAACTTTGGCCAGGTGTAGAGAAGATTAAATCACCCTATAGCAAAATATTGTTTAAAGACCAGGTGGACATAATTTTCATCTATTTAACAGAGTACACACATCTTAGAGAAATTTGACCCGATTCGGAAAGGCTTTTATCAACAATCCCTACTCTTAAAAATGTATTCTTTTCACACGTCGGAAGAAAGTAGCCTTTTATTCAATTCATATTTAGCAACAACTAAATCTCTAGGTGAACTTGTTATAATATCGTTTATATTATCCTTTTACGCCATTAACTAATACTTATAACTATAATAATAATAATAATGTTAATTAATTTATGAATGAATTTCTATTTCCCGATGTTCTTAGCTTCATTAAAACTACTTTAAAACCATGTTTTTCTTTAAAGAAAATATAGGCTAATGAACAAAGAAAATATTAATTTAGTATACTTTAAATTGCTTTTAATTAGAGCCTTATTGATTTTTTTAGTTTATTATTTATTAAGTAATTAATTGTCCCTTTTAATGTTAGTCTCTCTCAAACGTATGTTTTTTCTCCGTAAATAGTTCATTTACTTACCATAATGACTCTGAATTTGTGTGTATCGAGAGAGTTGCCTGAATGGACAGATCAATATTGGAGTCAGTCTCTATGAAAATTGAAGGAAATTTTAGAAGACTAATAAAACCCCAACTGAAAAGAATAACTAAAGACTTTAAATATATTATAGATTATTCTTTCAATCCACAGAGAATCTAAAAAAATTTAGAGATAAACCTATAACCGCTAGATGGCTCTGTATGAATTTTATACCGCAAAAGTAGGCATTACTATTGAATTAGATAAAGACACTTATAAAAGGAAAAGTTAAATGTAAATTTAAAAAGAATGATAGAAATAATTTACAAATGTTAATTCAATTTGTAACTTCTCTTTGTAATGCAGAAATGAGTTTCCAGACAAAAAAGATGAAGCTACATTAGCTACTTTATTGTTATTTTGTTCTTTAGATATTGTAGTATATTAATGTATATTGAAATAAAAATTTTATAACATAAGGTTAATTTAAGCATAAACCCAGCACTAATAAGTGTTTTGTTTACATTAATTAATTTGTTATTAATAATTAACACATTTTCAAAATTGTATCACCAAACGGCCTACATATTGAATATTAATTCAACCATTATTTTTTATATAACAACTTGTTCGTTGAAAATTTAGAACTTTGATTAATTTTTTCATTGAATATTGTTGAATATCATTGAATATCTCCCGCTTTCTTTATATTCATTCATTTGCGTATTAGATTCCTTATATGTTTTAGTAGACTATAGCAATAAAATGGCCAACAGATTTTATTGATAAAATGTGCATAGAATTATTGACAAACTATAGAATTTCAATATAAAAAATAAGTGATATTTAGATAATTTTAAGAATTTTCTTTCGATTTATTGAAATCGAGAAGACTATGTCGATTTTCTACAAATTTATCTATTATTTGTCATAATTCCCGAAAAAAAAAAGTCTATTTGGTTTTCTAAAATCATTTATACTCTTATCTTATATGTTTACTTTTATCTTAACACTCTGAGCGTCTATTTAATGTTTTATTTATAGAGAGAATTGAATAGCTTGGCTAAAAACTATTCTTTTACCATTAGATATTTCATATATAATTAATTTAGTTGTTATCTCTAATTTTAAACTTTCTACATAAATATAAAGATATAAATATATTAGTATCTGTAATCAATACATTGTTTTTTTTGTCCATAGTTACTGATGACGTCATTGTTAAGTTTTTAAAGATAGAAATAAAATTTTAATATTACCACTATGATATAAGCTCTAGTCCGTTTAGGTGAAATGTTTAAGCTAAATGTTTTTGTTATTGTTACACTTGCACTCTTCGATTCTAATGGTAGATCATTTTGAGAAACCTTATATGAGAATTACTTTTGAAACCATGCCAAGATATATTCAAATCTCAAAGATGCTGCTCTAAAATATCTATTTTTTGAATACAACTAATGCTAGTATACTAATGGCAAACTGCAATTTAGTATTGAATTCATCTACTACCAATAGTGCTTTTGGAAAATTAGAACCAAGTAACAAATGTTCCTGTTAAGAGCTAAGAACGATTGTTTTTAAAACTTTAGTAGTTGTAATAATGGTTTTACATTTTCTAATTGGATAGCAATTGACGAATCCTCCTCGTCAATATTTTCTTTACAGTCTGGTACAATTGGTAATAAACATACTATTCCTCCAAAATATATTGTATGATGAAGTAAGAACTATTATAGTCACTCAGAGTGGGGGCAAATTTAAATGTTACGTAAGCTAATATTCGATTGTTTGGGTTGCCTTAAATTTTGGTTATTAATTATAATCAGAAGGGTAAATTTACACTCTATAATAATAATAGATTGGATTACAACCTTGGCTAATTTTAAAACATCAATTTGTTGCTTTTAGAGATGAATTAACAATTCAGAATATGATTCTTTAGAGTAACAAGGTAAAAGAACATTATGCATCTCTTTTTGAAAGGGGAAGATTTTTTTATGCAATCCGTTAAAGTGCAAACCAAATATTGTTGTGATGGTTCAAAATGGCTTCCAAATAGTTACAAACTTTAAACTATAGAGATAGTTCAAATAAACTAAATTTTCGTTTAATATATCACTATTAAATAGCTTCTCTTAATTCATTTTACTAGAATCAATCTCTTCTTATAGTCCTCGTGTGGGATATAAATTATGGACTATGTATTTTGTTTTTGTGCTTGTTTAAAGATTTTATGTCAGATTATCTCAATTTATGAGGGATATTCAAGAAAATTTATGAATTTGAAGTTCAATATGTAAATTAGCTACTTTTCACCAGATCATAAGCAAACAGTAATTTAAATTATGCAGAAGATAAGATGATACTTCAAACAATATTGTATTTAAAGAATTAATCACATGAAATTGTTCGGTTTCCTTTATCCAGAAGAATTTAATTTATTGTCAATTAAGCAATTTTTGGAAAATTATGGTTTTAAACACGTCAAGCTATTGAATTTTGCCATCTTACATTCTTTAGCTTTATCCTTACAAACCTTATAGCATTCACATTTTTCCAGACAGTCCTTAAAATTAGAAAAAAACATAAAGAGACATTTATTATTAAGATTAATATACATTTTTGTATATTTAATTATAAAAGGTTTTACCTTTACTTCAGTTCTACACTTTTCAAAAATTTGTCGCTTAAAGAAATATTTTAAATCCCTTTCCTGTTTCCATATTTCAGACCTACACTTCTGAGCTAAGTTTCTCAGATTAGAATTACATGTGTTTCGTGCTGTAACACAACTGTTTACACATTCGCACTCTTTTAAGCATGTCTACAAGAAACAAAATTTTAATGATTATGTTTTATATGATTATATTCTCTAACCTTTTTAGTTGTTGTACATTCAGAAAGAGATCTCCAAGCCCGAAATGAATGTCTTTGTTTAAAACCTTTTCGTGACTCTACAAAATTCGGCGCGATGAGGACAAACAAGAGAATCGTGCATAACACGGTCTCTTTAATAAACTTCATACTTATTTTCAATTCAGAGAAAGTACTCAAAAAAGTAAAAAAGTATCACTTGTAAAATTCACTAGCTGAGAAGTGTGTGTTTTGATCTTTCGCATTTATACGTCTTTCTAAATCCTAAATATAGATTATTTTTTGTAAAATGTTAAAATAACTAGTAAAAATCTATGATATTCATCATCAAGCTTTACTTTACTTCAAGAATTCCTTACTCATTTGATCTATAAAATAACAGATGATGACAAACTGTTACTATCATCAATAAATAGCATACTTTGTTTTGTGGACTTAGAAAATTTGTTTTTCATATTTTGTAATGTTTATTTTTATATTTTCTTGCTATAGGAAAACTCTTTTCATTCTAAGAAATGAAAAAAATACGGTACAGTTGAAGTATGAAATAGAAAAGAAAAAGTTTTCGAGAGCATAAAGACTAAAACTAATCGTTTAATAGTATAGTTGTTAGTCAGAGTGAAAGGAAACTTTCTTCATTATGATTTATACAATGTAAGCTAAGGATTTGTTATGGTTAAGAACCACTTGAGGCTTCTCCAGTCGGAAAATTGGTTAATGGTAATCTATTGAATAAGTAAGATTTTATAGCAGCTGAAGTCGATAATCCCCGAGAGGAAGTTCGTCGTCGAATCGGTGAATAATCGACTTCCAAATCGCCGCCTAATCCAACCGGTAAACAAAGAAAGAAGATTAAGAATGGAAAGAAAACATTTCCCCATACAAAGAAATCCTTGAAATGTTTCTTCTATTATAAAAGGAAAAAGTAACACGAGTAGAATTTGACAGTTTTATAGTAACTTTAGTCTCGAAAACCTAACAAGAGTGGAAACGACTGGCTATTTACTTAGTCGATGGAAAGATAGCCAGTAGCAAAACAGCGAAAAAGAGGTAATTATGTAATAAAGGAAGCCGGAAGGTATTACCAAGCTGTATAAGGCACTAATTGCAGTTTCTTGGGTCATTTTTTATTGCCTACACTATTTCACAACAACTGTAGAGTAATAAAATAGCATACTTTATAAGTGAAATCGTCTTAAAGATATTATCTTTTATTCAATACCGATATGTAAATATGATGACTCATTTATCTTAGAATCGTGTTCTCCGTGCAAAAATAGGTTTTCTAATAAGCCCCTGGAAATTTATCTCATAGATTCCTTTTTCTATACTAAAAAACAAAAAAAAACCATAAAATTTTCTCCTTCTTGTTTTTATGTCACAAAAGTAGGGAAAGATAAACTGTAGGAAACCTTTCACTCATGAGTGAATACTTGGAAAAGATGCCCTAAAGCTCCCATTAAAATAGGACCGAATGTTTTCGAATCAAAATAACGGATTACGAAATATTAGGCAAAATAAAATTAAACAAAACTATAATTCATGAATAGGAAATATGAAAGTAATACAACAAGTAAAGTAGTAGTTGCTCCCTCTTTACTCCGCTGTTTGTCTCACATATCAAGGTGACATTGTAACTGTTAGTATTCTAATTAAAAATCATAAGAGAATTCCTTTTATGCTAAATCAGCCACTTATTCACTATGATACTTTATTGAGTTTAATTTTTCATTACTAAAAATATTCTCCTATGTATACAATTGGTAAGCACAAGGCGTTCAATGCTTGGGCATTTTGTATATAATATAAATTATTAAAGGTAATTACTTGTTTCTCACTATAATTGCACGTTTTAAACTTTTGACATCTGATTTATAGTCTTTATGACAAATCTCTTTGAGTTTGTCGATTGACTATAATATAATTCGGGGTTACTATTATAACAAGTTGAATATTTAATATATTAATTTACATGATAAACGCAAGATGTCGCTGTAAATATTTATTTTTAACCATAACTACGGGTTAAAAAGAAGAGATGAAAGCATATAACCATCGATTAACGACGTCTGTTCAACTATCGATCCTAATTCCCTATTATCTCACCAGATTACGCAATAACTGTCAATTCTGAAAGCGTCCCAGCCATTTCGTCGGTAAACAAACGCGCCATAAAAAATTCAAAATTAACAATCAAAGTGTCGGCGGTCTCTGCTCGAATATTAATGAGCAGGAGTGTAACTAATAATACACCGATAGACAGAGGCATTTAGCGGCTAATGCTCCTACAAACAAAGGCCGCAAGCAAAATCCGATATACTCCATACTCGTGTTTGTCTTACTACTTTCGTCGTGTAGTTTAATGCTTCGCGAACTTTTCGCGCGTTCGATTCTTTTTCATTAGCTGTAAATTTCTCAATCAATTTGCCCATAGCGTTTTTAAACATAAACTAAAAACCGATAATCTAGGTCTATTTCTTCACTCATATTTTATATGTATATCCCTGCTCGCCCCCCTCCTGTCTCTACCCGCCGTTGTCTTTCTTAACTTGTAATTCAGTATAACAAAGCGATAATTAAGTAAAGTAGAGGGACAGGCTTTTCCACGTGTCTTTTTTGTAAAGAAACAATCTTTTAATTTTCAAAATAATTAACTATTTATATAAAATTCTATTTGAATATATTGAAAAAGTATATCCTAAAGAAGAAGCTTATGAACAAAAGATATTTATGAATTAATACGATACCTAGTTCTTATTACATAACTAAATTACTTACTTAAAATAAGCCGCATTTTTTGCGCTTTTCTTTACATAGCAGATAAGGATTAATCATAAAGCACTAAAATTCCTAGGATAAGCAAATAACGATCATACAAAATGAAATTAACGTTTTCTCTTGGCTTAATACCCATAGGGAGTAGCAATGATTTAAAAGTTTATAATAGCAATAAATACATTATAGTATATCTTTTATATCTTTAAATAATTATACATATATATACAGCACTACCTAAAGGATTCTTGCAAGAAAAAAAATCATACTAATGATAAGGAGATTTGTCAATTTAGTGCTTTTTTTTCTAATTATTATTTTGGAGTATGTCATAGACCAATTCAAGCAGAAAAGCATAAGGATAAATGTAATTAATTAGTACTTTGTATTTTTGTAATAATAATAGAAAATTTTTTTAGCTTTTTAACGGATTATTATGAATTAATTTACTTGTATGGTTTAATCAAGAATTTTGGATTAAAAGCATCCTTTCCATTAGATTATTAAACAATATATCCAATTATACATAAGAAACTCAATATCACGACAAAAAACATCTGTTTCTCAAAAGGAGCTTTGTTGTTCTTTTATATATCTTGATATTAATATATTTTTAATAATTTTACAAATTTTTTATAGTGTATTTATTACATTATTAAAATAAAAACTATTTGTCACTTCTTATGGCATATTTCTAAGAAAACTACTATAGTATATAGTAAAGGAAAGTGTAAGTGGGCTATCTCTTCCACTTAATAAAAGAGATATTTAATGAAGATTGTATTAAGATTGTGTACGCTTTCTAGACTGTTATATTGTTAAGCAAATAATTGAAGAACGACTTCATAGCGAAAATTGTGAAAATATGTCAACGGGAGGTGCTTCTTATCAACACGTAAAATCTCGCTAATCCTCGCCGGCAAACATTGTTCAGACTCGAGAATTACGCCTTCACCGCTCACTAATCCGATCGGCCATCTAGTAATTCCAACGTCTGTCGTCTTGTTAAAAGTAATCAATTTACAGTACCCATATAGCTTTGAAAGCAGGGGCGGTCCGAAAAAAAGGAAAAGCGCAATAAGCAATTCATTAATATATTATGAATATATTATAGGATCGATATTGTACTTGCCACAATAATTTCCTTTAAAATATCCATATAATATGCATGATATAAAGTGTAAGTCATTTAGTTTTTAGCAGTTATTCACTTTTCGCTTCCTATTCATAGGTTTTCCTTTAGAAACTATTCATAAATTATTAACTAAAAATCGGTGATAAAATATAGTTAGGACCTTTTTTTTAAATATTTAAATAGACAACTACCATATTGTTATAATTAATACTGTTATTTCTCGAATTAAAGATGACCTTTTTATATAAATAATCCCTTTTAAAGCAAATTTTTATGTAAGTTTATTAAATTAGTTGATTAACATTTGTTAGTGTGAAAATTTTACTTCTATTTGATACGAAACAAATAGGAAGCAAGTCAAAAAACGGTGTCAAAGTGTGAAAATGACACAACGTAAATGTTTACAAATCACAAGCCTATTTCCTTTTTTTAAGCCTATTAATTTAAATTCTCCAAAGTGTTCTCCGGTGACTTGAATGTATTAGGACGAGAAGAAAATGATTGATGAAGCGAAAAACGCCTTAGGTGATCATATCTATGCAATATGTGACTTTATTGACAGTGGAAAGAAGTATACATCGTTTTTTCTATTCATACCAAGAGTATGAGAATTCTAATCATCCTCTTCCCCAACATTTTATAATATATTATTTCCGTATAAATATTTATATACAAGTATCATCTCAAGATAGATATAAAACGAATAAGAACTTGTCATTGGCAGTTTCCTATTACCCCAAGTAAAACACACGTATGGGTGAAATTATATAGTGTTGTGTAGCTTATGATGTGTTAGCACATCATTTTCTTAAGTAGTAACAGCTTTGTGGGAGATTATTAGAGATTATCACATAATCCTCGTCCGCTACCTGCCTCCTTAAATACATTCGTGTTTTTTAGGTTAATGAAGTATAATGTAACTATAAACTATACTAGCTCAAAATTTTCCCAACAATGGCCGCCGTAACACCTTGTAAAAACACATTTTCGTCGGGCAAGAAAAATCTTTACAAAGAGGATTACGGCATCCGGTTTGAGAGTTTTAGGAATTTATCAGTTTACAGTCTTCGACAAAGACTTCATTTTCACCGGCTTTATTCCTCGCTAAACGCCCCGCTTTGTTCAAATCTTTTTTACAGTCCCTAAAAGACGCGATTCGCCGTAGTGGGAGGAGCTTAATTTGCATACGGCTCCTGATTGGTTAGCAGTTGGAAAGGTGAGCTAGCCGCTTCATGTATTCATTTCTTCAGCAAAATCGGGTGAAAATGCACCACTTGCCACTATATCTCTCTGCAGACCATCTCAAGAATTCTTTTACAATTGAAAGAATTTTGGCACCGAGACCGTTTTTCCCAGCTCCTAGACCGACTCCTTCAAATTTTTTCCCATATTTTCCAACAGAAAGTCCAGCTCCGTTCTTATTCCCCTTCCCAGCGGGAATGATAACCCCAGATATGCTTAAGAGTGGTCACAAGAGGAAACGAAGACACCGAACAATCTTTACTGAAGAACAACTAGAAGAGCTAGAGAAAACATTTCAAAAAACCCATTATCCGGATGTTCTACTCAGAGAGGAATTGGCATTGAAAGTTGAATTGAAAGAGGAAAGAGTTGAGGTAAGCATAGCGTATTTATAGTTCAGTGACGTCTTTCTTCTCATCTCGTTAAATCAGTAAGACAGTCGTAGATAAGGGAAAAGCATCAAGCTCACTGATGTATAAAATTTATTGTACACTTATATAATTAGATACATCTGTATATGCATAGTCGCTATATTTATCAGATCATATACCAGTACTACATCGAAATATCTATAAACAGCGATACGTATTATCTTACGTCATAAGTTGTAAGAAAGCATTCGCTTTCATGTCTTCCCATAGAGTGATCACGCAATAAATGTAAAAGTGTCTATTGATATTATAGATAAATTTTGAAACACTTTAAAAGCCGTAACGTTCAAAGATTCAGTATAAATAGAATTAAAAAATAACCAACTTTTATATTTTGTACTTTTCTACTTATTTATTCTGTTGATATTTTCATTTCTATAGTCTTTAAAATAACATTAAGGAACTTATTTCGTGTATTTTATGTTAAGGAGGGAAGTAAGAGTTAAAGTAAAAAAATATAAAGGAAGCCTTTATTAAATATCCCCTTCAGCAATGAAAACCGAAAAATGAGTAAAATGTTCAGCTGGGCGGAAAACGGCTGATATTATTAGTTTACCTCTCTGCGAAATTAACGGCTACTAAATATTGATTTAGTTGTAGGCAATTAAGCGGATTTATGACGTCATCAAAGAGAACTCGTAGAACGTTTAAAAGGCGCCAAATAGCGAAGCCGTTTATCAGCTAATGACGGCTAGTTTTTTTAAATTAGAAAGGCTGAAATGGGTTAAAGAAGACTATTGGTACAGTCGTATACTTATATATTTTTAAATTGCTTACCTTAAAGATTACTATCCATTGTTTCCTCTTAAAGTTTTAAATTCTATTGAAAATGATCCTTTAAAGTAAACTATTTTGTAGGTGATTTTCTTTTCCTAATTAAAACAAAATATATACATAGTAGCTATTTTGAAGTAGGTCTCGAAACATCCTTTTCTGTTAACATAATAGGTTTTTCAATCTTTTCCCTAACGCTACATTATTATACTATTTCGATCAATATAACTAACCTTTAGGCTATATAAACCAATTTTTTTAGTTAAGAAACCTGAGAGCTGTTTAATAACCCTAAATAAACTATTGTTACATTTTAGACACTCGTAGCTTTCTAACGGATTGCATTTATTTTTATACTAATTTCTTAGTTAAATCATTCGTTAAAAAGTTTACAAAGGACACAATTGTGCTAGTTTTGTATGTTTTTCTTCTGATTCCCTTATACTTTTCAACTTGATTATGTTCGAAAAGAGATTTATAGAGGAGGGAGAAATAGCTCAGGATTTTAAATTCATTGAAACGCATAATATAAATATTTTAGAAATAGATATATTATATCAATTATACAAAAGCTATTTAGGTCAATCATTTTAGAATATTAGTTTTACCTTTCAGTCTTTTAGAAAAATATACGCTATATGACGTAAATTATTAATTCAAGTTTTATATAATAGATTTATAAGATGATTAAACTATTGAAAGAAAAAAGCCTGAATTGATAACAAATATTTGAAAAATAAGTTCAAATAAAAAATTATATTCAGGAGCTTGGTACTTGATAAATTGTGGTTTATCTAACTCTCACCACAACATGAGCAACTCAAGTGTTTAATCCCCTCAGTAAGGGGTGGTGTCTCTATTTGCTACCTTCTGTTTTTTTTCTTTTTAGACAATACAGACTATATTTATACGTAATAAATCAACAGGTATGGTTTAAGAATCGACGCGCAAAATGGAGAAAGCAAAAGCGTGAAGAACAGGAGAAGAAAAGGCGAGAATCTGATTTGTGCGTCGATGTGACTGATGTGGAAGACGATACTGAAGAAGATATAAATGGTAATTCTACATAAAAAAAGCCCCAATATACTCTTGTTGTTGTGAAAAAAAAATAATCTGTACATATTTATTGGAAGTTATAGATCACGGTTGAAAAGAACAGGGAGAGAGAAAGAGATAGAGAGAGAGAGAGAGAATGATAGATTTGTACTTTTAAACATATTCTATTAAACTGTATATATTTGAAGTAAATCTTTCTCCTCTCTTGATATGAAAAATTAACAAAAAAAGAGAATGTCAATTAATTTCTCTATAAAAGTTCAAAGACAAAAAATCACTTTTCTTTTTTGCTTAGTGTTGAAAATATGGCTAATATTTCCATTATTTATTCACATATGCCCTATATACTATATATAATATACTTATATATACATTAAATATAAATATATGTATATAATTAACTAATATATATTTATTAATAATCATCTATTGCTTAAAAGACAAAAAATCCAAAATCTTATATTATGAAAAGAGAAAAAATCGTTGAGCATTCATAGATTCACATTTCCGCAAATTGATTTTTTGGTAATTTAACGCTTAAATATTTACAACCGTTCCTTTTTCTCTTCCCAAAGCTTATAGCATTTTCGGGTTTAATCAAAGTAAAAAGTGTAAAGGAATTATTTACTAAAGAAAATTTGTGAAAGCTTTCGATTGATTTAAAAAAATAAAGCGTTCTACGGATACTTTACATTGAGACAGAGGCAGAGAGACAGGGGGAAGTGGGATAGGATAGACAGACAAAATTAAACTGACAGAGGGATAGAAAGAAAATAAAGAATAGAGACGAAAACAGAATAGGTATAGGTAGATTTGCTCCTCTTTTTCTCTCTCAATCAATTTTGTTTAGCAACAGAGTACCGAGAGTAAAGAGCGACAATTAATGGAAATATAGCTATTAATATCTGTTAAGAATTAAATATAATAGGTGTCCTAATTGTGCATAAAACTCTTATGTGTACATAAAGTGTGTATGAGTATATTTCATTAATGCCAGTCAACTGCTGATCTATATGATTTAGAGTGAATGAGATAATGTACCATTGGCCATTTTTGTTTTTTTTAACTCTATATATTACTTAATGTTAAAATGTAAAGCGAAAAGTAGTTTGTCATTATGTTTTCATCATGTATGCTATATATTTATAATTAATACATGCTCTTTGAAAACAATTATCAGTTACTCATTGATATGATAATGATGTGTGTTAAACTAGATATTTAGCTTATATTTACAGCTATAGCATCATAATGATGATAGGTAAAAAAAAAGGACATTTAAAAATATAGTCAAGTTTTGGATAGATTTCAAAGATTGTGCAACTAAATTAGGAGTGAGGGAGGGAGGGAAGGGTTGTGGGGGGGGGGGGGGTGAAATAAAAAAAGCACGCATGCATTTGTCAGTTGAAGAATCGTATTCCATTAGTCGGATTTTCGCCGCCGACGGCGTAGTTTTGCGCTTATAATCGGCACCGATTTTTTCTTCTAAAAAGTTGTATCGTTGAATGGCGGCGAGTAAATGCTAAAATAAACGTTTACTTAACGGATTAGGGCGTCGGAAAAAAATACTACGCCGATAAACTTTTAAGGATCGCGCTTAGCGTTATGCGAGCCTTTGTCAATATATGACAATGCTCTTCTTGCTTTTCTCAACTTTTTCTTTCACTTATTCTTTCTATTATTAAGTTAAGCTGATTATCTAGAGAGAGAGAGAGACAGGCTGACAGACGGACAGAAATAGAGAGAGAGAGAAAGAGAAAAGTATGTCGGCCAAAAGAATGAAGAATTAGAAGAGTAAAAAAAATTAAGTATATTATTCAAAAAAAGAAGAATAATTATCTTTTTTCTCTCTGTTTATTTATTCATACTTCTTTGCTGTTTTGTTTTTGTTTTCTCTCCATTATTTACCCATCTCAAATAACTTAAGAAGTGAATAATACATAAATCAAAGGATTGATTTCAATTGTCACTTTAGAAAATATACTTTTCTTACTCTCCCTTTCTTTCTCTCATAAAGGCAGTTCTAGTTTAAAACTATTTTTATAAGTTATAAATTATTTAAATAGATCTATAAAGTTTTTCTCTTTTTTTTAGAAGATAAGGTAAGTTTTTCTTTATTATTACGTTTTGTAAAAACTTCACTTGAAAGCATTTTTTTTGATTTAGTGAAATATACATTTATTCTTTGTATCAATCATAGTACTAATACGCCATCTATAAGATATTTACTCTTCATCTTCGTCGGAGAGTTTTATAACGTTTTTAATAGATTATACATATATACTATAAACAAGGCTTGAATTTATACAAATAGATATTTCTTTATAGATTTAAATTGAGAAAAAAAGTAAAATAAATTTTATTTTAATTATTGAAATGATCAAAAGATGGCAGCACTATATACTTTATGAATTAATTATTCTAAAACAGGATAATGACTTGATAGGCGACAATGAGACACCTTATAGAAGTATAATAATTAGCGTTTTATTTAATAATTGATACTAATACAAAAAAATCGATATTATTAATATGAACTGCAAGATATAAATAAGAACAGTTTTACCCCAGAGGTAAATGAACACTTTTATGCCATAGTTCTTTATTTGCATTTTTATTATAATACCAATTTTTTTACAAATAAAAAGGCTTGAATTAATGTTTTTTTTTTGTAAATTTTGCAGTTCAATAGTCACAATTCATGAACAAAAGCCTAAAACACATTATATAGTGTAAAATTTTGTGTGTCTATGGCATATATCTAGTTCAGAAAAACAGTAGGCTTTCTTATCAATGTTATTCAAAGATAAAAATGTACAATTTGAGAATTTTTCCATTCTATTTTGAGAAAATGATGTATCCCTTTGAGGTACCAAAAATCATTCTAGTAATCAATCTTTATTAGGGTTCTTATTATGTACCCTTTTTCCCCTAAGATAATCTATAATAACTAGTTGTTTCATAAAGCTATTAAAATTTTACAAGATTTTAGTTTTATGTCAAGTGCAAAAGGTCTTCGTTTAGTTGATAGAGATTTCTTTCTATAAGATTCAAATGATAAGAATTTAAGTTACAAAGAAAGGGCAGAGTGGGAGTGAGTGAGTGAGAGAGAGGGAGATAGATAGATAGAGAGGGGGAGAGGGATAGGAGGAGGGGGAGAGAAGAAAAAACTTCTCTCTGCATATTCTCTATCTCTCCACCCATTCCCTGTTTTTCTATCCGTTTCATAGAATTTGTATGCTTTAGCGAGGCAATCCATTGGGAGGGGAAAATACTTTAATTATGAATACGCAAAAGATAGGTTTGATATTCGCAAGGAGTTAAGTTCTAGGATATGTAGTAATGAACTTGAAGATATCTGTTTATTATCTATGTAATTTTTATTCGTAAATTTCAGAGAAACAACTAGTCTAGTATTAGAAGTTTCCTAAAAACTAAATCATTTATCGGCAAAAGCAGAATAATAGATAAAAAGTATTAAATATTGAACAAAGTTGTATATTGAAGAAAAAATAGTAGCAAAAACAAAAATAAAAAAAGAAACATGTGCCATTCTTTCTCGTTCATCCTTTACCCTCCCTTAGCAACTGATCTATAGTCTTTTTTCTTTTTTACTACCACTACTACTACTACTCTGTCTCTCTTTCTCTCTTTCTCTCTCTTTCTCTTTCTCTCTCGCTAGCTGGCTAGCTAGCTCTCTTTTTTTCTATGATCCTTAACCCGAAATCCCAACCCACATCGTATCCCATCAATTTCTTTTTTCTTTCCCATTGTCATTCTCTATCATGCATATATGTATTTATAAACATCGACTTATCATAAAATAGCCATAAACAGAGAAACAATGTGTAGTAAAATATATACACGAAACGTTTAGTATAAACGTTTTATGTATATATATATATATATATATATGTATATGTACTTTATAACATCGTTAACTTGATGCACTTGGTTTACTAATAAGTATATATTTAACAGAAAAAATTGAAAAAGACTTTACTTATAGGTCAATACTTGATTATCCAATTCATTTCAAAGGATGACAACAGACAAACACTTGCAAACACTGTATGCATATATTGTAAGTACATCATAGACTTAAGGGATAAATGATCAAGAAAACTATTACTTTTAGGCAAACAACTGCAAAGTGAATAGTTATTATAGTAAATGAATTAAGTTTAGTATACTAGATGTTTGATTTATAAGTCTATCTATCATCCTTTGATTTTTAATAGTTTATACAAGTCGATATTATTTTGCTTTGCATAGAGGCAATTAAAAAATCTCTCATCTACATTAAGAAAGAAATCTACAATACGTTCGCATGACTTGATTTGCTAAAAAGTTCTGAAAAGAAGAATGATCATCATTTAGCGCTTTGAATCTACTTTATCAAGTTTGGATCAACAGCAGTCGAAAGAGAATTAAAAAAAAGAAAACAGAAACGTTTTTAAGTACACTTTGAAAAAAGAGGATAAATTTTTTTTGTTTTTGCATGCGCTCCATTGATTTAGAAAGAAAGTGAAGTTAGAATAAAAATTGAAAGGAACAGTCCTGAATAAAATAGTAGATGAAATAGGACTTTTTCTTCTTCTGAATTTTCTACTTCTTCTTCGTCATTTTCATCTTCTCTTTTTCTATTTCGGTTCCTTTGAGCACATCATTTCTACGAATTCTGTCGCGAGAAAAAAATTTCATTTATAATCGTAAATTATGTGAATGAGGGTAATAAACAGAAATATATCGGAACAGAATGATTCCATTCAAAAAAGAGCCATCTGTTGGGAATAAACCTAAACTATGCTAGTAAATCGAATCTTTGTACGCAGTCATATGATAAATTTCTGTAATTAACGAAAATTAATCAAATAGAATATTTGAATGTTATATACTAAAATGTGAAATTGGCTGTAAAAATTTCAGGGTCAGGGCTTTCAGATCAAGGATTATACTTTTTTCTCGGATTAATTTTAATCCAAGAATAAATATTATATAAAAATATAAAAGCTTAATCTACTAGTGCCACCTGTAGTATCATAATACCTTTGTAATTAATTTCTCCATCACCATCAGTGTCTGCCTCTTTGATCATGTCATCAATTTGATCATCTGTTAGATTTTCTCCCAATCTGAAATGAAACGTAATTAAGATTAAGATATTTTGTAATCAACTATAATAAATGAATATAAATAGAAGAAGTGGAGCTTATAGTGAAATATCTGTCGAAAAGTCTGAGGGAACATTTTGTATAAATTGTATTCTTTCTTTTTTTTTATATATATAAATTACTTAATTTATTGGACAAAATGGTGGAAATTTTTTTCATTAACTTTGCCAAATAGATACATTGAAGGAAAAAAATTAGAGAACCCCTTCAAAATGGAAAATCCTTAATATTTCGAATAAGACGTAAAAGACGAAAGTAAAAGGCAATGTTTCATTATTGATTTCGTGGGGAAATACAGCATTTAGCCCTCAATTCACTTTTATTCTAGTCGCATGACTAGTCATTTAGGAATGAGATTGTGCAAAGACGATGAATACAAATTTCAAATATTCATTCAATTTACACCGTTTTAAGTAACTAACGAAACAAGAAAAACAACTTCGATCCTTACAATTCTAATTGATTCGTAAAGAATAATTGCAACATTAAAAAAGAATATAAGAGAGAGAGAGAAAGAAAGAGAGAGTCTTACTTATGCATGACACTCTTCAGTTCGTCAGCTGTTATCTTGCCAGATCTATCCTTATCGAACATTCTGAAAGCAGCCATAAGCTGTTCTTCTTGTTCATCCTTATTATCATCTCCGCAATACGAAGTCATCAAAAAGACAAATTCATCAAATTCGATTTGTCCACTTTCTGTCCACATGAGAAGAATAATCATTATTCCTTTTTACCCTTAGGAAACAACTAAAGAATACTTTCACCCCCTATACAATTGCGTAATACAATGTATTTATTAACCTTACATTAATCTGTTATATAGCATATACACGTAATATACTAATGGACGAATATAGGAAAAGCAATAAAGATGACAAAAACTAGGTTTTCTTGCTTTTCTTGGTAGAAAAATAGTGATTCATTTCCATTAATAAAAGGCATATAAGCTGGATTGTTATTACTTTTTAACGTGGCGCTTTTGAACAAAGTTGAATATGAAACGTAAGTGCTATTAATTAACATCAATATTTTAATATGCAGTTTTTTGTACTTTTTCATTTATATTTATACTTTTTCTCTTGCAAAAAAGTAGCCTGTAAAATTTTCAAATCCATTTTCATTGTACAATGCTTTTTATTTAACTAGGCACGCCAAGTTTGTAAAATAAACACTTTTAAAGAGTTTCCGCTCTAAATAAGCTTTATATGAAAAACAAGAGGGAGAGAGCGAGAGAAATAAAGAAGTATAGAAGGGGTGGGGGGAGGGAAAGGGAGGGAGAGAGGGGGGAAAGAGATTGTAGAAAAAACAGTTATTTTATTTACTAAGATAGCAGTTTCTTTCCAGGCTTAAAGGAAGAGTAATAGTAATATAAAGAAAAACTAAAACTGAAATAGCTTGCAGTTTGGAGATCTTAACTGTCTGAGCTTTTTATTTATAGCCTTTATTTACTACGACAACCGGACAAAATCTACCAAAAAAAGAATGTTAATAGGACAGAAAAAGATAGAGACTAAGACAAACACGAATAGTAACTGTCTACTTTCATTAATGATTGAGATTTTTATTATTAGACAATGAAATTTAGCAAACTTGCTCATATAACATTAATTGACCATAGTCAAAATTTTACATACATAAGCTCTAATTAGTTTAGATTTTATTCCAGTTTTTATTAAATATTCAAATTTCTATACGCTTATATTCAGGAAATTTTGTCCAATTGCATAGAATGGTAACGAAAATTTTATGCAAAATGTATAAAACCCGCAATATTCTCCTATTGTAAAATGATAATACGACTAAAATGCCAGAGCGTTTCGCCATCATCGGACTGTGGCGTCCTAAAAGTGGTTCATGTGAAAAAGCGTGATGAGATGTCTAGATTATTATAGATCAGCTCTTTTCGTTCCTTGTTTTTTGCATGAAATATCGAAATAATCTTAATTGACATTATAGATTCCATTTATTGATGCTCTATTTTGTAATTATATAATAAAAAGATGAGATTTTAATGACATTTCTAGAGAAATTGCTATCAATTAGAATTTATCTAATTGGATAAATAAAGAAAGCTAATTTCGCTAGTCATCCGTATGATGACTAATTAAACGAAGTATAAACTTTTGATACTAATTACAAACACTTCAGCTCTTACGATACTCGTGTTTTTTCTATATAAATATATCTCTTTCGAATTCCTATATTCTATAGACAAGAAAAGAAAATATTCATTCATTCTTTTATTGCAAAAGTTTTTTTTTTATAAAAAAACCTCGTTTTGTATATATACAATATATATCTGTATAAAAGAACTTATTTGACCAAAAGATGGCAGTATATTGAGGGAAAAAAATCATTTTATGATAAAATTTTACTGTAAAATTTAAAAAAAAACTGGAAAACTAGACTCATACAAACCATCTCTATCGTGTTCTCTTATGATGTCCTTCAATTCTGCTTCCGTAGGGTAAATATCCAAATTCCTCATTACAGTTCCCAATTCTTCGATTGAAATAGCTCCATTGCCGTCTTTATCAAACATGGAAAATGCTGCTTTGTATTCTGTAAAAGAGAATAATGAAATATATTGCTTTTTGTATAATTGTTTATATAAAACACACATATACATGCACTCTAATCTACATAGACTTTTACGTATAAAATTATCATTAAAAAAGTACATATATGAGTGTTCATATAATAATATATATGTGCAGCATAACGTACAGTATATATTCTAATATATCTATATATATATATATATTTCCCTTATTTATATTTATAGAAAATGAACGCTTTTCCGAGCTGTATATTAATGCTATCGAATGGCATTTTGTCTCATAATAAAATACGAATATAAACCTTGCAATTGTTCTTCTGTTAAATGCTTCCTTAAATCGGCCTGAAAAGAAAATGAAAACGTGAGAAAAAGTTATATAAACTTCTATTAAAATGGGATAGAATAATATTTTTACTAACCATGTTGTAAGCGTAAAACGCCGCAGCCCACAGACAAGTGACGCCTCATCAGATATGCGTTCAGAATCGATCGCTAGCGTCACCTTGGACCGCGTTATATTATTGCCAGGCAAATATATGCGCTTTTTAATGAAGTCTATTCTTTTATGAGCAACTTTTGCAAGCTGGAATTTAAAACACGATAAAATAGATGTCACAATCCTCTTAGGTCCTTCACAGTATTCGTTCTTTCACGGAACGTAATTGAATGTAATTTCCAAATCAGGGTATTAATTTTTTTCCAATTTTCCCCCAAAAAGTAGGCCAAAACTGGCTAAAAACGTCATACTTATTCAACAATCATTACTTGCGAGACGTAATACTAAATGATCTAATTAGGTAACCATTTTACAACGAAAATATATTTTCCAATGAGATGGCTCTTATACGCTATGATTCTTGTTTCTAGAGCTAATGACATCTTTATTGCATCAAAGGTTCCCTAAAAGAAAAGAGTTTGGGGTAAATATCATAAAAGTCGTACAGGCCTTTTAACTAATGTTGATATACTACACTGATATGTTAAAATTGGAATTATTGATCTCATTTAAGAAATCAATTTCATATTTCACTAATATTCATAATGAAAGTTTTTTTTTATATTCGGATGGATGACAAAAGAGAGAATGGAAGAAAGAAAGAAAATAGGACTAGTCTATCGATACTTTTGTCTTCAATAGTCATAGAATTTCCCAGGAAATTTCATTCTAGACGGTATATGGTTGGAATAAAACTTATGTCGATTATTGTTATTCAATATATAAATGCTAACACTCGGTTTCTTTGATTCGTTGCCGGTATTTCAAAGGTAATAAGAGAAAGAAAATAGAAATAATTTCTAAGCAGCTTTTAATCTAAAATCCTTTTATTGAAATTAAAAGGCAAAAAAGAAGAAAAAGACAGAGATAGGCAGAGAGAGAAGGAGAGAGACAGAGACAGATAGACAGACAAACTGAGGGAAGAGAGAGAGAGAGAGAGAGAGAGAGAGAAGGAGGAGGGAGGGATATTCATAAAATGACTGTTCTTTCTCAAAATTATAGTCAATTGAGAAAATATTCACAAGATTATGTTGCAGTATAGAAAAGAACAAAAATAATCTTTATTCTTTAAGACAATAGATATCTTGTAATTAAGCTAGTAGGACACCTTATAAACTCGTCATAAGAGTCTTTTTATTGATGTCGTTAATGGCCTAATAAAAAAACACAAGAGTTTAACAACTTTTATTAATGAATAGGAAACGTATTCAGAGTAATTTATGCAAATACTTTACTTAGATATTGAATTGATTAATCTTTTGCCTCATTATCTCAGAATATTTTGTAAAGCCCCAAATATAAATCGATAATACTATGTTGAAGAACAATTTATGCTGATGATAAGCGTCTATTAATTGCATCTTTTGAACAATAATTGACACGGAAATCGTATTTTTTATCATAATTGTTTTCATAAACATCTCAGACTCTAATCAATTATTTTAGCGCCGATCAAGAATTTATATGAAAAAAATCGATAGCTGTCATTGATCGCTCTTTTGTATTTAACCAAAAGTTATGAAAGAAATTTTTTCCAATGCCATGAGACTCTTCTACATATGAATCCTTTTCTCTTTTTACTGTATTCTCTCTTTTTGTCCTCTCAATTATTCTCTATTTTCTCTCCTTCTTTCCTTGCTTTTCTTTTTTGCAGTGTAAAATGTTTTGTGTAGGCAAACGCAACATATCTATTGATCTTTTGTGGAAAAAGAATAATTTCCTAAAGTATCTCATATAAATTAAGCACAAAATAACCTGAATTTTGCAAAGGAAATATACAGAGGGAAAAAAATTGCATGCTGCGCAACCAAGTTCTCAGAGGACTTGTTCCAACTGCAATACTGCAATGCGCTAACGCTGTCCGCATTTCCAACAATGCGGGCGTCGTATTGCAGTCGGTTTTTAGCGTGAATCTCAGGGGAAGAATGTAAAGCGTTTCTTTTTTATTAGGTCTAGTGTATTTTACAATATGTGTAGTACAGTAGATAGAGTATCTGGTGAAAAATACGTTTAGTTATAGGTGCCTAATATAAAAGACTGGGATGTAAATTTATTTTGTATATTATCTTCTATATAATAATAAGCATATATATATGTAAATGCATATGTTTATATCGCCTTTATGCATATATAATGAGAGAGCAATGACAATTAACATTGGAAAACGGCATATTTGTTTATTACTGAATAAATAACTGATAAAAATACAGTATAAAGAAAGTCAATAAAACAGTTACAGTTGTTTGGCTGCTGTAAAAAGCAATATGAATCCATAAATATAAATAAAAAAATAAAAAAAATGTTTAATATCATTATTTGAATTTTTTTTTGCTGTAGACGGAGAGAATAAAGTACTGCAATTTTTTTTTAATGTCCTTACATGATTATATCCCAAGTGAAGAGAGGCACATATAGACAGGAAACAAACTTCAAGAAAGTTGGGGTTAATTCATATCAACTTACTCAACTTATTAGGAAATTCCATTTTGCTACTGAAATTAAATATTTGCTCTCATTTAACCTTAATAGGAAGTACACTCTAAAATTGTTTACTTGATATCCTTGATAATATAACTAACATGTACTTTTTGAGGGTATTGAAATTACATCAAATTACTCACAACAACATACCATATAATTAATTATTTCTTACAATCATATGATTAAATATATAAATTAATACCTAGCGTTAATGAAATTTTCCGTCTAGTCTTTAAATCAATTCCCAATATTCTATTATTCTTTGAATACTATTTACAGAATCATTCATATAAACAAGACACAAAGAAATTGTATGTATGAATATAAATGTTTTTTGGTTGCTAATAATTATTCCTTTTTTTTATATAAACAAAAGAAAAATTTATTTAAAGAATAGTTTCGCATGCATGAATAGCATATTGGAATTCGTTAAGCGCGCTAATGATTCCCGAAAAGGCAATAACAAAAGGAATAACTTAATGAGTTTCTTTTCGAATGGATAAATCCTTTGTGATGTTTAAGAAATTGTCTTTGAATAAGATTTATAACCTCGTAAAGACAAACGAAGACAAAAAAAAGGGAACTTTCTTTTTTCATTATTATTTTATTTATATGGAAATATATAGAATTATTTTAATAAATAATAAAACAAATAATAATTGTATTACATCACTTTTTTTTTAATTTGTTTTATCGAAATATATAGACTTGGTTTTATTTAAAGACTTTCATGTATTCCACTGCAAATACAGTGTATTACAATAGATATTATTGCATATATATATATATATATATATATATCATAGAAATTTTTCATATTAAATAATAAATATTATTGAATTTTAAATAATCCTCAATAAATTTATACAGTTTTACGTAGATCGTAGGGGGTGGGAGTTCCCTGTTTAGCTCATAACTTAGCTGAAATATAATAAAAGCTACTTTTCTGTTATAGCTCGTTCATTTGTTAAATAATTTATTGACCTAGTTTAATAAATAGATAAGGTATACGAACAATTAAATATAAATAACCTTATTAAAAATGAGATGATGAGTTACTCTTTATACTCTTTGAAAAGAATAATGAAAGTATTTGGCAATCAATGATATAATGTTAATTAATTGGTCAATTTGGTTAAGTATATCCCAAGAAAATGTAATGGCATTTTATTTACTTTAGCAATATTTACAGTGAATCATGTAGAGCGATTTTACACGATTAAAATAAAGAGAGTAAGAGAGCAGGGTAGCACTAAGTAGACGCAAAGCGAGTGAGGGAAAGAGCGAGGAGAAACAGAAATAGAGATAGAAAAGAGGTAGTGAAGGAAAGAGAGAGAGAGAAGTAGAGGAGTAGATAGATAGATAGATAGATAGATAGATAGATAGATAGATAGATGAATAGATAGACAGAGAGAGAGAGGGAGAGAGAGGGAGAGAAAGAGAAAGATTGGGGAAGGAATGGGGGGCACGATGGTGGTAATGGACAAGTCATACTACTTTGACGTCTTTGAAAGCTAACTTAATTTTTACAAACTTCTACTTTCTTTGCTAATGATTAAGATACATAAAAATGTCAAAAATCACTTTTAGGACAATGTTAAATATTTTATGTAGTTTTTCAATGACATTGTGGAATTTTTTTTCCCGATATTACAATTAGTGTAATCCAGAAATAAATGAGTTTCGTATATAACCTCTGGTTGTATCATATCGTATATCGTTAGTGTTGGTTTACTTTTATTCATAATTCTTGTCATTTGTGTGTACCATGAAAAAGGAGTTTCGTTAGAACAGAGATAAAGAGGAAACAGAAGAGAGAAATGTAGATAGGCAGAGTGAGGGTAAAAAAGACGGAAGAGCTAGAGAATAGTTTAAAAAAAAAAAAGACAAATAGATAACAAGCTTGAAAAGAGCAAGATAGAAAGTGAAAGAATATTGTTTAAGCCGTGAGTGGCTCCATCTTTCGTATTTTTAGACGTTGACTTTGAAACCTTCACCAAATAGAAACTTACACATTCCTCTATATAGTAACGGGAATCGCGAATTTTCGGATAAATAAAGAATATTGTGCCAAATAGAACAAAGACGTGTTTGTAACAATAAAGTAAATAAGTTTAAAAATGTCTTTTATATAGAAAATCTCAAACGCATCTTGACTCTTTAATCATTTCTTCCTTGTACGGATTTTCTTTCTATTCTGAAAGATATCTAATGTTTCCTTAATACTTTTATGTCGCGTCTAGTTGACTATTCCTTTAAGATATATATATATATATATATATATATATATATAATGATTAATAAAATTTATACAGCCCAGTTCATATTAGTATACGATATATGATAAATGCTTATACATTTTTTAGACATACCTTTCGTAATATCTTTCAATACTATGCAATTGCTAAATAGCAACACAAATAATTAGTTTTAACAGATTCTGCAACATATTCAATACACTAAAAAGGTATATAAATAATTTAAATCTATCTTTCTTAAACACAATGTTAATAAAATTTTATAGCAGACAGCCAATAATTTACTCACTGGGAAGGAATTTTAAATATTGATATAATTAAAAAACGTTAGCTAATATTATACAAAGAAAATTCCCTGTAAGTATTATTATTATAGTTTTCTAGTAAGCTTCTTGCATTCTAAACGATTCTTTAATTAAATATATCGTATTAATGTGAGAAATTTGATAATGTTTATTTATTTTCTGTATATAAAGGAGTGAAAGTTAAATGTATTGATATTTAACGCATGAAGAATGCATGTTTATTATCATTGTAACATTTTACAAACTGAATGTAAAGTAAAACGTTATCAGTGACAAAATACTTCTACTTCCCCTCTAAAATTTCTATAAGACGGTATAACTAATCATTTTAGACCTTGGAATTATTATTTCATAAGGTTTTTTCCAGTTCAGCTCAATGAGCAATAAAACTTGCTCTCTTATGGAATTATTCAATAAAATTCAATTAATGTAAACCTTGAAAGTTTACTTGATACATTTTTTTCTTCTAATATCTTAAAATATCTTTTTCTATTTTTTGTTTGTTAAAATAAATCCATATATAGTTTTATTTTTAAGAAAAAGCAATTCATATAAACGTGTCTCTAGCTTTTTTCATAAGGGAAACTTTTTCATTGAAATATATATATATATATATATACTGTATATATAAACAATTGAGATAGATAAGGAGAATAAGTGTAACAAACTAAAGTTTTACAGCTTAGCGCATTTTTTAAATTTTATCTCATTTTAGTATTCTTTATGTGTTGAATGATTTTATTTATATGTTTACAATACTTTAGAAAGAAATCTGTTTTTTATAAATCCACAACCAATTCTTCTTAAAGGAGTTCCTATTGGATTTTTTTGCTATTTATTAGCCACATGTAATTGTGCATATGTGCATATAATATCTTCAGAAATAAACGTATAAATATGCTCTAATACTGAATATAAAAGATAGGTGTCGTCATTGGTACTGGTATTTAAAGCATTGCAAATATGCAAGGATGTTTGACGTTTAATTGATAGGCTTATAATTTTCAAATCAATCTTTTCGAACAGCTTGCGAAATATAAACGATTGACAAAAATATATTGTACATGTTGTATGTTACTAGTATTTCTTTTTTAATATAAGTATCCTAGATAATATATTCAAGGAGATGGCAGCACTAGGAATTACGAGGGAAGGGGGGAGAGAGGGAGGGTAGTGAAAGAGCTACTTACATGTGTACAGTGGAAAAAAATCGAACAAGGTTATTGATAAAAGCTAATTAATTATGTATAACTATATTTAACCTTTAATGACAGTATTAGTAAGAGTTATGTTGTAATTAAGATGAGCAAACACCTATCGCTTGGCTAATAATTCCATATTGAATATGATTACTGGTTGATGAAAAATGCAAGAGAATTTAAAGATTATAGAGCAATATTTTTGACCCTATCTAACTGAATCTATTTATCCTGATATAATATATGTTCCTTTTAATGTCTAGGCAATAAGCCTTTTTACCAATTCGTTTATCATATAGCTATCTCCTGTCTGTTCCCAACGTTTTTCCATAATAAGAAACGGAAACGGAAAGTAATCGTAAATGGCTGTCGATATATGTGGTAGGAATATACTAGAGAAGAGACTAATTAACTATTGCTCGAGGGAATAATATAAAATAAATTTAAGAGATGAGGGAGTGTTGATGAGAACTTTTTAATTTAGAAATATTAACTATTTTCTTTTCCATGTTAAAAACGTATAATGACGAAATTAATAAAAAATTAATTATCTGTTAACCTCTCTCCTTCACTTGATTTAAGATTTCCCATTAGCTAATAAAACAGTCTAATTTATATTAAAATTAATTTGCTTCTAGACGAAAAAAGAAAGGGAAGAAAACCTTTAAAAATCTCTTTCAAAAGGCATAAAATTTTTGAAGAAACGAAATTAGAAGGAACACTTTGCAAATGTTCTGCAGGGTTTGAAAATTTTGCCTCGAAGTAACCTTTTTTATAAGAAAAACAATCCTATTTTTTTCTATAAAAAGTATATTCTAGGAGATAAATTATTGAGATTCGAACATCGGATGAGAATCTACGCTAAGACTTTTATATTTTGATAAGAAGATCTTTGTAGATTACAAATATTTATTACTAGCTTTCCGGAGTGTTAAATAGATAACGATCAAACTTATATTATTACATGAGCATGCATCCAATTAGCAGTTAAAATTAAATGGGGAATTAATAAATAGATATGTTGAAATGATTATTTAGTTAAATTTATATGCTGACCATCGTCTGAAACCAGAAGGGAATAAAGTCGAAGGGAAGGATTTTAACATTTTCACTTTAGTCTATTCAAATGTTGAAACATCTTCACTTAGAGGAAAATTCAATTAAAGATCTACCTGTGTATTCTCCACTTGGATTCTCTCCATAGATTGCCTACTTTCATTCATTTATCTTTTCCCATATTAGGAAATTCTTTTAATGTAAGAATTTATCGAAGAGATAAGAAATTTTTAGATTTCTTATCTATTATCAGGAAGTTCAACAAATTGAGAAAATGTAAAAGGAGGATAAGATAGATTAAATCATTCGAATATTTATAAGAACTTTTCATGGAGATTTACACCAACAGGTTGCAAGAATATTCCAGTATATACAACTAATTTGCATACATATCCAGCTCGATTGACGTCGAGTAAAGGCGAGGCGGGCGTAAAGGACGCTCTCCGTGACGGCACACAAGCTCGAGACGGTCTCCATCAAGCCGAATTTGTTCCGCCTCAATCAACCAGCCGCCAACTTTTTCATCCATTATACTACAAAAAAAAATATATAGAATAAAAGAAGACAAAGACACAGAAGGCTTATAGAAAGAGGTGAATTCCATATTTGAAGAGAAAAATAGCAATGTTAGTAGAAGTGTTGCAAAGGGCTCAATGACGTAATAACTCAAGATTCTGATGCGACTCAAATTTCAAAATATACACTTCCTAGAGACTGTTCATTTGTAAATTTTAAAACATGTACCCTTACGATTTTGATTTAGTAATAGAGATAAAGAATTAAACAGTAGATATATGGAAAGGGCTAAATCTCGTCTCCGCCGAACCGAACACCGTACAAGGCCGCCTCGCCGTAATTCTATTACGTTTTTCATCATCGCCAAAGTCGGCCCTCTTCCGCCCAATCCTGTCCGCGCAATGATTCACGGCACGGGGGCCAAGTGACATTTTCCTGGAAGCATCTGTCGTTAGGTTGCTGACAGCTGCCATTATTGGCGGGGCGTTAGACAGTCGATCAGGTGCACACACCGTCCCAACTAGTCTCAAGGGTCGACTTGTTAATGTCTTGTTTGTTTTGTAGAGCCGCCATAGTCGAATGCTATTGTTTCTATTCTTTTCATTCGTTTATTTATTCTTTGTTAAAATTGATGGAGTCTAGTTGAAAATTTCGTCAAGTAATTATCCCCAATGTCTTGAAATTCGCATTAGAATAAGAAACAATCATAACTAGCCTACAATACCATTTAGTTGGTATTTTATCAATGAAAAAAGAAAAAGATATGCTACGATCTTTAAATTCATGGATAACTTTTGATTGACCCATTAAAAAAATGTGTGTAAAAATATTTTCGCTAGTTTTATTCAATTGAGAAGAGAAAACGAGGAGAGAAAGAGGAAGGTTTATATTGTAATAAATTGTAAAATAATAATAGTAAAAGGCTGTAAGTAAGGAGGATAAATTAAAGAATAAAAGAAACAAAGTTGAATAGATAGATTTATTCAAAAAATTCTGTATTGCTTTTGTATTATATTGAAAACGAATTGAACGCATATAGATGTACTTAATATATATATATATATATATATATATATATATATATATATATATATATATATATGTAGGATTATTATATGCTTTGAGACATTTAAAATAAAAATAAAAGGAAACAACATGCAACTTTTAATGTATACATCAAAATATTCACACTTACTGTTATATACATTTAGATATATATATATATATATATATATATATATATATATATATATATATGTGTATATATATATATATATATATATTTATATATATATATATTCATTTGTTCTTTAATTTAAAAATACTTGCACACTCAGAAAATGACTAGAATTCTTTATAACTATTTAAACATACATGTATAAATATATATAATTATATATTTAATTATATATATATATATTTATCTTTGTTATATATAAACAAATGTTCTTATATAGTTTTTATATATTTAATATAAGAATATTTGGATTTACATGTATTTTTTTCTCTGTATATACATATCTTTTTGTGATATATGTGTAAGAGCACGAAAGCACCGATTATACATACGTTGTACACTTACATTTTCTGTCAAAACCAAACACCAAATTTAATCTATAGTTTAAAGCTTGAAACTTTTTTCTTGATAAAAATATAGCATAAGCAGTCTAAGTTTGATACTGCAGCATGGCATTAGTAAAACTGGAATGAGCATTATTCATCCGTAAAGCCGTTAAAGATTTGTTATACCAATCCTCTTCGTGCGATTCCTGAAGTAAAAAACGTTTAAGATTAATTATGTTAGTAATATTGAAAAATTAACGCTTAATATTTAATTAAGGAGTTTGATAAACTAACAAGCGTCCTAAGCGAGACAATTTCCTTAATTTTCTTTAATTCTGTTTATTTTTCTCAGCCAGTAAAGTGGCTTTTAAAATAGAATTACTTTGAAAAATGCTAATTCTAATGATTGATCTAGCGTTAAATGAATGACATTAAATAGTGATCGATTTTTTAAGACGCCGATATGCAGAACGTCTTTCGAAATAATGATAAAAGGCGTTGATTGGCTGTTGTACGGGGGAAATTGAATTATTAGCTGTTTTTGAATGGGTTTAATTTTTATTATTTGTTACAAGGTTAAACTAGATGAATTTCTTATCTATAACATAATTATATGCTTTTGCATCAACTGTATGACTAAGCTATGGGTATTTGTTGAAAAACATAATTAAATAAAGCCATCCTTATACTTTCTCCGCAAGAACGTAAAGTAACTTCCTTGACTTTATTCAGTGAAATAATTTTTTTTCTGGCAATGCTCTACTATATAGAAAAGACTCTTTTTCCTATTAATTCCTATCTCCTTATACCTATTACTTTGCATGTACTCACCAAGTTGACGTTGAACTCAGCCGGCATACTAAACTGCTGCATTTGCCTAGCCATAGCCGCACCGGGACTAACGCTAGTCGGTGGCGCAGTCATTGCTGTGGCTGATGCACTACAAGCCGCCATTCCAGTTGAAGCCGCCCCAAATTGATAATTCACCTGAGGGTACCTGTTCGTCGCCATTTGAGCCCCGTGGTAAGGGTAGGCAGCACTGGGCCTATTTGTCGGAGGGTATAAATTCATGTTGCGAGCCATCATACCATTTGCACAAGATGGAATCATAGGGGCAGCAGCAGAGTGTAATTGTTTAGCGAGTTGCTTCTCTTGTTTTCTATACTTAGCTCTTCGATTTTGGAACCATACCTTTACAGAAGAAAAGAAGAAAATTATGAAGTAAGACGACGAAAGGAAGCATATAGGGGAAACTTTTAGCCGCGAGGGCGAAATCAAAAGCGCGTTCGACCCTGAACGCTTCTTGAACAAGTTCAAAGCCGCGTTTGGCGTAACTACGCATCTGTCAAGTTTTTCTTTGTTGTTCTCTTTTTAAAAGAGTTGTTAATTATGTATATTGTTGTAATTATTTGTTTTGTTTACTATCGTACACAACCGCGATAATCCCAAGAGCTAATCTCCGGAGATAATCTTTTGCGGTCTATATATTTTAATACTCTGGGCAATCAATTCTCACCAATTTGTCTTCCGAACAGAACATGTGCCGTCTGCTACTGCAATCTGTCCCGACATTTTTAGGTGCCACTCCCACTTTTGCTGTCGCAAAATCTCTGCATTGTACAATCGAGCATTATGTACAATGTAACTGGGAGGCAGCATGCTAGTTACATGGAGAAGGCGGAGTAAGATGGAACTTAATTAACTTTTCTAAGACTGTTTCAAATAATATTTGATGTTGCCGACCAGAAACTTTAAGATCTAGTTAACAGTTGTATTTAATGTAATAATTGCTGAGAACTAAAATTTATATGCAATGAGAAGAAATAAAGGTTAAATTCTACTAAATTATTTATATAGAATTTGTCAGTTAAAGTATAAAAAAAACAGACAAAATTACATAGATAATCACTTGTTAAATAAAATTTCCTATCGTTTTAACCCTTTAATTGTTTTATTTATTTACTATACAACTTAATAATAAAATATTGAAAGGGTAAAAAATCTCATCTGAACTTCTGTAGACGACGATCTTTTTAAGATCTAAACTAATAAAATGGTAAGAGTTTGAAATGTTTTTTAAATGAAACATCATTATAAATAATTAAAAGAGTGTTTTTTATTAATTAATTGAATATTAATTATATTTAATATATATTAAAGAATTGTCCATATATATTTATATATATACACTGTATGCTTTGTTTTTGTTGTTGCTAATGTTGAAACATTAAATTATCTTTCTCTATACATTCGTTAAAAAGTGTTGCAGGTGCGCGCTTCTTCTATTGCTGCTTAATTATCAATACACTTTTAACGAAGCGAGTACCATCGTCAACCTTTGACCTTGACCCAATACGACTCGGATATCGATATGCGGACATGGCTTGCCGGATTATATTACGCCGGCAAAAATAGCCTCATTGCGCCGTTAATATATTGAGTTAGGGCGGCTTTGCGAGTATAGGGCGCGATTTTTTTCTATTTTCACTCTCTTGATATATATGAAGAACGTCTGTTTATCTTTTTTCCTTTTTTATTTACAAACAAATATATTAGTTCAAGCTTGTTAATCCTACACGTGTTAGTCGCGTGTACATTCCGTGTAAATTAGGCGATTATTAACGCTTTCTTCAAAGTACAAAAGAACACACAAACACGCGTGCGCTCACACATACAAACAAGCTCAAATATATATTTTTATATACTGTATATACATACTTAAATACTTTCATTCAGCGGACAAACAAATTTGATTTTTTGATAGTTTTATAATATAGATTGTAAATATCTATAATGAACTTATATTGATAAATGACACATTTATATCAACCTATTTTGCGAATTTATTTACAAAGTACACATAATCTAGTGAAGTAATTTAAAACACTACTTTATTCCTTATAGAGTATAATTTATTCTCTTAATGAATTGTTTAGTATGATGAATAAATTAACCTATTTTTAATCTTTTTATTGTTATTTCTTTATAAACTTAGGCCTGATTTACTTATTTGTTAATATAAATGGACTAAAATACAGCCTATATGTGTCTATACATCTCGATATTCTTTATATAGATATAAAATATCTACACATTTTCAATATAATTTGCACTTTTTATTGTCTACATAATTTAAATATGTTTATACTGCTACCCTTGTTTGTACAAAGAGGGATCTGATTATACTGTAAGCTTTTAAGACAAGTAATATAAAATAAATGTTTATGAGCTCACGTACATTCATATTTATATATATAGATATCCTTATAAGAGTAAAAAAAGTCTGGAAAATAATCTGTTAAAAATGCATGGCGTGGCAAAAAGAACGCTCTTGCTAATTCGCGCCGCTTCGTTGTGCAAATTGAATTTGGCGCGAGGCCCCTAAAGCACTTAGTTTGCCAGTCTTCGACCAGAACCGAGTATTTACGTAATTTTTAAACAAATAGTCCGACCATTTTTTTTCCTGGTTTGTCTTTAAAAAATTTTGATGTTTAATACAATTATTAAATCTTGATAGAAATATGTTAAATGAAGATTAAAAGTAGCTATCTAGTCTGAATAATTATTGTACTTGATATAAAAGATATCTATATATATATATATATGTACTCTTTATATCTTTTCCTCCTGTCGTATATTTAATCTGGTAGTTATTCATCTGTACACTGTTGAAGTACTTGAAGCTACTTTGATCGTTGCATGGTTTTCCGGATTATCCCCTCAATGTATAATTATTGTTGATATTGTGTGCGAAACGATTGTTATAGATTGACTTTAAGTAACAATATAGTGTTATTTGTTTGTTAAACAATGTTTAAATTTTGATTGTTAATAGTTTAAATAAAGAAATTGAAATAAAAGAAATTAAGGAGATAATATAAATTAGAATTCTTCTTTTAATGGATTCTTCTTCTTGATTTGGAGACAAAGAAGTCTCTTTTTTATATAAAGTATTGCCATTTTCCTTTAAAATATCCAGTATTTTATTAAATAAATCGTATACAAAGTTCTTTTCGTTCCTTTTGGGTGTAAAATATTGAAGGCAAAATATTAGATTGACCCTGTTAATGGATATGCATCAGATACATAAACTATATATACTTCTGTTCTTTATAAGGTGTTGACATCATTATGAGCCCCTTTCCTTAAACTGCGTACACCTATCAAACTGAATTTATTAACATTGTTACGTGGTTATAGACGGTTAAAAAACGCAATTAATTTAGCTCCTTTATGAAATTACGTGGTTTTTCGCATTATCTACAGTCGATTAATATTCATCGATGCTACATTGTCGCCGATTTTTTTCTCTCCACCACGTTGCCGTAAGAGAATACGATGCGCCAGATGCGACGTTTCGCTACATGATAAAAGTGTAGGGGAGAGACGCCCCGCTCGAAAAATATAGCGGCAGATTTGAGCCGTGGGTAGCTCAATTAGTGTTTGGTAATGGACGGGTTTTTTTACTTGCTTATGTATACATTTATAGACTGTCTAAAATCATTTCTGGTACGAAAGTGAATGTACTTAATAAACGTAAAATAAAACTATAGAAAACATTTGAATAGAGAATTAATATGAACATATATAATATATATGTTTTTCATTTATATCTTATTGAATTCAATATTCTCTGACTGATTTCTTTATCTTTAAATGATTAGGTGATGTGACATTTTATGGGGAGATTTTTCATTAAACCCTTTAAAATTTTCATCAAGAATGCTTGCAATATCAAATTTGAGGACAATTATAACTCTATCTTTTTTAAAATTGCTTAATTTGGCATATATTGTATGGAGTTACATTGTATATCACGCATCTTTCATATATAGAACACGACAGGTATTATTTTATCTTTTATAATTTTGCTAGAATGGTAGAAGCAAAAAAGCAACAAGCGTAATTTTCCCCCTTCTCCCCCTTGTTTTGTCGTGATTGAAAAACAAGATACGCTTAAGCGCTTTTTACATCAAAGGCGTTCAGAACTTGTTCAGAGATTAATTTTCAAAGTATTTTAGGAACTAACCTGAATACGAGCTTCGTTCAATTTTGTAATTCTTGCCAATTCCTCCCGACAATAAATATCTGGATAGTGACTTTTCGAAAAGGCCGACTCAAGTTCTTGGAGTTGTTCCTGAGTGAACGTAGTTCGATGACGTCGCCTTGCCGGAGTAGGACAGGTAGCCGGGTTATGTCCACCACTGCTTCCTGTCTGGTTAGACGGTAGAGAATCTGTTGGTTTTAGCTTTTTGAATGCCCCGTCTCCGCCTGTTGTACAAACAAAAAAAAATATCTTTAATAGAGAGTAATTTATTTTCCAAATTTAGACAATCCCTTTCTTTAAAAATAATCGTTTTTATTTGTACAATGTCGACCTCATTTTGCATTAAGATATTCGTTTTTTTTTCTCAAATGCATTTTGTCACTCAGGCGGTGTTTGTTTCCAGCTGCTTCTTTTTTCTTTATTTGATATTCACTTACTTCAATTTTTTTTCACTTCGCTCCCGTCGATTCCCGTCTCAAAGATTAAAAGTAAATTGAGGAAAATAGTTTTCCTTCAGCTATACTATTATATATAAATCCCCTATAATGCGACTTTTCTGTAGAATCCACATATAAGGCCTGCTAAAGGCCAAGACCTGCCTGGAATGACAAACACTGGCCCCCGGAGGCCTTTGGGCGTTCGTTTAGAGAATTTAGCTAAGCTTCTCATCAGAGAATGTTAATGATCATCTTGATTACATTCATCCGAATTTACTCGCTTAACGCAAATTCAATTTATTATACAGTCTACGGATACGTCTTGGTCATTTTCTATTATTATTGCCTACTTTCGGCAATCTCTTTGATCTTTGACTAATTTCGTATTTCAAGTCCAAACAAAAATTTTTAAGGATACGAAATATATACTAGACGCATATGTATTATATATACAAGAGAAACTAACTGGATCTAGCGTGACCTAATTTGCGTCGTCATGGAGACGAAATTCCTACGCACGCTCGGAAACTTCCGCAATATACTGTTTTCCACGTTAGAAAAAATATAGGCTTACAAATTTGTTAGCGTGAAAAATTATTTTAATCATAGAATAAATAAATATTGGTAATTTTAGAATAAGTTAAAGGGTTCTAACATTCATAATCTTTATTATATATAGAATATGAGAATGTTACTGCAAAAGAAATGAATAGAAAACTGCAAAATTTACAATTTTGGGTTGATTGTTATTTTTATTATTATTATATAATTGAAATTCACTTATAAATTTAAAGGATTGTGCTAATCTAACTTATAAAAACTCGTTCTTTATTAGCTTCTGTTTCCTATAATAAAGTCTTACTGAAGGGAGACGCCTAGCAGAAATAGAAACTCTCCCTAGGATTTGTTTAAAAATCAGAGCTACATATAACTTAGGTGATTTAAGAGAAAAAGAAATCATATGTAAAGTAAAAATACCATTTAATTCCGTCAAACTTCTAGCAACTGCACTGACGGCATTTGAAGGCAAAGCGTGTTCCAAGTAAGCGGAAGAAGGAAGTGTAGAAGCGAAGGACGAAATATCCTCCACTTTCCTCTTTTCACCGTTTGGAGAATCCGACACATTCTTAGATTCCATTCTTCCTTAAGTTAGAAGTTTTTTATTTTCACAACTAAATCGGTTGACGAGTCGGCGAAAATTGATAAAACTCAACTGTCACGAGCTGTAGAGTAATGAAATTGTAGGAAAACGGCTTTATTTTCCATCGGCGCCCCTGCAGCCAATCAGCAGTTTCCCTTATGTTGATTAGAATATGATCAGCATAGACTCCACCCACAACGCGTTCTTTCCCTTTTTTATTGATTAATTTTGATGATTTTTCACAGAAATCTCTAATAATTAACAATAAAAGATTTCTTCAAGT